ACCCATAGACTATTCGCTAAAGTGTCATTCGGCGACATTCGCTAAAACGTCATTCGATCAAGTGAGTGCCTCCTCTGTTGAAGCCATGAAACTCGAATTACTTTCGCCTCTTTATGACGCGTGGTGGTAGCACACCATAACGAGCAGAGCTCGATGCCTTTATACGTGCATTAGGTTTCCATAGCGCAAAACATTTCCGAGCTTCCCAGCAAAATGTAAAACCCCTGTCGAGTTCATACAACCGGCAGCCTCAAAATTCTGAGCTTTTCTTATAAATTGGACACTGTAAAATGTTTACCGGCAACTGTAAATGCATTTTATCGGATTTATCAGAAAACGCAGATGCCACATTGGCGATATTTACCCGAGACCATTTTTTCCTAGTTTGTATTAGGGACCATTAGTTCTGAGACCATTTATTCCGGGACAATTTGTTCCGTTTTCCCCCGCAACTCACTAAGACGCGGCCTGCAGGCAACTGGCTGCAAGCACTCGTTCCAATAACTGGCGTGCACCATATTGATCTCATGTCACCGATCATTTCCGCTCGAAGCTCTGCTCTGCTCTTATAATGAATTTATGCTATTTTGTTTTCATTTGCCTCATGTTTTGCTTTAATTTTTGCTTCCCAACGTTCTGTCATGTTAATCACTTGTAGTACAACAATTCTAAGCTGCGAAATTGAGCTCCTCGCTCAAGGACGCACCTCGACTGTACAAACTCTCGTTCAGCAGGACCAACTACCAATGATAAACATACTACGATTTTAAGACTCTCGCCTTAAAAAAATATCACCAAAGAAATAGAAGTACTTTCTCAAATTGCTGCTATTCGCGACTCCAATTCACTATAGGTGGCGCCATTTGTTTTCCAATATGGCCGGTATAATGAGGGTCGGAGATATGTGCCGCTGTTCAGCCTGTCTAGTGTGCTGGCTTCACCCAGCGACACAAATGATTTCCGGTAATACGAGGAAGCTAGGGTGTTACGAGCGCAGGTTTCCTCTTTATCCTGAAAACAAAAACGGCCTTTAGCATAACATTTACGCCAGGAGGCACGTTTTAATTTGAGAGTGAAACCGAAACTAACCTCTATTTTGGATTTAATCTCTCAGTATACGTCTTAATTACGGACTCTTTCATAACTCAAGATGTGTCTCGCATCGTAATTTTTTAGTCAAAAAAGTTGTTCGCAGAAACTTTATTTGGTGACACATAGGTGTTCGATCCAGGCACTTCAAAACATTTTGGAGATTTCAGTGTCCCTTTAAAGGGACACTGACAGGGTATTTATGCTCGCCGAGGTTTTTATTTGTACGTGACATATGAGAGCTCAACTACCCAGAACAGAATTTGCGGCTCGAAATTCGGTTTCTTTCCGCCCGAAAACCGCCGATCAAGAACTGGCCGGTTCGAGTCTCGCTCACTCTCTTTCTCGCGGTCACGGGCCGTTTTCTAAGGTATCGATGCGACCACCAAATTTAATCAAAGTCGTGGGTCACTGAAAGCACACACTCAATATTAAAAATAGAAAAAAAATATGAAACCCATTTTTTGTGGCTTCTAAAAAGCTGCAAATACGTTGATTGAAAAAAAAGTTCCACAGACAACCGGAAGCATTCTGTGCGTGCGTCGTTTCGCGTATCGTGGGACTCGCAGGGACGGCGATGGCAGCGGACGACGGGCGTGGGACCTCTATTTCAGAACTGTCGTTCGTGGTACCGGCGAATTTTGTCTGCCTTTAAAAGAGAAATTTGGGACTGGTCAAAAGAATTGGTATTCATCCCGTACGACACGCCCGACCACCAAGCCGATTTGCACGAAGACGTCGCCGAGCCGTCGCTCCCTTCTTGTGGCTGAAGACATCGCTCGCGCAAACGTCAAGCGCGACGTGTCTACTTCGACTTGAATATGCACGCGTACGATTTCTTTACTAGGTGAGAATGTCGTTCGACCCGGGAGTGCTTTTGCTAGAGGAAAATCGGCAGCAAACTTTCCCACTTACAGTTTATCGGCTGAATTATTACTAAGGAAAGAGATACCCCAGTTTGATATGCCCCAGTAGCGCAGTGGGGAAGACGTCCCCATCACACGCGGTAGGACCGGGTTGATCCCCCGTCAAACTTTTTTTTTTTTTTTTTTTTAAATATTCTCTGATGTTTACATTTCTTTTTTTCTTTTTTTTACAATTATTACTGAAGAAACAAAAAAAAAAAAAACAATATAAGAAACAAATGTTGTGGACGACACGTCGCTGAATTAAATGGTATGAGATTTCCTTTTTGACACCTGCGAACTCAATGTAATCACTTTCCACAAAATGCAAGGAGCATATAAATCAGGTAGCGTCCGCTTTCCGAGGTGCCCGTAAATGGTCTACAGGAATTGCAGCCAGCCATTGGTCCCGATCCCGTTGATCTTTCGGAAACTCTGTCGCACAATGCCACTTCTGTTTCGCGCGCGGGACATGTGAGCCAGCTCTTCACGCAACGTCTTGGGTGTATTCTTTTCGGAGCCGATCAAAATCCACCACGGGCACTCACTACTCATCTCCAACTCCTCAATGTACAAAACAACTCATCTTGGAGTACAGAACAACGAGCGGAACATAAATAACTGCAAAAGAATCCCACGGCAACCAGTTCCCATACGCCGCATGTCGTCTGCTACCGGGAAGGAGAAAAAAAAAAAAAAACACGGTCGGGTGTAGCCACGTGACTTCCGCCACACACTCTCTTCTCTCCACTTCTCCGACCTCCGTCGGGTTTCGGTTTCGATTTCGAGCAGTTGCGTCTTTTGGCTTTATTAAAAAAATACGCTACTCTGTTGCAAAATATTGACTGGGTAGTCCTCCGACACCATAATGAAGCGCCTGGCAAAAAATTAAAAAAAAATTTTGGGGGGTGTCAGTGTCCCTTTAAAGACAGGGTATTTCATACACCTTAGAGGTAACATATAATATTGCAGTTGTTGAAAAAATCGGTGCTGAATTTTGTGCACTCTGGCTGCCTTTTCTTGCTCAGATAATTGTCCTGTGAAATAATGAACTGCGGCCCTTTTAAAGGGGTTTTGGGTATTTAGATGATTAATTGCTTTAACATTATTCCCAGTGCAAGAATAACAGGATAAATCCAATTTTTACAATATGTTCACAAAACGCATAAATTAAGAAACGCTGTTTTCAGCACAAAATACCAAAGACGTAATCCGAGTCAGACAGCTGAAGTGTGTATGTTTTTAAAGCAACGCGTGACACTTGGCTATTTGTCCATCTTGATAACAATGTCAGATTTTCATATGCTAAAAAGAAAAGAAAATGAGACCTTTCTGGAAAGGCTATAATGGTTAAATGGCGTACTCTTGTGATCGATATGTTAACTGGGGGCATAAGTTGCCGCGATTTGTATTAGTAATAATAATATTAAAATTAAGATATTTTAATACATAATTTTTCAGGCTCTAATACTATTTGTTACTTACAATCTCATCTCAAACAATCAAAACTGTGCTAATTATTATCACTGGTGCCAATTGCACCATTTTTAATTACCAGGTTATAAAATAAGTATAGTCTAAAATCAATAAAATATTCTGGCTAATATGAGAAATCCATGGAAAATTACATTAATTGAGAGTAAAGCATATGGTTCTGCTATCAAAGTCGCAACTTTTGACAATTGTCAAAACTTCCAATGTAGCCGCCAATATCCTACCAAACTAAACTAAAATCACCCCCCCCCCCCCCAAAAAAGAAAAATATATTATAGGTATATTTTTTTTTGTTGCTTTGTTTTTCAGTTATTAATTTTTTTATAACATTTAGTTCCTTTTATTTTTATGCGCGGTCGTTTTGCCAATTTCAGCCTTTCCACTTCAAAGGAATGCCTACCTGCTTGCGCGTCTGCTAGGCTGCAGCACGTTTTGTTGGCGTTGGAAGCCGGTGAAACAGTAGCAAGTTTTAGTATTGCGTATATGAGCGAATGCAAGCGCCATGTGTTTGTGTTAGCTTTGCGTGTGCCACACTGCGCTTGCTTGGAGCGCAAAATTGCGGTCCTGGATTGGCGCATGGCGATGACGCGCATGCCCCAACGTGGAGCACGCAACTCTAACGCAAAAGCAAAGCGCTTGCATTAGCTTCTATACGGAATACTAAAACTCTCCTAATAAGGAACAATCCCAAAGAGCCTGCAGCACTACGTTGGGACAGTGAAGAGTGTTGTTTGCATTCAGAAATTACAATTTGCGAGCCACGATCGCGAGCAGTTTCGCCGTGCCCGCTGAGCAGGAGAGTCGGGAGACCCTCACCAGAGCGCTTCCCATTTCTGCCACAAGAGGGCGAGCAACAAGCTGGAGAAGTGAATACAGATCACCAGGAAAGCAAAAACTATCGTATGAAAAAAAATTTTTTTTTTTTTGGGGACACATTGAGTTGGAAGAATTTCCGAGTGAAGTGAGCAAAGGGAATGACAGTGTGCTCACTCTCTTGTCCTATTCAAAATGCCAGCATGTTGTTGGGGTGGTGCCATTTTAATATCTGTTGTCATATCAGGTAAAGACCCAAAGTTGTCCCATAACCAAATCAAAGCTAAAGTTGTCACTGGCAAAACTGTGAGTATACAGAAAGCAGAAAGCACAAGGTCTCCTCTTCATCAAATCTCTCGACACCCCCCTACCTCTTAGATTGGCCCTCCACATTTTGGAAGTGGGCTATCTGCCCCCCTCCCCCCCCCCCCCCTCAAATAAGTTTGAGGCACCCTGCTCTAGATAAACAAAAGAATTAAAAAACCTTCTGTGCTTAGGCTGCATCATTTCTGGAGACTGCACTGCTCTATGGTAGCTTTTGTTTCGCTACAGAATGTGCAAGCTACACTCCTTTGGCACGTTTCCCCTGCAGTGCAAGCATCGATCAAGACAACATGCTTTTGCATGTTGCTTCGCACACATTTATAGAGCAACGGAGCATGGCCTGTATCGCCGAAGGAACCAACAAGTGTCACGCACCACTCTTGATGCCAAAGAATTCGTCCAGGAGTCCAGCGTAGGTCAGCTGAGTGAGCAGGACGCTGGCGTAGTCCACGTCTGCGGGGGCAGAAGCACGGGGGGCATATATCTCTGTTGGACATTCGAAATTCATTCCATGCTGTCCAATGCTTCAATTACAAAGTGTGGATAAAAATTCCTTGTACTTTGTGGAACTGCAAACTGATAAAACCTGGGTCCCAGTAATGCATTTAATTTATTAAAAGTGCTAGTCGGGCACATAGAAGATTCCCGTAACCGCTGTTCTTTGTAGAACCTCATAGTCATGCTCCCGCCTTGTGGCATGCTTTACATTTCATGGATATTAAGATGGAAACTTTATTTTTGAACTGAGCAGTAAAATTCCACATCAGTTTGTGTCGCTATGGTCAATTGGTCAAAGATAAAGGTTCTGTAAGTATAAAAGAAACGCTACTGACCGAAATAATTTTTTTTCTTTTAAGGTTGTAAATTGTTGATAGCTGATTTTAGACACCATGGTTGCAGAGTGGAGCTCATTTCGCAAGCAACGCTTCACTGAATGAAACACTGCATTAACACAGTGTTTTCCCAAACAATGTGTGAATGCTTGCAGTCACTTTAGCAAATGACGTTTATGTGTGGAGGTGACCGACGACTTTGCACGAGAGTTGTCACATCTGAAAGGCAACATGTAGTCACGATCACATTTAAATAGAGCATAGGGGTGAATTTGAATGCAGAAATAAAAACTAAAGCGTAACAGTACTCGGCCATATTTGTGTGATACAGCATATACGTAATGGGATCTACAATTCACAAACAACTCGACACCAGCAAAAAAAACATAAACGAGAGCTTAAAAAAAAAAAAAAAATTTGGCAAGAACAAGCACAGCATTTGCTCCAGTTAAGTATGAGTGTGACCATACTTAAGTGTTTTATTGAATTGCGATTGCGCTCGAGGTTCTTAGAATATGTTAGGCAAAGTGCCAGTTAGACGAAGCAAATCGGAGGGCATTTTGGCAGTACAAGCCTGGAAGAAAATTGCCAAAAGCTAGCGTGCGATGGTAACAATTTAGCCTGACAAGACAGTTTCTCCAAACTGCTGACAAGGATTGGCATGCTTGCTAAGGTGTCTTTAGATGAAGCAATTGTTTGAGCAACAATCGCTATTTAAAATGCCGTTAAATGTACCACACTGGCTAAGATAACATCAACAGGAACAGCAGCGTGCAAAACTATGCACCTCGGTCAAAGAGGAAGAGGTGAGTGATGCGTGGCAGGGAAGTCTGCTGGACCTTGGCCGGGTTGCTCGGGAAGAGCTTCATCAGCCGTAGCACCCCCTGCAGAACGGAAAACAGAGGACATAATGCACCACCATTTTGCTTGCAAGAAATGAGACTTCACGCCTGCATAAGCCATTTTTCTACTGGAATTTCTATACATATTTTACCAGGGGACAAAGGCAGGTGTGGAGTGCACCAAATCGTAAACGCTGGCATCAGAGGTCCAGAGACAATGAACAAAAAAACTGTGCCTCCAATTCACGCTGTGAAGGTGGTTAGACAGCAAATCTGTAAACGACATTCATAACGATTACCCATTGCAACGTCACTTGAAAAGCATGGTGACGTCACTACACGATTTCTATGCTGCTGGGTACTTTTCCACTCGGAGTAGCTTACGCAACCGTAATCTTTACTGGGAAACACACGCGGGGAGAAGGAACGTGCTTCGCGTTGTTCGCAGGCACCGTTGTCATCCATTATGCGGTTTGTACTTCACACGAGGGCTTCGAATGACGTCAACCCCTTTCGAAGCAGCTGCAAACCTAATCTTTACCGGAACGCGTGGGAGGGTGTCCCCAGCTATTGTTCACATGTGCCTTATCATCCATCATGTGGTTTTGATGCTTATTCTGTGGCTTTCTTTAGTGAAACAGATTACTGAGCTGTATGCTGTATGCCTGATTTCAAAGGAGATATGCTGTTTTGCCTTCAATTGTTTGCCGGGAGTTTTTTGCCTACAACGCCAACGACACGAAAATTTCCTCGGCTGGTAGAGGTTTACAGCTTGGCTGTAAAAAGAGGGCGGCAAAAGACTGGGGAAAAAAAAAGCACATAAAGGTTAGGCCTGTTCATTTTGCCGTGATGCAATCAAGCTCTTCAATTCACTGTCAACTTTAATTTTCCTTAATAGCATGCGGCACAGGTGTTTACTTGAAAAATAACTAGAAAAGATTAGAATCCGACCCGGAAAGCGATACTTTGCAACTGCCTCGTATTTATCAAAGGCTAGCTCACCAGCAATCTAGGTTCACTGGGACCACCTACCCCTTCTTCCACAACCCGTCATTTTGAGACGGCTGAATTTAATTGAAAAATGGTGGACCCTTCCCCATAGATCCATAACATGCACTTGTTAATTTTTTCTTTTCAAACTCGTACAAGGTAAAACTGAAAACCGTGAGGACTGCAAGTGCTTAGGACATGTTGACAGTGCACCAAGATTAACCAGAATGAGCAGACTCACCAACGACGAGCAGTATTCACGTGATGTTGCTATTTAGTACGGTCCTAACTTCATTGCCACAGTGTGTACATGAAAGCATTTAAAGGTGCATTTCAGATTGCCAACCTTGCCATGTGATGTTGCCGTTCAGCTTGCAGCGATTTTTATGTGTACTTTTACAACATGTGTTGGATATAAAAATATAAATTTGACTCTCGGTACCACTTTATTCTCATTAAATTCAACTATATATTTGGTAAATTACAAGTTTTCAAGTGGGGTTTCTGTCCCCCTTAAACAATAACAATAAGCACTGAAAAAAAAAACGATGCCTGAAACATTTATTGTAAAATACCGTGCAAGCGCCCATTCCAAATTTAGAAATAATCGCGAAAAAATGGGGGATGGGCACTTGTCCGGTCATCAATTTTACAAATAAATGTACTGTGCATATTTTCTCAGATCTTCGAAATTTGGATATGGGCGCTTAATGTAAGATGGGCGGATGCGCGGTATTCTACGGTAGTTTGGAACAGGTGTACATTGCAAAATTTAGGCATACTCCCATCGCTTTGATGGCATATTTGCGAGCAATTAAGCTGGACAGACAGAAAGATAGATAGATTGATAGATAAATATTTATTTGTATGTTTAAGTACACACCATATAGAAGGCGTTGCCGCTCGTACACATATGCCTATTTGGCCGGCTAGTGCCTATGCGGCCGGCTAGATGTAGACCAGGGGTGGCCAGGCTGAACCGGCCTAAGAGCCGCAAACAGAACCACAAAACTTCCAAGAGCTGCGGGGGGGGCAAACTTATGTCTAGAGCAAAAAACGAAACTCGAACTACTTTCAATCTATCCGAGTCGAAAGCAGTCCAACTGTATGTAAGGTAGCCGTAGCATAAGACTACCAAAGTGCTACCTGTCTTTCGATTTAAAACACGTTTCATTTTTCTTTTTGGGGAAGTGCTCATCTGACCGGGAGGGAGGAGGGGGGGAGGGAGTTGCGAGCGTGGGATGCTGATTTAATGGGATGTTGAACAGGGTGAAAAGCATGGTGAGTGAAGTTTGATGAGGCACACAAGACAGTTGTGGGTGTTGGTGTAGAGGTGTTTGGCCGCTGCCTCACAGAGCCGTGTCACCTTGTCTCTATGAGAGGTAGGCTGGTGATGGCGTCAGGCAGAAATCCAAAGTCTCACACCCCGGAGGAGACACAAGTTGTCGTGCTGCTGGGTCCATGCAAATAGAGGGTCAATGCGTCCGGTCCGTTTGTTGCGCTGGGTACAGAGTGAAGTTAGTAGTCTTGCGTGGGACTCCAGAACCAATCGCTAGAGCCAGCAACGGTGGATTGGCTACATCTTGTCGGTGGGATAGTGCTCCCCACTTGGCTGCTCTCGGGAGCTGGGTTGTAGGGACGGTCACGTGACAAGAGGCGAAGACTTGAAGAGGCTTGGCAATAGATGCAGTAAGCTGCTCACCGCTGGATGGTCTCTGATGTCACGTGGGTCGAAACTCCCTGTGGCGACCAGACGGGTGAGCAATACGCTAATAGGGGCAGGACCAGCACAGGGTACAGCTGCGTGAGCACAGTGGGCCCCAGACCCTTGCTAATAGTTTGCACACATCCCAGCATCCGCCATGCACGTGAGGCGACAGAGTGGACATGTGCAGTAAAGTCTGGTTTGCCGTCGAGGGTGACACCCAGCAGAGTATTTATTTCCTTTCGTTCAATTGGAGTTCCGTTATTAGTTAATATCACTAGTGGATTCTGTGCTTCTTCTTTTTGTGGTGAAGTGAATTGTAGGCAATTTTGAAGCACTCAGTGGTAGTTTGTTTCTGAAGGTCCAGGCTTATATCTGATCAAGGTCTCGTTGCAGTTCGTTATTGTCTTCCTTAAATTGAATCAGTTGAAGGAGGGTGAGGTCATCTGCATACATGATGGCGGCAGAGTCTATAACCTCGACAATATCGCTGATAAAAATTGAAAAGAGGGTCGGACCAAATACTGTGCCTGGGGGGGATTCCGGAATGAATCGTTCGAGATTGGAACCTTGACTAGTTGAATGTTACATTTTGTTGCCTCTTCAGGATGAAGTTAGATAGCCAGTAGAGGAAGAGACCCTTGATACCCGTGCTTTGCCGCTTGGTTATCAGGAGCTTCTGGTTTACCTTATCAAAGGCTTTGGTGAAGCTAAGCTGCACCAGTTTGTACGGTGACCACGTTGTCATTGATCTGGTGAACAGCAGTCATTGGGGCAGTCTCACAGCTTCGACCGGAGTTAAAGTGATGTGGCGCTGGAGACAGAAGAGTGTGGTCGTTTAACTATCTGTGTAGGGCAGAATTTAGCGCTCGTTCCATGGTATGGCAGACAACTGATGTTGTGAAGATTGGTCTGTAGGATTCTGGCTTGTACGCTAGGGAACCATTTCCTTTGTAGATGGGAGTGACATCAGTCTGCTTCTATAGGGCGAAGACACACCCAGTGTGCAAGGGTTGCTGGAACAGTCGAGCCAATTATACAACTAGCTGTTGGCCACTTGCTTTTAGGAGCGCAGGGTGGATGCCGTCAGGACCGAGCGACTGTGACAGATTTAGTCAGATGAGAGCTAGCTGCGGTGGTGATGGGTTTCTGGTTGTGATAAGGGGTTACTGGGCAGTGTCCATGCTGCACCCAAGTGGTTACTCATATGTTCTGCGGTTTGCAAGTCGCTTAGGGCCTTGCCGTCGTGGCACGTGTTTAGAGCAGACAAGTTCTGCTTGCTGCGCCTTACATAGGCTCGAAATATCTTTGGATCTCTTTTGGTCTGCCGTGCCATGTCCAAAGCGCAGTCCCGGTACGTCTGTGTGATGCATTTCTTTAGGTCTCTCTGGAGGGTGTGGGCTGCCTGAAATGTAACAGTACAGTTGTTTCACTTTACATGTGCGAACAACTGACACTAATTGGGCTTGGAGCGGTATCTCCTTCGTTATCCACGGCGCTCGGGGTTCATTTCGTCTTTTTCTGGAGGGGACTCATTCAGCTTCGAAGGCATGCATTAAGTCGAGCCATATATCATACAAATCTTCGTGGTTGTCTTGGAGCACCATGCCCCAAGCGAATTTAGGTGTTTGGTCTCTAATCTTGCGAAGTTATGGAAGTGTCTGGCACGGGGTGCAGATTTAAGTAAGTGATGGTATGTGGTCGTAGTTACTGCTTTGTGGTCAAAGCCCATGAGGCTGTGTTCCGTGAAACAACTTGAGATGAGTGCGGGGTTAGAAACAAACATAAGGCAAAGGAAAGAGACTTGATTATCGCTGGTGCTGTAACTTGGTTCGCAGCACACTCGGGTAAGACCGAGTATATCCATCTGGTCGAGGAGGAGAGTGTCAGATGGTCCGGTGGGCATGGGAGCGCTCGCGACTGACCAGTTAATGTGTGCACTGAAGTTTTTGATCACAAGTACGTTGGAGTACTCTTTTTTGAAAGGGTGACGGAGAATGGTGATGACCGTAACAAATCATAGCTTTCCGATTTCTTGATTGGGGGGTGGTATGCGACACAGAGATGTAGAAGTTCCTGTTTTGCATGAAGATCCATGAAAATGACCTCGAGGTCGCCCCAGTCCAGGTTGCATCTTCTAGTGCGTGTAGTTGACGACGTACGGTGACGAAAACTCCATCACCAGATCTGCTACGATCTTGCAGGTAGAATTTGAACCGTGCCTTGTTGAAGAGCTGGCTGTCGTAAATGGAGTTGTCCAGTCAAGTCTCACATATGAAAAACGTGGTGTCGGGGAGGGACTCAGTGACCACCCGGAACTCTGGCACCTTGTTTTTGACGGATACAAGATTTAGAGAACCAGATTCAGGTTGTCTTTAAGGCGAAAGCATTAACTGTCCCATGGAGCGAGCCGACGTCATCAGCCACGCAAAACGGCACCTGATTTTCCGTCCCAAAGGAGCGAAGTGAAGCCTCGATCTGAGGCATCCCAGCTTTGAAGCCGTGCAAAACGGCAGATAAATTCACCTCTCCAGAAGGAGCGAAGCGCGGCCGATTTCTGATGGATTATGCTCCCATTGGCTGGTGCGCATCATCAAGGAACGAGGCTCCCATTGGCTCTCGTGCAACGGGGTTCCAAAAGCCGCCACCAGAGAAGCCCTCTCCATGGCAGCGCAGAGCATGCGACGGCCCGGCGAGGTGCGGTGGTGCGAACCTGGCCACCTGGCCACAGAGCCTGCTTGGATGAAATCGGTAGAGGTTGTACAACAGAGCTCAGTGCGGCTCACAATAGCGCGCGCTTGACCGTCGGCAGCTACATCGGCAGTACTGAAACGTGGCTGCTCATGCCACTACGCCGCAGACAAACTAAGGGAGCGGAAGAATGACATTCATGCTTTTGCATTCACTACTCATAAGAAGCGCTTAGGTGTCCTCGGACTTTTTTTTCTTTTTTCCGTGGTACTGGAAGCTGTTGGATTGTCTTTAACGGTGGTAGGTGGTGCGATTGGCATTAGTGCAGGCCGGTTCGGTGCTTGGAACAGGCTGTTGCTGAACGATGGCGGCTGGCACACGCCGCAGTACCACGGTTCCGTGCATTTCGATCGGTGCCAATAGGCATGCAGTGAGAGCTGCTCAGATCTCCTGTGGAGTCAGACGTTGCATTCGTCGCATTGTGATGTTGCCATGCTGTCGTAAACCCTTGTAGCAGCGGGGACAAGTAACACGCAGTCCCGTGTTGGCGGTACATTGCCAGCACAAAGTAGAATCAAGTACATGTGAGGTTGAGGGACGGAGGTCGCGCGGGCAGATAGCGAAACGTTGAAACGTAAAAGACTAGCCACGAAAATAGTGAACGTGCCATCTTCTAGAGACTGGTTGCTTCTGAACACCAAGTGCTTTGTGTAGATCAATGCCATGCAACATGACGACCGGCCAACACTTTCATCTTTTTCTCTATGGATGGGAAATAGATATAAATTGCTTACTTACACAAGCTATCCTCATCATTTACTTGTTTTAGAACCAACTACGGTGCAGCTAACCATACATGTTGCCTATCACAAATCGGGATTTCTATCACACTGATAGTGGTTGAAAGCGATGACTCATACTATGATGCGGCACTTCTAACTCAGTGAACATCTATTTAAGTTAGGAGAGCAAGCCGTTGTCCTTTGAAGTAATGCCGGTATCAAGATAGGTGGCTGTCCTGCCTAATGCGGGTCCCTGATGCACATATATTTGTAAATATGCTCTACAAGAAAAAAAAAGAAAAACCAGCATTGAATTGGGTTTTAATGGTTCGCTTGTAAAATATTAATTCCTCGTTACTCGAAGTTGAATCTCCACATCACAACATAAATAGTGCCATGTGAGCAGTCAGTAGGCATATTTAAGGCTGCCAGTCTCTCTGCAACAATAATTTATTTTCTCTCTCTCTCATTTAGTAGAATTCTAAAGACGAATGCAAACAAAATAATAAAAAAAGAGGCCAAAAGCTTCTTGGACAATTGGTAAACAGGCCAGTACAAATCGGCGTCGAGACCCCACCTGGGCGCAGGCCCCCTGTCCATACACCTCCGTGATGGGCCCACAGAGCTGCTCCAGCTGCAGGATCGACTGGGCCACCAGGAAGTTCCACGAGCAGTCACCTTCCTGGGCCACAGAGACATCATGCAGCATTTGCATGGGGGAGAAATCCGCGGAGGGATGTGTGCGACATGAGTAGCGAGAACAACTGCCTCCTCAGCTTCATTACTTACACAGACAAAGTCCCGCTGGGGGGATGCCAGCGTTAGCAACAGAATTAAGCAGTTTCTACTCTTAACACCACCACAGTCAAATTTAACGGTTTGTAGACTCGGCACTAGGATTGCACGAATATTCCAATTTTTCAATAGTAGTTTCGAATGATATGCTATTTCATACTCGCTTCTAGATGAACTGCGATTTTCATATATTTCCAAGTGGTGATCGTGGCGAGTTAACCCATTGAGCGTGCTCCTTACCAAGCACCTGTGCATTGCGGAGAAGCAACACTCGCAGAGCTCGTTTCCGCGGGTGTTGCCTCTCCACAGAGCACCAATGCTCAGTAAGAAGCCCAATCAGAGGGGCTAACCCGCCGCAATCAACTCTTCAAAATGTACAAATATTGCAGTCGTGTACTTACGAGAATAGCACACTTTCGAAACGATATGGTGAACTCGTGTGCCTGAGGTATTTCAAAGGAAATATAAACTTTGTGAAAGTTATTATCTGCATTGCATTAAAATTTTAAAAATTAAACTGGCTACTATGAAAGGGTATATGTTAAACAGGTCCCCTGACAACCTGCATCAACCATTTGTGATTGTCATTTTTTTTTTAAATTTGAGATGAAAGAAAGGATGTTTGCATATGGCAAGATTTATAAATCCATTTGATTAGACAAATCTGAACATCTCTACAGTAATCCCTCGGCTATCTCAAAATATAGGTTAAGTCGAAGGATTTCCTTGTCATCGAATGAACTCCCATAGGCACTATGCATTTACTCATTGTTTATCTCAAAACGTTTTCAGGACTGACAACATCTGTCTCAAAATCTTAAAACACCAAAAAAAAAAGGAGCAGGGCACAGCAAACAATGAACTGGTGGCCTAAACAGTGGTTAATGAAGGAACAACAATCCCAAAAACAAACACAAAAATAATGTGTGCATTGAGAGTACTTCCATACGGTTTAATTCGCAACCTGCGTGGTCTGCGGAGGGAGGGCAAAGAGAGGAAAATAAGACTCTGCATGCTCTCCACTCAAATGGGAGGACACCAAACCAGCACCTCCTAGGTGCCCAGAATGCTGACTTTCCTACGTCACCTACAGGACGCTGCATCGGCATTTGGCCGGCACTCGAGTCCTTGCCCAACGGCAATGTGTGCCTTGCAATGGCCTCTGGAAGGTGACGTGGAAACACCGGCACCCTCGTTATCTAGAAGACGTCAATCATGAAGAATGAAGGGGGAAAAGAGAAAGTGGGTCAGCATGGCCACGCACCAGGAAGAACTTTGGGAAGAAGCCCGGCAGCTCGAGGGAGAAGAGGTCCGTGTCCAGGGGGATCAGCCCCAGGGGCAGGTCAAGCAGCTGCACCGAGCCCAGAACGCCCTCGCTCTCCAGCACCTGCTCGCACACGGGCACCTGGACGCCGAGAGAGGACACTTTACACTGGGGCACGTGCCAGCACCCCGCTGGGCTCTTGGCTATTCCCGATGTCTGCCAGTATTCTCCGACTGCACCCTTTACAATAGGTTACCGGCGTTTGAGCCAGAAGTTTCGTCATCTGAGATGAGGCGTCACATGAATTCACACTTCCGGTTCGTCTGGTGCCAGTCGTGGTTCGTCCAGCTGCAATGATGAGCCCTTCTAGTCATGGTGGCCGGGCTGTATTCGCGGTGAAAATGGTTCACGTTGTTCTAACGCGAGCCATAAAGGGCACAAGATGTTCCGGTTTCCGTGGAACGAAGAACGGAAGCAGTGATAAGTCGTTGCATTGGTGCCCGTTTTCTGCGCGGCCCAATTTGTCACAGCTCAGCACAACGTGTTCTCTCTTTCTTCAGGTTGGGGCCGCGTGAAAGGACGATTTTGAACAGAGACTCTTGACACCCAGAAAAAGGTCTCGATTAACCTGCGAGTGGCTGAGCATGGACTGCTGTACAAGGCATCGGCGAGAACGTGGGATGCAATCTCGCAGATGTCAGATTACTTGCGATCTTCACAGGCAATCAGTCCATCGGGTTATGTCTCGTCGACAGACCGTTTCATCGACAGCAGTGGCTCTGGGATGTATTCCTGTGTATGGGCTCTCAAGATAGCCTGGTCACCTTTCACAATGTGGAATAACCAAAGAGTACTCATTGAAACTCGAACAACGGATATCAACCACATAAACCTGATCCCCAGCTCATTATAAATAAGCAAAAGCAAGCAGGCAGAGCCTACATCTTGACGGATAAGAAAGCAGTCGTGCGACCCTGCACATCAAAACCGGTGCATGTTTCTGTGTGCTTTATCATTCAACATCCTAAAAAAAAATTTTTTCAAAATGTGCAGGGAGAGAGACATGGCTTACGGTGGACAACCTAATTGAAGTACAATATATTTTTAAAAGCAAGGGTTCTCACGTAATCCTATGTTGTCGAAAGGAACTTTTGAAAGGAAGTGTCTTTTCGATCGTGCAAGAAATTGGACATTTCAGCTAGCCGTGTCCCACGGTGTAAATTCGCTCCTATTTCAGTTGGTGATGTAATCTGATTTAACCATTAAAAATAAAAGGCAATGAAGAATGCTGGCTCAAAAGGAAAACAAAATAGTTAACCTAGCCCAAGTTTTCACGCGAAGATTTGGAAAGCACGGAGCCAGTGCAACTTGCCGCCAACCGCACTCGCTCCACGCTTTCGTGGCTGTTCTCCTCGATGCTTCCGCATACTAATACTAATATTTCACAGCGCACCCATTCCTACTTAACATATGTATCCGCAGAAGTAACTTCAGATGCTCAGAAATTCGTAAGTAACCTGGCAGCAGAGGGAGGTGGCTCAAATAGATGGGCTTCGATAACCGCACATGATTCCATAACCGCCATGGTGGTGCGTCGGCCGCTAGCTACGAACCGGAAGTGAATAATGCCCATTGTGCTTTGCGGCTGTTCCCAAACTCCGCTCACCTATTCCACAACACCCTCTCTCTCACGGTCAAAAGAGCCAAAAGTCGCCCGTAGTATATTCTACGAGCAGCCAGGCACAAAGATATCAATGCACATAAAGCCTGTTTCCTTTCTAAGACTGCGAGAGACTGCTTGGCGTTGGTAATGGATTTCATTGTTTGCCTGTGACCACAAAAGCACCAAACACCAGACTTCTTGCACAAACGTGCAGTCACCGTACGAGCAACTTTAAAAAACTGGGCGGAGTGTGCAGTCACTTCACCCTCTTGGACTTGTCTCGCCAGTTCAACTTCCTTAGGAAACAAATAAAAGACAACGTTGCAAAATTAAAAAGATTGGTCCAACGCAAAAACAGTATTTTTTGCAACCTATGAAAGGGCTTACGTCCTCAGAGGAAGAGAGCAAGTTCCCTTGCCTGTTCTCATATGTTTTGTTCATGGACTTCAGACTGGACTCGTTTTCCAAGGCACTGGGAAAAGGGAAGGTTTTGAGAACTCGAAAATGACTGTACTCCCAGACAACGAAACTCCTCACACACATCAAACACACAATTTGTGCACAAGTTTTCTTTCATCCCATGTTTGGTAACACTCTAAATAATTATTATTATTATTATTTTTTTTCACAACATTGGTTGAAGATTTTTGAGGGGTGATCTTAGATTTGTGAATACACCAGCGATGAAAGCTGCATCTGAGCTTTAGGAGCAGGTCCTGTAGCAGGCAAAATATTGGTTTGGAACAGCCATTGACGCTTTTGGAGCCGATATGTTAGCATATCACTTGAAAGTAAAACAAGGTGACTGCATTGCTAAAGGAGTTCATTGTTGATAATGACATGCTTCCTCTTCCATACTGGAGCATATTGCTCATTACATTTCTTAATAAGAATAAAAAGGGTGCGAAAGGCCCACAGAGTTGTCATTTTAGAAATAAGGCTCTGGTCAGAGTAGGTTCCATTTACAATAGGTATTAAAAATTGTTGAAAAATGAATAATAGTGCAACACTTTAGTTTAGATAAAGCCTCACTCCCCACCTTCTTTGCCACTCGATAGTTCATATAGCCCGTAAATATAATTTTTTTTAAAGTGACAGCAAAACCGAAGATATCCGCTAGACGTCTATCAGTAAAAATGCATACCCCAAGTTTTATGAACTTACCAAACTCAAGACTTTAATATCATAAATTGCAACAACAATCACTCACAGATATTATGAGAGTATACACTTGAGGTATAAATGTGACACTACTCTTTAGCAGCGTTAGAACCAGAGTTGAGTCAAAGTTCACTGCTCTTTCGATCGACAGCTGCACTGAACTACTTTGACCGCCTTCTTTCTTGAAATAGAAACCCACGTTTCTTTTTGTTTCTTTCTCTTTTTCTCGGCACATCTTTTTAAAATTAGAGGTCAACCTACAATCAAGGCCAAAGAAAGTAGATCCGTAATAGCACTGAGCACAATTTCTGAGCCCACCGTGCTAAGCCATGCGCTCCCCCACGTCAGCCCCTGCTCCTAGCACTCTGGTGCAAAGTGGTAAAGCTCGACGTGTGCCCTCTGGTGAGAGGCAGCGAAGGCTGGCGCAAGTGGCGCAAGTGCCACGATGCTCTGTAGTCACGGCACAGAGGCATGTGGCAGACGTGATGATCAGTCTCATCAGGAGTACAAGACTCTGGTTCTGTCTTATTGCGGTATCCGCCATCATGCTATTTTGCAAACTTTCCTCGCGACTTTTAACTCCAGACATGGCCGACGTCCTCTGAAATGTAGACAATGTCGGCGATCAACAGGGCAGGGAATCAAACGGCCAGTGCGGTTGACAAGGAATCTTCGTGTCACCTTAGGTCAAAGTACAACCGCTGTATGAGCCAGTGGGACCAATTATAGAGTGCCAAAGCGCAGAATCATGGCATTCGTCGTCTCCCTTCACGTGTTTTTTTGTCCGCTAGATCAATCAAGTGCAGTGATTGTCCCGTGATTGGCACATTTAGTGTGTTTGTGGTTTTATCTGTTCGAGCCTAAGATTAAAACAAACAATATGGTAGCAGAGACGCTGTGAAATATACCGTATATATGTGCCAATTTCATTTCCTCCTACTTCTGTGAACATTAGGGTGAACCAATCATTTAATTTTTTCTTAATCTTAGTTGAAACTTGTTTGGCACAGGTGTGGCACAATTATTAGCAAAAATGGCATTTTGGCGCAAGATGTAGTTGACCTTTATTCGTGGCACAATTTGGTGCAAATGACGCAGCACTTTCATCACTGCAAGCTGCACATTCCATGCCTCCAGACTTTATTCAAAGTAATAAACTTCAATTTCTTTCTGACGCCTTCTTTATTACCGCACATCAAGACACTTCTTTGTCTTCCTTATTCTCCGCCTGCTTTTCTCTTAGAATGAAAGGACGGTCATCAAAACTATTATTGTGTGGCGCAAGGTGCTTATGTTGTGCACTAACCTAAATGGTAAAATTTTAGGCCTTTCAATGCCCTTTTAAAGTAAAATACGTCGCTGTCGTGTTTGTGCTAAAGGTGTCGCAGAACGTGATCCCAAGGGGACCCTTGATATTTTTGGAATTAGGAAACTGTCCAGGGCAAATATGCAGGAAAGCTAAAGGGCTCTCCACACTAATCGCTCCAACTTGTGTTGTTAGGAATGATTTTTGTCGAAGAGGATAGCGGGCATTCGCTTGCATTCTTAGAAGAAACTCGTGTTGAAGAGAAGGTACAACTAAAACCCAGGAGAGCATTTGCAATTTAATGGTGGGGTGTCTCCCACAGAGACGTCTACCATCAATTCGGCACGCGTTGTGTTGTTGCGTGATGAGGAGAAAATCAAGCGGAAAGGCGGAGATGCTTGCAGACGATCAATGCTGCAGCAAGCTCCTCACAGCTTGCATTGCAATTGTACACGGCCAATAAATTACATGGACCCAACCAAGCCGTTAGAAACTCCATATAATATAGGCTCTTGACGTGGGCCTTTGGGCACGACCCACTGCCCCTTCTGCTGGCTGTCAATCAACGCCCCTTAACTGCTGTCCTTCCCAAAAATTTAAAAAGAAAAAGAGACGATGGCCTGGCGTGTCTGATGACCTGTTGACGTCCCTTAAGAATCGTGCTGTTCCGTGCCCAACAAGCAGTTGATGTCCTCGCCGAAATCGTATGTGCGAGCCTAAGTGAAAATAACTTCTAAAAATAAAACATGTTTTTAGAGCGCTGCTCTTAGGCCCGTGTTCTCGTGTTTTGCGCCGTCCCCATCGGCGTAACCATGCATGTTGCATTATGGGACGTCGCAGACCTATACAGCAATTCAATTCCCTGCTAAATTTAGCGAAGAAACTGAATTGGTGTCTAGGTTTGTGAAGTCCCATAATGCAACATTGCACATTCAGTTTCCCCGCTAAATTTAGCAGTAAAACTGAGGTCACATTACCTCAACACCAATTCAGTTTTCCCGCTAAATTTACCGGGGAAAATGACGTCACATCTTAGTTGAAAATTCCCATTAAGTTCCAACTGGAATTCACCCAATGGTGCCAATGGGGTTTTTGAACAACCAAGTGGTCACTGCCAATGGGAACCAAAGAGAACCAATGGGAACCATTTACAACCCATTCAGGCTCCAACTGGAAAAATAATTCCAATCAACCGATCTGACTAAACGTTGGGCGCATGCGTAATGCCACCATAACTTGAGTTCACTGAAGGCAGACAGCAGTGCACAAGAGGGTTCGGGTCGTGCTCTACACGCGCAGAGCTCGAGCGAGGTAGTCACATGTGCAGAAAGACTAAAGTGCCCTCCATACATCGCGGCAGCGGTAGCATAGTCAAACTGGCTGGTGAGATCGGTCTATTTGGTGAAACCCATTGACCAGTGTGCTTCCAGTTGAAAACCACAAAAATCAATTGGTTCCAGTTAAAACCAGTTGGAACTCTAATTAGATTTAATGGGAATTTTCAGCTGGGATGGCTTGGTGTTGAGGCCATGCGACGTCAATTTTCCTGCTAAATCTAGCGGAGAAACTGAATTTATTCATAGGTGACGTGGCACAAAGTCATGTGACGTTATTTTCCCCACTAAATTTTGCGGGGGAAATGACGAGGAGCGGAGGAGGAGGAGGAGGAGGTGAGGGTCGTCCATACCCACTCTTCCTCCCCCCCTCCCTCCACCTCCTCCTCAATGCTCTCCCCTCCCTCCTCCTCCGTACCCTCCCATCACGGTATATCGCAAAATCAAAATACCTCAAGAGCTGCGCTCGAATTTCGCATTCAAGAGATTTGTAAATATCTTTCAATTTGTTTTTGTCGCACACACCACAAATCACGTTTAGTGAGGACAGCCCGTAATACAACTTGCCGCTCTGGGGATGCAGACAATGTGGTAGGCGCAGTGCCTCTGGCGCTGTTTGTCCAGGCTGACGTGGTCCGCTATCAGCTTGACGTTGGGCACCGTGGCACGCACCAGGTAGACGCACCTGTAAGAGACGACCTCAAGACCGTGCCTGTACCGGAGGGAGACAGCAGGTCCACTCACCGTCCGCTGGGGCAGGTAGGTCCTCTGGCCTCCAGCTTGTAGATCTTGTCCACGCCACCCTGGCTCTGCGGGGAGAGGGCACCTCAAGTATGGTGCCTAGAGCATGTTTCCAACCAGTGTAACTGGCGCGTCCTCAAATAATGTCCCTCGATTTCTACCTCGTGATGTCGTGGAAGTGTCACGCCATTGCTTGTCGTGATCCTGGCAGAGACACGGAAGCGGAGGTGTGGTGCTTGGAATGCGTCCCCGACAGGAGTGTTTACCGTGTCTACTGCGTCCTAAAAAGTGGTCCCTCAATGATGTCTTAATAGCGTCACGTTGTTGCCCAATGTGATCTTGGCAGTGGCACACCAGCAGTGGTGGATGCAGCAGATGGTCCTTCTGCTGTGGGTCCCTCTCTAGCTTGACGGTCCACAAAAGCTTCAGCAGCCAGGGACTGGGACGCCGCGACGACGGCAACAGTCGCATTCACTCATACTTTATGAACGGTAAAATTTCGATTCAAATCAAATTCAAATTGAACGGTGCCGCATAGTGGCCAAAACGTTGAACGTTGAATCGAATATGAGTAGTACCAAACATTTTACTCTAAATGTTCACAAAAAGCTGCATGGCTGAGAAAAAAAAACCAGAAAATCCTCATGCGGAACGAAGAAAGCTAGCACGAATAAACACGGCGTTAAAGGGGTTAGGACACACCAATTATAAGGTATGAGATAACCGTACTGCTAGGACCGATTGTATGTTTATATTTTTCTGCTAAATTTGTATTGAAAACGACACAATAGTTTCGTGGATAATTGACCTAGGTATGAGCGAGACACTCAGATCCACCCCATTTGGGAAGGCCACCGTGTTTGCCGTATCGGTCACGTCATTCACTCAACACGCGGTGGCCCCTTGCACGCAGGTTTGGCTATCTAGGCGTCTCAAGCTTCAGCTTCTGCGTTTCGAGCGTGCAGTTTGCGACGATTACGTCTACAGCGTCAAAGTAGAAGTTTGGGCTAGTTGGTATTTCATGATTAAAGATTAAAACAGCGCAAGGACACGGACAAGAACAAGAAGGTAGACAAACAAGAACAAGAAGGTAGACAAACAAGACAAACAGCGCCTTGTTTGTCTACCTTCTTGTTCTTGTCCGTGTCCTTGCGCTGTTTTAATCTTTAATCTACAGCATCGCTTGCTTCGTCAGGGCCTTCGACACTGATCGCAGCACTGATGAGAGTGATTGTTATCGAGAGATGTTGGAAGTTGGTCATTTTGAATGCGACCTGCTGGCAATCAGTTCCAGTGACGACGAGATCGCCGTGGTCGCCGTCGTTCGCGACGATCTTGCACGTGCATGCAGGGTGAAGGGTCAAAAGGCCGGGGGTCAGAGCGAGAGTAGCAATGGAGTAGCCGTGTCGCGTGAGAGCTAGGTTTTGATTGTACTGTGACGAGACGAGCTTGGCTCAGCATGGGGGAGCCTAGCATGAGAGAGCATTCATGATCACATGGTTTATGGGCACCATGGTGTGATTAAGTTGGCCAGTGTTGCCTGGTTGACAGATGAATATCATCAAAATTCATAAATTGGGTATTTCATCTACTTAAGCTCTAAAAATCGCGAAACTTGTTTATATTAAGTAGCCTATGGGCAATCCATTTCAAGAATAATAAGTCCCATTTGATGTTCGTGTCCTAACCCCTTTAACCCCTAGCCGTTTTTAGTTTTTTGTGAATTTCTGACGCCCAACTGCCGAATTGTTGTCTTCAAAGCTAAAGTTGTTGCCTTCGATATCAGATTTCTAGCCACAAATGAAATAACAGCAAAGTTCAGGGAATATTCAAAGATGCCATCTGTTGGCACAGTCACAAACTAAGCCACGAGTGAGCCTGGTTTGTCCAGTTTGTCCAAAACGGTTGGGTGCGTGAACCGGGAAAAGCAGACGAGCTATACTCGTCCAAGACGGTTTGGGGACGGATCCACGTTGTTGAGCCAGGCTCGTCCAAAACGGTTAAGGGGTTAGAGACCACATTTTAACAATAAACTTAAGACACAGCGTACTGATGTGTCACTCATTCACATGTGGATATGCAGTGTGTTGGATGAATGGACACATATCGCTGAATTGTTTGAACTGGGTGATGTCTTGCACCAAACCCTAGCACCTCAATTGACACCACAGAGAGTGACAGGTTAGAGGAAGACTTAGGTTCAATTATCGCTGCCATTTTGATAATCACTTGTCACATTATCAATTAACTACCAAGAATAGGCTCATAGTGCACAGAGCTGGCTGCAGGCGACGAAACATATTCAATTATAAATAGAGACAGATGTGGTTTACAGGTTTCCGTTAAGCGCATCCAAGAAGCTGGGAGCACGAGTTTTTTGTTTGAGGAACACCAGAAACAACGACCTTATGTCAAAATGGTTTGCTAATCAACGCTTCAGAGTGCAAGCTTCATTTTGACCGAACATAGGCATGTGAAGTCTATTTCACCACATGAAAACGTTCCCCAATAATCCCGAAAATTCGCCAGTGGTATTGAATTATAAAAAAAAAAAAAATCAAATAGCAGGAATTTGAAATAAGATCAGAATTATTCGGACCATCATTATTCGATTCGAATTTGAAACTCGAGCATTAGCATACCCCTAGCCGAAACTTCTACGACCAACCTTCAGGACTGCAACGTCCGATAGCATGACACGCCTGGCTCTCCTTGCCTGCTGCCACTTGGCAGCAGGTCGCTTTCGACGCACAGGCTATGGTCGCTTTCGACGCACAGGCGCTATAAGACGGTAAATACAACAGTCGTAGACGTGCCCCAGGCACATCCCCTGGAGTGACTAAATGACAAAGCCACATTCCTCTTCCTCTCACCACTAACTACCCATAGGCAGAGATGAGGTCACACGAACAAAACTGATCCAAAGTGCTTGCGGAGAACACGCTTTGCGGAGCACCTCGTTTCGAGCAAAAGACATTTTTTAGTTTTCACTCGTGAAACGTAAACTTTACATTGAGGACTCGATGAGCAGGGAGCTCCTTGAACCTTCGAACGTTATATGGCATGCAAATGCATTCTTCTTATAACGAGCGCCATTTTAAAATGGCGTGGACAAGCGGACAACAAATATACGGTGCGTGCGGGTGCACTACTGAGAAAGAGTTATTGTCTTCCCGATGCCACACCAACATAAACCAAAGTCGCGCTTTTTTGCATGTCCCACAAAAGCTATGGTCGCTTTCTGCAACACTTGGATAGAAAAGGGGAGGCCATTGCAAGACTCTGCTCCCCAAGGAAAGCATAAACAGTTACTCTAGGGGGACCCTGTTGCTTGCTGGCCCCGACGCTCCAACGAAGAGCCTTACCTTGATGCGCCCCACGCTCGCAACCTGGTCCATCGGGTGGATGAGGTCCGGTTCAATGACCAAGTCCTTCGCTCCATCAATCTGCACACCACGACGAAAAACAATGAATCCTGCGTTGGGTATTTGCGGCCCTCCACGCAAGACCTCACTTGCCGGAGGACAAGCTAAGCTCCAGTCACTTGTAAACCACTGCAGCAGGATTTATGCGCTTGTCGGACCAATCAACGACCTCCCTCTAATTACCTGACTCCAGTCCCTGTGTGCAGGTACGGGGCGAGAGCGTGATGATGTGGCAAAAGATAGATGTAAGACCGATCTAGCAAACCCATAGCTTCCACTCCCCTCTCGGCTTCTGGGTTTTCGCGTAACTGCACTCCCCTGCCCTCCGGCAATAAAGGGCACTTACGAGAAAATAGACATAAGCTCTCTGTGGCAGGCTAAAATTATGTGCAGGGTAGATATTTATCGTTCCCTCTTGTGGGAATTATGCAAGCAAGCCACACACATTCACAGGGCAAGACCCGAGGGACCTGATGCCAAGGAGGACCTGCCCCACTAAGTGGCACTGGCTACAAGCAAAGCAGTCGTTGGACCGCTTTATCATAATAGCAATTTTCGGATACCCACGTATGCAAAGTGATAATGTCAAAAAATGGTCCGACAAGCTACTAGTCCAAACAGGGGCTACACTGTGGCTAGGATCTGGTAGTCGTCTCAGTTCTGATCACTCCGCAACTTTGTTTGAGGCTTGTAAGCTTTACAAAGAAGAGACTCGAGCAGCACTGCTTAACATATAGACAAAGTTCACATTCAGAGGATATTATAAAAAGCTGGGCCAGGTACTGCAATAGAAAAGGGCTCCATGGCGTCCTCAGGCTGCTAGCATTCCTAGCAATTGGAACCAATTGGTTACAATAAGCCAGTTGGAATTCCAATTGGATCTAATGGAAATCTCTAGCCGGGACTGGTTTCCGAGGGAAGGAAAGTGAACCGTAAATTGCAATAAATAATATCACCATCACTATCAAAGCTGAAAGTCTCATGACATTACAAAGGCAATTAATCTCGGAAACAAACAAAAGCCCGTGGAAATCAGAAAAGATAAATCTATCTACAAGCCCCGCACCCCTCCCCTGTTGCACAACAATAGAACGCTGTTATTGTCATGCCAATAGCAACAACTACCTCTGAGTGCACCAATGCTTCGAGCATGCTGTAATATATATAGGTGCAGACATCGCGCGCATCACAGCTGGCTAACAGATGAAGTTCTCTCCTTGCCTTAGTTGCAGGGAACGCCACCACCAGATGGCTCCTCGATATGCAGTTAATGGCAGCCTGTGATGGGCCCAGTCTCCAACACTTCTCTATGGGAGACGTGCTTTTTTTAAAGTCATTTCCAGGGTGTGTTACGTCATGCAGGACTTGACACTCGCACTACGCTTGTTGCTTAGACACTGCTTTGCCATTGACCCTACTTGTGTGTCTCAACGGCGTTCGCCGGGCTGTGTGTACAGTATTTTCTGGTGTATAAGTCAAGGTTTTTTCAAACAATTTTCTTGGTGCATCATATACACATTTTTTTTCCATTCACGTTGCGACGCCATTTTTTTATGCACCACGCGCCATCTTTCGTAGAGCACCGTAACTATGTGCAATAGGTGGTGTTGCCCCCTTCAAGAGGAACTGCTGTCGCCGCTTTCTCCTACACTTTTCATAACTTACTCGAAAAGCGAGAAATTTTATGGTTCCCCCGAAGCAGCTCAATCTGGATAGGCAAGATAGTGAGAATAAAGCTTTTACAGCATGTCATAGACGTTGCCTAATTCAGCCATGGTTCCGTATTCTTTTGCTTCAGTCCAGTAACACTGAAAGTGAAAGGTAAGTGGGCTGGTATACACGCATCGCACAATATTTTCTCGAGTCTATCTTAGTTTCCGTTTGATGAGCAGTTTTTTTCTGCCATGCTCTAGCCGTGTTGCTACATGTAAAAGAAAAAATTGTGCCCAGGCAATCTTTTAGAGGTATTGAAAAAGAGTATGTCAGGGTTTATCTTTCTGCCTGCGCATCGATGCTCGCATCTTTTTCGGGACTTCGCCTGGACTAGGCCTAGTGGTCTAAAGATTGGTTCACGAGTGTCTAGCTCAATAACTTTCATTTGCTCGGCATGTGTTCGCTCAAATAAAGCCGACTACCTTTTCATTTTGCATCTTTTACGTCCTTTTGCTGCAAAACACTCGATTGCCCCCGCCAGAGAGTGCCATGCTATGGGCATTTGCACAACAAACGGTAAGAGCGAGCTAGCCGATTGTGCGAAACTCAGGTTTCGCAATACCAATGCACATAAACTAAAATACTCATTGCGTGAACCATGCAAAGAGGTGCGACTTACACAAGGGTGTGACTTATACAAAAGTGTGACTTATATACCAAATTTTCCACGAAAACGGCTCAATATACGGATGAGCGACTTATCGTCCGGAAAATATGGTACTCCCCTACATGGCTTGCACCCGGCGGGGAACTTTCGCGGTCTCTCGCAGGTCACATGTTAGGGACAGGCACATCCACTACGCAGGCGCTGCGAGCGGGCGTTCGCCGTGCGCGCGCCTCGCTTTGTCTGTTGCAGTTGGTGGCAGCGCTCTAAGAGTTTAGGTTGTTTTCTCTCGTCAAACTGTCAGTCGGCGCTCGCCCGGTGGCGACGTTTGCGCTGCGAGCCCACGGATATTGACGCGCCCATCGTTTGACCTCGATGGATACCCACTGATTTCGGCTTTGAATCTTCATAGAGTGTGAAGCTGCCGACCCATTGCACTTTGGCTCGGCATTTAACGCTGGTGTGCTTGGTGGCAATACTTGGACAACTCGGATACCGCTTGCTTGCCGGAACTTCCCGATGCACTTAACACTGGATACTGTGCTTGTGCAAGCTGTGTGTGTGTTCCGTGCACCGTGTTTGGTGGCGACGCCTGGACGATCGTGTGCGCCGCTGGAATTACCGCTGCGCTGACCACTGGACTCTACAAAAGTATTTCGCGCGCTGCCCTTACCCATTACAAGCGAGAGATCGTCACGATTTCAGACCTAGTCCACCTGAGTCTAAAACTGCGACATTCTCTCGGTTGTAACGGCTAAGGGCGTCGCGCGAAATATTTTTGTAGAGTCCAATGGTGAGCACAGCGGGAATTCCGGCGATGCACCGCCTGGGTCTGAAATTGGGGCAACACCACTGAAACCAGCCGGTTCCGCCTGGATCTAAAATTGGGGCACCAGTTTGTACCCTGTCTGGAACTGCTCTCCTGAGCCAATAAAGATTACGATTACGATTACGATTTCCAGGCTGGATACAAACTGGTGCCCCAATTTTGGGTAAAGGCGGACCCGGCATATCTCATTCCGGCCTCAGCGTCATTCTGACATTTTTGTCATTCTGACATTTTCGTACGGGATAAACACGAGGGCCTCAGCGCTGCCGGCAGGCATAGAGTATACAGGAGGCATTGGCGTCGGCGTCTGTCGTTGAAAATTGCAGGACTGTTTGTCTAACTTTTCACACGAAAGAAGCTAGGTCTTGAAATTTCACAAGGTGAAATGAACCAGTAAAATACACCTCCGGTGAAAATTTGAGATTGCTACGGGCGGGCGCCGATTTTTCCGGCTGATTTTAGAGCGAGTCCCTGTATTCATAATAGCCCACATACACAGCGCTCTCGCGCGACACTCCAACAGGTAACCTGGCTACCTGTGGTCGAGATCCCGACATTTTCAATGGCAACTGACAACGCGTATCGGCAGAACCGTACTCACGGACTTGAGCGTGTTGATGAGGAGTTCGCCGCTGGCCGCCTTCAAAAGTTCCTGAAGCACAGCGCCGGGATCGGAGCCGTACCTTGCCATTTGGCCGGGCTAGCGCGCACCTGACGCTAAATTAAAATTTATTTTCTGCCATTAAATTTTTACCGAGAGACCCGAACCGGAAAAATGTTAAAAAGAATGATTATAAGATGAACACTGAGCAAGAACGCGAACTGCTCAAACATATGCGACTACTACTTGGCTTGGTTCGGCTGGTTCGGCTTAGTACTTACTTCAGACGCTCCATAAGATATTTTGACTTTTCGTGTTCGCTCTTGGCAATAATTTTGAAAAAATAAAACTAGAAAAAAACATTTTTTGTTATGTTATTGTTTTGAATAAAATGACTAAATAAATTTATACACATTGTCACCTGTTAATATATATATAAAAAATATCACCTTTAGATAATCGAAGCGAGAAACAATCCAATCCAAAAGTCATTCGAGTCGTCGTTCGTTGTCTCGCTTGTCTCGTCCGTCGTTTTTTGCGTGTGCATAATTTTGCCGAGTTTGCTGTGCCGTCCCAAGTTCCTTGTCCACAAACCTGGCCGCCTGGCCCGCGTACCCATGGCACGTTTATTAAGCCCACTGGCCGTTCTATCAGGGAAGAGGTAATCGTGGTGAGCGTAGTTCATCAGTAGGGGCTACCATCTCGGCACCGGCCGCCGGACGGCTAGTGCGGAACAGTGCGGAACCCTGCACCAATATGGCAGAGTTTCTGCTGGAGCGGGAACTGCCCAATCTGAAAGTGGCCGTGGACAACGACGATTGCATGGACATGGACGAAAGCAGGACGGGGCGCGACTCACCACCGGCAGAGCAGCAGCAGACCGAGGTGGCCGCCAAGGACGCCGCCGGCGACGTGAGTTCTCCTCTTGAGCGATCGACACGGGGGTTCCGTAGCGCTCGGTGTCGATAGTCGGAACAAAATTCTCCCAAATAGCTCGTGCCGCTTTCGGGGGGTGAAAACGCTAGTCAATCAATCTAGACTAAGTGTTAAAAATTTGCTATACGGAGTACGTAGCGCCGGATCCCTGAAAGTACCTCGTCTTAGAGCAAACTATGGGCTTCAAATTAAACTTTTTAAAAGACCAACATGCTTGTTTTGATGCGCTTAATAAGAAAACATTACGCAAAATTTTCACCTCTAACTTTTAAAATTTCCTCCTGCATAGCACTGCCTGTTTCTTTCCTTCTTCAAAATGTTGTGTTTACTTTTCGTGCCTGCCGACCTGCCATTAGGGAGCAGGGGCTTCGTCAAGCTGCACCTTTTGCAGCTTTCTTTTTTTTTTTTTTTTCCTGTTTCCGTCATCCATATGTATGATGGGAGTAAATAAATGAATTGAATTGAATCTTTTATTTGCACAAAAGAAAAGGCGGCAACGCAGGAGGCGTGCTTGGCTAGCAGATAGGTCTATAACCCGTTTGTAGGGGCGCCTACTGAAGTTTGCGGCAGGCTAAGAGTAAAGTGAAAGCACCTCCTACTTCTCTCCCCTTTCGAAAAGTGAACGCTGGACAGGAGCAACACGACCTCCTCTCCAGCGTTTGCTGTGCTAAAGTGGAAAGAGGTGGGAGGAGCTTCCATTTGAGTATTAACTTGCCACTGACTATTGCCAGCCTCCTGAGCACACAAAAAATAAAATTAAATAAAGAAGGATAAAGAAATGAAAAACAAATAAATTTACAAACAAAAGGAATGATGTGGCTATTCGCCTCGAGATCGACCTAGAGGTGGCGCTACGGTCGCGCTATCATCATCATCAAAGCGGGGATAGGAGAACGGCCGCCCCATAGGCTCTCCACGTCGGCGCGCGAGACGGCGTAGATTCTTCCGTTTATTTTGTCGCATACTATCGGTGGGAAAACAATTCTAGCGGAAAAAGATGCAGTACTGTTCGGTGCTTCAGTGAAGATCGAATCGTGTTACCAGCGTGCGGCCCAAATTTATATAATCGCTTCTGTGGGTGCGTCGTCTGCTCTAGGCAGACTTTGGAGAGCATGGATCACCACGACTGATGCCTGTCTCCGGCTGAACTGGAATATTTATGTTAAATATTTGTTTCTTTTAAAATGGATGTATCGGTTCATCAACGTGGAAATAAAAAAAAATAAAAATAAAGTCCGACCCAGTTAACATAATACTGGTACTGTGGGCTGTGAAATCGCAGCTTCTATGCTTTTTTTAACGTCAAGCTTTTGCAGTAATATAAATATTCAGAATGAAGATAAGCTAGCGTTGTATTAGAAATTACCATGCTATTGAGTTCCTCTGCCCTTTTACTGTGCCATAGTGTGGGTAAATTTTTTGGAGTCTAAACAAATCTACTGCGTTGCGATGAGGAGTGAGTGCCTCTTCTAGTTAAAATCTGCAAACTGCACGGTTGGCAGGACAACTGAAACAAGTGAAACAAACTGTTCTAATATATCTGCCGTGACTGTAATAAACGAGTGTAACCGAGCAACGCAACAATGTTCCTGCTATTAAATGCTTTTCTCGGTAGTGTGGGTTCACCCCCTTCAATTTTCTTGGTGAGGGCCGCGGATGTCAAGAGGCTAATACTATACATTTCTGGCTAAATAATCTTGTATTCAAACACAGTAGACTCTGCAACCCCAACAAACGACGCGCACCACGACACAGACAGCATCGGCCGCAGTGATACTCTTTTACTGATGAGGGCTAGCGACCTTCACGAGACTTTCCGATCTCCCTCCGCCCTCACCTAACCTATATCGGGACTGGGCAGTTCATCGATTAACTTTTAGATTATTCAAGTAATGCTTTAATTTTAATTTTTTTTTTTTTTTGCCATTCAATTGGAGTCTAGTACTGGAGAAAGTCAGCAAGCAGTAAAATATGCCGGCTTCAATATTTTTGACGTCTTTATTTCTTTTGTGACACTAGCTTGCACGGTAAACCACTTCAGCGTGCTTGTCATTTTGCCGAGGGTGATTATACTGTTTAAATAATAACTTAAGAAATACTTTATTTTAAAAGGCTTCCCGTGATCATATTTATGTAGGACTCACAGCGTGAAGTCTAGAATGGGAATGCAATATGCCATTTGTGACATAGTAAAACCAGTACAAAATATGTAGTTTTAACGTCTTTCACGCAATATGACCGGGAAAAAATCAACGTACGGATTAATTGATTAGTCTATTTTAAGGATAGCGATTAGTCGGGTTAATTTTCTAATCAAACCACAAACCCACTCAACATTCAATGCTTTATGAAAGCCACGGTTTGTGCGAGATAACAAAAATACGTGGGACCAGCGATTGTATAAAAAACAACACACTAAGATTATGGAAGCTTCCGACTTAATAATAATCGCTTTGCTGAATTTCTACGCATGGCAAACGATACAACACAACCTTTAGTAAGAAGAAACGGCAACAAAAACATAAAGAATTTAATAAGGAATATCAAGCTCAGCCGGAAACGGGCTTGCGTCGTCGAGGTCCATGCTTCTGAGCGTGCGCCCGTAGCAGACGACGCACGGCGGTATCCCCGCTTTCGCGCGTTTCCAATTTCGGCCGCACAGTGGCGGCACGGTTCGATCTCGAGGCGAATAGGTGCAGAAGAGCATGCGATATACTTCTGATGAAACTGCCAAGGTCGTCTGTGGTCAGACGCAAAGGCGGGCACATGCGCCTAGAGAGAGAAACGCAAGTGCCCACAGCTTATGAAAAGAGGGAGGCCTCGTGTCGTCGAGTCCGAGCACGGAGGGCTAATGACAGTCTTGGGTAAGTTACTTTTAAAAAGAAATTCGTTACAGTTAGTTACCTTCAGAAAAATGTAGCGAAGTTATTGTTACAGTTACCGCATCAAAAGAGTAACTCGTTACAGTTAGTTACTTTTAAAAAGTAACGACGTTACTTTTCAGTTACTTTTCTATAACACGAAAAATTTAGGAAATACTTGAAAACGCCCCTCATCAAGTTTTATTGAATAAAAGTAAAAAAAGTATGCTTTTTACTTTATATTGTATCATAGCAGCAGTTGCTTCTCGAAATTAGTGACTGAAAGTTTCCCTTGTTTGATGGCGAACATGTCCCTGCCCTTGCTGAACGGACCCCGCGCAACCAGAGCAACGAGCAAACCTTGGGCAAACAGCAGTAAATTTTGCCTCGACTGTTGACATCCTGTCGGAGTGGCGCAAATCAAAATACGAAACATGCGCAGTGCGGAGCAGTGGCGCTAATCAAAATACAAAACATTCGCAGTGCCCTTCGTTTGTTTTATTGTTTCACGGTTGTTTCACCCGATTAAAAAGTGTTTGCGCAGAAAAAAGAACAACCGAAGTATAGATAGTGCTTCAAAATACTAAGATGTAAATGTTTAGTCATAAAGTACACGTGCGTGCATAAAGATAACTAGATTTTTTTTTTTTTTTTTTTTATCCCATTTACACGTGGCTATATTCGGGTTGTGACTCATGAGAAAGAACGTATTCACAAGTTTGTGCATGGCCAACTTTACACTCGAAATGTCGGAACAGAATTTGGAAACTGCAAGAATAGCTAGATTGTACTCATTCAATCCTATGTTATTCATAAAATAAACTGGAAAGTGACGACCAAAGTAATGTCGTTACTTTCATCGTCACCTCAGAAAGAAGTAATAGAACTACAGTTACAAGTTACATTTTTAAAAAGCAACTCATTACAGTTACAAGTTACCAAAAAGTAACGAAGTTACAGTAACGCGTTACTATTCAAGGCTGGCTAATGGGAGACCCACGCGACTCGAGATCCGTAAAACCGAGGATAGGTACGATCCAGCCACAGGGGGCCCGGTGGCAGCGGCTAGGTGGCAAATTCGTGCCACCATGCAACAATGGCTCAGCCAATGCCTACCGAAAGACTGCAGGCGTGCATCGCAGTCCGAGGGTGGATCGCAGCGTGCCAGCATCCGTGCAACGCCGGTAGGCTCGTTTGTGGGATGGTCGTAAATTAATTTACGCATTTTTTTAGACAACGGGAAGTCGGCCTCAATGAGCGTCTGGCATCTCTGCAGTAAATTAGAAATTTGAGCGACGCCACGCACGCCGGTACAACGCTCTTTTCAGGTCGGAGTGGGCAGGGGTCGAGCCCAGGATCCCCAGGTTCTGCAGTGCGAGCTTTCGCTATGCGTGCTCCAAGCTGTGGTGCGCTAACATGCCCGGCCACCAATCCCAGAGGACAGCGGCAACCGGCGTCAGAAGAGCCGGTCGGTGGCCATCGCTGGCCAGTGGCCGGCACGGCAAAAGAAGTATAGGCAGTTTATGCACTCACTCGACCGACACATACGCAGTTTCCTCCCAGGCCGTCACGTATTCGTATATGCTGGAAAGCTGACTTGCTACTCAAACGTTTTTTCTCTCAACTTCGTGACGGCAATAGTATTTATTTTGCTTCATCGTTCGCATTGCTGCTCGGCCTGTCAGTGACCAGGAAAAGGTGTTGCGCCCGTGTGAGTCGCATACCCCCAGTGACATCAGGGCAGCACTAAGGGCTCATTCACACTGGAAGCGGATCCGCGTTCGCAAAGCGGTTGCGAACGCGGTTGTATAAGGATTCAGTACAATTGCACGCGCACACGATGACATCAAATGCGCGTGCAATTGCACTGGATCTTTATACAACCGCTTTCGCAACCGCTTCGTGAACGCGGATCCGCTTCCTGTGTGAATGGGGGGTAAGGCAAGTTGGGGGAAAAAACGTGCTCCCACACTATGTACTATCGGGTACAAGTGAAACGCAAACGGAGGAGCACATAGCCATCAATACGTGCTGCGCTACCTAGAGGCCTTTGAAACTGAACTGCAAAGTGGAGAGGGGGCTGCGAGGGTGTGCTCATCGGAGTGAGCACGCACCCTCGTAGCTCCCCTCTCCACCAAGTTTTATCAGTTCTTAGGGGCATCTAGGTAGCACAGCATGTGTTCAAGACCATGCACTCTGCTCGTTTTATTCATTCCTCGTGGTACAAAAATACATGGATGCAAACAAGGAAAGCCTCGCCGGTAGTGGTTCTTGATTGCCTCCCACTCTTCTGCAAATAACCCGAGGTTAGGAAGGATCACATCTGTGGTCACCACTTGTCCTGAAAGGGTGCAGCAGATGCTGGTCTTTGCCGGGAGGAGCCTGCTCTTGCTTCCAAAGCTAGGCTCTTAGGTGATGCAGCCCGTCTCGCTCTGCCGCCGCTATCGTGTTTGTGCTTTGGCTATCAAAGACTGCGCAGTGCCACCAGAAATCCACAAAACGAATATACGGGTGCGACTCGAAGTCTGTCGAAACCATCGTTGCAGTAAAGTTTTACGCCTTCTAGCTTCTACTAGTTTGCGAATCACAAAACCAGTTGACACGGCAGGTTTGAATGTGATCAAACCTCTCGATCTTTAAACACCTGATTTGAGCAAAGCCCGCAGTTTCTTCGGAGTTCATCGCAAAGCGTCTCCTTCCAGGGGTATGAAACGCTCGAGCGACTCGGTTGGGACAGGGTCTTTAACCTTGGTCTTGCATTACCTCGACAGGAGATGGCCGCCGAAGACGCGGATGATCCGGAAGACGACCCTGCCTTTGCAGCCCAGCTGCAAGAACTCTACCAGAGTCTCAAGGTGGATGCCAAGCGTCCGGCAGGTGTGCTTAATGCTGTGCTCATTTACAGTCTTTTCCCACCCCTGACTGTCTCAAACGCAACTGTAAGGAGGCTTACAGCATGTGCCTTTGGGATTGATGGATGGATGCTTACGACCAAACTCCTTAAATTGGGTGGCAGCTTGCACCATCTAGCCGGTGTTTTAGGCAGCTGCTTGATTGGGAAAAAGCAATGCAACTACCCCTTTTTCTGACCTTTTTATCGTGGCAGCTTTCTGCTTTCCTCCCGACATTGCCATTTCTGTGCAAGCTACTCTCATTTGGCATGGTACAACATAGCTTGTGGCTGCAAGGTAAAACAACGGCTTTTTTTTCTCATTCTTGGCTGCTTATTGCACGTGCTCCTTTGCTCAAGCTAGTATGTGTAAAAGCGAGGTGTTGTCAAATAAGAGGCATAAGTCGTTCCTCTAGGTTTTTGAATGTAAATGTGCACGACGTGCACCCAAACAGAGAAGATCGATGAACAAGTTTGGCATGTTGCTGCTCGTTTTACGACATATATACATGCAATATAAATAATAGTCTGATGTCTTGCGATCTGGTTAACATAGACTGACTCACGGCATGCATTGAGCAGACGGATGTAGTGATTCGGAGCTTTTTTTCGCTCGTGCATGCCGAAAATAATAATGGACAGCAACTGCCGATTTACAAAAAGATACTACGTGATAATTTACAATTTATGCACAAAAAATTAATTGAAACAGCACACGCAAGAGATTCGACCACGGGCATTGCCGGATGCATCACTGGGTGCTCAGTAAGCAGTTATGGCTTGGACTAGAATTATATACTGTTGCGGCTGTAAAATAATAAATATTAGAGTGTTTAGTTGGTTTGTTATATCTTCAAATGATATGCAATCGGGCTTAGAGAAACAAAGCCATTTAGTTGTAAAAAGGGCAGGCAAAATTTTTTTTGTATTTCTTAATACCAGGTAAATCGAAGCAAAAGAAAGCAGGAACATAAAGCATCTTTATTACGAAGCACCGGAATCATACAAATGCTATGCCGGCCTTTTAGGGTGCAATACTAAAACATAGAGATAAAGCGCCGTTTACACTCTTGCGACCGAGTGAGACCGAGAGAGACCAGACCGGTTTTTAAGCCTCTTGTGATCTCTTAGGACCAGCTCTGCTGCAGTGCACCCGGTCCTAAGAAGTCGCAAGAGGATTAAAAACCGGTCTGGTCTCTCTCGGTCTTACTCAGTCGCAAGAGTGCGAACAACGCTTTATAGTTTAGTAGGCAGCTAATGCATCCGTCGGAAGACATTAGAAGGGGGGGGGGTGAGGGAGGGGGAGGAGAGAGGTAGGAAGGCTGACCGCTAAAGTCTATGCAGTTATGCTGAAGAAAGAATTGCTGCTGGTGAACGAGAAAATGTACAATGTCCTTACCGACCAAGGTTGCCCCGATCACGCGGAATGCCTGAGCAGAGCAGAAGTCGCACACTCAAGTAACGGGGGCTTTGTATTGTTCACTCCGTATTGCGTGGGATTGTAGTGGCCTGTTCTGGTTGCGGGGTTTACAGTGCCTGGACGCGTCTTCGACTGTTGCGTCTGGCATCTTATTCCACCCATCGGAAGTGGTCCCGAAGGTGCAACGAACGACGTTGCAGAAGACGGCAAAAAGCATGAGCAAACATGAGTGTCGCTGTCATTGCCACGTCGCAACTCCCGACTGCTCAAGCTTTTGTGGACTGTCAAGCCGAAGAGCGACCTGTGGCAGAAGAGGCGTCTGCCACTTACACCTTTGACGTTGTGACACCGCCAGGTTCCCAGCCGTCCCAATAACATCTATGGCGTCATCGGACGGTAGTCGAGGGGACCACTTTTTAGGACGCGGTAATCACACCAGGAGACGCGTTCCAGGCATCAGGGGTACGGGTTGATTAACTGGGGTGGAGAGCATTGATCAGAAGGTGAGGGTGTGGACAGAGAAGAGAACTGTGATCAATGGAGAATGTTGCAGACAAACCTTGAAGGTTGGGGCCCGTCTGTTGTTTGGTCCAAGTGGTGTTTCGGGGCGGATTTGAAGTGCCGTCTTCCTCGGTTTTTCACCGGCCAAGATTGGGGCTCTTGTAGGAAGAATGTTGAGGGCCTGTGCGCACAAATAGTGGTTTCCTTTATCCCCAAGTCATGCGTGGTATTTTGTAAATGGCTTTATTTTCGCGGGCTTACTTCCGCGAATTTTTCGGAGTGTTGGTTTGGGGTAATATTTTGCGGCCACGACATTTCTTGATTGAGAGTGGTAGTATGCTGTCTATTCCTTACCATGGGGTAATATATTTGTGCAATACATTTTTTTAAATACTTTTCGAGTTGCAAAATTTGCAAAAATTAAGTCCTCGTGAATATTTTGGTGTTCACTAGCTAAAGGACATATGCTAAAGAAAAAAAAAAAAACAATTTTTTTAAACAACTTAAACGAAAAAAAAAGTAAAAAAATTAATTAGCGATGAAGGAAATAATTTTTAGAGCTATATTTAAGGTGCGAAACGAATTTGTAGTTGACGCCCACGGGAGTCCGTGGAAATATGGCCACTATAGCCATGTGACTGGCCGCTATAGTCATGTGGTGCTTGCACTCTTTCGGAAGCTTCCTATGTGCTCTAAAAGTTAACTTATTAATCTTTATTTTAAGTGCAACAAAAAAAGAACATGAATAAATAACTTTTAGAGCTCATAGAAAGCTCTCGAAAGAGCGCAAGCACCACGTAATAGACCTGTGCGCCGGTCAGAAATTGTCGGCGGCAGCGTGAAGAAGCGTGAGAAATTGACGACAGTGGTGCCTGCCATGCTCAGTGTGCGGCGGCGGCAAGGGGTTCTTGGGACTTCAGCAGCGGCACTGAACGGCCCCGGCATAACTTGCGGCGGTGCACAGGTCTACCACGTAACTAGTGGCAGCTCATGCGGACGGCAACTTAAAATTTGTTTCAGACCGTAAACATTCTTTTTTCATTTAGGCTGTTTAAAAAAAAGAAATTGCATCTGTCTTTTGAAAGACACATGCAAAGGGGAAAAATATTTTTTAAACAACCTGCCGTAGAATACCACACATCTGCCCATTCCCCATTAAGCGCCCATTACCAAATTTGTTAGATCTAAGAAAATATGCACAGTACATTTATACGTAAAATTGATGACCGGACAAGCGCCCATCCCCCATTTTTTAGGGATTATCTCTAAAGTTTGAGTGGGCGCTTGCCCGGTATTTTAAGGTAGATGGAAAAAAATTCATGAAAGAAATTTGCAATGCAGAAAAAGAAATAATAATTTACAGCTATTTTTTGCAGCGCGAAATGAATTTGTAGTTGCCGCCCGCGGGAGTCCGCGGAAAAGTGGCCGCTATGGTCACGTGACTGACCGCCATGGTCACGTGGTGCTTGCACTCCTTTGGGTGCTTGATGTGGGCTCTAGAAGTTAAATCTTCGTTTGAAGTGCAACAAAAAACAAAGATTAATAAGTAACTTTCAGAGACCAAAGGAAGCTCTTGAAAGAGTGCAAGCACCACGGGATAGACCTACCCCGAGGCATCTGTTTTCACTGCTGAGCTTCTAGGGCTGATATTAGCTGTCGAACAAATAATTAAACAAAAGTTTAGGAAATCCATAGTATTTTCAGACTCGCTTAGTTGCCTCCTTGCACTTGACTCAGCAACATCCTGGAACCACCCCCTCATTTCTCTACTCCGTGGTAAGATAATAAAGGCCCGCAAGCAAAATATTGTTATTCAGTTCTGCTGGGTACCCAGTCATATAGGAATACACAGCAATGAGGAGGCTGACCGAGCTGCAAGTACATGTATAAACACGTCAATTGAAACCCACGCCATTCCAGCGACTGACTATAGAACTACTCTGCGAAAGAAAATAAAACGTTCCTGGCAAGTGGAGTGGAGCTCTGACTGTTGCAATAAGCTCCATAGTGTTAAGCCTACTATGAGTGAATGGCGCAGTGCCAGACATCGGGAAAGGTTTTACGAAGTTATTCTGTGCCGGCTGCGAATAGGACACACACGCCTAACTCACGGGTACCTCTTAAAAAGCGAAGATCCTCCAGTGTGCGATTACTGCTTTGAAACTTTAAGTGTACTCCACATCCTTCTAGTATGTCCGCAATTTCATAATGAACGCTGCACCTACTTCCCAATCTTTTTTAGAGAGCATATTCCGTTCCACCTGGCCAGGGTGTCGAACCGGAACCGAACCGAACCGAAAACCGGAACAGAACCGTTATTTTTAGCCGAACCGGAACTGAACCGAACCGAAATCTTCGCCGCCATCTTGGAACTGAACCGGAACGGAACCGGAAAAAAATATAACGGTAACCGGTTCAAAACGGTTCACGGTAATTTTTTTTGTTAGTATTACAAATTTATTATTTGGGAATAAAAATTGGCACGTTAATTCCTCTAAGTGTTGATCAAATCGTCATATACAGAATTCCAATGTATAATAAATCCTGGTTTTTTGCGGCGCTTTCTTATCGGCACTATGAATAGCCATGTGTCACATCGTCACGTGACGTCATAATGTCAAGACATGCTGTCAAGTAATGTCACATCGTCACGTGACGTCATAATGTCAAGACATGCTGTCAAGTAATGTCACATCACGTGACCCCGTGACGTCACTTGACTCACCGCGTAAAGTCGATTCAAATTGAGGACGTCGCTAGATCTATTAACGTTGTTGATACCGTGACGTCACATGACATCACAACCTCGCACTGAGAGTCTCATGACACCATGATGTACCCGATTGTCATGATCCCGAGTCAAATGCTCTGGTTCATGACAACCAGTATCGCCAAAGATTCGGGTAACGGCTCGTGTTCAACTCAAAGATTATGATGGACCCGAGTCCCACTAGAGCTAGAAGCTGAAGCAAATGAAAGCGACAAGCCTCAGACACATGCAGCATGTTCGCGATGGTACCTTTATACGGCTTTGAGTTGTTCGGTGCTCGCGAAGTTAACACGAGCGTTTACAAGCCTGCAAATGGTACCATCGTGTGCATGATACTCGTGTTTAAGCATAGCCTTCTTTATTCTACAAAGCCTGTCAAATCGCGAAATACTCTGGTTTAAGGCTAGCCGCTGTCGTTTGTTTGTGTTTGTCGCTTTAGTGGGGCTCGGGCCCCATTATAGCCCAACTAAAACTATATCTGAAGATTAGCCCATGCTTCGCTTTGCCAACCCTGCTTATGACTATGATAAACACTGACGCTGCATATATTAGGATCAGATCACGTGGCTGATAGTTCTAATTGCGAGTTGAGGAGGGGAAAGCTGTTTCATTTCTTTCTTTCGACTGTCTCTCATTTCTCGGAGGAACAAACTAATGGATGCTTTTGCAAGTTATCAACGTCAGGGATTACAACTTGGCGGTATTTATTGAACTGAAGGTAAAACAAATGCTGCACGGCCCATTTTACATGTATGCACACCATTGAGGCTCCCAAACGTGTTTTCGTTATTGCTAAACTGCCTCAGAAAGTTGTACCGAGAATAGAAATGTTAAAGGGTCTAAATGTGACGTATTAGTCCGACGTTACATGGAACTATTAGTGTGTACGTGAGGTATAGCTGAAAAGAAAGATCCTAGTGGTCTCACGGGGATAGCCAAACGTTGGCAGCCGCTCTAAGTCTCACAGGAGTGTCGTTCTCAAGTTCTCCAAGTTTCGACCGCCCTGTATTTTGTTTAACCTTCACAGTTTGGTGCAAAGTAAAAGCAAGGAAGAATTACTGTTAACGAGTGACACAAATATAATTGTCGAGTGAACACCACTCAATACGGAGCAGGCAATCCCTGAGGAATAAAAAGTATCTTGAGGAGCAACTAAAAAAAAGGGAGTGGGGAGGGGGGTAGTTTTAAAGCATACTGTGTCGTAAAGATTCCTCTACCGCGCACTTTCGGCGCAGACTAGAAAGCGTGGCCTGGAAACGATAGTGACAGATGGGTAGTTGGTACAACTTTTATTTGTAAAAACACTCTTGCCAGAAAGAACGTTTTCGCCGCGCCAGATACTCGCGCCGTGTCTAACGACGATGCACCAACAAGAAAAATGTGTGCCTCTCAAATACATAGCTTGCACTGAGCGCGAAAAATTTGCAGCGTGCATTTTGCCCCATCGGATTTGATATTCTCAGCAAGAACAACTCGCAATGACAACCAGTATCTAGTGCGATTACGTCACGTGCAAACCATGTTAAATACTTCAGCTTTCTGGTGAAGTGCGACGTTCGCAACACTAGCAGTAGACGTCCAAGGTGTAAAGTTGTGTAGTATTTATAGCAGTCTCGCGATGATATACGGCAGCCTAATGAAATGTTGCAGCGCATGACTGATAAAGAACAGAGTCGTGAAGTAAGGTCCCAAAACAAGTGCACGTAAAACCTAAGATAACATTAGTAGTATCTCGCGACGTTTCGAGCTGAGGCAAGCTGATGCCCAAAAGTGACTTATATTAGGATTCTAAAAATCTTCATTTGCCCTGCGAGGAATCTATGTTTAATTAGGAATATCATTTTATGCATTTCTATGCATCTCTTTTTGCAGTAAAGCGTTGTGTAAGGGATTATTTAGAAAAAATTGCGTGTCATCTCCTTATTTCTGCACATTTCGTGTATTTGCCTTGCGATATATCATGTGACCACAGTGTTTTTTGGCATACCCTGCAACCCAGTATTTTAAACTGCAAAACAGCTAACAAAAGCACGTTGCCGAAGTCTCAACAGCTGGCGTATTTTCGAGTATCGTCCTTCCGTGTCGGTCTCAGGCGGTTATGTGAACTTCATAAAGTCAAATTTATCGATGATAATACAAATATACTTAATTTCTGTCTGAAGATTTGGCTGCATAAATAGAAGATCCTCACCTCAAAGATATATATGTAAATGCACTTTTAAATTATCTGAAAGATGTTCTGCAATCTTTTTCGGAGCTTTTCTCCTCTATAGACACATTATAGGTGATTTGGAAAAGCTTTAAATAATGTTGTTGGTTTTTTTTATTTTGAAGCTAATTTAAATAACTATATGTGTTCCTCACGCATATATAACTTCTCAAATATATAGAAGTTTATTATTGCGTTTTTTATGTGTTTTTATTATCGCCTTTTTTTACTGGAACGAATGATGGAATTATGACGATTGCACACTTAAACTCTCAGAAAGCGTCCAATTAAGTAGCTTCCGAATTGAGTAGAGCATGAAATCCCACTTTGTTCTATTTCACAAAAATCATCAATTAGAGAGGGTGATACTTATTTGCAAATTAAATTGACCGGCATTTTGTCAAGAGCAAACCTCAGAACCAGGCTATGCCAGTTTATCCAATATAGAAAATGTTCGCATGGGTAAGCACTGTTTTAGGTCAGATTCGATCTCAGTACGAAGGTGCTCATAGGTTAGAGTGAACAATTTCAGCCACTCCTTTTCGCATGATTCGTCGCCCGCATCATGGTGCTGAGAGCAAACAATGCTAGTTAGAAAAAACAAGCATTGCGATTGTCGCTTAGTGTTTTTATAAAATATAGAGTGGAAGGACTTGTCCCGTGACTTTCGTGACATTTTAAAAATTATATTGCCTTAAGATCAGTCGTCTCGTCGTCATATATATATTGTGAAATGTATTCCGTAAAACACATTTTATGGTATATATCGCGACGAGGTGCCCATTTCATGATTTTATTCACTGTAATTAATTTCTTAGTTCAAGGGCAAAACCACGATTCAACATCTAATACTGCGATACAAAGTTGTACCTGTCACGGGTATTTTAGGCAACCTACTTCACTTCGCGAAAACATTTCGATTCAGGTACAATGTATGTGACTCTGGTAAACGAAGGGAGGTTGAGTCGTATAAACACGACGTTTGGTATGTTAATGGAGATTTTCCTTTCTTGTTGTGTAGGTATAAATAACAGAATTTTATAATTTTTGTACCTGAAAATAAAACTGGATTGAACAAACGATAAAAAAAAGAAAACTATATACTGTAAACGACTTATTTTTCGTGGGCTTAGTATTTCGCGATTTAGGTCAAAGCTGAAGTTTTGGAATAATTTGTGGGTTGTAATTTTCTCGACGCGGTGGAATCTCACTATAAATTTCAATCTGTTTACATTTTACCGAAATTGTTCGCGGGACCCATTTTTCGCGAATTGTAGGCGATTCGCGAAATTCTCAAAAATAGGTCCTCGCAAAAATCAGATTGTTTACAGCAGTTAGTTTCATGGCCTAAATAGTGCCTATTGACAGAACAACGCAGAAAATATATTCTCAATTTAGCGGTTCAAACCGGTTCGAACCAGTTCGAACCGGTTTGAACCGTTATTTTTGCGCCCCGGAACTGAACCGGAACTGAACCGAAAGCCGTGAACCCGAACCCGAACCGAACCGATAAAAATATCGGTTCGACACTCTGCACCTGGCACTTTTGCTCGGAGACGAGCCTCTTGTCCCACATACACAAGTGTTCAACTTCTTAAAAAATATTGGTATTTTAAACCGCCTTTAGCAGGAAATTTAGCAATGTATAATTTAGCTGCTGAGTCTTGTGATATTTACTCACCATGTGTTTGGCGCACTATGACCCGAGTTGCTGCTGCGCCAAAAAACCCCAAATTCATTCATTCATTCACGGGATAGACCTGTACGCCAATCAGAAATTGATGGTGGCGGCATAGAGAAACGCATTCAACCGGCGGCGCACCATGCTCAGCATACAATGGTGGCATGACTTAGTGGCGCACAGGTCTACCAGATGACCAGTAGCAGCTCCCGCGGGCACCGACTACAGATTTGTTTTGCGCCAAAATATAGCTCTATACTTTATTTTCCCCCGTTGTAAATTCATTTTATGACATTCTTTTTCCATCTAGGCTGTTTAAAAGAAATGCTTTTTTTCTTTTAATGTGTCCTTTAAGGAATGATTGTTTAAATGAGTCTCGAAGACATGAAAGAGTCATTTCGGAGAGTAAAGAAGACTCCTACAACATCAGCATGCACTGCTGAGAGTATTTGGCATGTGTTAACTGTAATAGGAGACATAGGATGTACACCTTAGCCAATGCACATAGAAAATGGGAAAGCTAGAGCTGTGTATTGTTTTGCGTTTAATACCTGGTGGGTGATGATTACATATTGGCTTAATTCTGGGTTAACGCTTGTATGCTTTGTTTGGCTTATGATCTCATAGTAACCAAACTGGCCGTGTTGGTATGCCTTTCTACCTAAGCACCTTGGGGTATGTGCTTGGACGTACTGACTGATTTCTAGGTGTAGGGGGTTTCTTTATATGCACTACACGAGGTAGGCACTGTGTGATCCCTTGACGTGCTGCATGTCGTACCCCAGGGACACGGCTGAACACGCTGCACGTGCGGGGCGTAAGCAACATGAGCACCGAGGACGTCGAGCACTTCTTCCGGGAATACGGCCCCAGCTCCGTGGACTGGATCAACGACCATGCTTGTGAGTGCCCTCTGCCGCTGTTCCTCTCCACAGCAGCCTATTTGCCACCTCCGCGAGCGTCTGACAGCCCTGGTTGCGATGGTAGAGATTCGAGCAACCAATTCCACAGTTGCCGAACAGTGCATGCATACTCACCCGTAGATATTCGGTTTCGAGAATGCCTCGATACTGCATACCTTGACGGTTAAACTTTTGAAAGAGGTCCATCGCGACCCCTCTACTCTACACGAGTCTGAGCAAATGCGAGCGTAGCCGTCGTCGCGGCATCCCGACTCCCGGCTGCCTAAGCTTCCAGGGACTGTCAAACCGGAAAGTGACCTGCAGTAGAACGGGCTTCTGCTGCATTTACCACGACTGTCGGGACGCCGCTGGGTTTGCGACCGGCAACGCCACGACACCTCCGTTGTCATGCCGTCGCCGAAGCGTCTTGGACCGTCATTGGAACATGTCGATCCGAGACGCGTTCCAGACGCTGTACGTCAACGGAAGGGCCGCCTCGCTCGTCATTCGGCTGCCCGACGGCAACCGTGAACCCTCGGGTCTTCCCACAGGCAACGTGGTGTGGCAGCGACCGAGAGACGCTGCACGTGCTCTCCTGGCCCTGAGCCGGCCCCTGCGCCTCAGGCGACGTCCCAAGGCACGGCCTCCGCCCCGGGAAGCCCCGGACCCGACTGGGCAAGAAGGCAAGGCCATCCACTGCGCGCCCGGTTCCCGGCCCACCCCTCGCACGTTGCACTCTGCCGGCACGGGCCGGAAACTTGGTACCTTTGGTCTCGTCATGGGAGTAGCACCTTTAACACGGTTGAGGCGGCAAAAGGTTATAGGCGAGGCTTCACGGCAGATTTCGGCAAAGCCTTGCCTCGATTTCGTAAGACGTCGCTCGAAGGGCTTCCTGCTAAACTTAGTGGCGAAATTGAGACGTGACGCTGCGTCAAGATGTAACTTGACCTAACAGTGACATCACGATTTAACTATGTCTATGCGACATTGCGTCATCCGACGTCACAATGTAACGGCACAATGCGCGGCTAAATTGAATTGAAAATTTATCGGCTAAATTTAGTCGGAATTTAGGGCTGCGCGCTGTCACATTGCCACGGGACGTTAGTGTCACACGAACACTGTCTGGCAAATTTAACAAGATGGATGTCGGCTAAATCGAAACATTGTGGCATGATGCATGCAGAAGAGCACAGTGCTCGGTTGTTCGCACAGTTCACTTGCAGGACACGGCACGGAACGGGGAAATTTTTTGTCAACAAACGTAAATGAAAGAAAGAGTTCGCATCGACAAACAAAAAACAGACTTTTGCTCAATGGGGCCTTAAACCGTTCTTTCAAAGAGAATGAAAGGTGCTCGTCTCTTTGCCAAGTCCGACCTGCCTGTGATGCGTCACTTTTCGTGAAGGTTCCAACAGTCGACGCCCCTCACTGCAACTCCAGGGAAGCTCTTTGGACCAAGGGGTACCTAACCTGGAGGTTTGCCGCGCAACACTGTTAGCATAAACGTAACCTCCGCAATTTTTTTAATTTTTTTTTTTTTCCGAGAGGGTATTGTCGGGTACCAAATTTTACTACTACACAGGCACATTTGCTTACATTTTTTACGTTATGTTACGAGTTCAGGACGTCCATCGCGTGCAAAGTTGCTCTTCTAAAACAGTACAGAGGTCCCGGCAGCTCTCGTCGTAAGCTCCCGTAACGTAATGTAATGTAAGAAAACAGGGCTGTGCGAACCAGCCTCTAGGTTAGTGTAACGGTTCTCAAGTAGGGGTGTGCGGACCCTGTGGGAGCCATTGACCAAGAAGCCACATATACCAAACCATGTGCGCTGAGTGAGGGGTTGATGATTCTCTGTTTCAGAGCTTCAAATTTGGTTTGCAAGCATAGTTTTTTTCATTTAACCTTTGTCATTGGAACCATTCAATACCCTTTTTCCACCTCAGTGATAGGGACCCGTATCACTTCTGCCGATCAAGAGTTCCTGAAAGATCGGTAGTTGAGAACCTTTTGGGCTGGTGCATTAAGCGACTACTTTCTGCCATCATATTAGATTTGATGACAGCCACCAGAGTCGCTAAATAAGCTACGCTGATCTAGTGACACTCCATTGCTCGATTGGAGTATTGACGCGGTATTGCTCAATCGTATGGTGGGTGCCACAATTTTGGTGCTTATTGCAGAGTGGACGCAATTGGCGTTCGTTGTGGTTTCGAAGTGCTGCTTCTCGAGCTTCTGACGCGGCGTTGGGAAGCTCGGGCAATATCGTCTTGCTTTGTTGCGGACCGTTTTGACAGTTCTGGAGGACATAAATCTGTTTTCTGCGATTTCAGGTAATGCTTCGGATAACTGGCAACTGTGATTTTAAGCACCGAGATGGTTGAAGTGTCGTCACTTTAAACCATAGCCTATTCAGTGGCTCTACAGGCCACGAATTGGGCAGAAATTTGGCCGAGCGTGGCCTTGGCGATCCGACGGGGACCCTGGCTCCTCTCGTGCAGAGGAGGAGGTGGTGCTCATGTCGGAGGAGGACCTGCCCGGGGAGGAGGAGGAGGAGGTGCTGGACGTCTCCGAGCTGGAGGTGCCCCTGCCCCCCGGCCAGTGGCGCAAGGCCACCCCCGACCACCCCAAGGCCAAAATGCTGCTGCTACGCTTCTCCTCCAAGCGTGAGTGCTGGGCCACGCAGGGGCTGCCAAAGTAATGGCACGGGTACCATCTGTCTGGGAGCGGAAACGTAATTTGAACAGATTTATAAAAAAGTAATGTAACGAAAGGTGCAGCATGCAATTTCGGAAGGTGAGTTTTATGTATTACTGGGGGGAGACAAAATGTAGGGGCTAATTGACACGGAAAGTCGGATAATGAACTAATATTTGGTAATTAACTTTTAGTTAGTGGAAATCAATGTATGGTTCCAATTACAAGCTTGCCGAGCGTCATGGGAAACCACTAAATTCGTCAATTTTATAACCATGCGGTAAGCTTGGTGATGCAGTAGAGTTACCACCCATGCAACGTGCAAGACCGGCAGTGCGAAAATACGAATGATAATTGTATCGTCCGTGCTTTTGCACCGCCGGCCTTTTGCTCGTTACATGAGTGGTACAGACGGTGTTGGAACATAAGCAGAACGGATAGGTTGACATACAAAAATCGACGAGAGTTTACCGTTTTATGAAGGAAACTGGACACATTCATTAGCTTGTCCTGTGTTGCGCGAGTGCTAAACTCTTCCGGATTGCAGGAAAGGAAAACCAGTTCCACTCAGGGAACAGCCTCCTTCAAACCAGTTATGTTACTGGCCAAATGTGGGATAATTGCGCTTTCTTTTCGTAATTGGGGAAGGCCTCGGTCCTTCGACTTCCCATCTCCCCCAGCGCGTGCAGAGCCATGTCACTTGTACACTGCGCAACACTGTTGGCACGAACGTGACATTGGCACTTTTTTTTCCATTGTATTTCGGAAGGTTATTGTCAGACAAGAAATGGACCTCTTTCCGGTAAGCTCCTGCGTATGCGTGCACACCCGCCCCCAACCTTGCCTCCCATTGTTGTCATTTTCGGGGGGTACCGTCCCACACGACCGACTTCGTCAGCACCAATCTTTGTGCATGTTTCGTCTTCTCTAACTATCTTTTTTTTATGGCGCGTAAAACACAATGAAAACCGACAAGCGAAGGCACGTGGGCTGCCCTTCTTTAGTAGTTTGCAGGCAGAACGCCAAACGGCACTTGTTGCTCAAAGAAGGCCCCCTTTACCGTTTAGGCTGGTGCCCCAGATGACTACTTTCTACCCTTTTAATAGTTTTGACGACATTCCTTTGGCAGTGAGAGACAAAAACTAGTGATTACTTGTCTGTTACAATTGAAAACGAGCATGTTGGTTAATAGATACAAAAATTGAAAGTATAAAAGAGAGAAGACGAGGACGGGAACAGGACATCTTTCAGAAAGATGTCCTGTTCTCGTCCTCTCTGTTTTATACTTTCAAGTTTTGTTGCTTGTCTGTGTAAACAGTTTTGCGCAGTGTGCATTTTGGCTTCTGCCGGCTCTGCACGTGGCTTGCGAAGGGGACTTCCCCTTTTGCCGATCTGGTCCAAGTCTACCAGCATTGAGAAAGAGGGCAAATAAGTGAAGGCTGTTTCCCTTGCCCACTTGTGATCTGCCGTCGATGCCCTGCAGACGACAGGAAGGGGCCCGGTGCAGAGAAGCAGAGCGAGTACTACCGCAAGTATGGCAACCCCAACTACGGAGGTAAGCGAAGGGCCATGAAACACTTCCTTCTTTTAAATTTGGCTTTCTCAGGCTTTGGGTACATTTAACCAGAGGTGTGCGAGCACCAAGTTTTTGATTGTGTGTCAAATAGGAATAGCCGAGTTTGACTGCAAATCGGATACAAATATTTTACATTTCATTTGAATTGACCATGGATGCCAAGAGGGACACTAACACTACCTAAAAATTTTATTCTTATTTTTTGCCAGGCGATTTATTTTGATATCGGAAGACTACCCAATAAATATTTTGCTACAGTGTCGTATATATTTGCAATAAAGTAAAAAAAATGCAATTGCTCAAAACCGAAACTGGACTGGGGAGGAAGAAGAAACGTAGAGGAGAGAGTTGTGGAAGTCACGTTGATACACCCATTTGCGTTTTCTTTCTTTTTTCTTTTCCTTCGTTTTTTGGCTCTCTGAAGCAGTCAAAAAATGTGCACGTCGCACTTTGCCTAAAAAACGCAAAAGTCAAGCACTTCATGCTTGGCGCTTGTGCGTTTTTCAAGCTCTTACCAATTCGTGTTCGTAAGGCAAGCACCGGGAGAAGGGGCGACAACTCGGTGACGTCTTTGTGCGTATCAGATTGGTGGTCGGGCCTGTCGTACAGAATAAATCATAATTGTTTTGATTGGAGACTTCTCTTTCGAAGCTAGACAGATTCGCCGGTATCGCGAACAACAGTTCTGAAGTGGAGGTCCCACGCCCTTTGTCCGCCACCTTCGCTTAGTCCGCTTAGTTCGGCTGTCCAGCCCGCGAGTCCCACAATAAGACTCTATGCTGATAATTATGCAGAGAAAGCACAGAGTGCTTCCTGGTCTATGTGCAACTCAAACCAGCCAGTTCTCGATCGCCGATTTTCAGGTGGTGTTAGTGTACCATGTCAGAACCATAGTTTGACGGATTTTATGTTGTTTCTTACCTACCACCTCGACTGCCTATTTGACTCCGTCTGGAACTTAGCCTTTCACTCTGCGATCGGCGTTCTTTCTCATTCTGGTATACCAAGTGATGCTTGCAAGCATCGTTGCTCTTTAAGTGACAAAATTCTGCAATGTCATTGTCTCGCAGGCATGACAGGACTCATCAGCGGCTCCCGCAAGCGGCGCATGCGGCGTGGTGCTGCCTCCAGGGATCCTTCACACAGTGACGATGAAAGCCACGGTGAGGGGAACGTTGGTAGCATGGGAGGGTCTCTCTGTAGTTGAGTCAATTCTTTAAGGAAGAAATTGAAGTTTATCAGTGTCTTTCTACAGTGAAATGCGGAGCATGTGCCCCCGTTATAATAGGAAGTTTTATAATAACGTTTTATAATTTTATAATAACACTAGCACGAAACTTGGCACTTGCATCAGGTCTCGCTACGCAAGAGAGTTTTAGAAAAGCGTTTCTCCGTCACAACGCAAAATCCAAGCTTCTCGCAGTTGCGACGCCACCAAAATGCAGTAAAAAATTTTTATTTCGGAAATGAAATGCATTACTTTAAGAAACAGGAAACGAGGCTATAGATCGAGAGTAACATTTTCGATTTGTTTAAATATAAGAATGTGACTCGACCGATCGTGTCCACTTGCATCGCATCATGAAGAGAGGTCTCGTGTACTGACCTTCGCCGAGAAATGCTAGCCTGTTGCAAGCAGTAAGTTGCCGACAATCAGGGCTTACTTTGCCGGTCTTCCAAAACGTTTGTGATGTGCACCTTTCATAGGAGTGCGATAACGTCCTATATCGAAAATAGCAGCCGCCAGGATGCCAGCGACATTGCGCTCACGACGACCGCCAAAGTGGCTGCAGCCACAATCCTGGGAGCCGCCATTTTCTAACTGTAACTGTGCTCGTCTTGGCCAACTTCTCGCGCATCACGAATCCTCCGTGGAGGAATGCACACTCTTGGTGTGTGCATGTTGCAGTAATTCTACGTTACAAAGAAATCACTTTTTTCAAATTATCGCTTTTATCGCAGTTGAATGTGGTCCCAACTGAAACACACATATTTTGAACTAGACTATTCAAAGTGTATCAACGGCTGACCATGCTGATTTCAAAGGCCAAAGGGGCTAAAGCATGCAAGCTTACACGGGGGCACACGGAGAACCTTGCATTCCCTCCCCATTTTTCACCGAAGCAAACAGCAAACTTGGAAAATGGCAAACAAGAAAACAACAAACGGGTGACGTGCAGAGCGCCCATTTTGGTGTTGATGCGCCGACACGGCCAGGGAGCTGCGGGAGCAGCATCTACGTTCCGACGCTAACCACGTGCCCGCTACCGACTTCTTCAGACTCCTGTTGGAACCGGGTCAAGGGAGCGATGGAGCTCGGAGGAGATCATCCCTTCGAGAGCCCTTGAAGCGTGCACCCGCGGTGTACACACGCGTCGTACGGAAGCATTGGAGTGTGTACCGAAGGTCGGCTATGTCTTCGAGGTTGTGAAAAGTGGCCGGCCCAAGTCTGAAATCTACAAAGAATTCGGTATCGGCGGTTCGGCGCTGTCCACCATTTTGTTGAACAAGCAAGGCGTACTGGAAGGGTTCGATAAGTTTCTCATGCAAAAGAAAGCGCACCTGTAACCCGAAGATGGAAGATCGCCAACTGCTTTGTGCATGCCGGATTTTCTCTCGCGAAGATGCTTGCCGAGCCGACACCCATTCTTAGAGCTGCAAAGATCTCTACAGGAGTGTGTGCAATCATGTTGGCGAAGCCATCGAGGGCAACTTTGATTCGTTCGTGCTTGTCGATCTGGACGTTCCCATTGCTGCTCCTGTCATGGATGCTGCGATTGTGGAACTTGCGTGCGGCCCGGGAAAACACGAAGCGATTTCGGAGAGGCACCTTGGGAAACACGGACGACTGCGGAGACGCGAAACATCCTACTGCTGCTCCGAAACAAAGTGGAGCGCAGCGGCGGTGACAGTGTTCTTGCGATGCCCAGAGCAATTTTGAGGAGAATGGATGTTTGTCCACCTTTAAGGCTGCTGTCACTGTTTTTTATGGCTCTCACTTTTATCGAAGTACCACTTATATCGAATTTTGTGGGCATTTCGTTGACTTTGTCATAACAAGGGATAAGTGTATTTCAAAAAAAAAAGAAAAGGCACGCAAAGTGCGAAGCTTGGTTAGCGTTTGGCGCATGCGCAGTGGCGACGACGCCGTTTTTCGCGTATGCAAAGCTTTAGCTTGCGCCATTCTAAAATGCCCTAATAAGTGCCCACCACCTACTTTTGAAATATGTGAAATATAAGGATGTATCAGGCACTCTCCCCTGGAAACTTTGGGGCTAACCGAGGTGTTCCTCCGCAGCTAATGCTCCTCCCAGAAAGGGGGGGGGGGGGGGGGGAGAGCAAAGCGGTGAAGCTCGACGCGAGAGTGGCGGCACAAAGCAGGCTTCGACAAGAGTGCCCTGGCTGCTTTAGAAATGAAAGGTTCCACAAGACCCCTCTAGCTGCTCCTGTGCCATTGGGTCAAACGGGAGCCTACGCTGCCGCGTGTCCCTTCTGCTTTTCTGCTCTCGGACCTGACGAGCATCTCCTAATATTGGATGGGCGCTTGCTCGGTATTTTGCGGTACATTAGTAGCTCAAATGCCAGAACCAGTGTTACGAGCATCCTTTAAACTTCGCTTCTTTTGGGGACGGGGAGAGGTGACTTCGAGTGCATGTTGCGTCCTGTCTCACTCTTTTGTCTTTTTTGTGTTTCTCGGCATAACATGACAAACTAAGACGGACGATCCACCAATCTGGCCAGTCGTCTTTACTCCGATTGTCGGCTTGCAGGGGAGGCAGGCAGGGGCAGCGGCCAGCAGCGGGTTGCCAAGCGCATGCGCATGTACGCTGACGACGAGGAAGACAGGCTGCAGCGCAGGTGAGCGCCCGTCACGGGGACCTGTTCTCCGGTCGCCCATGTTTGGCTTTCCCGGGGTGTGCCGTAGACTACCCTTCCGGCGGAGACGGTCGGGGAGTGCCGTTACTCCCCTGCTCCCCTGTCCCTCCTCTCCCGGGAGAGCTCCGGGCTGTCTATGACCGAGGAATCCCACAATTATTCGAGACTCTAGTCGGCTCGTAAATGCCAGGGGGAATGTCGGGAACTGGCTGTGGCAGGGGCGGGGGCAGAATGAAAACTTTACTACATAAAAATAAACTACTACTATAAATGACTATTTTCGAGGGCTCAACATTTTGCGAGTTTCGCCTTTTGGAAAATATTTTTAAACATTTTCTTCGAAGCGAGTTGTCAAAAGAAGAGAACATCACCCAAAGTAGTCGGCGATATGGGAATGCCGCATTCTGTAATTAGCAAAACATCGATCGTCATATTTTCAAGAAGGGGCTAACTAGGCGCAACATTTTAAAGTCACCGCCGTTACATTCCACAAAATGCGGACAATATTCAGCAACTGTATAACTTCACCTAAAACAGAGGCCCAAGGCAGCTCATCAGCGTCATCAATCTCTGCCGTCACACTTAGTGATTTCGCTCTCGAGGATTGCGTAGCAGGTTTACTCATTTTCCGACATGTTAAAAGGGGGACGCGAATCTTAAAATTTAAAAAATCACGAAAAATGCTATTTTTCAAAATTCATCATTTTGAGGTCAATATAGTCCAGAGTAGTCCTCACAAATTATGAATACTCAATTCGATCTCTAGATAGGAAAATAATAACAATTTGTAAGCATTGACGGACCCGACTTGAAGCCTAAACTCTAAAATTTGAACAAGCTTCAAGCCGCCCACACTTATTTTTACCAGGGCAGGGCATCGAGATAAAATATAGTCTCCTGCAATACGAAAGACCCGCTGGAAGCGCATGGCCGAGACGGGCTGGCCGGGGCACTGCGTCCGCCTCGGCCGATTCCATTTTGCCCCAAGGGGAGGACGCAATCGGGGCTCAGCAGAAGCGCAACGCACACTTATGAGTTTCTAGTTTCGGTTTCTTAGCGAGGAGCAGTTCATCGTCGTGCCACGGTTGCGCACACACTTTACTACGAGCTCTGCAATTTCTTTTTTTATATAACGAACAAATACACTCTTGAAGGCATTTTTTCCTTTACATTCATCTATGTAACAGTGCCTGTTCTGACATTTTACACCAGAAACAACTGATTAAAAAGAAATTGGGAATCCAATCCACGCTGTAAAGGTGGTTGGCCAGCAAAGCTGTGGTATCACCTGCAACGATTCCCCACTGCAGTATGGGCCCTTTTCATGGCAAACGCCACCAGGCGGTGCTGACGTCCCAGAGAACTTCCGGTTCATAAAAAGAATGTACAAAGCCCCCCTAAAACCACTGTTTAAAATGCCAATGAAACGTTTAACCACCAACTTTCCAGGTGAATGCCAAAAAAACGAAGAGGCGCGAGATTTGTTAAAAATTTTCAAATATTCTTGTAAACCAACTTGCCTCCTCCAAGACAATAAATTGTCCAGCCGAGGGCCCTCGTTGCTTTGATGTATCTGTAGCATTTATGCGTTCTAGCACCGGTGACATAAGCAAGCTATACAGGCTTGCAAAGACGAAGCGACCAGAAATTCCTTGGGACGCAGGAGGCAGTTCATGTTTGTAAACAGCAAAAGGGTCTACAATCGCTGACCGATTATTCGGACTTGGTCCGTATAATCAAGCAGTCTGAAAATTCGGTAGATAAAAAGACTTGCCTTTATTACGCCCCAGCAGGCTTTAAAAAGCCGTCAATAGTGGCTTGCTTCGTGTTACGCCTGCTCGCGATGATGTCTGCTTGGATTTGCGCGAGCGTCGTGTTCTCGTCGTACACATTCAACAGCAATGTTAATGCGTTCGTAATGTCCGCTGTCAATGGCTGCGGGCGGTAGTCGTCGTCAGTCTCATTTTCTGCTGATCCGAGGAACGAGATGAGATGCGAGGCGCAAAATGGCGACGCGAAAGTGGAAGGAAACAAAGCAAAATGATGATAATGATGATGACGACGTGCAGCTAAATGGAAAAAAAAGGGCTAGCATAGCGTCACCTGGCGGTAGAACTCGGGGGTACTCAAATCGCGCTGCCAAACCAAGCCATTCCATTCGCAGACAACATAGAATTCAAAATGGCCGCTCTTTGGTGGTATTTCCTGCTGACCGCTCGCGACGATTTTGTCCGAATAATTGAACTTTCGGACTTCTAGCTGTCCAAAACATTGGTCGTGAGTATACAGTATTTCGATGGAGTAAGTCACAGTTCCTCCTCTCAGTCCGAATTATCGAACAAGTCCGAATTGTCGGAGTCCGAGAAATCGGTCGGCGACTGTATACCAAATGATTGACAAAAGAAAAGTAAATGCACTGTACCAAAATGTTTCATACATGAAATAATGGTGACGTCACTCCCCACGTCTCAAGCTGCGGTTGCCGCGGCGGCTTGAGCAAGAGTAATCTTTACCGGGAAACGTATGCAATGAGTGCTACATACTTCTCATTGTCATCAGGAGCGCCTTATCATCAATTACCGTATTCACTCGAATATAAATTGACCACGAGTATAGGTCGATGCCTTTATATTAAACTCGCCGAGAATTAAGAAAAAAATAATTCAAACATAAGTCGACTTTTTTTTTTTTTTTTTTTTTTTTTTTTTTTTTTTTTACGAACAAAGGTGAGCTTTAGCAAAAATTGAAACAAACTTTTATTAACGCGAAAGCATTAGCTGTCCCATGGAGTGCAGCCGTGCAGCCGGCGTTGTCTGTGAGCGCGAAAAATGAGCCACTAAATTACGGCAGTTTAAGTGGCCGCGACACGTCATAGTTCCAAGAAACGCCACCCCGCAGAGAAGCTCTCTCCTCTGGTGCTGCGGCCCATGCGCCAATAAAAGGGAGAGGGTGGCGCGTGCGCGGCCACTAGGTGAGTTGTGGTTGGAGGGGGAGGGAGGGGGGCGGAGGATTCGGAAAATTCCTGCTCGGTCTGCTAGGCGTCGATTACGCTGTTTTAGGTTATGCCCCTGTTCGCATTCAGGAACTTTCTATTAGCTTGAGAATCGCTGCCTTCTTTTCTAGCATTATGCTAGAGTACTTTCTGCGCTTCTTAGCGACACATCGTGGCGGTGGAAGAACAGGTGGGGCAATGACGTCCAAACCAGCATAGTTCGAAAACAATTCGCTGAGAGGAGATTGAGATGAGAGGCGCAAGTCCATGACTGCAATGGCGAATGAACAAAGCAAAATGGAAACAACAATGATCATGATAATGACATGCAGCTGGAGAAGGAAAAGCTGTACAGTGTCATTTAGCAGTAGGACTTAGCATTATTTAAGTATCACTGCCAATTATTTAGCAATTTACTTGACAAATGGGGGAAGGGTGGGGGGGGAGGAGATATTTGCTTTCCTCACATTGTTTACTTTAAATTTTTTAAATATCTGGGGGTGTGGCTGACTTCCTTGTGTTCCGATACCACTATCCCCACCCCCGACGCCCGTCGGTCTTTGCAGGAAGCAGGCAACACTAAGCGACGCAGACTGGGCGCCCACCCCGTGGTCCTCGCCAGGGCGTTCCCCTCCGTCGGACGAGGAGCCCCGCTCCGGCACCGTATGGGACCGGCTCTCCGGAGGACGCGCACTCGCGACGGAGCCCCGGCGCAGAAGCCCGCCACCCCCCCCGCATCGCTCGCGCTACGTCGACCTGGATGACCCCAGGCTCCGGGACGACTACGATCCGGCCGAAGAGGACGATGACTTCGGCTACGGCTACGGCTACGGCTACGACTATGGGGAGAGGCCGCGCCGAGAGGCGGACCGCGAGGACTTTCCGGGACGGAGGTCGTCGTCTGGCGTGGGTACGGCGGGCACGGATCTGAGAGCCAAGCTGGAGAAGCTGCGTCAGAGCCGCTCGCTGGCGTCGGAGCGGAAGACGAGGCCCCTGCGCATCTCAGTGGCGAGGGACGCTGTCTGAAGTGTTTCGAGGGCCTTGCGGAGCATCGTGCAGCGTCGCATCGCAAATTGACATGCCGAGAGCTTTTGAGTGTCGGTTCGTCACACCTTGTATATCGTGGGACAGCCGGAGCCGAGTCTGGTTCGCCAAGAAACGCGACTCGGGGAGGGACGTTTGTCGCCGTCGAGCAATTAAGGAGTTGAAATTTTACGAGCAACATGGGTTCTGCGTTAGAGGAACAGGTGCAGCGAATGGGACGCGGCATCTCATTGGCAATCTACGACACCTCGCGTCCAGTACGCATTTCGCCGTGGGATGTTAGATTCGTCGCACTTTGAGCGTCGTCAGATTTGCCCGCCGGAAAGGCTTTCATCTAATAGCACTGTGTAAAGATGCCTGTGAGCCAAGTTGCATTTCATCCATTGTGCGACTAATGCAACCTAGTTTACGTACAAACAGTACTCTAAAACTCGCTGTACTTTGCGTTTAACGGTAAGCCAAGGGTGGCGAGGACCGTGCACATGGCCGAGTTTTTTGCTCTGGAGATTTGAATTGTGTGCACATGAAGACTGACATTCGAATTGGAACCTGTGACCAAAACCGTCACTGCTGGCTGAACGCTTCCATTTTGCCTCGGTCTGTATTCTGGTGGGCATGTGTTTTTTAAGCCATTGAGGTTCGCTTCCCATTAGAGAACTGTTACAGTTGCGATCTGATGCCCAACGCAGTTCACAAGCTACTTACAACCGACAATTGTGAACATCGAAGCGTTGATTCACTTTGCTCTAATGGTGTACGAATTCTTTGTGAACTCAAATATAGCAATTAAAAGCATCCAGACACGCTCTTGACTTACTGTTGCATGGTTAAAAACCTACCTGGCACCAGTGGATGTTGCCTGATACAGACTACTTTTTTGAAACCATTGTGGAAGCACTACAGGAAAGGTTTTTGGCCTTGTCTTTTGATGTCTCTAACTCAAACAACAGCAGACTTTCATTAATTCAAACTCCAGAAAGCCACAATTTTTGTTTGCATTATCAGAAGTTTGAATTATCAAAAATTTACCTAAATATGATGCAAGATAAAGTTATGATCTGCTGTATGAATGGCTATACATGCAAAGCAGATATTTCATGATTTCCTCTATACAGGCCTACAAGTCATAAGTAGATACTGTACCACACATGAAACATTGGTGACATATAAGTTTATTCATCCGTCAGAAATGTTGATTGTGTAGTGTTTTGGTTGCACATAACACCTCAAAACAAAATGTAAGTTTGTTCTTCCAGCAAAGAAGTTGTCTATTGTGGACTATGAAGCAGGGGACAGATGAGCGATAAAAACGGGTGCCGTGCAGTAGCTTCCGTGCAGTAGCTTGCGCGGGCGCAGTGACATGGACCCATGCCATGTCGCCACGTCACAGCGTCCTCGTAAGTTGCTATACGAGCAGCCACGCAGCACCTGTTTTCATCGCTCGAGCGTCCCCTGCTTTAGCCCCATTGAGTGCGCTTCTTACCGAGCACCGGTGCACTGCGAAGAACCAGCACCCGAAGAAGCGAGCTTCGCGGTGTTGCTTTTCCGCGGTGCGTTGGTGCTCGGAAAGAAGTGCGCTGAACGGTGCCGCGAGAACAAAAGGTCTGAATTGCACGAAAACACCGTTTGAAATAAGCGACTTCTAATTACATTGAAAACAAAATGGGAGAACCAAAATGTTTTTAATTTGTTTGAATTACCCAGGAGTATGAAATATACGAGTTTGAATTATTGCGAGCATATTATACAGGAATTGATAGAGAAAATGATACCCTGCTTTTCAACCCGGATAGAGAAACTAATCATTGCAGAAAGCTGAAACTCCGTGAGAATCTAACGCTAGCGGATGTAATAAAATGCGAAAGTTTGAGTGCATGACATTACTTTTATCAAGATTCAAAAGAAAAACAAAATTTCTCCGAGCCAACATTTACCTAAGCCTACTGTTCATCAAACCAAATTTTGGGAGTGTTTGACGCGGCAAACACACCAGTCGGAGACGCTACCGGGCACCATATTTGAACCCTCGGTGTTACATCTATCCGTTGAAGCAAAACAGGAAGAATATGCTGGAAAGCCTATCTAGTGCATTTCTTACCATTCCATCTGACCTTTCGTGGCCCACAGGAACCAGGGCAGCCATGGCACGAGGCTGAGCTGCAGCAAGAGCTGCAATGGCAGCGTGCTGACCGGGAACGAGCGGGTGGACAGCAGGCAGCTCGTGTGTTGGAGGGTCGGCGGGAGGGAGGCCAGGGAGCAAGAATGCCAGCGAGCATGTCTGGGTTGGGCGCTTGGAGAGTCAGGTCTCTTGTAGGTGGCAAGGCAGGTGGCTGATAGCTAGTTGCAAAGCAGGGAGAGGAAGCCTCGCGCCTAGCAGGACAACAGCGGGTGCTGTCGCAATGCCGAAGCTAGGGTCAGCTACAAAGAGCTCTTCACCACCACCTGCCATTAAGAGACAGGTTTACAGGAAAAGTACAACCGGTAGCCTGGGGTCTTTAACGTGCATCACGCAGTAGTGATACACGACCGCACGCCGGTACAATGCTCATCCAAATCTAAACAAGCAGGAGTGGGTATTGAGCCCGGCATCCCCGGGTTTTGCAGTGCGAACTTTCGCTCAACGAGCTCCAAGCTCATGCGCGCTAGTACCCTCGGCCACTGATCCCCCCTCACAGTCGCAACATTAACGAAGCAACAACAGAAAGAGCAGCAGCAGCAGCAGCAGTATACAAAAATAACAATTGAAAAAAGTAAAAAAAAAAGGGTATACAAACCAAAACATTACCAGCCTGCAGTGGCAAAAAAAACGTTGCTTAGTTGTCAGCCTAGCATGCCACCACTGCTACTGCGTGCCTCGTGAGCCGTAAGCGCTTGCTTCATACTGCCAGAGCCAATGACGTTCACACAACCTGACAATCGCCGCCTGATTAAATGGGCGTACGCTGATGCCACCGAAAACCGGTGATTTCGACACGTTGCTGTCTCAGCACAATGGTACTCGGCAGAAGGATGCCGACACGGGACGATTATTCAGGCACGCTGGCTGTCGCAGCAGGAAGTCCAGCATGGTGGCTAACATTATCGCAAATAAATCAATTTTCTATTGATTTATTTAGATGGCAAAAAAATATTTGCCATCTTGTGAGGGACACGCGATATAAGCCTTCGGTTTGAACACACTACGGTCTACAATCTATCAAGCCACATAACTTAATTAACGACACAAACCATGATTAAGAAAATACAGAAAACTAGAGAGGTTGCAAACTTTTTTTGAACCTGGCGTTCGAAGATAAGTTTGGCTTATTAGTGCACCACTCAGTAGTGATACACGACCGCACGCCGGTACAATGCTCATCCAGATCGAAATGGGCAGGAGTGGGGATTGAACCCAGGATCCCTGGGATCTGTAGCGCGAGCTTTCGCTTCACGTGCTCCGAGCTGGTGTACGAGAATCATGCATTCATCAAAGAAAAATGCAAGAAGCTGGAAATGTGGAGAGCTTGATATAAGACCGGTCGTGACAAGATCAGCTGTATTTCCAAAGGTTTGGAGTCCACAGAGTTTTGATGGACTGCATGCTCCTCAACCTTGAACTGTCGGAAAGCCTAGGTGCCTGTATATATATGTATATTTTTTTTTTTAGCAAGCATCACGACATAGGTTGTGTTCGATTAGATTGCTGTCAGTTTATAGAAGTAGGAAGGATGCTCAGCCAATTGCCTCAAGCCGTTTTGCTGGACTGCTTACCCATTGCAACGATAGTTCCCTGAGGTACGTTAAATAACAAGTATACATAGTGCTGTAAGTACGACCAACACCATAGAAGAACACCATAGATTTAGCGCACAATGTAGAGAGAACAGCCATACAGAAAAGAGCGCCACTTGCAACTATGTTTACTGACGGAAAAAAAAGGAATGATCCACCGCAGACACATGCTTCTACCATCAGCCCCGTGAATGTTGGTGGCTCGTTCATCCAGGCTCGTGTGGGCCCTTTATTGTCTGTTGAAGGAATTCTCTTTCCTTGCTTGACAGCGTCACGGATTCTTTAACTGATACAGTCCCTGTTTTCACAGGATGTGGAAAGCCTCCAGCACTTCGCAGATAAATTTCTCATCGTTCCTCCCCAAGATGTTTGTCTCGCCGAATGAAGGTCTGCATGTGCACTCCCTACAATGGATTGGAAGATGTCCACCCACTGTAGCCTTCAAGGAGTAATCATGCTCACGAGTTGATCATTAAAGCAGCTACCCACTGTGCGTATGTAGTTCTTGCCACACAAAAGTGGTACCTTGTATACGACGCCCAAAGTGCATAGAAGAAATCTTTGCATTCTTTGTGGTACCCTCGGCATGTATTCATCACTCTAGGGCAAATCTGATTCCTTTTCCGGTGCTGAAAAAACTACTCCGACTTCATAGCAGCTTACGACTTTTTTTAAATTATGAAACATCCTGTGCAGGTACGGTATCAGCACTGGCCTTGTTTTTTCGACAGTGGCTGCGTCTGGTCTTTAGCAGGCTCATTCAAAGTGGACGCTCTCAGGCAGTGGCGTAGACTTTCCATTTTCCCGGGGGAGGCAGGCTGAGGAGTTCTGCAGGGGAGGGGAAGGGGGGGGGGGGGTGCTTTTCCGCACAATTTATTTTACACCGGCAATTATCAGTAGTTTACTTTAGAGGGTACATTTTACAGCGTATGTATATCGCCATGTGTCCGTCGCTGTGTGCGTTATTTTGTTACATGCCACTACTAGAAGCTCGTTACATGGCACGTAAACAGCGTCTCGGTAAGGATCATGGCCCGGGGGGCACGAGCCCTGATGCTCCCCCGTAGTCTACGCCTATGCTCTCAGGTATGTTTTCAAAAGTGAAGTAGTAGTAAGCGTTTTATTGAAAAGGAAAACCTGAACAGGTGGCCACTCCTAAAAATGGAGTCAGTTCAGGGTTGGGGAATGGGTTAGAGGAGGGACAGATTAGAAGAAAAGAAAGAAAGATAAATAAACCAAATACTTCAATAAACCGTCGTAGTGAAGGGAACGAGCGCTCTGCTTCCGCCGTTGTTAAGGGCAGAGGTGCTAGGATCTTGAGGAGACGATGAACGTTTTGAAATAGGGCCTCCAGACAGAGGGCGACCGCCTGTATACCGCAGACGTGATGGGCGTTTCAGGTGTTTCACGTTTCTCTTTCTTGCATTGGACGCCTAAAATTTCCCTATTTTTGGCGAAGTTTTCCTCACTTTGCGAAAATCGTCGCAGACGGATGCGATGAAGTCCGTCTTACTTTCTGCTTTGTATGTCGAGGTGGCGACCAATGAAATTCCTTATTTGATGAATTTTTTCGTTGCACGGAACATCAGAAACTCTGAAGAGACAAGCCTTCATATTCTTACTACGCATTGGTGCAAGGGTAGTCAAGTTCCTTTCCACGTTCGGCGTGTAGTTTCTGTGTGGTGCATCATGTCATTTCTCCAAGTGATACGGAACAACGAGTTCGGACTGATGACTTTTCATTACCCCGAGGATATGCTGCTGCTGCCTTTGGACCACGCTGCAAAATTCCCCTTCTGCGTGATACAGCCTATCCAGAACCGTCCAGAATAGATCCAGAACACAGAACACGTGTTCTCAAGCCGTCGACACGGAGTGCGGCAGCTGCGAGTGCTCGCTGAGCATGCCGCAATCTTTTTTCGACCCAAAGTTTCGATGATCGAATCAAGCGGTCAAAAGGTTTTGATTTTCTACCTTTCTATATCGAAAAATTCGACGGAAGTCGAATTTTCAACCTTGTTAAACTACGAAGTTCGGCACTTTTTGAAATTTCGAACGTTGCACGTTCAGAAATGCAATGTTTTTCGAACCGTCAAACTTATTACGCTTAAAAATTCGATCGTTTTCAAACTTTCGACTTTGACAGACCAAAAAAATCAATGATTTTCGAACTTTTGAATTTCTTGAACTAAAAAGTTCGAAGCTTTTCAAACTTTTGAACCTCCTATGCTAAAGAATTCGATCATTTTCGAACCATCAGACTTATCTATCTAGACAATCGAAAAGCTTCGAACTTTCGATTCCTGAGAAGTGAAAAGTTCGACGAACTTCGAACTTGTAGGGTAATGGTTCAAAGTTCGCCGAACTTCGAAAGACCGGCGGACGGTCTCATTTGAATTCAAGCAGTGAAGTACATTCGAAATTTTTTTTCTCGAATTTTTACATGTGGTGCCGCGTTCCTTGCAAAAGACAATGCCATTTATTTCAATGTTCTCGCATACTTAGTTTTAAAGAAATAAATTCCCAAAGGAGCGAGGAAGAATGACGGGTTTTCGACAATTGTCATTTGTGCCATATTTGAAGCGCGGCTCAAGTGAGGGTGGGTGCAACTGCTAGATTGGGGATCACGGGACATGGACGCCATTTAATGGCTAAATTTTGCTGGGACTCCGAACTTCCGGTTTATCACTCTAAGCCCCTCTACCTCGTTGGTCCTAATATCGTCGGTACTACTCCTAGCTCCGCACTTTTATCGAGGATTCGGAGCTCCAACTCCGACAGACCCGTTAAATTCATACCATCAACGTAAGCCGCAGCCGATTGGCCAGTCACTTTGCTTCTACCATTGGCCACCCAAGCCAGGACCAGGAACGTCATGAGGGAGTTTTTTTTATTTTTTAAAATTGTTTTTGTAATTTTAATTCGCCATTACCTTTTAAAATAAAGCGAATTTCGAGAAAAGTTTTACTAAGCTACTACGTTCAGTCCGCTCAGGTTCTGTGCAAATTAATATCCAGTCAAAAAGTCGTTGCAGGGCACTTTCATATCGAGATGGTGCACGCGCGCGTGGCGTGTGTAAAATTAAACGGAAGCTTCGGGAATGTTGATATACACTACAGTAACATTTTCAAAATTAAACTGTGGCTATTATGCAAGAGTGTATGTTAGGCAGACATATTCTGACGACCTACGTTCATCATTCATGGATGTCTTATTATTTCTCAAATTTCAGACATAATAAAGAATATTTGCATATAGCAGGATTAATTAATCCCTTCAATTAAATATAGCTGGGCATCTCTATAGGTTTAATTTTATGTCAAGTGCATCATTTACTTGCCATTCCCATGTAGGCAATGGACTTTCTGAGGTCACAGTCCATAAATATAGCTAGATTAAAGTTTACATAGCTTAGATATGAACAAGTGGAACCTTTACGAGTTCAGCTGGGGTTTAGTTTAGAGATGGTGCAGGAGTGAAAAGGGGGAAGGGGTTGGAGAAACTATTCAATATTCTATTCGGAAATATTTGGCCAAAACTACTATTCGCTTTGAATTCGCTTCGAAGTTGACTATTTGCCACATGCCTAGAAAACTGCCTTCAAAACTCCGGTTCTCTTGGCATATTATTTTTTTGTAAATTGTCATAATCAATATTACTATTCGTTGTTCCCTGCTTCATGTCTCCGTAGCTATGAAAAAATTTCTTTGCGTTCTCGTGTGTATCGGGTATAGTGATCTTATCTGATATTCACCATTTTCATTAGTCTTCTCCCTGTGTGAATATGCCAAAGCTCCTATGCGCTTTGATTCATGTCTGGTGGGTTCTTGGGGTCCCAACTATTTTGTAATGTCATAAATATTAAACTATTACACTTAAAAATAAAGTAGTATATTTGTACACCTTACATTTCTTTTTGAATTTTCGCTCTAGTTTCGATTTTCATATTTAAATGCTTATTAAGGCTAATTTATTTAGTATTTCCACATTTATATTGTTTTATCTAATTTCCTGCCCTCAATCGAGGGCAGCAAGCCTGTTGCAGTCTCGAGACTGCAACAGGTCCCCAATCCGGCCCCTAGCCAAAACGTTTGGGTACCCTTGCTCTAGGGTAAAAGTTCTGTACCTTGGCACATACGCGTAGACTGCGGGGGGCACCGGGGCTCGTGCCCCCCCTGGTGAAATCGTGGGGGGGGGGGGGGGGGCAGAGCCCCCGCTGGGCCCGGGCCATGATCCTTACCGAGACGCTGTTTACGTGCTATGTAATGAGCTTCTAGTAGCGGCATGTAAACAAAATAACGTCCACGTTGCCTTTATTGACAAAATACATGGGAAATTGAATCCCAGTGTGCTTTTGTTAGCTTGAATCTCCAGTTCTGGCGAGAAGGGAGCATGCAGCACCCCCGCCCCGCCCCGCCCCCCCCCCCCCTCCCCCCGGGAGATCTCAGCCTGCCGCCTGCCCCCCCCCCCCCCCCCCCCCCCCCCCGTCTTGGGGGGGGGGGGGGGGGGGGGCAGGCGGCAGGCTGTACACTGAAAAAGGGTTATTTTTCAGTGTACAAATAACATTTCTCAAAGGTATTCCATTTCTAAAAAAAAAATTATTTTCTATTAATGATGTTAATTGGTATTAATTTATTCGAGTGGCCTCAATTAGCATTCAATATATTCCTAAAGGTAATAAAATGAACAAATCTCTGAATCTCTTATTGGAAAATGTTTTTAAGAAATCTCAGCAAATCACAGGTCTTTCCTGGGTCTTCCTGGGTCTTAGGCCAGGCTATGTTCCCCGTCCCCGACAAGTAACTTCGAAAATATGATGCAAAGTTATTGCGGAGAAGGTGTCGTGCAATTGATATTTCAATTGCATGTCAAAGAAACCTAGGCCTTCAGGGTTTGACATGTTAACCCTCCAATGTACTTTTATTTGCCTATAAGGCACTACACTTTGTGGCATTGCTTTTAGAAACTGCCAAAAAGCCTCAAATATCTATGATGGCTCATAGCTCTCCCAAAACAGCTGGCCATGTTTTGTGCCTTTGGCCAAGATGTCACTAAACCTGAACAACAATAGCGAAACAGTTAAAGCTAACAATCCCCGTGACTAGTATGTCAGCTGGATAAAAAGATATGGAGAAGGTACATGAGCAAAAAATAGCATCACTATACACATTTCGAGAACCTCATTTTGGTGACTTAAAGGGATGGTGAACCGAAATTTGGATTTCAGAAAACAATGCAGGAGCTATAGGCGGGACGCTACAATCCCTACAACACTACTTCTAAGGCGATATCTTGAATTGACAGCCGTATCTTTGGAAAAAAAAAAGGTGGAGATTGAACGAGGCCAACCTGACATCAAGATATCTCGTTTCCTCCTCTCTTCGTTTCGCCCCCTCAAGGCGGCAAGGCAGAGAAGACGCGAGGCCATTCCCTCTCCTTCTCGGAGAAAGAAGACGTAAACATATGTAAAATGCGCCCCCATTTTTTTTTAAATATGGTCATCCGTTCGATATATTGTTATACGAGTGATGTTTGTAGCATCCCGTTGAACGCTTTTGCCACCGTGCTTTGGGCAATCCAGATTTCGGCTCAGCAGGGAAATCTGAATCCTGGCAGAATTTGTAACCACACATTAATTTTGCAACATTCACCATTAATTGTGATAAGTCAAAGTGGGAAATATAGGCACTCTTGTGCCCGATCGCTAAGCATTTATTTACTGCAATTGTGAAAGGTACTGATAGGAATCTATGCTCTCTGAAATATTGTTGGTTGGGCCTGGTGCAGATGCTACATTATTATATTCTCTAGACGATCTCCCATCAAGTATTCGAAGACATCACCTCCCTCAACAAGTCTTCTACCTTGCCCCTCTTTGAAAGGCAGTTGGCCTTCCCTTGAAACTTCCCATGCTTCATGAATCCTTTCCCATCCAGAAGTTGGCAAACCCTGGGCCCATAAGCAGACACGATATCGTCGCGCCCGGCCAACAGGAACTGCCCGCTCCCCTTCTCGTCTCCCGCAGTCAGAAAAAGCAAGACGTCCTTGTTGCCCACCTCATTCACGAAGATAGACATGAACTCTGCGTCCGCCTCCCGCCGGTGGAAAGAGAAGAACTTGGGCAATGGATCGAGCTGCTTGAAAAGCTTGGCCTCCGCGAGAGCCAGGTCCCTCAACACCGACAGGGCATTCTTGTTGGCGAGTTTCAGTGACTTGGCCAACTTCTCGGCCATGGCAGCATGCTCCTCCGGCCCGCACTTGAGGAGCGTGTTGAGGGACCTTTCCCTCTTCACCGCTTTGTCCAGATACCCCAAGACCCTGTTCCCCACCAGAAAGTACAAGTTCGTCTTTCCCTGCTTCCCTTTCTCGGTGTACAACAGTTTGATCGCTTGGAGGTGGCTCAGGTTCGACACGTGCGTGCCGCAACACGTGTTGGAGTCGACGCCGGCTATCGTGACGACGCGTATTGAGTCTCCTTCGCCTTCGGGAAGTTTTAGCCGCGTCCGCACGCCGTTCAGTTCCTCAGACCCATGTTCGTAGAGCTTCACGGAAACGGGGACGCACTCCCGTATCTTCTCGTTCACCGCCGCTTCTAATCTTTGGACGCCGGCGGCTTGGATCCCCGCTGGGGCGTCGAGCTCGACGAAGCTGACTTCGTCACCCAGGCTCCAAGATGTGGTGCGCCAGCTGAGCTGGTCTTCCGCCACCGCCGTGATGAGGTGTTGTCCCGAGTGCTGTTGCATGTGGTCATAGCGGCGGGTCCAGTCCACCTCGAGTGCGACTTCCTCCCCTACGGTGAACGGGGAATGAACGAAGTGGATCGCATGGCCGTTCTTTCGGAACACACGCAGCACCGGCACTCCGTTCGCCGTGCCGCGGTCGTCGGGCTGGCCCCCACCCTCGGGGAAGAGCACGGTATCTTCGAGTACGAGCTCGTAACCTGCCTGCTTTTCTTTCTTACCGTTGGTTAGGACTTCAAGGAAGGCCGCGTCGCACTTAACGACCTTTGTTTTAAGGTGCTGCAAGTAACTGTCCTTCTGACAGGCGAAAATCATCTTCGAAGCGGGTTTAAACGTGGTGATAGATTGTTAATTTGCCCAAAACTTCCAAAACGACCTAAAACAAAATGTGGATTGGATAGCGTTGGATCCGGCTGACATAGAGAAACTAGACGTAAAAGTAAATATGATAGATTGGTAATCCTCGTAAACCTCCAGGTACAAAAATATAACGCATCGACAAAATGTAATATATTCTAAATTAAATTTTTAAATCCTTATTACATAATCTCAAGGGGAATTAAATTTCGCGATACAATTTTGATTGATAACGTTCGCCTTCTGGCGTCGTGCCAGCCGCACTGGCCGCGCTGGCCGCACAGGCACAGGCGCGCGCGAAGATCGTACGAAGTGCCGCTGGTGCCGCGTGTCACGCTGTTCGTGCCTCGGATGCCTCGGACGAGCGGACATTTATCAAGAGCGGCATCTTATTCATCTCAGTTCGCGACGCTGTGATACGACGGACACACCCGGATTCGCGTAAGGGGCAATCATTCACGCGATAAAACGACCGCTCTCGAGGTGTCCTGCAGCGCCTCTTTTTATTCGCGGTATCTCTCTTGGGTCGTCGCTCCGCGCACTCCATCGAGCGAGCAATGGAAACCGAAAACAACCACGGCAAAGTGTAAGTTTTCTGTCCTTCCCTTTAACATCCTGCGGCATTTGATTTTTCTGCTTCTGGGTTAATTTTTGTTATGTAAGAATGCAAAGAAAACAACTCCTCTATATAAGAACAAAATGGCATTACTCAACAGCGATCTTGGACAAAAAATCAAGTCGGCTAAATACAACTTTTTCAATATCACTCTTCAATCGTTTATTCAATCTTCACCCGTCAAATTCTGGAACTATGCCAACCCAAAAAACAAATCAAGTCCAGAAACGCTCTTCGGTGACAAAGCAAATCTTGCGAAAGCCTTCAATGATTATTTTCTTTCGGTCTTTGCAACAGATAATGGTAATGCACACCCTCATTCGCGTGCCTCATTCGCGAACTACAGGCCCATCTCCCTTACCTCAACTTGCTGTAAATTGCTCGAACACATTGTTCTGAAGCATGTCTCCACCCACATCGAGAATAACCAAGTGCTCACTCCATATCCGCACGGTTTCAGACGTCACCTTTCAACAGTGACGCAACTTGTTGAAAGCATTCACGATTTTTCCACTGTCATTAACAATAGACGACAGGTTGACACCATATTCATCGATCTGTCAAAAGCCTTTGACGAGCTATCTCACCCTAAGCTATTGTTTAAGTTATAGAATCAATACTATAGGAGAAAAGGAAAAAATCTTAGGTGGATTGAAGACTAGTCTTTCAGATATTGCTACCAGTACGTAGCTCTTAATGCGCACTCATCATTCAAAGGCAAAGTTTCATCGGGAGTCCCACAGGGATCAGTACTGGCACCTTTTTTGTTCCCCATATACATAAATGACTTGGTCAAAGATGTGAACATAAAAATTCGCCTCTTTGCTGATGATTGCATACTTTATTCACAAATAAATGACCCAAATGACCAGATTAACGTAAATAATGCGCTTCAACACATCATAAATTGGTGCCATGATTGGCAGATGAAAATAAATTTGAATAAAACTGTATTTATGACCATAACCAATAAAAGACAACAATACTCCTTTCCTTACCAGATAGGCAATAACCTCTTAGAACAAGTCGGTGAACACAAATACCTTGCCCTCAACATACCTAAGTCAAAATTCGCGTTGGGACTCACACATTCACTCCACAACTAATAAAGCTCTAAAAAAACTGAGTTTCCTTAAAGGGTCGTGAAACGCTTTTCCAACTTTTTCTTGTTTAGCTTTCCTCCTCAACTCATAAATCGCTCATTCCACCAAACAGTGAAAGAAGACGAAAAGGGGGAGTCCCCTCTTGCTCGCACTCTCGTTTGTGTAATCCGGACACATCCATTCTCTCCCTAGAAGATTAGCCCGTCGCTCAAAATTCAGACAAAAGTTGCTTTCCCCACCCCGTTCATTCCGAAGCTGACAGTGCTGTTGAAGCTACGTGCTCGTTGGGCCAGCCACACTTGCCACGTGAGCGTGGCAAATGTGGCTGCAGAGAATGAAGTCAGGTGATGAAAGGGAGGCGGCTGATTGGTCCGGCAAGCGCGTAGCTTCCACCACAATGTCAGCTTAGGGGTGAAGGGAATAAGTGAGGTCCGGTTGCGTGTGACGTCAGTTTGGACCCGTTGACGCGCTTTTGGGACCGCGGATGTATCACAGTGAAAAGGCAGAGAGGTTGCGAAGGGGAGGAGGTACGAAATAGTCCGCTCTGTTTTCAAATTTTCGCACTGAAAGTCAGGCTTTTGACTTTCTACCTTTTTACTTTTGGTCCACTGAACGATGTGCTATTAGTAAAATCCCAATATAAAATGATTTATCCCAACCCAAAAATCGTTTCATGGGCCCTTTAAACGAGTCTTAAAATTTGCATCTCCTGCCACTAAATTACTAGCCTACAAAACTTTAATACGTCCTTTGCTCGAGTACGCCAACGTCGTCTGGTTCCCCCACACAGTCTCCGGCATCAATAAGATAGAAAATGGCCACAAGGTTTATTTGCAATGAGTATAGTAGGCACGTCTCTTTCTCTGAACTTTGCAGGCAACTGGATCTCTCCTCTTTAGAAAAAAGAGCAAAAATGGCTAGACTTAAATTTCTATACGAATTAGCCAACAATCATTTCAACCTACCAAAAGAAAATGATCTTATCCATACAAGCAAACGATTAACATGGTACAACCATGGCAATCTTTACGATGAAGGCGTCGCTCATATTAACTGCTTTAAATTCTCTTTTTTTCCCCGGACCATTAACAAATGGAACCACCTGCCTCAAAATGTTGTTCATTCCTCGTCTATTGAAATCTTCCTCGATTACGTAGATGCCCACTTTTCATCATAAACTAATATTGTATGCTGTTTTTAAAAGTGCAATGTATCTATTGTATTGAAGTTGTTTACTAATTTTTCATTCTTGACTTCTATATTTGCTTTGAATATTGACCTGAAAATCTTGTGTTGAATATTTTTTTTTCTGCTTGTAATATTTCAAACTGAACCACCCTACAACAACCTCGAATGGGGTTAGTAGTATTGGAAATAAATAAATAAATAATAAATACAGTTTTAGTGCAGAAAGTGGTATCAACGTCGAGCTCGGACTGTCTTGTGTGGTGTGCGTGATTTCGTCGCTTTTTATTGGGATGCAGAGTGTACCTGGATTACAATGCCACGACGCCAACAGCAGTCGAAGTCCAAGTCTCCATTTGTGACGCCTTGAAGAATGCTTGGGGAAATCCTACGAGTTCGCATGCTGCCGGTAACTACATATACTTCCGAATAAACAGTGCTTGCATGAAAAGAAACCGCACACCTTCGAATCGTTCAAAAAGAGGAAACAAATGACGAGCATGAGCCTCTTCGTGATGACAGTGACACCAAACGTGCGAGTCTCAACTCGGTGTGTCCGAATTAATTATAAAGTAACGACCAGAACACCGGCTGACTGTTGATCGGCGTATATCTGCACGTAGCGATCTCATATTCTCGATCATCACAATTGTTTTCACCTCGTGATATTTCGGGGCGTAAGCTCCCTTCCTGTAAAAAAGTGAGACCCCTTCACATTGTCAATGGCAGGCACTGATACAGACGACAGAGTTAATCGAGGGGGCTCTCTAATCGAGAGTAGGGAGGCTGACGCGAGGGTGGGTGCAACTGCTAGATCGGGTATCACGGGATATGGACGCCATTTAATTGCTAAGTTTTGCTGGGAGTCTTTGGGGCCTAACTTTCCTAACTCATGTCATAAGAGCCCATTGATCTGCTTGAGTAATTGATGCAAGGTATAAATGATTACTTTTCTATGGCCACCAGATTTGTTCCGATAGGCTAAGTATTTGTTTAACACGAAAAATTGTAAATTCCGCCATTTTGGACACTGCTGCTTGTGTGGCAACCCTGCTTTCTCCTCTTGACGTTTGCAATTCCTGGAGTGAAGAGGAAGCGAGAAAGCCTACGCCAAGGCGTTCATTGCTTGCAATGGGAGGCAAGAGGAGGAAAGGCGCATGGGACAACAGAGTTGCAACAGAGCGGGCGTCTGCTCTTATGCGGGCAACACTGGTGCATATCCTTTCCCAATCCTCTCCCCAAGTGCAGCCATTAAATTTCAAATGCTCTCCAGGATTTGAGTTGTACCCACTCTCACTAGAGCCTCTTCAATCGAGAGTTGTGCTTGTGGCACTATTTTCCAAAAGACAGTAAGCATACGACGGCATTGTCAGCTTTTGATAAGCATACGACGGCATCATCAGCTTTTGACCGAGGGCCGTTGTCTGCTTGCTGCGCCTGTCTGGAGATGGTGCCACGAGCACGACTATCAATCAATTTGCGTGCCTAGATTCCATAGTGATTCCAATTACTAAATCGCGGTTGCATTGTTTGTTTGCTTCGTTTGTAAGACAAGGTGCGAGGAGGCAACAGCGTTGTATCATGTGCAAGTGTCTCCGTCTTGTCGTGGCTCTTCGTGCTCTCAACAACACACTCATGCGCGCATGCACCCAGTCCGCTCGTTTTGATCTGGACGAGCATCGTACAGGCATGCGGTCGGCCATCACTACTACATGATGCACGTCGAAGACCCCAAGCTAGCAGTTGTACTGCACCAGCTAAATTTCTCATCTACAGCTGGGAGACTCGTCGCCCAATGAGGAGGACTAATTTCAGGCTGTATAAACATACTCACAACCCCCAACTGCACCCAGTCTGCTTTAAAGGGGACCGCTATTCAAAGGGCAGCTTCAGTCAATTCCAAAAATTCTGGGATTACGGGTGATTATCCTCTAAAAACTACTAACAAAACAGTTCTATGTTATTTGTTTCCCGAAAAGTTATGTAGTTTTCTTGCAAACCTTTTTTAAAGGAAAATCCCAAAGTGAAACCGAAACCATTTCCGTGGCAGGCAACATTGTTTCTGTTTGTCAACTACTGGACATCACATGGTACGAAGACGACGGATATGTCGTAAAGGAAAGCGGCAGACGGCATGATGGCGTTGTTGACCCAGTACAGTCGTGCAGTGGCAATGTCGCGCGTCGTTTCTTTTCTCCACACTCTCTTTTTCTCTCTCGCCCTCACACTCCGTGCCTCGAAAAGTAGGAAACATTTTACAGTTGTTGACGTTCTGCGCAGTGTTGGCTGTGTCCACGCAGCGGCATTGACTGCGCTGCTCTGCACACCGCGCATCGCCCGTCCGGTTGGGCGGGTTTTGGTGACCATGGAGCCGCCCCGGCTTTGTTGGCTGGTTTAATAAACTTTTAAGCAGAATTGCGTTACAATATTTTACGTGTAGGCTTTTCAGATGATACAACATAGGATTGCATTGTTTTTTCAACATCAAAATTTGACCGGAGCTGCCCTTTAATAGAAAACATCCTCCGTAGCTTGGGTTGCTCCCTCTCTCGAACCTAGACTCTCTACCTTCGCTTAACTTGGTCATCCGCGATGGCGTCTGCCATCGATAATGTCAAAAGTGTTGCTCTGATTTTTTTGCAGGAAGGGAGCTTTGCCTTGAAATTTGCAAGGTAAAACGCACCGCTAAAATACACCTTTTGTGAAAATTTGGTATCATTATATGCAGGTGATGATTTTTCGGGTGATCTTGGCGTGAAAGCCTTGATTCGTAACACCCCGTATCATGCAACACATATATGGGGTGTTAGATATGGCCTATTAATATGTAAAATTTCTGCCCAGGGGATGCAGCACGAAAGCTTACTGACAAAGCTCGCAGCGATGTTGCAACCATCATTGGAGGTAAACCACAGGGTAAGCCATCTCTTACATTTCTCCTCTGCGCTTTCGTACTGCCATCTTTGCTCCTGTTTCACGAGCGGTAACCGCAAGCTTTGCTCCTGTTGCACGAGTGGTAACTTTAGCATACTACTGTGCTTTTTGCGTGCTTCGAATATTTCTATAATCTACTAATTTGGTGTTTTTCAATGGCACTCAGCAAGTTTCTCATTGGAACCATATGTGCAGTGGCGTCTCTATGGTCAGTGGCACCCGAGGCAGTGGTCCGCTGCGACCCCCCCTTCCACTGCCCAACCCCCTGAGTGCTGCACCCGGGGCAATCCCCCCCCACCAGTGATGCCACTGCATATGTGTAGAGCCCTGCATATCCGCAGATAAATCATGGATATCTGCATTAAACTGCCAGATGCGGATAGAAATTAATCAGATTTGGCGGATTGCGGATCAGTTGTGGATGCCAGGTGGCCTGTAAACGTGTACGATCGCACAGTGAATAAGTGGGTGATACTATGAAGTGCATCATCGAATGTATTGCGGGAGCAAACTACTTAGATAAAAGGTGCCAATCGGGGAAAAAAATTTTCTTTACGTCAAGAAAGATTTGATTCTCACCAAAGATGAATTTAGAATGTTCTATCTCGCCAAAAATGCTGTCCGTTGGAAAAGTAAATAATGCAGGAGCATCAGTTGTCCCGGGAAAGCGTGCTCTTGTTTGGCAGGGAAGAGCAGAAAACATTCTTTTGCAAAGAAACCCATAACTGACCTGCTACAGGAAAGTGGAAGAAGCCTGCAAGGGCCTTCTTCGTCTACAAGTAGATTGAGGAGATTAAATTCAATCCCCTGGTGGAGTGGTGTTACTTGCGCCAGCACCAGTTTCCGCACATCATTCTTGTAGCGCAGTTCGTCCATGCCACCCCAGCAGCATCAGGTGCACCAATAGAAAAAGACTTCTCATTAGTGGGTATTAATTTAATAAAAACAAACTAGTTTGAATCTGTCCATGTTGACGATATTCTGTTTTTTCTACACAGCAACCCCAGCAAGTGAAACGTTGCGTGTGTGTTTTTAGAGCGCAGCTCTTAGGCGCCCGTTTCCGGCTTGAGCGGCGTCGCTGTCGGCGTAACCAAGGTCACCCCAAGTTCAAGTGACCCCCAAGGTCATGTGACCCCCCCCCCCTCCCCGGTCACGTGACCCCCCGAGGTCACATGATCCCTCCCAAGGTCACGTGACCCCCGAGGTCACGTGACCCCCGAGGTCACGTGGCCCCCCTCCCCGAGGTCATGTGGCCCCCTCCCCGAGGTCACGTGACCCCCTTCCGCCGAGGTCAGGTGACCCCCCCCCCCCCCCGGAGCCTATTAAAGAATGAGGGGAGGAGGAGGAAGGGTCTACCCTCCCCTCAATACCCTTCCCTCCTCCTCAAGAGCTGCGCTCCAATTCGGCGTTACAGGAAGTTGTAAATGGCTTTCACTTTTTTTTTTTTCCTCGGCAGTTGACACTGAGTTGTTTTTAAGTATGCGGTTCCAAGGCATGTTGTTGAGGGATACTGTTTAAAACTGACGAACCAATAGGAGGTGTTGCCATTATTGAATATTGTGATATTTTCCGAGTGGTATGTACTCGCACCTTACAACATATACACAAGTACTTTGCTGCGATGAGTGAGCGCCTTTTATCCTCCACTTTGATTGTTCGGCCTAGATAAATTGACACAATGTTATTAGTCCGCCCTTTGTTAATTTTCATGTTTATAAAATGTGCATCTGCTTGAAGTGGATGTTACAAGGCAAAAAGGAAAAGGAAAGTTTCACGGACTCCCAAGACATAACTGCGATCATCTTTCCAGTGATGCTGTGCCGCCGCTTTGTCGGTTTCACGCTGACATTGGCTGCAGGAATCGGCTGGCACACTCGGGTGGCGCCATGGCCGCACCTGATCGCGCCAGCCGATTCTGGCGCGCTGGCGGTGCGGGCACGCAGCACCATGGGGTGGCGCTGTGATGCGCGGCAGCCTGCTTCGGCTTCATTTATTTGCCTTTTTGCGCGGCTTCAAATCTAGGATGCCCGAGATCACGGCTTCATGAATTTATCTGCCGTTTGGTACGGCTGATGACGTTGGCCTGCTCCATGGGATAGTTAATGCTTTTGCATTAATACGATAAAACAAGACTTTATAAATTTATTTTCACGTATGGTGACATGGAGAGTTCCTTGTACAAAAGTAAGCAAATGGATTTTTTTTTTATTCATGTTTGATTTGATGATATAAAATGAATTCATGCAGGGTGTCGAACCGGAACCGAAAACCGGAACCGAACCGGTATTTTTTCCGGAACTGAACCCGAACCCAAACCGTTATATTGTTATCGCGATGAACCCGAACCGGAACTGAACCGGAAAAAAAATAAAGGTTACCGGCTCATGTCAAAACGGTTCGGCCACGCGCTGTCGACAATGAATGTGCTATCAATGCCGTTTGTTTTTTAAGTGCCGTCAACTGACACACACCTCGCTTACATATTTTTCTTCTCCACTCAGTCTTAGGAATATAAACGCTGCATCCATGAATCTTGACAAACGCTGCATCCATGAATCTTGACATAAGAACCAGTATTGCGCTGGTCGCGACTTGCACGGAAGAAAAAAAATTAAAAGGCTGTGCAAAAAAAAAAAAAAAAAGTGAAAGCCGTTTACAACTTCCTGTAACGCCGAATTAGAGCGCAGCTCTTGAGGAGGAGGAGGGAAGGGTAGTGGGGGGATCAAGTGACCTTGGGTGGGGGTCACGTGACCTAGGGGGGTCACGTGATGATGACGATGCTGATGACGTCATCAGTAACGATGACGATGCGGATACCGATGACGTCATCAGTGATGATGACGATGCGGATGCCGGTGACGTCATCAGTAACGATGACGATGCGGATGCCGGTGACGTCATCAGTGATGTCACTGATGACGTCATCAGCGATGATGATGATGCGGATGCCGGTGACGTCATCAGTGACGTCACTGATGACGTCATCAGCGATGATGACGATGCGAATGCCGGTGACGTCATCAGTGATGATGACGATGTGGATGCCGGTGACGTCATCAGTGACGTCACTGATGACGTCATCAGTGACGTCACTGATGACGTCATCAGTGATGATGACGATGCGGATGCCGGTGACGTCACTGATGACGTCATCAGCGATGATGACGATGCGAATGCCGGTGATGTCATCAGCGATGATGACGATGCGGATGCTGATGACGTCATCAGTGATGATGACAATGACGATGTGGATGCCGGTGACGTCATCAGTGATGATGACGATGCGGATGCCGGTGACATCAGTGACGTCACTGATGACGTAATCGGGGGTCACGTGACCCCGGGGGTCACGTGACTTGGGGAGCCACGTGACTTTGGGTGTCACGTAACCTTGGGGAAGGGGGCATGTGACCTTGGGGTGACCTTGGAGTGACCTTGGGGGTCATGTGACCTTGGGATGACCTTGGTTACGCCAACGGCGACGCCGACGCCGCTCAAGCCGGGAACGGGCCCCTAAGAGCTGCGCTCTAAAAAAAATCGCGTCACGGGATTTCATTTTCCTACAATCTCGTAAATCCTAAATGCTGCTGTGTGCTCATTTCATAACACGTTTCTAGAACGCCCAAGTTCTTGAAGCTTGCTTCCATCGGAATAAGAAAAGAAAAGGCTGTGGAGTTTGATAATAATGCATCCGGTTTCGTATAGGCACTTAGAAGCTAACATATTTGTGAGACAGCGAACTCTTCTATTTTAATATTTATCGTATTACGTCCTTCTGGCGTTGCGTTCGGTGAAGTGTTTTTCATATTCCGTATCTTGTTTAATGAAAACTCCTTTAAGGGTCTAATTTGAGTTACCGAAGGCTAGTTCAAATAAAGAAAGCTGTATTTTCTCCCCACTGTTCCTTCAATTGCTTACACGCCGAGGTGGCGGGATAGTTAGCGAGTTCTACTTGTAAGTGGGTTTGTATGGAGGTCGCGGATTTTACAGGTACTGCGTCGGACCCAATTAAATGAGGTCCGAATGCGTAAACGTCGGTGAGGTAACCTTTGAGTGCACATAAAGAAACCATTCCTGGTAGAAATCCCTGAGCCTTACACTACGATGTATCCCGTTTCGTATGTGCTGATTTCAGATGTTTTATTTGTAATTTATTTTGATATTGGAATTTGTCATTTATAATTTCCGAACCGGTTCGCAAACCGGTTCAGCGCCCCGAACCGGTTCGCGGATCGAATTAATGGAACCGGAACAAAATAAATTTACCTCAACCTGAACCGTAACCGAACCCGTATTTTTTTCGGTTCGACACACTGAATTCATGGATTGAGGGCCGGATGCGGGTACAATTATTTCAAAACATTGGGGATGTGGTTCAGATGCGGATACGGAATCTGCGGATGCGAATGATCAAACTGTTATTCGCGCAGGGCTCCTACATATGTGTTGTGTCTTCAGAAACAAGCGGACCTTTTCAGAGTAGCAACAAACAACAGCTTTGGGTTTATTGCGTATAGGCAGTCAGCCTGCTCAGACAGCTGAACGAGAACTGCAGGGTACACCACCTACGCTTGTCTTAAATAGCTAGGGGGCAGTACTACAGCATACACAGATGACGAAGCTTTCTGCTATTACCCACAAAAATTACATTCTTCCTTCTATATACTAATGTTGTCATTATACATGCCTAATTGGAATAGTTCGAACACGACAATAGATCAGAATGTTTTTGCGAAACTGTCGCTGCACAGGTGCTTCACAGTCTGGTGTGTACGCTTTGGGGTCCATATCCTCCGTGCCAGGTACCGACGCTGCGGTTAGCTCTCGCTGCTCGTGGCACTCCGTGAAGATTTTGCATTGTTAAATGCGTCTTCCAAGCCGGGTGGTTCTGTTGACTCGTCACCAGTGGGCGGTTGTCCTGCATCTTCCACCTCCCCGTACACTGTTTGCCCGTGCCAGGAATTCGGTTCAGTGTCCTCATTTGCCGATTCCCACTGTTGCCAGGAAACCTCGCTTCTGCTGCTCTGATTTTAGTCGGATGACAGTTCTCCTTGGACGAATCTGGTCTTGATGCCGCTTCCATTCCAGGATTCTGCGTGGTGTAGTCACCTGCAACATATAGGACGCTGGCCCGGACCGTGATGTCACCTCACAAGTTCCTCACAAACTTTCATCCCTACAGCAAAGAATGTTTTAACTTCCCATCAACCTCATGCCTGTTCGATCTGCTTCTGCTCTACCACTGAGATTGTGTTAGGTTTCATTAAATAGAGCCGCATTCTGAGGTGTCGTCCTAACAAAAGAGAAGCCGGCAACTGTTTGTACGTTTCCCAATCTGGCAGCGATGCATTGAAAGGTTCCACTTGCCCGATGGCGGCCATCCTGGATGTTCCCCAAGAGGCAGGCCTTGGTGTTCCTTGCATGCTGGGCTGGTTACCCTCTGTCTTGACGGTGTCCTTTGACTTACTCATGGGTTGCTGTCAGCATCTTCGTCGCCAAAAAGTTGTTTCCATGAAGGAACGGACCATATCGGAGTAGCTATGAACAACCTTGGGTTTATGGGTATCGGCCGTCAGCCTGCTCGGCAGCATACACAGGTGTCAAAGCGTTCTGCTATCACTGTGCAAACACTACAATATATTCGTCTTCACTAATTGTGGCAAATGTAGTTGAAAACTTGCTTCAATCTTTCTGTAGTACAGCTGACTCCAGCACTGTGTGAGCCACAAAGTACACGCAGTGATGTGATTGCTGCGCCAATTGCGCCAAACTGCGCCAAGGGGCTAACCCTGCTACATCCTGCTACATTTCGCCGAAATATGGGTAAACTGCGCCAAGCCTGCGCCAAAGGACTAATTTCGGTCGCCTTTCAAAACCGAAACTAAACTGAGTACCATAATTGAGCATGCGTGAGCTAGGTGGCGCAAGCGACCGCCCGACAGAAAGTATGCTGCATCAATCGTCCATCCGGTTTCGCATGGTTTTTCCCGCCGTTCCTCATTTCGCGCTCTCGTGGGTCTCGTCTCGCGTCCTCTTGAAAATATTTTAACTATAGATGCATGCGTATATAGACGCCCCGACGCTAGATTGCCGGGTACCAGCCATGCCGTCATGTTGTAAAACGAAACCACGTTTTTGCGCATTGGGAGTTGCTTGTGATCTGAAGCACTCGCTTCTGAAAGAAACGGCCGTGGCAAAACTCTTTTTGGTCCCTGCCTATACCAGTCACCGTGGTTATGACGTCGGGTGTTCCTGTCGCTTTCTAAAATGAAACGTAAGGACCGCTGCAGGGTAATCAGCAATCTATACAATAAAACGCTACTACAAAAATCCCTCTAGCTCAAAGACTGTTGTGTCGAAGTACTGTTTACCTAGGTTTTCTGGGTAGGATTTCTTTTGAGAGGGACCCGGGCACATAAACAGTCTGTCACAAAAGAAAGTTTAAGACAAGTTAGCTAAAACAAAAAAAGGCACTGTCTGCGTGCTGAACCGGCACAGCGCGCTTGTTTATCTTGAGTTCAGTTGTTGCACAAAGCGCTCCAAGAACTTTTTGACCCTGACTCGCGATGTCTTGCATTAATGCGCTCAGGTTCTTTTTTTTTCTTTTTTATTAGCTTTATTGTTCTTATTTTGTTTGCGCTTTTTAACCTTTTAAATTAGCTTGTGCCTCGCATACTGGCCTGGCAAGCATGCGCCGCTGGACTGTTTTTCTTTTTTTTTTTTATGCTGGATTGTTACATTTTGCATACAATTTTGGGGACCAGATGGCGACGGAGCGGAGTGGCAGAGTTTCGGTTTCGATCGAACAGCCGTCCCCGCTCGCATAACGAAGCGCGTGCAACTGCAAGCTGCTGAAGTTGCCCTCACTTGCATGCGAACATGATTGCACGACAGAGGTACCAGCCGGGACGCTTGCAATCCATTGCTTTATATTTGCTTGCTTCTGACTAAAATCTGCATGTTGGGGAGCAGTAAAACGGTGGGAGACGTTTTGGAGTTGCTCGGCAACGCCTACAGCACTGTACACTTGTGGGATGTCTCAACGTCTCTTTGGAGACATTGAAAGTGGACATTCATTACTTGCTGAAAGCTAAGCGAGGCTTGCAGCAACCTTGCAGAAAGTTTCAACAAGCAAAAGGAAAAGCACCCACCAGTCGTACTGCACCCTTTTTATATGTACAGTTTAGTATTGCATTGCAGTAGTTACGTCTTTCATCAGTTGGATACTGCTTCAATTTATTATATTATATAACTAGTGAAGTTTATGCTTTCATATTTACTGCTAAGCTGGTCATTTTCAAATAAATTTAATATGTGCAGTTTGGTTCTTATTTATCTATAGCGGGTACATATATGTCATTTAACTGAAGCATTGCAAAATATGTTGTGTCATTGGCATTTCAGTTAACAACTTGAAAGACTCCCAGGTCGTCTAACTTGACCATAATTTGTTTATTGTTGCGAGCAAAGTGCCCTTCCTTTGTCCAGCACTTAAAACAAATATTTTTATTTTTATAAAAAAATCTGCTCCAAAAGCCACTTTTTACTGCTCCGAAACACTGTTTTGGCTGCTCCAAAGGAGACTTTTGCTGCTCCAAAACACTGTTTTGGCTGCTCCAAAAGGTGCTCCAAAACGGCTTAGGCCAATCACATCACTGTACACGTCAACAGCTTTTCTGATGAAATTTTTAGGTTCAGAAATATATACTCCCTTTTGAATTCTGCTGTGATTTCTCGCAATGAGCGGTACGGTATATCCAGGATTTTTCTAGGGAAGAATCCATAATGGAAGAGGTAGTTTAGAAACTTCAGGTTGCGATCCTGCCAAGGAACATGCGTCATTGAGACTGCGATTGGTGTATGGTAAAAAGAGAAAGAAAAAAATTAAGCATTGCAACTAGCTTAGTTGCTCAGCAGCCTTGACCCTAATCTTCCTGAAAGATACCATAGGCCTGTCACAAAATCGCCCAAAAAACAAGCAGCAAAAAAAAAATTAACAAAGGAGTTAGTGTGTTTTTTTTGGGGGGAAAGGGGGGGGGGGGGGCTTGTTTTATGTTCTAGTGCGTAATCCAGTATACATCCGAAGGGTTCAAGGAATTATGCCCGGTAGGGACGAAGGGGTGAATTGGGGTGACTGGGGACGCTTGCAGGTGGGTGAGGAGGACGTAAAAAGGCTAGAAGGCATAGGGAAGGGGAAAGAAGGATACAAGGGAATCTTCTGGAAGAATCAATTTTTCCAGGTCGGGCTTTAAGCCTAAAGAAATTAATAGTGCGTTTGATTCTACAGCATGTTTTATTTTAGGCTTAAGCCTAGTAACAGTCACCCTGTATAATCATACACTATTAACAACAGTTAATTTCGAAGTTGTAATCGAATACTTTTGTAAGCTAAATGAGGGTGGCTGGTGTGTTTTCAAACATTTATTACTACAACAGCTGCTTTTTCTTACACTCCAGCATACTTCTACAATAAATAATGCGTGCCTCTCTTGCTTTCAGAAATTGTGTTCACTTCTGGAGGCACTGAGGTATGTTTGTTGTTGTTTTCCGTCTGAATGGGGCCACCTTTTTGCTCATTTGATTCTACCTAGTATTCCTTGTCGACGAACCAAACCTTTCAGAGCAACAACATGATTGTGCATTCGTCAGTGAGGCACTTCAAGGAAGTCAAGCACAACTATGCCGCACTGGCACACTACGACATCCCTCACTGCATTACGACTAATGTGGAACACAAGTCTGTTTTGTTGCCTCTGAAATACCTGAAAGAAAATGGGAACACGGGTATGTCCATGTTGAAATATATATACGGGTACGGTTTCATCTCAAATTGGGCAGGCTAAAAGGGCCTAATTTCTAATTTTGACGAAAAAGATATATGTTATGGGGGCATCTCGCAAATGAAGGAGGGCGCAAACCGCATGTTCTCCAGATTTTTTGTTCTCAAGTTACAAAGCGCAGAAGCCGCAGTGGCAGGAACTAGTGTTTTTGCCTTCCCTGTGCTGGTGCTAGTGTTTTCTCCACACCCTTTTAACTTTTCCCCCTCATTTAATAGGTATTCTAAAGATACCTTGACATATTCAAATATTTTTAGAAATTTAATTGTTTTCTAAAAAAAAATGTAAAACTCGTCACTCCGGTTGCTTTTTGGTCAACTTTGACAGGTCATTACTTTGTCTGTACTTAAAGTAAATTTTCTTTCTTTGGCTCTACAGAAAGCCCTAAGCAAGTCCATTATAAATATAATAATATCATTATGATCTGTTGACTAGCCGCTCCGTTACTTTCACGTAAACGTTGTAAGAAATAACAAATGTTGGAAGTTTGAGGTAGATTTTCTCAAAAACCCTATTTTTGTAAATTTTTATTTTTTAAATTATTTTAGATATAGTATTAGTCGACTACAAGAAAAAACAATCTAGGAATGTAATATTTTGGTTGTATGTCCTCTATTTGAGCCGCAATCACGTGAAATGTGTGAACTTTTGTTATTCTTCACGTTTACGTGAGGGTAGCGGAGCGGCTACTCAGCAGATCATAGTGATATTACTATAACTATACCAGGCATTTAGCATCAAATTCGGGACCGGAGTTTTTGTTCACGCGCATGAAAAATCCACGGGACCCTAGCTATAAACAGCTTTGCTGTAAAAGAAGCTGGAGTACTGCCTTAATATAGCAGAAAAAGTGCACATATTTCCTCAGTGCTCTTGGCCTTTGAGGCACTGCCACTAGAAATGTGATGTTGACATTGACTTGGCTTAGAATTGCTTCACTAACTATATAATGTGAAATCTATGAAGAGGAAAAATGAGCATTTTCAGGGATGTGGCACTGTCTGGGAAAGCTGATTCTGGGTAAAAAGAAATCTAGAGGGTATATGTTTCAAATATGCTGCCTTGTTACGTTTTATTAATGCCGTCTGTGCTGCTTTCTTAATCTATCACAAATGGCATTCATTTGTGAAATGTCGATAGCAAACACAAGTTTGAAATAATCTTGGCTATTGTTGGTGTATAGGCAAAGCATTATCGAACTTTTTTCATCGATGCCTCTCAGCAGATCTTGTTCCTCATAGATGTCTTGGCAAAAAATGTGACATTTGAAGTGGATAAAAATGAGGAAGAACCTTGGCAATTTCACTGACCACTCCCATCTCAATCATTTGCGTAGTTGCCACTATATACAGAGTGATTCAAGAAGAGGCCAGGCTCTTTAAATCGACTGCAAAATTCGGTTTCTTAACCTATCGCGCTACGACTTTGTGCAGCGTTGCCCACAGATGGTGAATTTTTTTTTGTAAAATTTGCAAAGAGCGAGCTTACCTGAGGAAGAAGTAAAGAAAGAAAAAGGCTTAGCTCCTATGGAAACGCAGCGAAGCCACCGGTCTTCAAACAACACGGTGCCGTTTCGCACGCGAGACAAGAGATGGCGCAAGCGGTCGCAACGCCAACTGCCGCCAACCAAAGCTGCGTTTCCATAGGAGCTAAGCCTAGTTCTTTCTTTACGTTTTCCTCAGGTTAGTTTGCTCTTTGCAAATTTTACAAATAAAATGCACCATCTGTGGGCAACGCTGCACAAAGTCGTAACGCGATAGGTTAAGAAACCGAATTTTGCGGTCACCCTTGTAGTCACCTTGAATCACCCTGTAGAATTGCACAAAATACCTCAATTGTATGAGCTTGTCTAAATTAACAAGGAATTACTGTTAATTTTATGAACTTATCTGAGTTGATAAAGAATTACTGTTAATTTTATGAGGTCATTGGAGTCGAGAAGGAATTACCGAATCGGTCTGCAAAATTGTTGTGACTATTCTGACGTGCTTTTTTGCACGCACTACTTCTAAGACATTTTGTATGCAGACATGCCATAAAAAATAATGGTAAACTAAGTGTTACTGCAAGATTTGTTTAAAACTAATGGGTTAATCAGTACGGTCTGGAGTTGTTCCAGCTGAATTGACTCTACACCGACTGACATCTTTGGTTGACAGACCTCACAATCGTTCCGGTTTCCAAGTCCTCCGGGAGCGTCATTGCCGAGGACATCATATCGGCTATTCGGCCTCATACCATTTTTATAAGTGTGATGTTGGCTCAGAATGAAACCGGAATCTTACAGGTACGTTGTTTTATCTTGAGATTTTGCATTAGCAGTTGTTTTCTCCGAGATATTTCACGGCCTTCTTTTGATCCCTTCATTTGTGGGGCAGCCAGTTGGAGACATAGGAGCTTTACTGGAAGAGGTCAACAGGGAGCGGAAGAAGGAGAGTCTTCCCGAAATCCTCTTCCACACAGACGCTGCACAAGCAATTGGAAAAGTGAAGATTGACGTCGACGCCCTTAAAGTGGACTACCTTTCGATTGCTGGGCATAAGGTATGTGTGATTGAAATGTGCACTCTTCATAGATGTTGCTCACTCCGCACAGAGGTCAAATGTGGTGGACTAACTTTCTGTGTTGCCCCCAAAGAAAGCTGAGAAAAAGTGCTAGACTTCGCTTCTTGTTTGCTCACTCTGAACTCTAGAAGTAAAAGGCAAGCAGCCCTCACCACAAACTCTCGAGGTCAATGCGTTCATTAGTAAAACCTGCGTAAATAAAAAAAGGACTGGTAGTGAGTGTTTTGTCTGTTGTGATTGTGTCCCTAAGTGTGATTGTTTTTGTGGCCTGTGGTGACGTGCATTTGTGTGAATTCCCTGCTTGCGCTGTTATTTTGAGACATGGTAGTTAATTTTGCCTTCCTTTCCCCTACACCAATTGTCCCTAAGAAAACTGAAAGTAACTCCTTAGAATGTGATGGTCACTTTTATTAAAGAGTAATTGTATCTGTAATTTTTGTTGAGAAGTTGTGAAGCCAAGTCCTTGCTTGTTTTGGGTAATATGTGCAATTCTGCCCACATGCTACTGTCTGAGCAACATCACAACCCTGGCTATTCAAAATGACAAATGTGTTCAATTAAAAAATTAAATAAAAAAAAATCTATATTTATATTTTACCAATATTAGATTGTCTCTCTAGCATAGTTTCTCGCTGCCGTTCAGTAAATGTGTTTTGATGAAAATGTTCAGGTTCATGGCATAGCTGCAAACCTTTGCATCATATTTTGTAGGCTCAAAATCTTATTCTAAACAACAGAGTGTCCATTGAGAAAAATAAACCTTGTTCTTTTGCCTCGAAATCAAACTATGCTCCTCCGAAAGCTCAGACCCTGCGAAAATGTAGTGCCAGTGGTTGGAATAGAGTGCCGAAATTTTGTAACTTCATGTTTGGTTTTAAAATTAGCAGCAATTTTATTAACATCTCAAGCAAGAAAATTATGTTTGTTTCTGGAAGTGGGCACTTTTCATCTGCAAGTTTTTGCAAACTCTGCTTTAATGTAAAAAAAAAAAAAATCGGAAGCAATTTTTTGACTTTTTATGAGGAAATTACATCCGTTTATGGAAACAAACTTTATTCATCTCCATGTGTTTGCGGGCTCTGTTAAGCAGCGTTTCCTCATTGACAATTTCCGTAAATATCTTTCGCTTTTTTAATTGGATGACATTAAATTTCAAAAGCTGTCATCTCAGACTCTGACTAAATGTAGTGGTAGTGGTTACTAGCACCATATCTGGACAGAGCCTAAGCTTTGACAGTGCATGCTTTGTTTCTATGATGAAAGAAACACAATTTTATCCACCAACAGCCTTGTTTGTGCTGTGTGACACCACATACAATTCCTTATGATTAGAGTTACATGATTTTGACAACTACTGATAAATCCTAAAAATTGACCCTCAAGCTAGTTTGATTAAAATCGGAGAAAACCAAAAGAAACGTGATTTGGAACTTTCCTTGAATGAAAAAAAAAAAAAACAGGATTCACTGGAAGTAATCTTTAACTACAGCTTTATTTGGCATTGACCCAAAACACAGCCTGCACTGAACTGTCCGTTAAAAAACACATGCAAAGGAAAAAAGAAATTTTTAAACAGCTTAGATGGAAAAAGATAGTCATTAAACAATTTTACAACGAAGAAAAAAAATTTTTAAAGCTATATTTACGACGCTATACGAATTTGTAGTTGGCGCCCACCGGCGCCACGGAAAAGTGGCCCTTATTTATCACGTGACTGGCCCTTATTTATCACATGGTGCTTGCGCTCTTTCAGAAGCTTCGTATGGCGTCTAAAAGTAGTGTACTCTTCTTTGTTTGAAGTATAACAAAATACTAAGATTAATAGGTAACTTTTAGAGCCCAAAGGAAACTCCTAAAACAGCGCAAGCAGACGTGATAGACCAGTGCGCCGGTCAGACGACGGTGGCGGCGCCCCGAAGCAGACAAACTTGTGTGGCGGCGGTGGCGGCGACGGAGGCGTGGAGAAAGGCGTTGAAGCGGCGTTTGCACAACGCTCAGCATGCGGCGGCAGCGACGCAGCGTGGCGGCGCGCGGGCCTACCATGTAATCAGCGGCGGCTCCCGCGGGCGCCAACTACAAATTCGTATAGCAAATTCGTATAGCGTGGTAAACATAGCTCCAAAAATTTTTTTTTTCGTTGTAAAATTGTTTAATGACATCCTTTTTCCATATAAGCTGTTTAAAAAAAAATGTTTTTTTCCTTTGCATGTGTTCTTTAAAGGCCGATGAGCAGCCAGTAGGGAGGAAAAGGGAGGAAACTTCCCCCAATTCCTTGTTTCCGTTTGAGAGAGAGGGAGACCCTCCTCCTTTCTGCAGGTAGTAGCTCAGAGACCCGCTCCTGGGGGGAGGAGGGAAGTGTGCAAGAGGGAATGGAGAGAAGGAAACTGGGAACCGATTTTCTGCCTGCCAGAAGACGGTTCTGTAGGTCGTCCTTTAAAGGGGTACTCCGCCAATTTTTGAGCTACCTCAACTAACTATATTTTGTGACTCCCCGGCCTTTCCCCTTTCTGGTATGCTGTTTAGTATCGTGAAATTCATAATAGTTATTGCGAAATCGGCAAATGAAAATGATGCAAAAACAAACATTCAAATATACCCGCCCTTTTCAGGGCCGTGACGTCATTGGAAGGTTAGCTAGCCAGTCGGGCGAGCAGTCTAAAAAATAGAATATGCCAATCATTTGTTCCGTGCTGGAGCGCGGGGACTGGAGCGAGCTTCCAAAGCATTCATTTGACACCATGAAACTGCTTCAAATCAGTTGGGAACAAATTCTACAGTCCAAAGAGTGAAGCCCTGCACTTCCACTGACGTCACTTTGTCATTGTTGCCAGTAGAGACTTTCAGTTTGAAAAACACGGTGAGGACCAAAATTGTAAATTCAATAACTTTGTGAAAAAAACTTATTTTGACCTAATATTTGGGATACTATTTTGGCGATGTTGTTTGGCGAGTTTAGCAAAATTTCAAGAAAATCGGGGACCATGATGAAATCGGTGGAGTACCCCTTTAAGGCCGCTTCTTTCTTTAGGAACCATACTCTTACATGATTTTCCTCTCTTATCAGTATCAGGATGATTTCCATGTACAGTAGTTTGGTCGTGTGCATGTTTCCCGGAAGCTTGAGAATCCTATCCATATGTCTTGTTTATTACAGCATAAATGCCCCTTTTTGTCCTCTACCGAAAATTGACTCAGAAAAGCATTGAATCTGCAAGGAAAAAAAAAAAGGAAAAACCTTGAAAAGAAGACACCCCCGGATTTGAAGAGAAATAAACTGAGAAAACAAAACCCTACACCTTACGAATTCACCCCCCATAAAATGGGCTTTTTAACTTAACTATATTTAATAGCCATTCGTTTTTCTTTTTTTGCTTTGTGCAGTTTTACGGGCCTCGCAGTGGGGCGCTGTACTTTAGGGAAACCAAGCCGTTGTACCCCTTCATTCTGGGGGCTGGCCAAGAGAGGGGCTACAGGTCAGGGTAAGTTGAAAAGAAGAGCAATTGCTTAATTAGTTTGGCAGGCTTAAGATATTCCTCAGTATTGTTTTTGATTTACATGTCAGCTCACTAACATAGTGTTCCAAACCATGTTTTTTTTTTTTTTTCTTTTTGGCCTCAGCACACCAAATGTCTGCATGATCGCTGGACTTGGCACTGTGAGTTTGTATCAGCCTTCTAGCAACTTGGCATGCTTTAAAGCAGGGGTTCTCAAATGGGGGTCCATGGACCCTTTGGGGTCGCCAAAAACATTTTAGGGGTCTGCGAAGCCCTGCTTCATTAGTCAAGCCTGTCAATAAAAGTTGTCTTTCTTTCAAATTGAGATGAAACGTCCCAATTTTCGGGTGAGTTTTCTCCCGAAAAGAAGTCTACTTCACACAAGCCCTTAGCTATATCTGTTTATTAAATATTATCATAGCTAACCTATACCTTCCCCTCACCACCACAGGGTCCTCCATCATCTCTGCCGATCCACAAAGGGCCTGCGAAACGTCAATGGTTGAGAACCACTGCTTTAACGAATGAAGTGACCTGTTGTGTTGTCTAAGGAACCTGATTGAGCAAGATTCTTTCCCTTCCTCGTAGGCAGCATCCCTGGTCATAAAAGGCCTTGATGGCTTTCAGCGCAGCATGAGAGAATCCAGGGACTACTTGGAAAAGAAGCTTCAGGTTAATTTTTTTGCAATTTATTTCTTTTCTTTTACTTTAGAAACATACAAGTGGGCAGATGGTAGTGACTATGCCCTTTGTGTAGAGCAGTGACTTGCACTGCTTAGCCAACAGCATTTACCCCCACCCCTAATTTCTTCCCTACATGCTGTCTCCCATAAAACTGTCTGACTCATCAATTTTGTGGGTAATTTCACACTTAAACTTTTTGCACAAATCTTCTAGCCTCCCTTTTGTGATGGCGATCCTTTTGTCACCTGTTATTACATTGTTGTTGGCACATCAAAGTACTACTCCCGTTAGATCTGTCGTTAAAAATTACGCTTTTTTTATTGTAGTCATGACGACTACGTTTTTTAGTGTACTGTAGCATGAACAACTTTGCACGCTCAATATATGGATTTTGAAAATGATGTACCTTAAAATATCGGGGGTGCCCTCACCCCACTTTTACTGAAAGCTGAATTAATCTAGACATCGGGCATTCGTCCAACCAAGTCAAGCGGTTAAAGTATAATTTTCAGAGTTCCTGAGTTTCAGAAATGTTAATAGTGGGCAGTTGAATGAAGTGGGCACTTGTGCATTATTTTACGGTATATTGTCACGAATGATGAGGCGACAAAACAAAGAATAACTGAAGAAACTGAAATGTTTAATGGGGTGAACTTGTGCCCAAAACCAAAAAGGAAACTGAGGAAAACAACAGAGTGTCGCGGGCATTGAAGTCTGCGGTACAGCAGGATCGAACGCTGGGGCGAGACTGAATGTGGCTTGCCACGCGGAGTCCCTTATGTACGCGCGTTGTCTTCAGGAACAATCGGCGTAGAAGGCTCGGCGCTTAGAACATTCGGACCTCGAACAAGCAGCAGGATTCTCGAATTTATCAGGACACTAGATTGCAAGAATAAATAAAAGACTCGTCACTCCCAGGAATCAAACCCTAGCTTTTCGCATGGGAGGCAAGCACGATAATTGTTAGACCACGGCCGCGCTGCCTACTTGGCCAGCTGCGCGCGCAGCAATATAACATGCACTTGTTTCAGTCTAATGCTTTTTGTCTTTGGCTATATCTTGATTTTGCTCTATTTTTTTCGTACCTAAAAACTAGGAGACTCCAGTCCTCTAGTTTTTCAAGATTATCTCCAAATATTGAGTGGGCGCTTGCTCAGTAGTTTATAGTAAGGTCAAGAAAGGTTTGAGATTACCTATTAACCCAGAGCTACCTTAGCTAGCTTGCTCAAAAATCGGGTTTGTTTTGCAATTTTCAGACTGTTAGAGATTCTACTAGAGTTGTGAGAATATTCAAAATTTTGAATAGTAGTATAGAATAATACACTATTCAATATTCGCTTCAAGATGAACTGCGATATTTATATTTCTTGAAGTGTTGATCACGGAGGGTTAGCCTTGTCGAGCGCTACTCACCGAGCACTGGGCACTGCAGAGAACCAACACCCACAAAAGCAGAGCTGTACATAGAGAGAGTTAGGTCAATGGGAGGAGACACAGAACAAGGGCTTGACAGGCTCTCTTGGTCATCCAGAAGACAAATATAATCCCCTAGCGGTAGTAGCAGGAAATATGGTTGAAAATATGGTGTACATAATGTTTCGATTATGATCATGCAAAAAGATGTTAGAAACGAATGTGCTGCTCGAACTCTGTTTTGTTTGGATGGAGTTTGATCATTCAGACGGATTACACGGATCGTTCTGCTAGTCGCGCACACTTTTTATATCTTCTATATCATTACGCATCTTCCACCATGATCTTGCATGAATGTGATCAAAACATCATGTGCACCGTATTTTCAGCCATTGAGAGTTACTTCGACGCACTTATTAAGTTTGTTTCCCGCGACCAACGCCAGGGTATTATTCTCTGCTTCTGGTTGGCCACATTCGAATTTGTTAAGACGCCCTGGAACACGCCCAGCCCGCTTTCGGCCAATGGCACCCTCCTCATTTACCTCCTATACTTCCCAATGAATGGCCAGACTCGCTGTAAATATGGCTCTGGACAAAAGCAAACTCTGTGGGTGTTCCTTCTCCTCAGTGCACCCATGCTCAGTAAGAAGCGCACTTAAAGGGCCCATGAAATGATTTTTGGGTTGGGATAAATCATTTTAGATTGGGATTCTACTAATAGCACATCGTTTAGTGGACCAAAAGAAAATAGGTAGAAGGTCAAAAGCCCGACTTTCAGTGCGAAAATTTGAAAACAGAGCGGACTATGTCGTACCTCCTCCCCTTCGCAACCTCTCTGCCTTTTCACTGTGATACATCCGCTGTCCCAAAAGCGCGTCATCGGGTCCAAACTGACGTCACACGCAACCGGACCTCACTTTTTCCCTTCACCCCTAATCTGACATTTTGCTGGAAGCTACGCGCTTGCCGGACCAATCAGCCACCTCCCTTTCCTCACCTGACTTCATTCTCTGCAGCCACATTTGCCACGCTCACGTGGCAAGTGTGGCTGGCCCAACGGGCACGTAGCTTTAACAGCACTGTCAGCTTCGGGATGAACAAAGTGGGGAAAGCAACTTTTGTCTGAATTTTGAAGGACGGGCTAATCTTCTAGGGGGAGAATGGCTCTGTCCGACTACACAAACCAGATTCCGAGCGAGAGGGGCCTCCCTTCTTTTCGCCTTCTTTAACTGTTTGGTGGAATGGGCGATTTATGAGTTGAGGAGGAAAGCTAAACAGGAAAAAGTTGGAAAAGCGTTTCATGACCCCTTTAACTTGGGTAGCTTGCTGCGATCAACACTTGGAAAAGTTTGAATATTGTAATTAAATGCTTGGGAGAAAAGCACACTTTCAAAGCAGGATGGTGCACGTGCGTGCCTGAATAGAAATAAAAACTTGTGAACATTAATATTTACATTGCAGTAAAATTTTGAAAATTTTAACCATGACTGTTATGCAAGAGTATATTTTAGGCAAAAATGCCTTTACAACTTGCATTTTTTTTTTTTTTTTTCAAATTCGAGATTGAAGAAAGAGTAATTGTACAGTTGAACCCGGATATATTGAATTCAAAGGGGATCGTAAAATAGTTTGATACATCAATAATTTGATATACAAAAATATGTTAAATTAAGCTCGAGTTGAAGTTTCCTGGCATTTCTGCTAATACCGAAAGTCGCGACAAACGGAAGCTTACCAAATAGAGCATCCAAGAGCTGCTAAATACAGTAGGGCATAGTTGGTGGAGACCGCAAACATTGCCGCGATTACACGTGCACCTGGCCTGGACCTCCATGCAGCGGAAACAACAAAAGCACAAAAATAATTGAAAAAATGAAAGAAAAACCAATGGAGGAACAGCGAGATGCATAAAAAAAATCTCTTGATCCATAAAAAAAGTCAAACAAGCAACAAAAAAGAAAGCTAACTAAATTCAAGCAGCAAAAAAAGAAGAAAAAAAACAGGCAAGGCAATAACGGCAAAATAAAAAGTTAAACAAAGATAAGGCATTTAAAGTGTGATTGCACAACCATTGTTGCAATCATGCGAGTGCGTTCATTATGCAAGTAAATACGGTAATTAGGTATAGCTGGGCACCTCTGTACGTTTAATTTTACGTTAAGTCCATCCTTTACTTGCCAACCCAAGGCATTGCACTCTCTGAGGTCGCAGTCCATAAATATAATTAGCAGTGATGGAAGTGCTGCGTTATTTGCACCACATTGCGCCATGAATGAAGGTCTGCTACATCTCTTGCCAAAGTGCCATTTTTGCTAAGACTTGTGCCACACCTGCGCCGAGCTGGGGTTACGCCAAGCAGAAACGAAAATATTTTATTGTTGGTCGACCCTAGTTTCATAGAAGTAGGAGGAAAGGAAAATGGTACAAATATGTATTTTACAGTGTTTCTAATTACCATATAGTTGGTTTCATCTTAGGTCAGAACACGCACAAACACACATACTAAAAGCGCAAGTCATGGGACATTCGCTGCACTTCGGCGTAAATGCAGCTGGTCAGCTCTGGCGGGATATAAGCAAACGTTGCTGACTGGGAATTACAGTCACCTTTGCTTCGCTGCCCCTCGCCACCAAAACAAGCTTGGAAGGGCACGACCTAAAAATAGCAATTTTTAAACTTTTCTCGATTGTACATAGAAAGTTAGCCCCCTCCATATTTTCACCCAATCTGCCCTTGATGTTAGGTGGGCTATCTTTCGGGATTTTACGGTAGATTGCCGGTTGTTCTATAATTTTGGAAATCTGTGCAGAGAAAGATAAAAAAAAACGAAATGCCGGTTTATATTTGAATAAATACGGTAGTCAAGGTTGTTCCCATGCAGCTGTCGACTGAAAGAGCAGCGACCCTTGACTTCACTCTGGTTCCAATGCCACTAAAGAGGAGTGTCACTTTTAAAGCACAAGTGTAGGTTTTCATAATGGTGGTTGTTTTTTGTAATTTTTAATATTAGATTCTTGAGTTTGGTAGGTTCATAAAACTTGGGAGAAGCATTTTTTTTGACGTTTTAGTGGATATGCTCGTTTTGGCTGGCATTTCACAGAAATTATATTTACACGCTAAATGAACTACAAAGTGTAAAAGTGGGAGGGGAGGAAAGCCTTTTCTCTACCTAAAGTGTTGCGCTACGATTCATTTTTCAACCATTTTTATAGTACTCATTGTAAATGGAACCTACTTACCAGAGCCTTATCTCTAAAAAGAAGGCTCTGTGTTCCTTCTGTGCCTTATCTATTCTTATTGCAAGAGGTAATAAGTAATATGCTCTAGCATCGAAAGGTCAAATGCCGCTTTTATCACAGAGTTAGATTAAAATTAGCTTATAGATGGAGAAGAGGAAGCTTGGGAACAACCTTCATGAGTTTGGCTGAGTTTTCATTTAAGCATGGCACAACAGTAGTAAAAGGCCGTGATATTTTATTTGAAAACATTCGGCCAAAACCGCCATTCGCTTCAAATTTGCTTCAAACTCAAAATTCACTATTCACACATTACTAGGTTTTACTAATGCCAGTTTCCTTGCACGAACTCTTTGCGACGCCACCAGCTTAGAGTGCCCTAAATGAGACACGACACTGCTCTTGGCTGTTGTGCTGTGCTCTGGGAGTAACCTTATTGTATTTCGCAAACCAATCTTTAGTTTTAATTGAGCTAGGACAGGGGTTCTCAAACTTTTTGGTCTCGCGGAACCCCAGCAAGCCTCAAAAACTGCCGCGGAACCTCCACTCCCCCCCCCCCCCCCCCCCCCCCCCATATTTGCTGACTGAGATGCAACAGATGCACAATTGTAGGCAATTTTGCTTGTGTTGCTTCCCATATATGCCCACCATATGAATCACAATGTCAGTATAAAGTGAGATGGAGATGCTTTGCATGGTCCTGCCATGCAGCCTGCGGCATGGGGGGGTTGCAATATGGGTGTTCGCGGAACCCATGAGACCAGCTCGTGGAACCCCTGTGTTCCCCAGAACCCAGTTTGAGAACCCCTGAGCTAGGAAATTGTAGGAGTGTACCAACCCATTTCCTGGTTTTCAATTTAAGACAACAAAGGAATTGTTTCTAGGATGCTTTTGGCTCCAAGGTTTCCTTCAACCATCGGAAAGGAGCAGCTGCCCTGCCTAACACTTGCAGTGTCTCATTCAAAGGCATGAATGGTGAGCAATGTGTTTTTTGTAGGTATCTTTCTTTTTAATTTTTTATGTAGTTTCATTATCTTAATATGAGTGCCTTTTTCTAGGTCCAAACATTCTTTGCAAGGCGAAATTCGTACAAGCGAGCACTGGAGCAGCTTGCCATCACACTGCCGAGTGAGTGCGACTTTTTTTTTTTCAATGATTTTTATGGACTGCCATGATTGGATATAGCTAGGGTTCTATGTTTTCAGATAAATCCCCAAACGGAGAAAAATCCTCCCCGGTCAAATTCTCGTCAATTCGAATTTATCCGATGAAGTCGAAATTTCGAGGTCACTATGATAAAAAAGAAAAGGTGATCTGCAAATAGGTTTGGTTTAGGGTGAGTCGGTGATCCTAAGTAGAGGCCATATTAGTCTCCTTTTAAATCTCGGACCATTGACAAAAGAAGGTGTAATGTTTATCTCCTCTGAGGTTCGTTCAGGACAACAAGTCATGGTACTTCCAAGCCGCAAAAAAAGACACCGTTCCAGTTTCCAGTTTGAACTTTACTACTTATTGTGCTTCTCACAAAAGGAGGCATTTGGAGAGGGGGGGAGGTTGCTGAAATCACTTCAGCAATCCACCCAGCACTGCAGGCAGAGGGGGGGAGTGGGAAGCATCACTTTTCTAAGTTTTATTGCGGGCAGTTAGCAAGGTCAAGGGCTCCAATGCTGAGTCCAGCAGGAGAAATAAAACTTGATGCAAGCAAGTTCTTATGAACTGTATGCACTTTTATGTCCAAATATATATATACATATATATACACATGCACGCACGCACGGCAAAAAACTCACTTGAGACGGTTGTTGGAGTTTTTAAAACATATTATTCGTAGTTTGTTTTTAAAAACTCCGACAGTCTCAAGTGCGTTTTTCTGCCATATATACTTTTCGTCATCCTGCACTACGTTTTATTTTTTTCTCTCTCTCTCTCTCTCTCTCTCTATATATATATATATATTTTTTTTTTTAGTCTTGAACAATTGGGAATACGACAAAATTAAACTCAGAATTTCCAAAAATTTTAAATATAACAAAAATGCACTTACGGCAATACGGCAAAAATGCAAAAGAATAAATTGCGAAAACACAGACTCTAGAGATGACGGACGTTTTCCAGTCGGCCAAATTAACTGAAGCAGGCATCGCTTCCAAGTATTTCAGGCATTGTAATGTAATTGTGCAGGCACATGTAATTGTGCATGCACTTTTATCCGTCAATGCACTTTTTCTTTACATATCAGTTCTCTTTGCTGATCTGTTTGTTACATGATGATATGGGAACGCCATGGGAAAAAAAAAACTTATTTGTGGTTAGGTATATATTTACCAGAATTGACACAGCTAATCTCTCTTTTCTTTTGCTTGTGGAATTTGCATGCAATGAACATTTGTGTTTTGGGATCGGAAATAGTACTCATTGATAAATGTCATTGTAATGCCTGTTTACTCAACCATACAGATTTGTAGACCAGCTAATGATGACATATCTCCTTCCATATACTAGTTGGTCCTTGCGATGGTGTTCCTTCTTTTGTTGCTTTTCCAGCCTCTGGTTGCTAGTCACATTACATGTCTGTATATTCTTTGTGACATTGAGCAGTACGGCACCTCCTAGTACTGGTACATAACCGGTAAATAAGTAACCAACAGAATATATGCTTTGTCATGACAAAAAATCTATATTTTTTGTGGCTTGCTATGAACTCTGTGCGCGAGTGCTGCAGGCTTCAGGAAGAAGATTACATGTTCACTATAAATGTTTGTTTGAAGCATGTGCCTCGTGCATCATGTGTTCGTGACCAAATGATTCTTGCTATGTGTTGCAACAAGTACATAGCAAACTTATATGTGTTTCTAGTATATAAAGTGCAAGGGACAGACGAGGACACCAAGTAACCCACCTTAATATTTTAACATCAACGATCCTTGTTTGGAACAGTTGGATGAGATATTGCAGCTTTGCTATCTTATTTTGGGTCCAATGCTTACTTTTCTGGAGACTCCAACGGGGGGCAAACATGATGTTTTTCTGACAGGCCGTCGGAAGTTCTGCTCAACTCGGGAGTTCCCGCAGACAGCGCCCGTGGCACACTACGGCTTAGCGTCGGGAGGAACACCAGCCACGCCGACATTGACCTTGCAGTGAGGCATCTCCAAGATGCTGTGGCTTTACTGCAGAAACCTGGCAACTAAACATGGAGTTGCGGTACCATGGCTACTTTACCCCGCCAATGTTGTCACCACAATTTTTTTTTTTTTTTTGACATGCACATTCAAGTAGATTTTTATTTGCATTTATTTTGTTTTTGAGCCATTCGGGTTGAGATGTAGCTTAGACAAACTTTGGCTAGGTCTTTTGGGGTGGTCTTAGATGATAAACAAGCTTATTTTTGTTTTAATTTCACTCGGTTTGTTTTGCACCAATTCAGTTTACGCACTGTGTTTCCGCTAGTGAATACTTTAAATAAAAATAATACTGACTTAAAAAAGATGTTTTTCTCTTGAACGCATAATTTTCTCAGTGCCACAGTGATATAGAATAAATGGTATGCACAAATGAAGTACAATCTTTTTTTAAGTTGTCTCCATCTATTCAACTTCTTGTGCAAAAATGTTAATTTGGAGCTCTACTTAATTGTGGCATTGATATTGTGAGACAGGGACAGTTTGGTCAGATTATTTTCTACTACTTAAAGGGGCCCTGCAATCATATTTAAGCGTCTACCTTTTTTGCGGTTTCCACGTCTCTTGGGGTTCGGGCAAGCCAGCGGGCACGGAGAGAATAACTAAATATCAGTGCGTCATATTTTAACCGGACGACGCGGAAACCTCCTCCAACGACGAGGGCGACCCGCGGTACCGAAAACGTGCAAAATGTGACGTCTTTGGTCCTGGGCTTACTACTGGTCAGAGCGGCTAGAAGGTTCTTTTTAGTCGAAATACGAAATATAAGTGGCGCGAACCGTTTCAGTTATTTATAAAAGTAGTTTTTGTTCAGTATTTTAGATAAAAAAAAGAAACGAATGCAGTTCATAAAGTATGGGAACAAGAAACGACCCGTCGACATACCCGCCACCAAGCGGTGGAAAAGGCGGCGCGTACTAGAAAGGAATAGTGGGATCGGGCGCCGGCACGGAAAGGCCCCGGACGTACGCGGCGGCGCTGCAGTCGTATGGCCAGGAGGATCCGACCAGCTAGGAGCGTTCCGAAGGCCTTCGGCGAGAAGCTTTGTCTTGTGGTTTGGCCGTTTCGCGGTATTGCAGCGCAAAGTATAGCTCCCATTCTGAACTGGTCTTTACCCCGTGTTTGCTGTCGTTTGTGGCCAATGAAGTGTCATGCCGAATTAGTATTTAATCGTGCAGCAAATGCAATGAGAGCCGCTCTGGCTGCCCGCTGCATACAGCCTATCCAGAACAAGCTTTAATGTCGCCCTCTCGCACCGTCGACACGGAGTGCGGCAGCCGTGAGCGCTCGATGAGCTCACTACTTCTCCTCTAGTTCACGGCCACTCTCAAACGACCAAGGACGTCACGAGGGAGGTTATTTTTTGCTTGTTTTTGTAATTTTAATTTGCCTATAACTTTTAAATTAAAGGGAATTTCGAGAAAAGAAAAGTTTCACTAAGTTACTACGTTCAGTGCGCTCAGATTAGGTGCAAATTAAAAATTAGTAAAAAAGTCATTGCAGGGCCCCTTTAAGGCCTCTATATTTTCTCTTGGATAAGCTCATTTGTGAGTTTTCTAAAGTTGTTGATTTAGTGGTTGTTCTTTTGAGACATTCAAGTTGGGCAGAGGGAGCGCAATGAGTGCTGAGAAAAACTGGCTAAAAGTGCAATCCACATGGTACAAAGGGCATTCGTAAAGTTTGTATTATATGCGCCAAAAGTTTTAAAAAGGGGAACAGAAGAGGCATCAGCGCAAGCGTGCAAACGCTGCTAGGGCGTTGAAATAAAAATAGCACTGCTCATCGAGAAGGTCGATGCATGCACTCATCTGTTTTCTTATTTGAAGGGAAGTAATGCCAAGGAGGTTCATTTCAAGCTGGTGGCGGTGTTTGAGGACAACGCCCCAGTTTATAACACTGAGGTTAAAAGGTGCAGATGTTTCCAGGGTGGCTAAACAAGCCTGAAAGCATTTTGAGGACGACGACCAAGTGATTGCTGAAGTGGAGCGAATTCTGAACACTCAAAATGGGGAGTTCTATAAGGATAGCCTTCGGCAGGTTGTGTATTGCTGGCAAAAGTGTGCGACTTTTGAGTGGCGAATACATAGAGAAAGACTTGAACTCGTACCCAAATTTCATTGCTGAATTTTTCTTCCCTCATGACAATAATACAAACTTCATAAATGCCCCTCGTATAAAATTATGAATTATGTGTTGTGAATTATATGTGCAATATCATTATCATTTGTGTTTTTATAGCACATACAAACGGGTACTAGTGCATTGGAATGTCCTAATCTGACATCTTTTTATTATTTTAACAGCCTATCTTTTGTTACAGCCTTAATGCTCATCGAGCATTTGTGAAATTGTTCTGATTTGGGAGAGATGGAGAGAGAAAAACCCTTTATTCAGCCGCCCATGTCCGGGCAGAGGTTACTAGAGGGCGAGGCCTTCCGAGGGCCTTGGCAGGTTAAGTCGGAGCTTGGGGGAGTGTTGGCGAGGTCAAGGGGTCTCGCACATGGGAGATGTGCAGCGCTAGGCGAAACCAGAGGACAGGGCGGGTCTGCATTTGAGACATCTTCCATAGGATCAAAGTGAGGGAGCATATATCTTTTGGTCAATCCACGTGGTGTTTTGGAAATTTATATGGGGTTACGATAAGCTGCACAATATTTTTCCCAAAATGTCAGCTTGAGCTCATCGTTGCATCAGAGTTCTCTGTGCAACGCAACAAAAGTTGACAACTTCATTTGTCAACATCTGCCGTGAGCAGCAAGCTTCTTTCAATCTACAAAAAATATCTTGTTACGTGGTAAATTTTTGTCTTGAGTATCTATGTTTGCTTGCGAGCAGATTTGCTGCATTTATGTTGAGCGACCAATCAACCAGCAAAAAACCTCAATGTCTGAGAGCGTGTGCTCTTGACACGTGTGAAGACATGTAAGAAACAGTGCGTCCGTTACCATTGAGTGCCTTCTCAATAAAACAATGTGTAGATTGATGTACTTCCTCGTGTTCTCGATTTTTTTACTGGCCCACATCATTATGTGCAAACCAGATTTTGATCCTCCTTCTAAAAACTTGGATGACCTGTCTTAGGGAATCCCTAATCTCAATACGGCTTTTGTACGTCTTCTGTGCTCTTCGAGTTTAAAGTATGTCAGCTGTATCTCCTGTTCTTGGATGGTAACTTGATGGTACAATTATTTATTTGATTCACGGTGCTAAGAACCCTTCGGTGTGCTGACTGCACAAGAGAGGTAAATGACAACTTAGCTATTGCAATTAGCTATTGTAATTAGCTATTGGAAATTGCTTTGACATTGCTCGTCCCTTCGGAATTTGATGTTGAAAGAAGCATGTATTTATTTACGCATATTTCAGTGCCTTCGAGGCCGAGAGAATGTTTCACAAGTGAATAGTGGTGTAAAGAAAAGATACATCAAATTGGTATTAATAAAAGAAAAAAAATGAAATGCAGGTTATGGAATTTGAAAGCTGACAAATTGGTTATTGTGGCGATAGAAATGGCTAGTTTTTTATCTATGCTAGTTTTATCAATAAATGAATAAAAAATGGTTAGTGCAACAGCCAGAACACCTTTTTGTGGCGGTGGACAAGGTTATGCCATTGAAATAATGGTATTATATATGTCCAAAAACACCGTATTGTCTATGTTTTCTGGGCATTAAACAGTGTGTTTAGTATTGAGTATGTTACGAAGGTCAATGCAAAATGCTGGAGAAGTGTTAAACGTGATGATGTGAATGGTTGATGTGAATATCTGTGCAGATCGCTTCTGAGCAAATGGCGATTAGGACACCTCCCGGTCTGGCACCACAATCGCATCAACAGGTGCTAAAGGACTTTACAGACTCCTTTAGCATTGTTAGAAATCTTAGCAAAGAGCCAGGTTTTTGTTGATATATTGACATGGTATTTGGCATGTGGCGCCATCCGGCATCGGAAGGACGAAGGAGAGTGGGAAGGAGAGCTGCGTGGCGAGAGAGAAGTTCATTGAGAGCAACTTTCGGACAACTTCTAACCAGTTCGTAATCCTTGTAATCCGTTTATTAAACCCTTTAAACTGTTACATTCGGCAGTCAATTCAATCAGCAAGAGTCAACAATGCAATAAGCGAAGACAGTTGGTTACATTCATTCACATAACACCGTCAATGTTTGACAAAAGAAAATAAACCTTGGGTACAGATTCATGCTCAGTGTTTGGGATCGTTATGAGGTGCTCTTGCACTGGTCTATAATAATCTTTTCCAGACTATACATTAGCACTGGGTGATAGTTTGATTAACCTACTGGATAATTGCACTTAATTTTTAACCGGTTAATTGGTAGAAGTTTGACAAAACAAAAAGTAAAAATTAAACGGTGTCACTGTGCAGACATGGACGGGTACACCTGTATGAAGGGCAAGCTTTAGGTGAAATTTTAACTTAAAATAAACTAAGAATGGGATTTGTAACTCCAGACAAGTGCAGAAGGTTACATATGTCTTGGCCACTTCAGCGCCCTGCGAGTGTTTGTTTAGCACTCGAGACTTTTGTGAGCAATCAAATGACGTCGCTGTAGCCGAAGAATATCAACAAACCCCTTTGCCTTGTGCAGCTGAAGTAAGAATCTGTGAAGTGCGAGTGTTTTTGAACTGTTCTCAACTATACATCGAGGTTAATTCATAATAAAGATTGCATATAGTGCCACATATCACGTATACAAAAAAAAAAAAAAAAAAAAAAGAAATTGGATGCAACGTTTTAAAAAAATAGTATGCATGAAGATGAATGGGACCGATTGATGGGTGGCGATTAATTCAGTTAGAAATTTTAACCGAAGCCCAGCCCTACTATTCATGTTTAAAAGTTGGCATTTTACGTGGTACGGACCGCTTTAAGATGGTTAGTTACGATGAAACTTGATGGATTTTGAGAATGATAGAATATGTTAATAATTATGTATGATATAAGCTTCTTTGTGGGCTAATAAAGCAGGCATTTGCCAAGGTCTGCTCTGTATGAGAACTTTTTACGTAAGAACTAGGTACTATATTTGCAATTTTCCTTGTGGGTTTCTGAACCCACTTTCGTGGCTGCATCTGGTGCTGTGAAAATCTGATTAGCTCAGGTACGCTGGTGAGCGAACCTAGCAGCCATAAAAGCTTTCTGCTCTAGCCACTAGGTGCTCTTTTGATTTCGCAGAGCTGCCATCTTGATAATTGTAGAGAGCCTGCATTACAGAGCATAGAGGTAGGAAGCTTCTAGAGGCGACATGATGCTACCAGAGGTGAAATCGGGGGAGTCTTCTGGTTTGGAGGGACATGTCGCCAATGATTACCAAAACCAAAAGACGCTACTGGACGAAAAGGACAGCTGTTTTGGTCACCCTTGGGGTCGTTTCCATTGACTGCGGTCTCTAGTTCCGGCTTCACTTGGGATTTTCTCGTTTTGGCTTGCTCGAGCAGGTATGTCGCCTCTTCTTCTTCCTACCTCCATGACAGAGAGCATCCACCTGCTCAATCGGGGCCACATGGTTCATGTCCCGCGTTTGCAATACAAACTCCGTGGAGGTAGCAAAAGCGTTGACAATCTGCTAATGTTTCCTACTATCCGTCTTCACCACCTGACAAAGCGGCGCATGCGCACTTGCGGCCAATTCCTTTCGGAGAGGTTCGTCATTAAATTGCAAATGTTCCCTATGGTTTGAGATGGATGCCTCTCCAATCTAAGCTCTCGAAATAATTGCGGTGCCGCCACCGCCGCCTAGCAGCTGGAAACTTAAAATGCTGGCCGGCAGCAGCTGTCTGGATAAGCAACATGGGCAGGTGTGGGCACAGTCATGGTGTGGACACTGATCTCGATTTGGTAGGCTGGATCATGGATCGGGAGCCCATCGGTGGCACCATTGGCTGCCATTGCTTGACACCAGGCAATACACAAGTTTACAAGAGAAACACAAAACTATAAATATTGAAGCTTGTATGCATTGCTTGAAGGTGAGTGCTCTATGATGTTCTGCAATCATTATATCTAGTGTTTGGAGATCAAATCACAATTTGTTAAGCATTGAAACGCCGACTAAAAAGTCAAATGTGCCGGAGCACCACCGACTGCGCCGGCACTGCTAGCTTTAGTTGCTAAATAAAGCCGTTGTTCTGTCGTATTCTTTACCAGTCCTTCGCTCCTGTTTATCTGAGGCTGTTTTTCATCATGTTTAACTGTTACTAACTTGCCCAAATCACCACCCTACTTCTAAATGAAGTACACTTTCAAAAAGTGGGTGACACGCTCGGAGTTTTAGTTCGTCGCAGTCCTAGCAAGGATTCCAATAGAGATTTCTGTATGACAAATAGAGATTTCTACTGGACCGATAGATTTCTAATGAACCTATAGGAAATTTATTGGACCCATAGGGATTTCTATTTGTTCAGTAAAGAATTGCATTGGTCCTCTAGATTTCTGCTCGTCCAATAAACATGGCAACAGACCTTTCTGGAAAATCTGGTGCCCCCAGCGTCTGCTTTACTCATTATGACATTCAGACGTCGCAGGAAATTATCCAAGAGGCAAAGAAGTTGACATTGGTTTTGTGAAATCTGAAGGCAGAAGGAAATGCAAAACAGAGTATGCGATGAACTTCGTTTATGTGTGTGTTCTGAATCGTGCTGATACCAGAACATAAGAAATGTTCGAGCTGGCATGAGCATACATCCAAAGAGCCCCACAAGTCCCCTCGTTGCAACTAAAGTCGCTAGATCCTGGGAAAGTAACGCCAAGCTCCGCGTGTGGTCGCCATCTTGGTCCATGAAATGAGCAATTTCTCCTTGACCCCTCCGTTCTTGGTGAGCCTATCTAGATTCGCTGGTGACGGGTAGCTGAGTCGTTTTTTGTATACCGAGATTTTGCTAACCACACACCGGCAAAACAGGCGTACACGTTCGTACCACCACCAGATGCTGTGTCGGTGCTTGGAGGCACTGAAAAATAAGTTTAGTGTCTTAAAATGCGCAAGAAGAACAATATAATTGTAAGAGATCCATGGAGATGGGCCTGACTAATAAGTTGATCGCATACGAAGTGCCAACGACTTATATTGAAGAGGAATGCTTCCAGTACGATGATGCTCCATGGTGATCTTGGCGCAACTGGTTTAGAACGACCCCCTGAAAGCTTCGAAGATTTAAATGGACCAAGATGGCGATTTCCATGGCAACGTAGGCCGATTAGCCAATCGCCTTGCAAGGTTTTGGTCGTCTGTATGTTAGTATCCGTTTGTGTCCGGCTAGCAGGTAGGGAAGGCAATGGCACTACTTTCCCAGGATCCAGTGACTTTAGTTGCAACGTCCCCGGTATTTTGCGTAAGGGTCTGTGCAGAGAACAAGTCGTCTGCTTCTTGCGCAGGAGTTGCAGTGACGTCAGAACAACGCCGAGCTCTGATTGGCTTTGATTGAAAGGGGGGGGGTAGACTGCAATACTAGATGCCTTGAGGTCTACCCACTATTTTTTTCAATCGGCCAATAAGATCTCGGCACTGACACCATCGCAACCCTGTGCAAGAAGCAGACAAACTTTTGCTCCGCATATTGGACCAGACTTCTATTAAATCAGCCGAAGTGAAAACTTCCAGCAAGTGTAAAAACATTATGAATAGACAAAATGTAACAAAAAATTGCTTTTTTTTTTTGTTTTGTTTTGTTACTTTGGATATTTAAAGAATAGATGCAGCACACTTATCACCAATGTTACTAAAACACTCATTTGGGAAACTCGCCGTCAAAACCTGGGCCGCTGGCGTCCACCGAGACCGAGCTAAATACGACAACAGCGCCACTCTTTATCATTTGTCTGTACTGTGGTCACCTTGAGCCAAGGAGGTTAGAAGTACTAAGAGGGGGCACGTTGCAATATTGGTGAAGCCTATTTAAACGATTTTGTGCCCAGCGTGACCGTGGATCTCTCTGGCGATTGGTGCGCGTGACATGTCACGTGCGAGATGGATGGTTGATTGTAGGAGGATTCCTTGCAGGCTTGTGCGCGCTCCGTCCGGTAGGTTTTATCAGATCGAAGGCTAGACTGTGGTGTATTCTAGTACACCATAGCTAGACGAAGGCTAGCTAAGATCACGTGATGTGGTCACGTTGGTGTGGTAAGTGGGGAGAGTAAGGAGGAAAATGAGAAAGAGGCGAGGCGTCAAGGGAGCATCGCTTGTGGAGGCCACGCGGCTGACGTCATGCCCTCTCCTACCATGCCTTGAGCCAACGTCGTTGCCTTGAGCTTTTAGAAAGCATGCTTTTGCATAAAAACAAACGGAAAAGACTTTTTGTATGAAATTTATTGGAGTTTAGTACAAAATAAGGGGCGCGTGATGTTTCTAAAATCTTTAGTTTGCAAGGTTTTGCAGCTGTTTTTATACAACCATGCCTTAGCGGTGCTTTCAGGTAGCGCGTCCCGACCGACCTGTGTGCATTTTAATTTCGGTAGTAAGACGTGGCGCGTCCGCTGGGGAGATAGGGTGGCACCCCTGTAACCTCTTCCGCTGTATCTGTTTCGGCGCCAAAATGGCCGATTGATTAAAGCTAAACTAGAAGTAACGTGCAGTTCCTCGAGTGGCCACTGCGGGAGAAATGGCGGCGTTGTGTTCGCCAGGGCCGTACCCAGAAAAAAATTTCGGGAGGGGGTTTTGGGGACAACGGCGGCCATTTTGAAATTGTCTATTGTCTTATTTTCGTCTATAAATCATGTGCATCGGTGGCATATAATGGAAAGTTACAGCAAACCGGAGAACCGGTCCCGGTTTGGTACCCGGTAGCCGACCGGCGCCACTGCGCGTGCGCAGAGGTGGAGATTAAAATCGGCTGGCTGCCAGTGCACCGACCAGGGCCGTACCCAGAAAAAAATTTCGGGGGGGGGGGGGGGTCAGAACTCCCTAACCCCCCCCCCCCCCTCCCCCCCCCCCCTGGTTACGGCCCTGTTCGCCATTAGCTCGGTTCTCGATAGTTCTCGAGGACAGATCGGGGCCACTTTTTCAGAGCAGTTTAGTTGGTTTAGTAACGTTGCTTATCACGGACTGATTGAGGTTCTCAAAGATGTTACTAGCTCTGGCAAAATTGTTTAATTAGATATAAACTTCATTTTCAAATGAAATATTATCAAAGCTAAAAAGAACATAAAAAAAAGGCCAAAATTGCTTTCCCATTTTACTACACCTGATGCAAGTTCAGAACTTTACTTTTATTCGTTTCCTTTATCCTGTTTAGTATATATATATATATATATATATATATATATATATATATAACACCTCACTATATCACTATAATATGTTAAGGCTATCTGCTACATTTATGTTAGTGGTTGTAATTTCTTTTTTTACTGAGTTTCGTTTTGACTTGACCTGGCACTTGGACACCTGATCGCTATGACATCAATATACGCGTACCACTGATCTCTGCGACGGTTGCAGAGCCGTGCGCGTACTGCGCGTACTACGCGTACGAACGTTACGTTACCAACGTTACATGGTACTGTATTCGTACATTGGTGCAACGGGTGCACTACGTGGTGTACGCAGAGCCCGAGCCTCGGTGTGGCCCGGGCATAGTCACAGAGACGACACTGACGCCCCTGATCAGTGACTGTGTGTTTCGTTCCTACCATACCAACGAGCTAGGTTCCTACGGGAGCTGAGGATGAGTAGTAAATGCCCGTGATCGTCCCTAAAAGAAATGCCTCCAAGATGTTGTGTGCGGAACTGCCCCACAGGTTCTGCATCCGAAGATGGCACTGTGCTGACGAGCCTGCATAGGTTTCCAAAAGATAAACGGGATCAGGACGAATGGCTGGCTGCAATTCCTACGGGACAGTTACGAGCGCAACGGAAACCGGACGCTGCACGATTTATATGCTCTTTGCACTTCGTGAAGGAGGACTACACTGAGTTTTCAGGTGTCAAAAAGGCACAATTGCGGAGGGGTGCCTCCCCGTCATGTTTTCCTCGTGATGATATTGATATCACTAAACCACCAGTAGTGAAGCGACGAAGGACAGAGGTGAGTCGTTCTTTAATCGGTTAACGATATTTATACTCGGTGAGCATGCCGTTTTGTCGCCGTGTTTGCCAACTCTCCAACTCAGAATTGATCGTCTGCTCTACACATCTCCCATTGCTTCAACTGTTAGGCTCGTTCCACGTGCTATCACTATTCCACGAAATCGTAATCGAATTATCAGGTAACGAATTTTTCTGGGACAGTGACACATGCACAGTATATGACAGTTTACAGCATTGGGTGGCACTCAGTTCAAACGACGTTACAGCGCGACTCCTGTAACATAACAGCTGCTCTGCTGCGCAGAAGCTTGCGTCACTTTTTTTTGTTTTAGGAATTCGCAATTCGAAATGGTAGTAAAATAATATGTTTAGTAAAATTCCCGTGTATAATTGCTGCTGCACACGACTAACTAACACCATGACAAAACATTTTGTTGCCTTTGTGCATGTATTAGAATACTGATTTTACCTGAAAATGTATACAAAACGCATAACTTTCTGCAGCCATTGCGACCAAGTGCATGCATAGGTCACGTTGTTCGTTATATCTCGGGTAAGTTCATTGGACTGTCTGACGGAAGTGAAGTGATTGCCGGGGAAAATATATTCCTCTCGTTACGAGCCCCAAATTTGTATCCAAAAGCTTTTAGCTGTATTAGATTTCCCGGTTTCATGTTTTCTTCCATTGTTTTCTCAGGATTCTGAAGGCACAACAAGTCAGCCATCCGTGCCAGATGCCACGGCCACGTGTACGTCACTACTTGGAGATTCCCACGTAAGCGCTTAGTTCCCGCAACCATTGCGTCTAAGTGCAAGCATACATCAAATGGTTTCTCCAAACAGCTCAGCATCCCAGGGTCACCCTAAAGAAAGTCTCCCGTTCCATCCGGCGATGTGTGGGCTAGCTCGTTTTGAGGCCCTCTGTATGTAATTGAATGGAAATTAATCTCTTAAACAGAGCACCCTCTATATAACAAATTGCTTTATTCGGTTTCATATCTTTATTGTTGTTTTGAATGCATGAATGCAGAGGGGATCGGTGGCCGAGTGGCTATCGCACACCAGCTCGGAGCATGTGGAGCGAAAGCTCGCGCTGCAAAACCCAGGGATCCTGGGTTCGAACCCCACCCCTGCCCGTTTCAATCTGGATGAGCATCGTACCGGCGTGCGGTCAGGTATCACTGTTGCGTGGGCACGTTACAGACCCCAGATTAGCAGTCGTACTGCACTGGCAAAATTGCTCATCTACAGTGTAAACCAGTGTTGCCCATCCTGGCAGACCAACCATATGCTGTATAAAACACTAAACGTCCAATTTGTTGTTTGTTTGTTGTATTGAATGTATGTTTTCAGGAGGACAAGGCTGGCTACACGGCACCTACGTCTGAACCTGAAAAAGTTTCAGAACCTCATGAACTTCATATGGTTAGTTCATGTACGACATACAATGCAGACATAGTTTCCTCAATATGACTTTTGCGATCAGATGAAACCACTTTTTCCTGTTTTTTTTTCCTTCTTTTAGGTTATGGTGGTGCCAGAAAAGGTGTGTAAAAGGTTGCGAACTCGAGACAGAGGAACATGGGCTTTTGTGTCAACAACTTTTAAAAAAACACAAACCAACAAGTTGGAACCACCTCATTCGCTTTGTATGTATGGGATAAATAGATGTTGATATATGAGAGGTAAAGAATTTGACTAAAAATGGTCGCTTTTTTTGCAGCCACAGTGCCAAAGGTGCTAGTCAGTCGTGGCACGCAAACTGAACCCTTGAGGACATCGACTCCAAGCTGCTCTAAGGCAACTCTGGCCATTGCTTGGCAGATCAACATCGCCTGTGCCACAGACCGCGTGTTCAGCCGCGTGCAACCCTCATCCGAGGCAGAATTCCCTTCCGAGGAAGAGCTCTTTTTCGTGGAAGTGTTGCCCCCCAAGAAATGGTCCCTACCTGAGGAAGAACCCAAGGAGGGTTTTGGAGACTGAGCCAGCTACCCAGCTACTCTCAGAATTAAAACTTTACCAAGCAGCGAGATCTTCAAAAGCAGAAACAACGTACGCGGCAGAGCCTTTCCCAGATGAAAAGCCTCCCTCACCGACGGAGTTCGTTTCCGAGACAATTGGAATGCTCTCAGAGTCACCCTCTCAAGCGGATGATGGGGATATCACTTTCTGCCACGACATCGCAGGATAAAAGATTTAAAAGGTATTTTGGTATTATGCATATTTTATTGCTAGGCTGCAGTCTTTTTTTTTCTTCACTAGTGTACTAATATAAGTGAGGGAATATCACTAATATAGATTTTTTGAGTGAAGAAACATTACATGTAAACTTGGTAGCGGCTTCTATTAGCACTCCAATGTGTGTAGCTTCCATCTAATAGTAGTATTTTTTTTTCTTAAAGTTCATGGTGGTTCAAGGTTTTAAATTGTGTTATTTGTAAGTAAACATTATGAAGCATAACAATAAGTCACACATTGTACTGCTGTAGTTGCAATAATTATAAATAAGAAATCAGCCTTTTTTCTGTACAAAAAGCGTCGGTCTGGATCAGGACTCCTCTTGCTTTTTTCCTTGCAGGGTCACGTACAGGGACGACATTGTGAACCATATATATATTGAACTTGCAAGCCATCTGTTACATTTTTTATTTTAAGGAACACTATCAATGAAATTGTAAATTTTATGGTTACCAGAAGACCAAAAGCACTGATTAAACAAACATTGCGCACCTAAATGCGAAACGACTCCTCGTGCTTCGCAAGGACTAGCTCCGCACGACTCCTGTGCAGTGAGGCATCACAGCTAGTGCAGTGAGGCATCACAGTCTGTACAGGGAGACATAGCAAACCTTGCTGGACCTCCGATTTTGGTTCAGCTCTGTTCATTTTTTTTTTAGCAAATCTGGGACCCTGCCACAGAGTGCCTTATTTCACACACAAACACACACCTACACTGTAATCTAAAGTTTTATAAAAAACAATTGGAGGGTGCCAGTTTTGCTTTTGAAGGGGCAGTGCAACGATATTCGGACTTTAGAGCCAATTCACTGCAGGAATTAATCTGTGTCGCTTATAAAACGAAAAACAGAACACCATTTTTTCTTTTGCGCACACTAGTTTTTATTTTATAAAGGGGCGGTGCAACGATCTTGGATTTCGGCCAGTTAACTGCAGGAATTCATCTGTGTCACCTGTAAAACGGAAAACCATTTTTTTATGCGTGTGCTGGTTTAATATTTTAAAAAGATGAAATAAATCTAAGGTCAAAAGGTCCCTCATCTCTCGTGCCGTCTTTCGAGTGACATCTCTGATCGACCACCTGGTTTCCCGTTAGGCTCCGTCCTCGAAGACCCTAGCCGTTTCCTCCGCGGTTGTCATTTTTTTAAGGATAAGCATCGCCGGAGGCCACGGCAAGCAATCGACACAAAAGACGGTTTACCACGGGGCTGACGGCAAGGGTAGCAGTGGAGGGGGACAGGTTTTGTTGCCTTCTGTGTGTCCCCCTGTGACGCGCCACCTGCAGTGCCTGTAACTGCCACGCGCGGCTGCAGATCGAATATAATTTGTTTTTTCCTTTGCGATTACGTGGCAGAATAGCAGTTCTTCTGGGGAAGGTGGCACGTTTTTTCTTGCTGGTGCCTAGATAAACCATATAAAAAATACAAACTGTAAATTCTTTGAATATTATAGCTATTGCACTGCCCCTTTAAACCCTTAACTGTTTCGGACAAGCCTAGCTCGTCAATGGGGGGCCGTCCCCAGACTGTTCAGGGGGTAGCGTGTCTCGTCTGCTTGCCCCAGTTGAAGCACTCAACTGTTTTGGACGAACCTGGCTCGCACTTCACTTTAATGCCTTAAGGATCCCCTAAGGGGGTATTACATAAGGGGTGGGATTACATAATAATCTAACATGTCTTGCAAGGTAAAATTGTATGCACAAACACAGAGGACGGACACAAAGGAGTGGACACGGACAAGCGCTTGTCCTTGTCCACTCCTTCGTGTTTGTCCTGTGTTTGCACATACAAGTTTTTCAGTACCATGAACCAATTAGTCTAGCAACAAGTCTTGCTAAACTATGTTTTACAAGCCATGGCTTAGTTTGCGACTGTGCCAACAAATATCACAGAATTTTTTAAAATTTTGCTGCCATTCCTTTTGTGGCCAGAAATCTGATTTTGAAGGCAACAAGTTTGATTTTGAGGAAAAAAATTAGGCAATTGAGGGTCAGAAATTTACAACTAAAAACGATTAGGTGGTCAACTAGCCTGTGTGCTCTCTTATATAATGCAATAACAACATTTACACCTTTAACTCCAAACTTTTTTGATAGCAATGACCAGACCAAACCCCAAAAGAAGCGGAAGCTCATCGTGTAGGAGAGGTCACACCTGCATCTCCAAGTTTTGCAGTGTATGCCAGTTTCCATGCAAAAAATGGCACCCATCTAAAAGTGACCCTGGTACAAAATTGATCACACTAGGCACTGGACAAGCGAACCAGAGCTGGCGAGCAGGCGCGGGGGGAGTGTCTTCTCCGCTGCTCTTCTGTTCAGTGGACAAAAAAATGCCACCGTCACATTAAGAATGCCCTGGCTAATCAATGTCCCAAGTGATGTGTTGGCACATTCTACCGGGAGGGGTACCTTTTACCAGCTCTAGCTCATGTAAGCCCTAGAATCACCATTTTGCAGCTGATTCTCTCCAGTCTGAAAGAACAGTATGCAGACAGCAAATACAGCTCTTTCTGTTAATTACTGCATGCACAACAGCTTGAAATACCAAGTCATGTGTGATTGTTATATGCGATGAAACATTAAAAGAATGCTGAGTATACTACATACTTCTTGAAAGTGGAGGGCTTCCAGTAACATCAGCCAAATTAAAGTTTCAAAAGGTGGAATGTCATTTGAGCTTTTTGTACGAAGTGTGAATAGAGGATGCATGGCTTTTGACTAATGCAGCGTCGCCTAGGAGCACAACACCGAAGTTGGGGACGCACTGGACAAGGGTGTGACCCATCGAAGCACAAGCCACACCTTCACAGCATCCACCTAGCGCAGGGGGAGGTGGAGGAACGCAGCATCTAGCAAAAACCATGCACCCGCTGTTCGTGCTTCATTTGGTGCCAACCATACATGAGTGACCTGGGTCAAAACATTTCAGATGTGTTGCTGCCATTAAGCAAACTTTGAATCTTATTCAGAAACACCTTAAATATTGAAAGGTCCTTAGCAATTCCTGGTCTGTGGTCTAGCTGTACTATAGTCTTTAGAGCATACAGTGTGACACACAGCTACCGTGAACAAGCATTTGCCAGTTTTTCTGGTTTTCTCTTATGCCCGAGTCACACTAGAGCGACAAACGAATGAACGATAGCGACAAGCCTCAAACACATGCAGCATGCTCGTGATGGCACCTTTGGCAGGCAATTAGTCGTTCGGTGCTTGTGAAGTAAGCACGAGTGATTGCAGGTGTGCCAAAGATACCCTCGCGTGCGTGATGCTAGTGTTTGAGCATAGCCTCCTTTATTCTACAAAGCCTGTCAAATAGCAAAAGACTGGTTTGAGGCTTGTCGCTGTCGTTCGTTTGTTCGTCGCTCTTGTAGGACTCTGGCATTAGAATTGAAATAGGGTCAACAAAACAACCAGTTTGCTGAAAGTTCTAATTTGAGGCACTAATCTTGAGTGGTAAAATTTTTTCTTTGTTCACACCCAGTTTCTAGATCTTGAATAGTATATGAAATCGGCAACTGATACCAAATATTTTTCAGGGTGAAAAGTAAAAGCCAAAGCAAGTAATTTTCTGATCGGACATTCCCATCTCCACGCCAATATAGAATTGAATTTTTAAAACTCTGAATTTAGTTATCATTGCTACGTAGTAAGTGATTTGGTAAAAAAAAAAAAAAAAAAAATTCTGACAAGTAAAAAAAAAATCATAGTTCTAGCTAGGGGTGTCGCGAACTTTCATCGAACCAGATTTTTAGGTCGAACTTTCGGGGTTCGACTGGGTCGAGTTGGTTCGACGAACCATCAAACTTTTCACCAGATTCGACCGGTTCGACTTTGTGGACACTGTGGCCAGACCTTGATACATGCTTGTCTGGGTTTAGAGAATTTTTTTAAAGAAAAGGGTTATTTTATTTTATAAACAGCTGCAATTAAAATAAACTAATTCTAATCACTGAAGAAGATAACTTTTTTTTTTTTTTTGTACTGTATTAAGTGAACAGCGCTGTCCTTAATTTATTCCTTAGCCATCCCCATCCAATCCGAAGCCAACTGGCTAGCCTGTCGCGCATGCGCACACGAGTCGAACCTCAATACAAGGTTCATCGAATTTTCCACTAAAAGTTAGAAAAAGTCGAACCTGGTCGAACTCGAACCTCGGCCGGTTCGCGACACCCCTAGTTCTAGCCTAATTTAGCGTATCTACTCTCTGTAAAGAGAAATTGGTGTTTTTTATATTTGTGGCATATTAGAGAAACAAAGTCTAACACTTTTGCGTTATCTGCAGTCCAATTTCAATATTTAGAGCAAGATACTTTGTAACATGTAGTAAACCAGTGCTACAACTTGTAAATTTGTTCAAAATGCACACACTGTAATCAGCGTGGAAAAAAATGTTTTTTGCAGCGCACCAAGAGGAAACTGCATTCCCAACACCGCCGTGCTACTCAGAGTCCTTTTCTGTGGTGCTCTTTTGTGGATGGAAGAGTGCACGACGACTGGCACTAACCACATTATTTTGACAAGTTTAGAGATTAGTCGAACGACATCTGCCATTTTCGAATAGTGTTGCTATACTGTAGTCAAATGTACTGAACACAGCAGAATTAAAACTCGTGTTCATTTGCTCACAGAGTCAGCCCTACACCGTCAAGCGCCCTGGGCAAACTCTGATTGTGGTGCCCCCCCCTTTTTTTTTACACGCTTGTCTACTAGTTACGGCATCACTTTAGTAAATATGCGAGTAGTGGCCCAACACTAGCGTTCTGTCGGAAGGGAACCTCAGTTTAAAAATGAACGGCGATCGAGCATATAGCGTCGTGTCGGGCGCCATGTTCAAATAAATCAATGCTAAAAGAAAATTCATGGCTTCCTGGACAACCACTTAGGTTGCCGCACCCCCTAGGGCCAGCCCCATTTGCACAACTTGGGCAAATTTTTTTTCACAAAAAATTTTTAACAATTTGGGAAAACAGTTTTTTTAACCCATAGCTCACTTTGTATTGTCACGAAGTGGGCTAGAGTGTGACACTTTTAGCCTCAAGATGCAGTGGCCAATTGTTTTTGTCACAGTTGGACAGTTGAAAATATGCACATGTACGACACCACCCTAGGTGGCAGAAGTTTATTTTTGTTAGGTCTGCGATTCTCCGAAATTCTGAGTTTAATTCTGCTATGTTCCCTATTTTCTAATATAAATAATATCCAATGTGCACAAACATGCTAAAAATTTATAAGAACTTGCCTGTATTGCATACATGGGTAAATTACTTTCAAAATGTAATTTAATTACAATTACAATTATTTTGCTCCAAAGGTAGTTTAACTACATTTAAAATTACTACTATGTGAAATTAATTAATAACAATTACGAATTACTTTTAAAAAGTAATGCAATTACTTTACAATTATTAATTTCTGAGAGCTACCCACCTTGGGCCATGTAACTTGAAACGAGTTAGATGGCCGCTGTATAAATGTCACGTATTGTACTTTTCTTTTATTAAATTTGTTAAATGAATTATAGAACGTAACAGTTCGAGGTAATGAACTCCTGCATTCGTATATTCTCAATAAATAAAAATATATTTTTATTACATTTCTATTTTATTTTAATACAGGCTTTTGACAGTCTAAAACTGCGGTTTGTGAAGTTTTGGAATCTCGTCCAATCAGGTTGAGAAGCGGTTGAGAGATTAGGGTCATTATTTGCTGTTGTAGCAAACAGCAAATAATGAAAATTGTACAGAAAGGTAGACGAGGATTGGGGGAGGGAAGAGCAATGTAGCAACAACTGTTGGAAGTAAAGTGGGGTGAGTCGTGTTAACGAGACCTGCTGCTTCTTCGCCTCGATGTTAGAGTAGCACCACTAACTGTAAGTGGTATCAACAGACAAGCTAGAGTAAAAGGGCGTGAAGAACTCATAAAGAAAAGAGAATAATTTCATGGACAATAAAATCTCGCAACCTTGACTGAAATATGTAAGCAAATATGCTAGCGAAGAAGACGCGTAAGGAGAACCTCAACCTCCCCGCCTCGACCGGATGATGTGATATCGGAGCCCAACCAGCTCAACTTCGAACCCCGATGCCCCCTGATGGGAATGAGAAATAAGAGAGACCCCAAGGAACACGAGCAACAGGAAGCGAACAAGACGAAGAAACAGATTTCAACTGCAATCCGAACGAAAACCGACGTGAATGTAGCCCTCATTTATCAAATTATTTCTCTAATTTTTCGTTAAATCGTTTTAGTTTACAAAAATGTTCGTGTAAAAGGAATTAAATTACAATTCCTTTTAGCTAAAAGTAATTATTACAATTACAAATTACCAGTAAAAGTAATTAAATTGCAGTAATTGAATTACTATCCAAGTATGCTGTATTGGATACTTACAGGAGCTGAATTTGGCACAACTGTCCCACTATAAAACTTGCAAACAAGTGTTGCTTCAATAAATGTGGACACTTTAAAATCAATTCCTAGACCTAGTCCCTTGGAAGCTTGTTCTTAAATAAGCAGTAAACCCCCTTTTGGCAATTAGTCTGAAATTTGAAAGAAAACTGGAGTGGCCTCTTTTTGAGATCAACTAAGGACCACTGAACCTTACTTGTTTGCAAAATACCTTGCCTTTCTTTTTTGTCATTGTGACCTCTAAATTCAGTTATGCATTTAAACTGGAATTGACAAAATTTTACCAGCAAGTGATTTTTCATATTTTCTTTCTATTTAGCTGAAAACACTTTAACACTTGTAGACTTTCTACAACTCTTGCTTTAGGCTGTGTTCTGCCAAACCTTTTATTAGGATCTTGTAGCTTTGGCAATCTCTGCATCTACATAATGCACACAAAATCGGATCCAAATGGAATGCAGACAACCACACCAAGCCTAACAAGAAACATCAGCTTTATTATCTCGATTTTCAAGAGGCCATAGCAGCAGTAAAATCATAAGCAACTAAGTTTTTGCACAGCTGCCACACATTTTTGAAAAGGCAGCACAGGAAACAAACATTGTAAATGGCAGTGAAACCACAACAGCTGCAGTCAAACACTCTGAAATATTTACATGCGCACAGAAGAAAATGTTTAAATTATTCACCAGGTGAGATAAAGGTCATTTTCCTCCAAATCCTTCCCGTCGCTCCCAGTCTACTACAAAACTTAAATACCAAACCTAGGATAACAATTCATTTAGGACAAAAACTGACTGCAGCCTCAAATGTGGACCATGTCTACGCTAAGTATTACCATATATGCCCACAAAAAAGCGCAAGAATGGACGAAGAAGAAAAACATACATGCTGCCTGTGTTTTTACCAGTTTCTATCAACCTTATAACAAATGTAGCAAATTTGTGTAAAAAAGGCAGAAAAGCTCTGCTGTCATAAATAAGCCATCTTATACACTTCTTCCTCGCAACGTGCGGCAATTTAAGCTGCCGGCACTTCCTTCACTTCACAAACGTGTTGTACACACTTCGCCGAGGATAAAAGTACAAAGTGAGACTGTCAAAGTGCCAAAAAAGAAATCGAGAAGCTTCATCATGTTTCCAAAAAATTTCCACTAAAGAAAATTTGGCACTGTGTCATTTGTGCAAAATCAAAATGTGTGGTCGCATAAGCTACAGCAGCTAAGACAATGATAGTCGTTTCATCCCCCAACCCCAATGAAGGATGCACTAACATAAACCGTAAACTCATTTCATACTCTACTCGAAAGATAACCATAAATATACACACTCTTTCGGCAATGCGAAATTCCTTTGAATGCCTAGCTTCTCCAAACGAGAGTTGCATGTTTCGCGGGTTGTGTGATGTATGCAGTGAATTAAATGCATTTTATGTTTGTGGGACAACACTGACATGCATAGATGAAGCACAGATCCAAGGCAACCCTCAAAAAACACAAAGCAAACCCTCGGTCAGACGGGGCGGTAACATCTTCCAACTATACTATTCACTCGGAAGTCAACGTGACAAAAATATAATGAAAGAACATCAGAGTGCCACGAGTGCGGTGCTACTGCCAGTTTCAACAAACAATAATTAGAAGGAATGAGACTAGAGTGAAAAAAATAATGTGCTAAAGAAAGAAGACTGCCTTTGCAAAGATGGCAACTCTTGTAGCTGCAAAAAGTATGAAAAAAAAAAAGGCAGGATGCAAATGACTGTGGGCTTCTGCATTCCCTGCTCTGGGACAACAAAATTACTACATGCTCTTCAACTACTTGGGTGGCAAGCCAATGCTTTAGCGCCAGGAACAACCAACAAAAACGACTGGCTTTAAAAAGAAATGGAAAGCTCAAAGAAACTGCTGCACTGCAGAAGGTCACTTGTTGCTCATTGCTTCGAAGTTTGTCAGATAGTCTCCACTTCCGAAGTGCCTGGAAATGAAAAAAAAAAGGATCTCTTAGATTATTCAAAAAGGTTTCACAAGTAGGTAACCGAAACCGCGCTAATGTGTTTTTCAGGGGACCGCAATAAAAAAAAAGGTACATTCCCAGAAAATGTAAAACGGACAATGCTTTAGGGGTCTATACATGTGACAGAAAGCTGCTCTTGCACGGAAATTTATTTTACGTGCGCGGTTGCGGAGAAATTCAAATATCAGTAAAATTTTTTATTGGAACCGATATTAAAAAATTGGTAGTCGATCTACAATTGCAACCAAGCAATGTCCACACATAACAAAACTATACTTAGAGCAGCCAACACTAGAAGTTGATGGAAACAATTGGACAGTGTCAAAAGCACACCATTGTGGAGTTCATTGCGTTTCTGTACGTGTTCTATCGTTGCACAACCAATCGAACAGAAAAGCCTAGTGACTTGCACCTTTTACGGTGTTTGATATGTCCCATTAGCTAATAGCATCGGTGGCCTCTGGACTTGAGGGGAGATGCGGGTCAAAAAACTGCAATATTTTGAGAAAAATGTGATTTTTGGGTTTTATGGTGTTTTAATATGTTTGAATCTTTATTTGATGTATAAAAATAATTAGAGCCAGTTATGATCGCGAAACCAGTCAAATACACATTTGAAAAGCTCCACACAACCTAGAACGGCATGAATTTGAGTAGTGTTTCTCCGCGTGGTTTTTCAAGTTGCGACGTCGCCGCTATCATATGTACAGGTCCCGTCAAAGTAAAACGGAGCGCCAGATCGGCGACCGAACTGCATCGCCGCGCTATCTAGCAGCACCGGCTGAAACTTATAGGCAACATCCGCGCATGCGAACGTGCCTTCCGCTGGGGCCTGCGTTTTCGTCTTCCCACCCACACGCTATTGGTGGTTCGAGCGGCGCAACCCTCTTCCTAAAATCGACGCCTGATAGCACAAGGAGCGGTGCTCATCAACAACACTCGCCCCTCTCTCCCACTTGCCTTCAGCGTTACCTCACCGCATGAGCCCGAGCCGAACACCTAGCGGTGTTTATCGGAACTGAGTTTGGCAGCTCGAGACGCCGATAATGCGAGGATCAAACGAGAAAGACGGAGGACACCGCGAACGGCACACGCGCATGCGCAGACGGCACCTATCAGCTGCAGCCGGCGCTGCTAGATAGCGCGGCGGTGCAGTTCGGTTGCTGCTCCGGCGCTCCGTTTTACTTTGACGGGACCTGTACGTTGACAAGTAGGCCTAGCCATCTCCTCTCCGTTGCACTCTTCTGTAACTGCAATCTCTCACGGAAATTTATTAACAAAATATTTTCCACACCGCAAAAGAGCGTAGCTAGAGATCTATGGTAACATTCGAACGAGCTTTTCTTTTTATGCAGTCTCGGGGCGTCTTCACAGTTTGTGCACAAGAATTTATGTTCTTAATATTGTCCTATCATAACCAAATTTGGCATGTATATACTTTAAAATATGTAGACTGCAACTATCCAAGTTTGGTTAGAATGTATATTTTTTTATTTATAAAAAAAAATATAAGAAACCTTTGTTAGCCCCTTGAAATGGCCTTTTTGCTATATTTAATTATTTGAGAATGAAAAAAGCATTGCACACATTCTTTTTGTTCACTGCACTCAATGGTTTAAAAAAACAAATTAGTTTATTTTGCTAGTCTTTTTTAAGTGTGTTGCCATAATTCATGTGTGCATAAGAACATCTTTTTTTTTTTTTGCATGTACAGTGCATCAAGAACTCATAAAACAGGCTATATTAAAGTTAACACCAGATTTATAAAGAGGAGAATAAGCACCATAAACTGAAAACTTCATTTCAATATTGTAAACAAAAAAAATGTTTTCCTCTGGCACATCTCCCCTTTAGTTGTTAAGTTGAAACAAGTACAAGCGCCACGTTTTGCCCACTTCGTTTATGTTTGAAGCAATGCGACATCTCTCACCCCATAGCATCCAGTATGAATTTTTTAATAAAAATTTCACAAAACTGCTGGATCATGCCGAGGTTCATCCATTCTCTTAATACTTTATATCCCTGAACATGAAAATTGAATAGTGTTAATTAGAACCGTTTCATTATTTAGCTATCCAATTAACCCATCTATCCACTTTTCTATTGGCCGCAATGCCTACCAAATTGGCCCCAGTGCTAAAAAAATCGTATTACAATTTGCATTTTTTTTCTGGACTGACTAAAAAAGAAAACACCTCGTTGAAGGTGTTTTGTGTCTATGCCCATATGTCAATACATTAAACTGTATTTGTCAGGTTTCCATTGCACAGACTGTTGTCACATTAGAGCACACACTTCCTTTTTGGATAACATAAAATTAAAAGCCTCGGAGGAACGAAGCTACAAACATTTCCAGACTCATCTGAGTAACTCACTGTTCACACTGGTCGGTGTTGACAGCTTCGTTTGAGTCCTTGTATAAGTTAATAATGCCGGAATCCTGGATCTGGACGTTGAAGATGCAGCCCTTGAAACCCTCGTGGTTCCTGTTGGCAGTCATTTCCCTGGGTTCTGGTGCACCACCTGAAGGAAAGGAAATGACTCAGCCCAAATGAAGACCGTGCTGCATTCACTGCTACAGCCACTGGCAGAATTAGAACAGTGGGGACGTCCTCTGGATGTCTTGCCTCCAGCGCAAGCATTTTGTCTTTGATATCGCTTGGGCACCTTGTGAGCCTGGAGCATGCGTCCAGAGCTAAAGCACCAAAGAAGGTAACGAGAAGGCGCTGGAGGCTAGGCATAGGAAAAAGACGCCCTTTCGATCCCATCCTGTCCAGTGACTGTAGTATTCTTTCTTTTCCGACCCTAGCTATATAATGTCCATCACAATAAAATTTTGTTCACAAAATGGGAAGTACACATCTGTCTTGCTTTGCATATGTACCGAGTTTTTAGCAAAAAATTTTGAATCCGGCAATATATGACACCCTCATCTCGCGAGCGAAATCAAGTCTGTTATAAGAAATGTCCGGATAACACTAATATCTGTCTTGTCTTGTGCCTGATGGTCGTTACGAAGATACATACACAGGGCATGTCCTCTGCATAAGACTTTTTTTTTTATCGCCCACAGTTGCTGAACATTTGGTTTCTTGCTGCAGACCAAGAGTAAAATTGCACCAAAGATGACACCATACTTTGTCCTGGAAAATCACTTAGTATAATCGCTGAAAAGCAACTGCATACCTACGTGTTTTCATTGAAAGATGGATTTTTTCGCTTTAGGAGATTATGCAGCTGAAGTAGCTATACTTGTTTTACTTCAAGAAAAAAGAATGTTTTACGCATTGTTTGTACGCCGCACGTCTTACAAGACTGTTGTTGGAGTAATATGCGATTGTGTGTATGTGTTGATAAGATAACGTCTCTCTTATCTAAAATGGACCTACATACTATATCCTTATTCTCTACATAAAGGGGGAAATTAGTAATGCTCTGCAAGAAGCCAGACTTTTTTACTAGGGTTTTTGAGGTTAAAACGAGTGTAGTTGAAAACCTGTGTCTACTTGCCTTTGCATATCATGCATTTCCAGACTTTCAGCTTAAAACCGTTTCAGTCATTTCTATAAGGGGCATTGGGGCACCTTGAGAGGTGCAAAGTCCCTGCAGCATGGGAACTCAACCGTTTCAGTCTTGGGAAATTTGAGTGAGAAGAGCCGAGAAATTTTCTGCTCTCTCAACAGTTTTGCAATGAAGGAGTTCAGAAGCCTACACACTATTCTTTAGATACTACAAACATTAGGGAGGAAACATTGCCTGGCTCACAGTCAAGCATCAATGTAGAGCTCAGCTCCCTTCAAATTTAGCTGAAACTAGTCAACTTTTTTTTTTTACTAAGGTGGGATTGCTCGAGGCAAATTAGGTGCCAAGGATCCCCTGGAAGGGGTACCCTAGAAAAACCCCTGGATTCCTGGGGTTTCAGGACCGATGCCCGCAGCGTGCAAGAGCTTACCGATGTAAATGTCACTTTTGGTGTTGAGCCTGATGAGCATCCCCGGCGACTCTCCGTGCACTTCTCTGTCATCCAGCTTCAAAACACCCTGCCTTCCAGTTCTGAGTATGAGAAGAGACAAACAAACTTGATAAACTGAAGGATGCAATTTTTCTACACTGATCTAAACTGCCAAAGACGAGCGTGGCTCCTCCAACAACTCGGGGGTTCCTGCCAAGGTGGGGGACGGCGATTTTGCTGCCCACCTGCAGCTCCAGCTGACGTCTACGATACGTCCTGCCTACCTCTATTTTGCCACAACTGGACTGGACTGGACGAAGCCGAATTTTCGGACGCACAATGCGCCGGATCACTGTGTCCGGCAGACTCTCGAAGCACCACAAATGGGTACAAATCTCTGCGATGGGCATTGCTGTCGCACAGGCACTGCAACGTCTACCACCCGAAAATGTCTGAGAGAGTCCTGCCAGCAATATGCGAGCAATGTTGTAGCAATGCAGTGAAAGCTACGAGTGTGAGGTTTCAGCTTTTTATACCTCGTGTGGAGTGAAAGTTATAGCACCAGTGCCTTGCATTGAAATCTGTCATCTGCCAGACTCCAATGCTACAGCTGCACACTTGTGAACGTGGTTTCATTACTACTTGAATATGCAAACGTGAGTACAATCTGCCCTCGCCACATGAGCACATCCACAGTGGAGTCTCTTTTTAGAGCCATCCTACAGAATTCAGTGGCAAAGAAAACTGTCAGCTAGAACAATAGAGAAAACACAGAAAGGGAGAAACATAGACAACATACCTAGCTGACCGTTCTCTTTTGCATTATGTACCAACTAGCTCAACTTCGGCCTGTTATTCAGTGCTAATGCAATGAGCATAGAAAATGTTAAGAGTCAAGTTATTTACGATAGTTTCTTTGAAAGGTGCTTTTATAAGTCTGAATATATACTAAAAAAGATGTTTTTGCTTATAGTTTTGTCTGCCAGAAAAACTTTGATTTCGTATTTTTGCACAAGGTTGCAAAGGCTGTTGCGGAGTCTTCTGGGCACTTTAGCAAAATTACCTTTCATGTTCCATTCCACCTATTGTGACAATTAATTTGCTTCGACTTTCACTTGCCTTCTCATACTTTGCCGCTTTCCTAGTGTCTGTAAAACCTCGACATCTTTGCATCAATTACAATGTACTACCACCAATTAGAGAATCCCATGCTTACCTCATATCATATATTTATTTATGGGTTAGAAGTAACAACTTTGAATATGTGTGCGAGTTTTTTTTTTTCTCGCTTATTGCATTTTTTGTGTTGATACACCAAACAAAAGAACATTGTGGTCGTTCTAAAAAGATAAAGATTATCCCTATTATTATCTACTCACTAAAATTTTTTGCTGACATGCCGAATGGGATACAGGCAAACTCTGCATATCAAGGCACTGAAAGGGTTAATTACGTTCACCTTTTGTTTTGAATATTGAATTACATGAGGCACTATAACATGCGTTGTCGTATCCACACAGTTTTCCAAAATTGATCAATTGTAAAAAACATTAAAACTGCTTTGCGAGAAAAAAGCATGATTAATTTGTCATGGCTGCACTACAAAAAAGATGCCGCAGCCAACTCACCTCCTCAGCTCGACTGTATGCAAACCTCCATCATCTACTCTCTGCTTGGAGATGATCTGGGCAGGCCCGCTCCCCATTTCATAGCTGCAAAACAACAAAAAAAGGCCATTTTAGTTTGAGTTTTAGCACTGTTTGCTCGTACAAATCACTTAGGAAATATTAGCACAAGGTTTTATCACTAGGGTTCCTTGTTTTGGGGGTTCTTTTTTCTTTGAATTCGAGGTGTTTCTTTTGGGGAGGGGGGGGGGGGGGGGGGGGAGGGTTCCATTTTTACATTTTCAATGTCGGAAAAAAAAAAAAAATATATATTTGCATTTATTGGTGGCGTATTTGAAAGAAAACAGAAGGGGGGCATGGGATTCCTCACCCTCCAGGGAACCTTTGAGTGAATCAGATTTCGAGACCCTTCCGGTACCGAAAATAAAAAAGGAGAGAGGGTTTGGTTCCCGTAGCCCCGGGGACAGTCCGGTTAGATTCGGGCTGCGTTCCGAATCCACACAAAATAAAGCTGCGCACAAACATTTCTTCTCATGAAACTCGGGTCTTTCTTAATAAAGGACAGCTCTGACGCTAGGTTTAGGTTCCGAGACCGAAAACACTGAGCCCCAATTATAATTACGGTGCCTGGAATGTGTCTCCAAATGATGCGTTTAGTGTTCCATTCTGCCCTTACATCGAAAATGGTCCCCAAGTGCCAGCAGATGACTTGTCAAAAGCCAAAGTGTCAAACTGTTGGATGCCACAGTCCTGGCAGTTAAGCTTAGAATGTCCGAAAGAAAGCACGAGGGAATGCAAGCGTCCCAACCCCTGGCTGCCCAAGTTTCTGTGGGCTGTCGAGCTGGATGGCGACCTGCAGCAAAGAGGGAAGCTGCCACATCCACCACCGCCGGCGTGAAACTGCCAGGATCGCGGTAGACGACAGCTCGACACTTCCGAGACTTTGCCGGGCGAAAATCGAAGGACCACTCGAGGATGTGGTAAACACTGGTCAGAGACACGCTCCCGGCACCATATAAGGTCTGTTCGATTCGGCCAGAATGTTCTCAACTAGTTCTTTCCGAGTTCAGAGGAGTGCAGGAGTTGTGCAGCGGCGGCACAGAACCAGTGCAGGCACCGCGTTAGGACCTGCGCTGTGATAGGCGTCCAGAGCGGAAGCGCAGGGTGTCGTCTGCTGGCTCTTGTTTCTCCACACCTCGTCGTATGCTACATTTAATTATTTGCGCATTGATGAGACCATTTGCGTTTCTTTAGTTTTAAAATATTGAAAATAAATTTTTTCTGTGAATGTTTCTTTATTCGAGTGTACTAAAAAGGTTTTCTGCACGAAATGAGTTTGTCTGCATTTTAAACGGCCGTTCGCTTCCTATAATTTACATAAGCGTTCGTGTCCTTCACATTCATGTAGCAACACTAGATACATTCCAAGTCTTTTCAGTATATCATTTCGACCATAGCTTTGCAGCATCAGGATGATTTCATGTTGGGAATCACTTTGGAAGTTAGCACGCGGTTAGTAGCGGTCACTTCGAAGACAAAGGCCTGACGAGAGAGTTTTGGTCAAAATAGTTTTTCACCGTCACTTCGGCGTCAAGTTGAAGCGTTTATTCCGAATCCCAAGAAAGATCCGCGTGGAACAACCAAGCCAATGCCGATTCTCGGCATTTTTTCCAGGGGGGGTGCCCACAGACGCTAGCAGAAAAAGCATCAGTATTATGTTCACCTACGGGGCATGCGAGTGCCGATTTACTAAATCCCAGACCTCTGCAATGTATCAGAGTCGTCAGTATGCGTCCAAGAGAAGCTGAAGGCGGGAGCTATCACGAGGGCAATACTTTTCCGGTGTCTTTACACGGGTGTCTTTGAACAATTTACGTGAGCCAATTTTTCAGCATACCACAGGCAGCCAAACCTGCGCGAGCAGATGCGTAAAACGCTTTAAGAATATTATAATCGAGCAAATTCCTACCCTCGATTAAATTCTCGATTCCGCATCCACCAAGAGTACGTTATTTTCATGAACGAGAAATTGTAACCTCAGTCTCGGTTTTATTGTTAAACTTTGCAGACATCTGAGCAAGAGCAGCGAAAAATGCCACAGCGAGCAGACACGTACAAGGAGTGTCGTCTGCTTTCGTCATATGCTTCTGCACAGGCGCTGAATTGACTCTGGAGCCGGTGCAAGATTTTGAGGAACTGGCTCTGAACTCTTTCAGAACTGGGATGAATCAAACGCGCCAGTGCAGTGGCCGTGCAACTTCTGGTTGAATCGAACGCACCAGTTCCTGCACTGCTGAACTAGTTAAGCCAGTTCAGGCGAATCAAACAGACCTAAACTCTCGAGGGCGAGGAAGGAATCATACCTAAACTCGAGCAGCCCGTTGACGACCGCCAAGGAGATGTAGTCCTGTCCGCGAGCATTGACCCCCTTGGGCTGCCCTTGGAACAGCAGCAGGCCGTCGCGCTCCGTTGTTGAGAAGCTCAGCTTGATCACTTCGCTCGAGTTGTCTGCAGTGTGGGGCAGCAGGTCTCTGCTCAGCGCCACCCAGCCATCTCCGTGGAAGCTGGCGTTCTCGTCGAAGGTGACGACTGCGGACACAGCGAGCGACATCGGTTCATGAGAGGACTGCGGTCCACAAAGCCCTAATGCCACGTCATGGACAAGTGAAAAGGTGCGGGCGGTTCTGCACAACGGCCTCGAGTTGCTGAATAAGCTATGGTTCAAAGTAATGACACTTCGGCCACCTTGTGGCTTGCAGTCCGCGACTGAGCTACAGGATATCACCCGAGCTTCCAGATGCTGCGCCTGAAGCAGGCGACAAAACGGTAGTGCCTACGAGACAATCGAGGAATGGAGTGTCTATACTTTGACTTTACGATAGCCTAGTCAATCGACGAGGCACATAAAAAGTAGACTCATCTTTTGTACGTTAATGAGAGACTGCGTGTACATACGTAAGGATTGCGCCATTTAGTGAACTCACATGATTCGCAGTTCGGTCCAGAGAATCCCTTGGGACAATTGCACCTGTATGAATTGCCGTGCCCCACACATTCGGCACCATTCTGGCACGGGTTTATCTTCGAACAGAAGTCCTCTTCAATCTCGCATCTTCGACCTGAAGAAAGGTACAAAACGCAGCATGTCAAAGTACTAATCTTTTTAAATAAAACGCTCATAAAAGCAGCATTTAGCAAACAAAGAATAAAAATGTGTGGTACAAAGTTTGTAAATGTGGAGAAGCTTTTACTGTCACAAACAATTTTCTTCATGAAGTTTTGCCAAACAAGGATGTAATATGCATTAAAGTTTTTCTATCTCCTTGCTCGACAAGGTTGCTCTCCATGTCACGCTTATAACGGGGTCTCATAAACATATGCCATTTGGAGCACTGGCATTCCTACTTCCATAGGACAGGTGTGCTTACCTGGGGACAACTGCAATAAAATATCGACCTTTAGATAATAAGGTAATAAATGAATGGTTTCTATGGGGGGAAAAAAATGACCGCATCTCCACGTGGTGAATGATGTTGATTGGGGCGAAGCTCTGGTGGTGCTGATGATGCTGATTTTATTGTTCATAGGTAGTGCTGATGCTGCCGATTTGTTTCTATTGCTCATAGGCAGTGCTGAGTTCAAGGTTGCGTTTCGACTTCATTATTACTGCTTTATGGTCGGTGAAATGCAGAGCCAGTGGTTCTTCTAGCGGATCAGCTTGGATCCGCTAGAAGTCGTGGGAACGCATCTCCACCACTTAAGTCAGCGGTCCATGTCAGAAAGAGAATCTGTGGTATAGAACGTGGTTATATACGTATTTGAGCATCTGACCGCAGCGCAATCTCGTCTATAAACGTTGAGCCAATGCATGCAAAGTTTATTGCGATTATATACGCAATTGACCGCAGCGCCCTCTCCTGTATAGACGTTGAGCGGCTACATGCAACGTTTCATCCATGACAGAAACCCCAGCTCCTGAGTTACTACCACATCTCAGAGCCCCCTACTTGTCCCGCAGTCGTGGCCGAGTGGTTGAGGCGATGGACTAGAAATCCATTGGGGTCTCCCCGCATAGGTTCGAATGCTGTCGACTGCGCAAACATTTTTTCTTTTCATGTGAGCACGGACGCCGGACGGACGGACAAACGGACAAGGCTAAGGAGTTTCGCCCCTAAAAAAAGGGTTGAATAAATTCAAGACGCTGTGAAAGGGTCTTAACCCCTTAAATGGGGAGCGAGTCTTTAGACACTCGTCAATTTTGACTGCAGATTGGGGGGCGCATCTATAGACTGCTGTACTTTCTGTGCTGTTGAGAAGTGCGTCCTTAAACGCTCGATCAATTTAGCGTGTGGGTAGGATGCACCATCTATCCTCGTGTATCGGAAACTTTTTAGTTTTAAAAACGATGCATACATGGTAGCACAAAGAAAAGTTGAAGACTCCTGTATGACACCTTTGACTTTTTGTTTGGAAAATGGCGTCCAGCAAACGCCACAGCATCCCTTGGCCGACGAAGGAATCTCTTAGCTGCTGCAAAATACTCGCAAGGACAGCGACTGCGATGCTGATTTCTCGAATTTGATGGAATTCTCCCCAAGATCCGACACGAAAATTGAAGGTGACACAGCGGAACAACTGTTTATGGAAGCACCGTCAACTTCGGGGCCTGCTGCAACCTGGCAAGACGCCAGCACAGAGAAAGATCCATTTCGGATTATAGGAAGTGCCGGGTGCACATCCAACTTGATATAAATAAATTTGTTCTAGGGTTTGAGATTATTGTTATACCTTCAAAAACTAAAAGCACTTAAAAAAAAACAAAAAGAAACTCCCCATTTTACAGATAATTTTTGGTCTAAAAATTTCCCAGGTAAGGGGTTAAGTTATACCCGACAAACTTCAGGAATCGCATGCGGCATTAATACAGGAATACATTGAAGTGTGTCCGTGCTTACAAAGTTTGTTAAAACATGATGACTAAGTGCTACAATGTCACGTTTCATTTTCCAACTCAAGATTGGCCCTGCTTTTCTTAAAGAGAGACATGGGTCCTTGGAACCAAAAAATCCACAGAAAACTTTTTTCAGGGGTGGAAGCGTTGCGCTAATAGCGTTATTGCGTGCCAATCCACTTTCGCTGTGCCATCCTGCTCCGAAGCACAAACGTTGCGCCAAAACTAACCAAAAATAGGCTTTTTCTTTTTTTTTAAGGCTATCAAAGCAGTTAATCTTTGTTTGATGAAAACAGGCGCCAAGTGCCCATTTTCATCCAACGAGACTGATTATAATTTATTCCAGACCATGCAAATAAACAGTGTTTCGTTTCGTTTCACTGTCTCATATTGATGAGCCAGCAGCACGAGGGAGAATTGTGCAAGTTGGTTGTGTCCGTTTCAAACGAGAGGAAAAGTAAACGATTTTATCGTTTTTCAGAAATATACTGTATTTGGACAAATATGAACAACACAATAAAAGTCGTGCGTTTATTTCCACACCCTGTACCAGCTCCTTTCAAGCACTTGTTTGAGCGCGTTGCTGCATGCCGTTAGTGCTCAGCCCAAGACGGTGTGTAAGTGTGATCTCCGAAAATGAGACATGCATAGGTGGCTTTGTCAGAAGTACTAAAACATTAGTTTATCATTTACTTATTTTCTTTGCACGGTGGCGCTGAGCTTTGCCGCGTGTATTCGAAATAGCGTATGCATTAAATCGCGTATACCGTAAAGTTTTGTATGAACGCCCGTCCCTGAAAAATCGCCCCTCCAGTTTTTCGGGCTTAATATCCACAACATAAATATTCCAAAACATCAACCGCGCGATCTTCAGTATCGGCGCGTGTGACAAGCACGTTCGCCGCAGGTTCCCTCATGTCTATCGCACCGTGACACGTGAATCCGCAGCATTGGCAATCTGCGGCATCCGTTCCTGTGAAATGAAAAATTCCCAACTCGTTCCCACATTTTTTTTAATGCACTTTTTTCCCCCTGATTTGCGCACGCGATGTTTGTTCCTGTGACATCCGAGTTTGGAGCAGGTCCTTGCGTGCACTGTGAAGCGCGATAGAGCTGCGTCCGCGATCGGCTGCCGTGCCTGTGACAGCCGAGTGCATAAAGAATTCGCGTGCTTATCACCAATTTAATAAAAATTTGCTGCCGCATCCCCGAATATTATCCCATATTTATTGCCGTTTATATATATTTTTATTTTGAGTGGGCATTTTTGTTTTAGGACTTCACGGTATATAAAGGTACCTAGAAGCTTACTGGCATGTGTTCACATATCATCCAATCTCTAGAAAGAGCGACAACTCTTCTACAAAATTAAACATTTGGCATAATTTTATTATGCTGTTTTAGTCTTTAGGGTGTTTGCTTCGCTGAGATCGCTTCTGTGCTCTTCAGCTTCATTTGTAAGCACACGTTTTGTCACTCACTTTTCCTCACAAACTCCTAAACAAGTTTTTTTTTTTTTTTTTTTTATTCTATTCAGTCATGCTTGTTCTAGTAAGGATTCAAGTGCATATGTATGAGCAGGGATGATACAATGAAGTTTTTAATATTTTTCATTTGTCCTTTTATCAGATAGAGTAGATTTGTATTCTGCTAACTTGAGTGTTGAAATACATTTGTGTTTGCTAAACAGGGACTTGGAACAAACTTGTATATCCTAATAAATTAAAAATGTAGTCAGTAAGTATTGGGATTTATTACATAGTACCATACAACAGCATCTTAAAATGGTTTTGTTTTCAACTTCTGGAACTTGTGATTTGGACCGTTAAATAGGAACAATGTTTTGTTTTCATGAGGCTTAAGTTGTGCTTCTTTTGTTGACTTTCCCTTCTATTGGAAATTCATAAGAGGAACCAACCCGCTACCAGGACAGTTCTCAATAGCTGCTATTCAGATGAATTGCAATTACGCTGTTTACTTTTTTTGCTATGGGATGGCTTATATTCAGGGAAAGGGTATGTTTGGAAATGGTTCTGGAACATTACATTGAGATGCTTTTTTGTTTTGATATTTTTTTGTATTTAGAAAAACACCTCCACGTGTATAGCCCCAAGTTTGACCTGGGTGACCAGATCCAAGATTTACTTATGCCGCTACGAAAGTAGACTTTTGTGGCTCCCGAGCTGCTCCAAATGAGGTTTTACTGCTCCAAAGCTGCTCCAAAGGGACATCTTTGCTGCTCTCAGACCCGCTACAAAAACCTGAAGCTTGCTTCCACCCCCGTTTTTTGGAAAATAGTGATCTTGAAATCTACATGTATTTTGCTTTTGATTCTGCCAAGTTTCATATTTTGAAGATTAATATTTGAGTCATAATATCACTTTATAATATCTATATAAGCTGAAATTGCACTGAAGCTGATGCTAAAACACTTCCTCAAAACACAAATTTTGGACTCCATACAAATTTTCAGGAGGGATGTCTCAGTATCCAGGGCAGACAGAAAGATAACTTTTTAGCACCATGTATGTAACTAAATGTGCAAAGCATGCAATGTTGGAAGCAGATTTTTTGATTTGGTGTAGGAAAATTTTTAACTGAAATAAAGTTTTTTTGTTTGGTAGATACACACTGAGCATTGAACTTCAATGTGTTGTAAAGTCACTAACAATGGTTCAATCTAGAAAGTACTTCCAACATTAAATTCTTTATCATTTGTAGTATCTGACTAGATGTTAAAACATTCTTTTTTAAAAATGATTCTTCTGTTTTTGGAAACAAATTCTGGTTCATTATAATTATCCTAGGGAGTAACCTGCTAATTAAAAAGAATAACTGATATCTAAAATCAGCTCAAAAGTCTGAACAAGGTTATGCTGTTTCATTGGGATTGGCCAAAAAAATAGGAAAAAAAGCCCCAAGACCAGTGTACCCCCAAAAGCTCTGTGTGGTTTGCATTGCAAGAATGGAAATCACGTTGGTCTCGGCACATTACCACTGTATCCAGCCTTGCAGATGCACTCGAAGTCGTCGGTCTTGGGACCCCTCTCTCGGCACATGCCGTGGTTCTGGCAAGGATTCTTTTCGCAGGGGGCCCTGCCACCGCAGTCGTCCACATTGGATGAGTCTACCACTGCTCCCACCAGGTCCATCTTCACATTGTTCACCTCAATCTGAGAAAAAGAAACGAAATAAAACATTTGCATTTGGACAGCTTAAAATTGGGCCACCTTCGAGGCATGGTGACACTAGTTAACGCTACAGATGAGACGCAATATGACTGCTAGCCTCGGCTCTTTGATGCGCATTACACAGTGGTGACACATGACCACATGCCGGCACAATGCTCAGCCAGATCGCAACAAGCAGGGGTGGGGGTGAACCCAAGATCCTCAAGTTCTGTAGCACAAGCTTTCACTTCGCATGCTCCGAGTTGTGAAATAAGGCCGCACCTGTCACTGCTTGTGCATCGATGAATGAAACACAAGTGTTAGGTATACAAAGCAGTTATATCAAAATGGAAGTTGACTCTCGATAAAGGCTATATCAGAAAGAAAAAAGAAAAGAAAACCAGTAGACAGTCTTTGACACCCTAAAAAAATCATCTAAATTTTCATCGAACAAAATGTTAAAATATGGTGTTAAGATAGCACCTGATTATTTTTTCACTGCATATTTGTATATTTGCTAGAAAAGAAACCACTTCAGACCAAAACCAGTGGACCAGTGCGAGGAAGCGCGGCGTCGGACTGTGGAAGTTACTCAAGTCGTTTCTGTCTTAGCAACTCTGCGTTCGAAGTTGATTATTGACTCGCTTTCAGTGTTTCAGTAGTCACAAAAATTGTCTAATAAATCTTATTATTCTGTATTTATGAATATATGTCTTAAGGCAGCTTAATACAGTAAACTTTCAATAATACTAACAATTAAAAAAGTTTTGGTTGTCCCGCTATGTTTTTAATGTATTTATAAATCGCTTTGAATGGCGTTTTCGTGCAATTCATATTTTTTGTTCTCGCGGCTCCATTGAGCGTGCTTCTTACCGAGCACCAGTGTACTGCAGAAAAGTGACATCCACGAAGCTCGCTTCCGTAGGTGTTGCTTATCCGCAGTGCACCGGTGCTCAGTCAGAAGCACGCTGAACGGGGCTGATAGTTCACAATAGACAACTTTTTTGGATGAAGAAACTTGATTCTGTTTTGAGGTGTCATCTGCTGTCTAAAAGTCCACGATAGAGAACATTTTTGAGAAATAAATAAATTTGTCTCTTTCACCAATGTTTCATGCGTTGCATAATTGCTTATGATTAGTAGGCCTGTATTGGCGAGGAAATTGAACAATAGGGGGCAGTTTCATTATCATCATCATCATCATCATAAACAATTGCTGTGTGGCAAACAGCTGCGACGCCAGCACTCACCTAGCGTATGCTGCATAGTTTCCGCGCCCGCTGAATATTTGTTTGTATCGAATGGTGCGCACTTCCTGCGTACTGCACTGCTCGAAGCATGCTTTTTGAACCGGGGATATGCAGCGCGGAGGACTGCAGCACGTACGTGACGATGTGAATACTGTCCAACGTCGGCTCTAGTGCAACGCTGCACTTAATGACATGATTGCAGTTGAGCAAGTCCTCTCCTTCAAGGAGACACTGCTGGCTTCCGCCGATGTTGTTCATGATTGTTGCAGGAGACAGGGTAACAGAAAAATGAAGTGCATGTTTTGTGAATTATTCAGAAAAAATGAGACATTTACAAATCTCTAATACAAAACTAGAGCGCAGCTCTTGAGGAGGAGGGGAGGGTATGCCCCTTCTCCCCTCCTTCTCTCCTCTCCATCCTCCTTTCCCTCTTCTTTCCGCTCTTCCCCTCCTCTCCCCTCCTCCTCCGTATCTTCCCCCCCTCCTCAGCACGCGACATCAATTTTCCCGCTAAATCCAGCAGAGAAACTGAATTTGTTCATAGGCGACGTGACACAGAGCCATGTGACGTCATTTTCCCTGCTAAATTTAGCGGGGAAACTGAAGTGGTGTTGAGGTCACGTGATGAAAATTTTTCTGGTAAATTCAGCGGAGAAACTGAATCTGTTCACAAGTGATGTGACACCAAGTCCATGTGACGTTAATTTCCCCGCTAAATTTAGGAAACTGAATTGGTGTTGAGGTCACGTGACATCAACTTTTCCTCTACATTTCGCGCGCTTACCTTGATGGAGACGCCGCGAAACCCAAAAACTGGCGCCTAAGAGCTGCACTCTAAAACACGGATGTTGTGCTGGCTACACACAATGCATTGCGCGCGGCCTACACGATGCGGCACGTGAGGGACGCAGGTATTTCCAGAGATTGGGGGGGGGGGGGGGGGGGCAAGGGCATTGTGAAATAACCATCTTAACTAGCAACAGGCGGGTCTTCAAGAACGACGGTGCCGAGAAATGGCGGTATGACTCAGAGCAACATTGGTTTGGTGTTAGTGGTTTGAGTTCAAGGTGGGAAATCTGTTTGCCAGAATGTTACTGCCACAGCCGATGAAGGAGTTAACACGAGGGGTGTAAAAAGGATGCCGACACGGTGCACTTTGCACCAGAGAGACCTTTTATGTAGTCAGGTTTGTCGAGCAAGCCATTCGATGCCACCGGGAGACAAAGAAACGTGTTTTGAAGTCTCTCGGCTGGGTTAGTATTTTGGACTGCGTTGGTAGGAATTTACTCTCGCGCATAATGTTTTTATCATGCTCGAGGATAATGTTTTGTCACTGCTCATTTCAATGTCATGTCATAACACCTGATAATTATAGCGTTCCGTGTGACTTCCTTGGCATAAAGTCGACAAAGCATCTCCGTGTACTTTGGAACGAAAGTGCCAAGTCTGTCATGAAAACAGGTCGCGTCTCATACAAGTAATTTGCACTAGCCTTTTCTTTTCAATGTGGGCCTCTTTGGACCCCTGAACGTCTTCGTTCAGGGGTCCGCATACGTTCAGCGATATGTTTTCTTCAGGACTGACACGCCGTGCGCCTCCAGTTGTCTCGGCAAAGTTGGACACGTTGCATTTGAATTTTTAAATGAATGTACAGTCTACACAATTATTCATTAAAACAACTTCAATATTTTTTATTTTTTTTCAGCTCGATAGGGTAGAAAGGAAAAGAAAACGCGGTGTTGCTAGTGTTGTGAACATACGTTTTACGGTAATGTTTTCTTCGAAATTATTACTTTAATAATAATACGATGGTAGCACAAGAACATTTGTACAAGTTTTATTTGTTCTATTTTTAATCTGAATACTTTAATTTATGTTTTGGGCATAAATAGTGCGTTTTAAAGCGAAGTACTCCCAGTCGCTCTATGTTTGGTACTAAATGGTGACCTGGCAACTATGTGCATCGCACGATGGGCTTTTGCTTTCACGTGTTGTCGCGTTTCGCCAGGTGGTGCGTCATGCGGAGCATCGCGCGGCACCCAGTTTCACTGCTCATGTGTCTCCTGCTTAATTGTCTAAATATTCCATATCCAATTTGCTTTGCTTTGAAGTGAATGCGTGATGGCATATAAACAAAATCAACCTCAGTTAATAATTTGAAAGGTTATCTTAAAAGCAACCATCATTTCCAGTGGCGTAGCCAGGATTTTATTTCGAGAGGGGTTCAACGGCATATCCCCCCCCCCCCTCATTGACGGAGGGTGCAGCTCGCAGACACGGATGCTCAGGCAAAAATTAGGGAGGCGCTGTTAAGATGAAACGGGTAACGCTGCATTGTCATTTTTCAAAACGGAGCAGACTTCATTTACAGGAATACGGGCGGGGTGGGTCACAGTTCTACTGTCGTCGTAATTGCGGCCCACCAACTTTAAAATCTGCCTCACAACACACAACTCCCTCCGCTTTTCGAAGCAGCACTGCATTCTTAATGCGTGAAGGCCAGACAAAGCACCAAGGATAGCTATACTTTCACACACACCAAACAAAATTACGCAGGAAAAACATTTTTTTTCGACACTGGAAAATTGGAGCAGCTGACCACGCACAAACACCAGGGGCCCATATTTAGGGCGAAGGTAATTCTGAACAATCACAAAACCAAAATCTATTATCTACTAAAGGTTTAACAAATTCATGCTGCAGAACCAGATGCCGAAGGAAAGAGTATTATCTTTGCTAAGCCGTTTTATCTTGCAGCGTGGTCCAAAGGCAGCAGCAGCATATACTCGGGGTAAGGAGAAGTCGTCAGTCCGAACTCGTCGTTCTGTCACTCAAAGAAATGTCATGACGCACCACAAAGAAACTACACGCCGAATGTGGAAAGGAACTTGACTAGCCTTGCGCCTGTGCGTAGTGAGAATATGAAGGCTTGTCTCTTCAAGTTTCTGATGTTCCGTGCAACGAAGAGATTAAGCTAATAGTAATAAAGGACTGCATCGGATGCCACTTTGACGTACAAAGCAGAAAGCAAGACGGACTTCATCGCATCCGTGAGTGACGACTTTCGCAAAGTGAGGGAAACGTCGCCAAAATTAGGGAAATTTTAGGCGCCCAACGCAAGAGGGAGAAACGTGAAGCGCCCGTCATGTCTGCGGTATGCAGGCGGTCGCCCTCTGTCCAGAGGCCCTATTTCAGAACGTCCATCATCTCCTCAAGACCCTAGTGGCTCTGCCCTTAACAACGGCGGAAGCTGAGCGCTCGTTCTCTTCACTACGACGGTTGAAAGCATACCCGAGAGCTTCTACCTCGAGTGAGCGACTGCTCGATCTATACTTCGTTTCAGCTTAATTCCAGACGCAGCCGATGCTACAGGCACGGCCACTCGATTAGAACTCCCCCTATAGACGTGAACATGTGGCCCTGAACAGTGCTTTCACCGCACGAGCGCGTGTGCGTGGCAGGGACGCTGAAAGCCCGGAGCTCGCACTTGTAGCATCGGCTACGTCTGGACCTAAGCTGAAACGAAGTATAGCGTTTTTGAATGTTCACTGCGACATTAAAGTTCTAGCGGAGGACGTCCGGGATATTATTTCTTCCGTGAACGCAGGTGGCTTCATTTTAATGTGTAGGCGCTTGGCATAAATGAGATGATAAAGAGAACCTGTAAATTGCATTTTAACATAACTAGTCACAGTTACTTTTTTATTTGCGGTAATTTTTAGTCGAAAGCACGTATCTCTAATCACGAAAGGTGTGCGTGAGCGCAGCACCACCCGTTGCTTACAGTGCGATTGTTATTTTACAATTCATTTATTATTCCTTACATCACTGACATTGTTTTATATTATTACCGTGTGTTTGTTTTATCATGTTCACATTGGTTTGATTGAACAGTGTATTTCAGTGAGGAAAGTTTGTCATACTGTATCTGCGTTGAAATTGCCATCCTTCACCCCACAAATGTTTTGAAATATATATCTGAGATCAAGTTCTGCATCTCATCGAATGAACATAATTTGAGCCTTTTCTACCCCACAAACAATTTTTCCAAAAGTCGTTGGAGATGGTCCATGCTCCCCCGTTGCTCCGTGCCTCGTGCAAAACCGACAACGTGAGCAGGGGAGCGAGCGGGCCCCGTTGGGGGTAGGGGGTAGCTTTGGCATTTCGGGAGGGGTTCCGACCCCCCAAACCCCCCCCTCTGCCTACGTCATTGATCATTTCTACCAATGCTCTAAAAACAACATTCGAACAGCTGAATTCTGGAGTTAATAGCATCTCAAGTTTTAGCAGTACCACAACGCTAGAAAAGCATGAGAGGCCATACTCACATGTGCGACGCACCCTTCGAAGCCGTGCGAGACGCCTGCGTCTGGGTGCACCTTGATCTTCTGCTTGTCGACGCCCCCCACGTACATGGGAATGTTGAGATTGACACCCCGCGTGTGGCCCGGCGAACGCCCCGTGGCTTTGTGGCCGTCGTTCACAACCAGGGCTCCGTCCTGGGCTTCCCTCGATGCCGCCACAGTGATCCATTCATTTGGGTGGAGCTTCTCCGGGTGCCGAATCACTGCAGGCCCTGGCAAGTGAAAACAACACATTCAGTTCTCCAACCCCGATGCCCAGACAGTGCTGCCGATTTAGGGGTTTTCCCCACTAATTCTAGCCTTGCTGGAGAGAAAGAGATCCACCTCTTTTGGCAGAAGTGGTGCGCTCTATCGGAGGATTACCTTGATAGAAAACTGAACTGAATCACTGCAGGAAGGAGGGGGAAGAAGCTCTTTTGTACTAACTTGCGGGTGAAACATAAGCCCCAATTGGCACAAAAACAGTGTCCCTGGAGCTGAATCTAGGTGACTGTAGCTGAATAGAGCTCACAGGATCTAGTGTCCTTGCTTGAAAGAATGTTTGCACCCGCTCGTGTTACACCCACGCATCTTAAAGGGACCATGAAATGATTTTAAAATCGAATTTCATCCACCGCACGTCGTAAAAGGTGTGAAAAGAAACACAAAAACACAAAAATAGGGAGCCAAGAAAAATTATTTGCTATAGAACTTTTAAAAGAAAACTAAACTCTTTTGCGCCTTCTTTCCTTCGCCTTTTCACTACGATGCATCCGCGGAAACGGGGCACGTCAGCCGAATCCAAGTCGCCTATTGGATAAGAGCCTACCTCACCAGCACCGCGATCGTAAACAATAAATAGCCGACGAATGTTTCCTAAAAGTTTTGTTAATATTCAGATCCACATTTTGTAGCATAATTAGAGATGTGTGGCGAAAATTGCCAAATTTGGTAATGCTGAGAGCCAATCGCCATCTATCATGTGGTAAACGAAGCAACTACTGCGCGTGCGCAGTAGGGCAGGGCCGAGTTCAGTTACTTGGGTCGCGACGGCCGACAAACGTTTATTTCCTTTGATTTCCTTCCTCTCAAAACTCTGACTGACTGAACGTTTATTTTTCAATGTGTTCTTCTCGCGCGTGCAGACTTCAAGCAGCAAGAAAAAAAGTACTTAAAACAGACCACGACGAACAAGAACGCTGGCCAATCCACCGACTCCGATGAAGCGAGCTGCTAAGAATATAGGCCTAGCAGGCACTCTGACTTGGCGCAGCGTTGCTTCGTCGCAAGACTGTCTGCCTACGACCGGCTGGCGTGCTGAATGGAATATGCCCGCGCGATACCCTTGTGGACCCTTCTTGCATTATAGCGTGATCGTTGACTTCAATTTTAGATTAAGAGGTGAGGTCAATCTCTTCCCCTTGTTTTCCAAGGCAGTGTTGACGAACACTCGTCGAAAAGGGACTCTCGTCGATTCTATCTTCTTGTTTTGTGTGATATAGACCTGAAATAAACGCCGTATGGATTACCTTCGTAACACGGTGTGTACACTTTGTTATTGGTATGCCATTTTTATTCTGAGAGACTGCACGTCACTGTCGAGCTATAACAGTTCGTGGGAGGTATACGTGCAATGCCGGTCCGACCTTTCTTTACCGAGTGTCGCGTCAGTATCGAGTTGCAATCGTAAAAGATCGGTCCCGAAGCGCTTACCAACAGCGCGAATACAGCACTTCCATCAAACACACGCGTCCGCTCCGAGTGTGAACAGGTATTTACGTGGCTCTTGCTGACACTCGTAGTTCAAACGTACCTTTTTTAACGTCGGCTCGCTCCTGCATCTCCGAGGCCGCAAAAAACGCCGCGGCATTTTGTTTCCATCTACGTCGCTTTGCAAACGACTGACTCGAGCCGCCTTTTACCAACAATGACAGTCGGGTTGACTTCTGGAGTCTTCACCGGAAGACTCGCTGCACTTAGGCGCCGATTCAGAAAATACGTCGGCGACATCAGCGCAGTAAAACCTACCGGCGCACCCCAACTCGTCGTTGCCAAAGCTCCCATTCTCCTACTGCCGAGACAACTTCCGGTTCCGGAAACAGCGTACGTCACGGCTTGTTTTGCGGTCAGTGTGAGAGAAAGAAAAAGTCGATATTTCATTAATTTTTTGTGTAGAAGTTAAAAAACCGAGACGAAAACGGATGCCTGTTCGGCATTCAGTGAACATTGACGGTTTAATGTAAAAGTTATCTGGAAAAAGTAAAAAGGTAATTTCATGGTCCCTTTAATATTGAAAAACCCTCAAACCGGGAACTCAAGAAAGGGTGGATCGACATTTCACGGGCTCCGGGACGTTCAGTGGTTTTCCGAGTCATGCTTTCTAGGGGGCTAAGACCCAAACATGGCCCAATCAAATTGCAAACAAGTGAAGGGCATCTGGTATGCTTCAGCAAAGGACATTAGCTTAAGCCACCCCTGAATCTTTTACCTGCAACCAAATGCCAGTTAGAGCAGGACCTTGATAGGTTTTACAGCGGAGCTGTTAAGGGGTAGGTTCTGCAGGATCGTGTCTGGTACCAAACAAATGTCGACACAAAACCCTGGACAGCTACCGCCATCTATGAGCGACGGCGGCAACCAGACAACCGGCTTGCCAGCCTCGCTCATAGATGGCGGCAACCTTTCCAGCCTTTCCACTCTGGTTTTCACCAAAGTGGAAAGGCTGAATTTCTCTAGGCGTCGTACTAGATGTCTTTGAAGTCGTCCTAGACGTTGTCCTCGAAGTCGTCCTAGACGTTGTCCTCGAGGTCGTTCTAGACGTTGTCCTCGAGGTCGTCCTAGACGTTGTCCTCGAGGTCGTCCTAGACGTTGTCCTCGAGGTCGTCCTAGACGTTGTCCTCGAGGTCGTCCTAGAAGTCATTTTTTAGGTTGTCCTAGGCGTCGTCCTCGAGGTCATCCCAGAAGTCGTCCCAGAAGTCGTCCCAGAAGTCGTCCCAGAAGTCGTCCCAGAAGTCGTCCCTGAGGTCGTCCCTGAGGTCGTCCCAGAAGTCGTCCCAGAAGTCGTCCCAGAAGTCGTCCCAGAAGTCGTCCCTGAGGTCGTCCTAGATGTCGTCCCTGAGGTCGTCCCTGAGGTCGTCCCTGAGGTCGTCCTAGATGTCGTCCTAGATGTCGTCCTAGATGTCGTCCTAGATGTCGTCCTAGATGTCGTCCTAGATGTCGTCCTAGATGTCGTCCTAGATGTCGTCCTAGATGTCGTCCTAGATGTCGTCCTAGATGTCGTCCTAGATGTCGTCCTAGATGTCGTCCTAGATGTCGTCCTAGATGTCGTCCTAGATGTCGTCCTAGATGTCGTCCTCTAGGCGTCGTCCTTGAGGTCATCCCACCATAGTGCAGCTTCGCTAGTCTTCCTTCTTCACCAGAATGGAAAGGCTGAAAGTTTTTTTTCAGGAAAGTGCGGTAGAAGCTACGATTAGAAAAACGTAATAAGCCATACCGCTTTTGGGGGCCTACAGCTGAGAGAGGAAGCAACTGATCCGGACTTTTGCAGCAGCGAAAAATTATCATATATTTATTCAAATACAGATAAACTTTTCACTGCAAACTGCTATTTAAAATTAGGGGTCTATCTACAATCGTAATCAAAGAATGTTGGCTTATATAAGAGTGAGCGCAAATCAAGAGCCGATCGACCTAACTCCGATGCTGCTCTGCGTCAGCTGCTGCGCCGAAAGGGGTGTCCAAACAGGATTCTTCAGAGCGCGTGAAGCGAAACTTCACCGCCATATGAAGGGAAAGCTGTCCGTCTTCTGTTTGGACATCCACCAGGCAAACATCATGGCTTTCCTCCTTGCCTCCTCCGCTCTTTTTTTATGTCACCTGTGACCTGCCAATAGTGTGCCTGTTGCCTGTCCACCTGTTCTGCTCGTGCCTCGCCCTCGTTTACTTTCCTTTCCTGTTTTCAGGACTTGCAAGAACAGCAGAGGGCTTGAGCGATTGACGGACAGCCAACAGAATGTGCGAGTGGCTGTCTTGATCCATGTGATGAGCATGCTCTAGGCTAGTGGTTCGCAAATGGGGGTCTGCGAAGGCATTCTAGGGGTCTGAAAAACCCTGCCTCATCAGTAAAGCCTGGCAATAAAAGTTGCATTTTTTCAGATTGAGAAGAAATGTTTCAGTTTTCGGGCGAGCTTTCTAGTGTGTATGTCAATTCACAACTCCAACGCCCTATAGGTGGCGGGGCGGTAGTTCCAAGATGGCGGACGAGACGGGGATAGATTCTTCAGGATATCCCAGGCGCCTGCTCGCGCTGACGCTGTTCAGCGCGCTTAAAATGCTTTATTTGTCCACAAATGTGAAGCGGTTAGGGAGGGATCATATTACAGGTGACGGAGATGCTAATGCACGTTAGGAAAACGAGCATGTTATTATTTAAAGGTTGCAGAAACCTCAAATTGCGAAGCTTTGTGGTGAGCGAGCGTGTTTTAGGCATCGGCCACGTTACTGTTTGTGGCAAAATATTTTTGTGGGTGATGAAGATATGTTTGCGCTTTGCCTGGCCATTAGTGCTCTAAAAGGAGAGCCGCGAGCGGTGACCGTCAAGCTTCGGAAGAGCAGCGTTCACTGTATTGGTGTCTTCGCGTCACAGCCTCACAACTCGCTGCTCACCGTCTCGGTTTTAGTGTACTGCAACACATAATCAAGCTGCTCTATGGTTATTGATAGAAAGTTTGTTACCGCAGGGCTATAGCCTGCGGTAACAAAATGGTACACCGCACGGTATACCGTGCGGTGTACCATTACCACCGCAAGCTCACGCTGCACCTTTGAAACACTATTTTCAGTGCGCTCCAGGAGCGTTGCCGTGCTCATTAGTCTAAAAAAAAAATGTTGTAGTTTTTACACCCCTTGTCACAAATTCGACACCTCAAAACTTCAGGTCGCCGTGCAGCCCACTGACGTCAAACTGACGGCCCCAACTTTTACGAGAGGCTTGACGACGGCGCAATATAAGATATTAAACAGCTGAAGTACGCATCAAAATGTACCGAAAAAAACAACAACAACAAAAAGAAACACTGAGGTTCTGCAGTAGGGCAAAAAAAAAGTGACTACTTTTTCTTTTTGCGGTCATTTACACTTACTTAAGCTATTTTAATAAGTTGCACAACTCTGCTTTCAAGCCGCTCGTGAAAGTTGGTAGCGCCGGTTGAACATCAGTGCGCTGTACGTCCAACTGAAGTTTAGGGATGTCGTACGCTATGCGAATACTGCCTATTAACATAATCGGCGTGTTTAGGGGTTTTATTTATTGCTCTATTACAAATAAATATTTTAATTTACCGTAAATTTTTGTACCGTGTTATTTGCAACATTGCGGTCCCTCTGGCCAAAACTGAGCGTTCTAAGCTCTCGTCACGAACGGCTGGCTAACACAGATGCACTTAAAATGCTTCGAGCATTTCTTTATTCGCTTTGTAATTACCTTAAAGCAAGTACGGGTATTCTGCCTTTTTAAAGTGCTTGGAATAAATAGTCATGTTCCTTGTAACGGGCTTAAAACACGAACCCATTCCCGATTTGTGTTGCTCGACATACCGTTGCACGACGAGTTTTCTCCTACTTATGGCAAAGAATAGACTTTTCGTAGACCGTACTATAGAGTTCTTCATCATTAGCGGGAGCGTCTTCAGTCACGTTGAGCACAGATTGAGCTGGCGGCCATGCACAAGACCAGAAATCCACAGCGTATGCGATACACGAAAAGTCGCTAATGAAATTAGACATCCCGGTCCTTCGTGCAACGCTGTTTCAAGGCGGAGCACAAGAATTGCTTTTTTAACGCGCTCACTTTTGTTTGTTAAAACGGCCTCGCGCATCAAGGCCGACAGTCCCTGCCACCGTTTCCGCGCCGCCGCCGCCGCTGCCGTCCCCGGTCCTCTGGTTCTCCGTTCGTCCGCGGGAGGGCGAGCAGCGCGCTGGAGTTGCGAATAGCAGAAGTCTACTTCGCATTAGCCCTTAGTTATATCCATTTATTAAACCATTATTATATTTAACCTATACCCTTCCCCTTCCTTCAACACGAACAGGGTCCTCCATCATCTCCAATGATCCACAAGGGGTCCGCGAAACATCGATGGTTGAGAATCACTGCTCTAGGCCTTCGTGAAGGACACTTCGGCAGACAGAAGCTTTCCCCACAGCAAAAATAACGGATGGAAGCAGACCGCCGCACATCATAGGGTTGTGTGGCTTCGCACATTTTGCAGTCACCGGTTTGGATGCGGCGCAAAAGAGAAAAGCTCCACACACACACGACTGTGCAAAGTGGTGAAGCTTGATGCATGTGTGCACCACGAGCGTGCTGTGTTTCGAGACTCTTAACTTCGAATTCCACACAAAAGGAAACTTGCACCAAGTCACTGAGCACAATAGAAGAGCGCACACTTGCTCCTCTGCCACGCTTCATAACTCGGTTATATTAGCACTAAGGCTGGGCACACAATTCTATATACCCACATTTTCAGGATTTAGTTTCATCAACCACAAATCACCACACAGATATGTATTAAGGTCAAAATGAGACCTAAAAATGTCAGGTTATCTCGTGATTGTGAAATTGCCAAACTTGAAATTGAAGAAAAAGTGTCCAGTACCAAATCATTAATGCAAAACAGAAAGTCGAATAGTCAAGTTCGACTGGGAGAAAAGCAGAATTTTCACTTGCACTAGCAAAAACGTAGTATCAATGGAATTGTGAGGCCAGGCTCATCAAGCATACCCTGTAAACTCTGGCTGTTTACATCTTCAAGTAACTTTGAAACTTTGGAACATACCCGATCCCGTGTCAAAACGGAATTCCACACTTCCATTGCGGATGCCAATGGATGTGAAGTCTCCCTTCTGATCAGGGTACTGGGCACAGTACACAAGCAGGCAGTCATCCAGGGTCCTAGGCTTGATCTTCATGTTCACTTTCAAGCTACTAAGGGAACCGTTGGGTGTCGGGTAGGCAACAAAGGCATCGTCCGCAAAGGCAGGCTCCACAATGGATATTTCTGAAAGACAAAAAAAATCAATGTTTTTATTTAGAACTATCAGCCTCGCACCTTTGCTTTTGTTGCATAAAGCGGTAGTAAGCGAGAAAAGGAAATCTAGTTTATATGCATGTAAAGCCCAACTTCAGCAAACAACTTTTACAACCAGCTAGGTTCGCATGTTTCTAACCCATCCTCTATGTCAAGGGTCTCCACACCCTCGCCCAGAGGCATTCCAGCGGGCCCGTGGAAAGATAAGCGCTCGCAAAAACAAAACAAAACAAAAATATGGTGCCACGATGCACTAGCTCTAAAAGTGAAAACAAAGCTGTCAGTAAGAGTGAGAAAGAACTGCATCAAAGCATGGGTTCTTCATGATGATTGAAAGCTGCGACTGTGGTTTGAAAAACGGAAACTCGTGAAGGAGAAAGAAAAAAGGACAGACAACGTCTCAGTTTGAGATGTCTGTCCCTTTTTCTTCCTCCTTCACGACAAACCACAGCCTCATGTTTCAATCATCATGTATAACTTACACCAGCTCACCTGCACTTGAACAGTTTTTCCATGGGTTCTTTGCCATATTACAGTGGAATCTCGTTAACTTGAAGCTGAGGGGGACCAGAACTTTGTTTGAATAATGCATAGTTTGAATTACCAGGAGTTTCCTCCCTAGAAACGCATAGGACGGGACCTGCATGTTAGATTGAATTATCCGCAAGTTTGAATTAAGAGTTTGAATTAATGAGATTCCATTATTTAATATATGTTAAATGTCATCACGAGCTTCACTATTAGTAGTCTCCTGTTTCAAGTCTATGTAGCTATGCTAATATTCCTTTGTGTTCTCATGTACATGAAGAACACAACATTTGACTTTTGTAGAAGATTCTGTAGTAGACAAAATATTGGTTTGGAGCAGCCACTGACGCTTTTGGAGCAGATGCCAACATCTGTTAGAATATCACTTTAAAATGAAAAAGTGATTGCATCTCTAAATGAGTTCATCTATGGTAATGATTAAGGGTTCCACTTTGATACTGGAGCATATTACTTATTACCTTTTGTGATAAGAATAGATAGGAAGCAAAAAGAACACAGAAACGCTCTGGTTAGAGTACCGTAGGTTCCAATTAAAATAAGTATTAAGAAATGATTGAAATATCCCTCCACTTTACGCTCCCCATTTTACACTCGGTAGTTTATTTAACAAGAAAATATAATTTCTGTAAAATGTCAGCAAGAACCAGCACACCCGCTAACAAGTCCATCAATAGAAACGCGTCCCCCAAGTTGTATGAACCTAACAAACTCAAGACTAATATCATAAACTGCAAAAACAACTACCCAGAAATATTATGAAAGACTTGCGCTTTAAAGGTGACACTGCTCTTTAAGGGATATTCACACGAGGGACGCTTTTCGGGGAGGGATGTGCGTGACATCAGTGATCGCAGGTACCAGCAGAACCCCCTCCTCAACCCCAGCATTCACACGAATGGCAGGGAGCCGAGAGGGATGTCAGTGTTATCGGACGTATTTAGCGGTTGCACTCTCGACAACAGGGCTCTGTGCACCCAGACGCAAGTAGACAAATGGAGGCACACAGGAAACTGTGATATGCGATTATGGCAACAGCACTGTTAGATGCAGAAGATGACGAACTGCTTCCTGCTAAAAGAAAGATGCTTCTTGAATCGGTAGACCCAACACCAAGGACGTGAAATCAAAAACCAGTTGTATGAGGAGAGGCCTCAGGATGGCATCGGTGACTATCGAAGACTCCTTCGGGTGGCTCGGACGGCATGTGCCACAGCACAAGCCACAACAAGTCGGGCGATCTCGATGCCACTGCCGATATCTCGCTGAGCAAAATCTGTACAGTTGCCAGACATGCGAACGAAGTACCGCCAATTGCAAAGAGATCCCATGCCGAGGGGTTTTTGCAGCCCGAGCAAAAGCTCCCCATCCCCCTGGGATGCCAACGTCCCAGCGTGGCTCTGTGCAAAAGCATGATGTTACCACGTGATGCGCATCTTGGGGAGCAAAGAGGGCATTTCTCCCCCGTGTGAATACCCCTTAGCGACGTTGAAACCAGAGTTTATTTTATTTATTTATTTATTTGATACGTGCCCACAAACAGCATGACGCCTTTAGCTTGGTGCTGTCAAAGTTCGCCGCTCGTTCGATCGACAGCTGCTTGGGAACTACCGTGACTACCGTATGTATCCAAATATAGCCACGTGTTTCTTTCCTACTCTCTCTTTCTTGGCTCTTTCTTTTGAAGCAGAGATCAACTTACAAACCTACATTCAAGAAAGAAGGTCCACCCGTAATAATCCTGAGCAAAACTTGGGTGCCTATTGCGCAAACCCAGGCGCTCCCCTGGGTCGGCCACTGCTCCTAGCACTCCAGTGCAAAGCGGTGAAGCTTGATGTGTGCACATTGGCAAGAGGCGGTGCACACTGGTGGAGACACGATGATCAAGCAATTTCATCGGGAGTAAAATACCCTGGTTTTGTCTTATCACACTAACCGCTATATCCCACTACAATGCAATGTTTTCTCGCGACTTAGTTCTTGACATTGTCTGGATATTTAGACGCCGCAGGCGATCAACTGGCCAGTTCATCAACCGACCAGAGCAGTTGACGAGCAATCTCTATACTTGGTTTCACCTTAAGTCAACGCTACAGCCAAGGCTACAAGCCAATGGGACCAATGAAACAGTGTCAACGCGCAACATCACGACATTCGTCCATCTTCCTGTACATGTTCTTTCATCGGCTAAACCAATCAAGTGGAGCGAATGTCCCGTGACTTGCGCTTTTAGTATGTGCGTTCGTGGTTGTATGTGTTCGAGCCTTCGACTGTGCTCTGACCTAAGATGAAACAAACTATATGGTGAGTAGAGATGCTGTGAAATATAACGTAATCAAATGAACTGTTGAGCTAGTTGGTTACACATCACAAGAATCAAAAAGCGCAAAGGACAAATGGTAGAACAAGACAGGACCAAGGACAAGCACTTGTCCTGTCTTGTTCTACTACTTGCCTTTGTCCTTTGCACTTTTTGATTTTCATGGAATACAACATATTTGTACCATTGTATCCCTTTTAATTTTTTGAATATTAAGTTGAACCAATAATAAAATATTTTCATTTAATTTGCTTTAAGCCTCTCTCGGCGCAGGTTTGACTCCATTCTTAGCAAAAATGGCATTTTGGCGCAAGGTGTAGCAGACTACTGTTCATGGCGCAATATGGCACAAATGGTGCGGCACTTCCATCACTGCATGCATATTGTGCCGAGTGCCATAACTATTGCATATTGTCATCGTCAGATCTAGCCTTCTCGTTAGTCTTCTGGCCCATATGAATACGCCAAAGTTTCTATGCACTTTGATTTATGCCTAGAGTTTTCTGGGTCAATTATTTTGTGATGTCACATTTAACAATACGTCGAATTAAAAATAAAGCACATTTATAAGTAAAGCTACCTTTTTTTTAAATTTTCGCTCTAGTTATGTTTTTGCATTGAAATTCTTAATCAGGTTTCTTTAATTAGAGTCGATTCTCGTTAAATCAAGCTCTCTTAATTCAGACTTGCCGATATAATTCAAACTAACATGCAGGGCCCATTCTATGCGTCTCTATAGTAGGAAACTCCCGGTAATTCAAACTTTGCTTTATTCAAACATATTTTCGATCCCCCTCATGTTTGAAGTAATGAGATTCGACTGTATAAGCTATTTATTTTTATTGGGTTATTTTTTTTCCTGCCCTCGAGACTGCGACGGATCTTCAATCCGGCCCCTAAGCCAAAACGTTTGGAGACCCCCACTCTAAGTTAACTCCCTATTACAAACCAAAGTATCAAAGCCCAATAGATAGTCTATTGCGCTTCTTTCATGGTGGTCTCCAGTCTAAACCAAACGCAACATTAATGACCGTAATAAAAGAATGTTCAGATTAGGTCGCGACACAATCCCAATCGAACAAATAATTAACGGTGATCGATATAGACAAACGGTGATCGATATAGTATAGACAAACTGGCAGCGACCTGCATGGAATGCAATATTTAAGGAGCGACCGTTGAAATATATTTAGGGGACATTAAACATTGTGTCACACCACACCATGACATCAAATGGCCCGACATCACACAACGTGTGATGTCGGGCCATCGCACGAACGGACAAATTTCTGTGAATAGTAGTGGCTTCTGTTGCAAAGCATTTCATGCTTTATAACTGAGTTCACTCCAGCGAGACCCTCCAAGGGAAACAGGGGTGTTCCCAGGAATGATTTCAGAGGGGGGCTGAGGTGGTTGCAAATATCCATGACTCGGAGGGGGGAGAGGGGGTCAAAATCCATGTGTACATTATAGGGTCAGCTGGATTTCAGGGGAGGGGAGGGCTGAAGCCCCATAAGCCTCCCCCCTGGCTATACCACCGAAAGAGAGTGAAAGACTTGCCCCTCTCGCAGCGGAGTCCGGTCCGGCCGAAGGGGCAGTAGCAGTCGAGGCCCCCTCCGGGCCTGTTCACGCAGCGGCCCTCGCCGCACAGGCCGGGGTAGCAGGCCTCGCCCACCTTCTCGCAGTCGCGCCCCGAGAAGCCCGGGGGACAGATGCAGCGGTAGCCGGCCTCCGTGGGGGCCTCCTGGCAGACCCCGTCGTGGATGCACGGGTTCAACGAGCACGTCTCGCACGGCGTTGTGCCCACCTGCTCCGAGTCCTTGGCCAGGTCCAGCGCATTGGGTCCAAACTTGATCTCACTCACACAACCTGCAACAAGGGTGCTTCTAGTGACCACAGTGCAAGAATAAATGTCCCGAACCGTATGCTCTAAGGTGGCTTCAGTGCTCGGACCGGCTCGGAAATCTGCTAGAAAAAAAATCGGTGCCTGCACGTAGCCATCTCAAATTTTCATAAGTGTATTTTAGTGGTGGTCGTCTGCTTGCTACACCTATCTGCCTATCTGAAAAAAAAAGAAAAAGAATGAATGGCAAACTGCTAAGCAATTATGTTGCATACGTGAAATGTTCTAGCATCACAAACGTTTAGCGATACTCTGAGTTGTCGGACGCCTACGCTCACGGCGCTCTTTATCAGATTGCTTAATGCATGGCATGAGTACACTTGATGGTTTCTAGAATGAAGCGATACTACTAGTGTTGTGCGAATATTCGAATTTTCGAATAGTAGTTTCGAATATTACGCTATTCAATATTCGCTTCGAGAGCAGTTGTAATATTCGTGCTTTTCGAAGTGTTGACAACCTCGTATCTCGTGTTTGTTTACTGTCTAAAAATCCGTAAGGAATGATTTCTAAAATCAAAAATATACTCACACGTTCAGCAAAACGGTAGAAATATTATGGAGGGAACTGCCAAATATATTCATCGTAGTCATTTCATCAACTTTGTTTGAAACGGGCAAAAGAAACCAATCAATCAGCTCCAGCAATGCCTGTGCCATCTTTGTGCCATATATTCCAATAAATAAGTTACACATAAATTAATTAGGGTCTCATTCTCACAAATCAGACCACTTAATAATTGCACGTCTGCAATAATTATCTTGCATGCCGTTTTGCGGCCAAGATTTTTAGAACTACAAGTATTCGATATTCAATTCGAAAATATTCGGCCAAAATCACTATTCGCTTTGAATTCGATTCGAAATCAAAATCTGCTATTCGCACAACCCTAGATACTACCGTTAAATGGTGCTGATAAACCTGGCAATTTTCCAGAGCCTTCCATACTTGCAAGCTCCTCTCAGTGCGCACAGGTGGTTGATCTCCTCCTCGCCTACACCTCTGGTCACATGACCTCCCCGTTAACCAATCGTCGAGCACCCCACTCCTTTCCCACCTGTCAACCAATCAGTGTCGAGCCTAGAGGCCACGCTTTTATCTAGGTTTCACGAAATGCCAAGCACCTAGCCAAAGAATGTTTCAAATTAAAAGCTTGTACATACTATATTCGAGAGGAATTTGCAGTCTACTATCTCAACTTCCAACAAAATGCCCTTTCACAGTTCAGTCTTTCTCGCAGTTAACTGTACACTGCCAAAGCATATACCATCTTAGTTTGCGACTTACTGCCTGCTTAAAAAAAAAAAAAAAAGAATAAAAAATAAATAAAAAATAAACACAACGTACAGGGTGTCTAAAATCCTGAGGCTGGCTTTAAAATTGGTCAGAAAAATCGGCACCTGCACGTAGAAATACAAATTTCCAACACAGGAGTATTATAGTAGCGGTATTTAGCTTGCGAAATTTCAAGGCATAGATACTTTCCCGAGAAGAATGAACCTAACAATCTAGAGTCAACGGTGGACGACGACGCAGACGACCAGGTTATCGAGGGTTGTGCTTGTGGCGCCATCTCCCTGTAGGCGCAGCGAGCAGGCGATCACATCATCTGCTTTCGACCGAGTGTGTTGTCTGCTTGCTGTGCCTATATTTATTTATTCAAAATACCCCTAAAGCCCTCTCAGGAGGGTATTACATGGGGGGGGGGGGGCAACCAAAATATAGTACACAGAAAAATACAAGCATACAAAGGCAATATAAAAACAGAATAAGAAAGAATGCTAAGCATATGATTTGTATGTGATATGCGTTACTTTGATTGAATGAGTGCGACGTGAAAAGATAATCGGGGGTGTTTGAAAAAAATCGTCGTGAAGTGATGCATAGTGACAGAGCCTGTGAAATAATGACAGATGAGCATGTTTACGGCGGCATGATAGGTCTTGCGACTCAGCTTGATTTTTTAATGCGGTGACACTGGAAAATGGAGGGTAGTCAGAACAAATAAAACAAGCAGCACGGTTTTGCAGGGACTCAGTGTTACTTATAATTAGGGTGTGCATTCTCCGGTTTTAACCGAAAAACACCGATAAACATCCGTCGGTGACGAAAATATAAAATCGGTTAAAACCGAAAAACACCGGTGGTTGGATATTTTCGCCCTGGTTAAAACCGAAAAACACCGGTCGTTGCTAGTTTCCGACCTAGCGAAACCCTTTCCCCGTAGAGGTTCATCAAACGTGTTATCTCGTGGATCCTGCATTCTTCCAGTGTTTATACATGGCTTGCAGGTGGCGCCAGTCTGCCCTCCTTTCTGGGGGTCAAAAGCGTCTAGTGAACGCAGTAGAAGCTAAGCTCTCATACGCCTTTCCCCTATTGTGTCTCCCATGGCTCCCTTTTGCGGAAAAATTAACACAGTGGAGGGTAGGCTCTCACGTGCCTTTTCCTCATTGTGTCTGGCCAAGTGATGTTGGTGCAAGCCATGTATTCAGGTTGCTGTGGTTCCTGGAAGACACTGCCAACGTCCGTGTCGTACAGGAGCGTGCGTTTTCATAATTGCGGGTTCCAAACCTCAAGGAACGTGCTGCCATGACGGCAGCACGTTCCTTGCGTGTAGATGCAAGAATGAAAGTATGCTTGCATCTACTATAATAACCAAGTGTGAGAAATAGCTGCTTCCTAGAGAAGAAGTGTATGAACTATGTGAATAAAACTGGAACTCTCTGTCTGTGATCAACCGCCTTTTTTTCACCGATAATCACCGTTTTTAGCCTCGTCGTAAGACGTTCCACCGAAATACACCGGTGTTTTGAAAATAAATAAACACCGAAAAACATCCGCCGATTTTTCTCACAAATAAACACCGGAAAGTACACACCCTACTTATAATGTAGGCTTGCTCATGAGACAGCAACAACTTTTGGCATTACAGTCTAAGCTCATTACAACAGACCTGGTTACAACAGACATTTGGATATAAAATACCCATTCGTGAAGTTTGGTTGGGTTTCCTCTATATGCGATTGACTCAACTTCATATCTGCCTCCAACATACTCCTTTTACAACAGACCGAAATCTCGGTCAAAATCAAGGTCTGTTATAACAAGCTTAGACTGTAATATTCTGCAACGTCATCCCCAAGCGCTTGGAAAGTGATGCAACATGCTTTTTGTGCAAGTTTAAAAGAATAAATTCTGCAAAAAATAGGTGCAATTATTAAAAAAAGCTCTAGGATCAGTTTCTTTTCGGTGGTCGAAGCATGTGTTTTTAAAAAATGAAGCATTGGCATATTCATGTTCAAATTGTGACCCTGGTGTGAATGGTTCAAACTGTCTACAGGTATGCTAACAGCTGAGTATTAAATAGTCATGGCTATTCATGCTTATAGTATATTTGGCATATGCCTGTCTAAAAGTTGGTTATACACCTTACATTTGCCAGCCCCAGATCAGTATGTGCATGTCCTACTCTTACTTACATTCATTTACCGTAGAAAAGCGGTAGAATGTAAAAATTGTACACAACTAAGGATTCACCAAATTGTGCTAGCTAGGGATTATAAAAAAACAATACAAAGCTTATGCTTTTGAAACTTCACACTAATCTTTTTTTTAAATCATCGCTAACCTCTACCGGCAAAATGGAAAGCAATATGTCTGAAGGTTTCTCTAAAAATTACTCTGCTATTGTTTCTGTGGTCAACACCAAAGCCGCATTGGGGCATCATCCATCTTACTTTGCGTGGGCATAATTGGTGGCACCCAAAACCGAATAATAAAAGCTACCTGTTGCTGCAAGCCCTGTAAATTTCTTACAGTTCTTCGGAAGCCTAGCAGCTATACCATTAACTTAAAAAGGCAATCAGACTTACCCACAAAACCAACAGAGTAGCCGTTTTCTCGGGAGACCTTGTCAAAGTTTGGAACGCTTCCGACAAAGAGAGGCTGTGTCAAGTCCAGTCCCATCATTTTTCCCTGAGATGATCCGGTGACTTCTGATTGATCGTCAACTTTAAGTTTGGCTGCAAGTAAAGCGTGATATGTTTTAAGATAGGTGGCCCTGAACATACTGCAAACCTTGAAATATAATAGTGTTTGCAGGCCAACACACAAAGCCCTGTAATAGGTCAAAACATTCTGCCAGTAACGTTTACAGTAAAATCTTTGGAGGAAATGTAATGAACCTTGGTTTTTATGTATTCCAACGAGATAAGAAAAAAAAAAAAAAAAACTGGGAGGGATACAACTGGTAGTACAACAATAAACAAGGCTATTTCCTTGTTATCCCACCATCCACTGCCACTGCTTTTTGAAACTGTTCTAATAAAAATTACAACCGTAAAGAATACTCTGCACTGTGAGTCATTAAAAGAATGCACAAAGCGAGTTAAGTGTGCATGAAAACAAACAATAATTGGTGTAAATTCAAAGAAAGCCTGTGGAAGTTATGAGAATCCTATTTATTAGTGTTGTGCAAATATTCGAAATTTCAAATAGTTGTTTCGGGTAATACACTATTCAACATTCGCTTTGAGATAAACTACAATAATTATATTTTTCGGAGTGTTAATCATGGCGGGTTAACGCCACTGAGCGTGCTGCTTATCGAGCACGGGTGCAAAGTGGAGAAGCAACCCCCATAGAAGCAAGCTTTCCGGGTGTTGCTTCTCCGCAGAGCACTGGTGCTCGGTAAGAAGTGCACTCAACGGAATAACTCTGTGCGACCAACACTCGCAAATTATAAATATATGCAGTGGGAGGGCGCACAAGCAAACCTAATGTGCTTAAAAAAAAACCAAAAACAAAAAAAAGAGGAAACTTTGTTAATGTTATCTACATTGCCGTACAATTTTAAAAATTAAACTGGCTGTTATACAAGAGTATGTGTTAGGTAGAGGTGCCCAGACAACTTTTATTCATCATTCGTGATTTTTTTTTTAATATTCGATATTGAAGAAATAATATTTGCATATAGCCAAGGTTTGCAAATCCACTTAATCAGATATAGCTGGGCATCTGTATAGGTTTGATTTTATGTGAAATCCGTCGCTTACTTGAAAGCCAAAGGTATCAGATTTTCTGAGGTCACAAATCCAATACAGTATATATATATATATAGTTAGATCAAAAATTTGTTTATAAGTGCAGGAATGGAAGATTGGGAACAACCTTCACGAGTTTAGCTAGGTTTTTGTTTAAGCATAGTACAACAGCAGTGAAAATATGCGGCCAAAAACCACTTATTCACTTTAAACTCAAAATCCCCTATTTGCACGTGTGTGCATATGGTATGTGCATATAAAGTACATCCACCTGACACATTCCCATAGAGCAACATGCATATACTTCTGCACCACAAGTCTTAACGAGTATACATAGTCATGGGCAACGGAAGCCGAAATGATCAAGTGATGACTGAAAGATACCGGTGGCACTGTCTCAATGCAAGAAGCTGAACTAGCAACAAAAGATGGCATGCGGACGAGAGTGCGGTGGCCACCGCTAACCAACTCTGCCTGTTCCTTTGCTTAGTTTCGTGAGCACTTTAATATGATTGGCCTCCACTTTTTGCTGTTTGACGCTGTCTTCATTATCTGGGCGCATGGTCTGGGCGCATAGTCCCGGCTCTGGTGAAATCCTCCTTCAAATGTATGAAGAAGCAAAAAGGACAATAACCGCAAACTTGCACAGTAGCAGCACCTGCGCAGGCACAACGCGCACTTCTCAAGCAAGATCGGGTCGAGCAGCACTGCAAGGGCCACCGTAATGTTGTCTGCATGCTGTACCTCGTTGCTAGTTTACCATTTCATGTCAAGCAACACAACCAGTAGGTTTCGGTCGTCACTCGGTCAATTCGGCTAACATTGTTCGTGACGGTACTCTCACATGGTTTCTGCAAGATGAGAATGCTGGCGGTTTATGGGAAGCGCATACATTCCCACTCACCGTCTCTCTTCTCCCTGCTGATCTTGGCAGTGTGCCATGTGTCCATCTGTACTGGCCGCTGGCTTCTGAGGAGCCCCACGCCAGAGCCCAGTTCGAAGCGGAATTCCAGGTAGCCGTTGGTCAGACCCAAGGAAATGAAATCTCCACCGCCATCCTCTTGTTGGCCATTATACAGAAGTAGCCCTGGAGCGGACAAGAGGTGGATTGGACGAGCCGCTCCGAATTGCCAGCTTTAGCCCGGGAACCGCCAGGCACAATGGTACTCACCGTGATCTTTTTCAGGTTTGAATGTGATCTCAACTTCAAAGCCCATGTAAGCATTCACAATGGTAGGCAACTTCATGTACGAAAGTGGAGCTTGGGTGAACCGCGGGAGCAAGCCTGCCAAAACAAACAAACAGTCCAAAACACATCAAAGACATGCAACATTTGTTGTCATACCAGTCTCGTCGGTAACGAAAGTATGTCTACCAACCTGAGCAAAAATTGGATGAAACCCTCAGTTGTGAACTTGACAAGGGATCACTACTTCGCCTAAGGATCTTAGCTCGAGGATTGCGAGATAAAATTGGCCTGTATTCTAAAACTACTTTTCTTGCGCATTTTTTTTTTTTTGTCCTTCTCGTTTCCACAGTGTAGTAATTGGCATTTTCTGCGGTGCCGTTTCAAAAACCGGGGTTCCCCTCGTAAACAGCCTTCAACAACAGGATGACTGCTTCGGATGCCCAACCTCTAGTATGTGCTCGTGCCCCCCGGCATGCTTCGGCTGCGAATGCATGCTTGAGGCTCGCAATACGCCGCAGCATCACTGAAGATTGGAATCTCGCGTTGTAGACGGTACAGCCGAAGGACTCCCCTGCCTTTCCCACCCTGCGGGCGACTATAAAAAAAAATCATGAGGACAAAGTACAATTTTGGGCTTCTACGTGCCAAACCAACAAAGGGCATCTAGCGCACGCCCCAGCAGAGGACCGCAGATTAATTTCGCCCACCCGGGTATCTTTCTACACGCGACTGAAATCTCGGTTACACTGTGCATTCTACGCAATAAGCCTCCGTCAAATTGCGAGCAAAGTCAATTTTTTTTTTTTTTTTTTTGCGTGCTTAATTAACGGAGGGCATCTGTCACGCCCCAATGGAGGACTCATTTCGACCATCTGCAAATCTTCCGATGCACAACCCGAATCTCGGTTATACGGCACCTTCTCCGCAAAAGGCCTCTGTCAGATCTCGGTCGGGCAATGGGTCTCTGTCGGAGCCACCGAGGCGGCTACAAACACCGGGAAGAGACAGGTCGCACCTGTGACCTTGAGGACGGTCGGAATCTCGATGGTGGCGTGCTCGGACTTGGCGGTGCAGATGTAGGTGCCGGCGTCCAAGGATCCGACGTCTGGGACAGTCAGGCTGCCATGGTGCTCCTTGGCCTTATGGGGCAGGTTGCCCGTCTGCTTGGTCCAAGTGTACGCCACGGGCTCCTCCAGGTTCGTCTTGCAGTCCAGGACCACCGTGGACCCGTACGGGACGGTCCGCGTCTCCACTTCGTTAGGTGCCACCGTGGGAGTTTCTGTGCCGGAACAGCCCAAAGGAGAGACCATGCTTTGAATTTACGGTCCAGCATTGGACTCTCCGAGCTTTCCGAATTGGTGCGTTTCAACCCCAATTTATATATTCATGTTTCAGTGTAACGAGGAAACGTACTGGCACAGTCTAACCTTTCTGACCTGCGTATAACTAGACTGAAGGTAATGCGGGATATTAACGAGATCGAACGTGCACACCATCTATGGGAAATGGCTGCTAACAACTGGGCCGTAGACCTTATGGTTTTGACCAAAAGACACCAATAAATGTCAGTGTCGAAACCACAACATCAAAGAAGACCAAAAAAACAATGTTAAGTAACTGTTGGTTCTAAAAATAGAAAATAAGCTAAAATCGAAAAAACAGATTTTTGAAAATTTCTTTTAGCTAGCACTGTTTCTGTTGAAGCCCTCTCTTCCTAGACTTTAGCGCATAGCTTTTCAGATGTTCTTTTCACCAATAATTATCGTTTTAGAATTTGTCCGAGACAAATCGCCGAGGTCCATCGATATTTAAAAAATACAGACCAAAAAACATCTGCCACATTCCCCCATAAATAAACATTGCAAAATCTATTATCTACTTATAACATCAGCATTCTTTCAAGGCCTTGTTAAAAAAAGTTATACATAAAAAATATATGGAGATCGGAAGTTCCAGTGCTACGCGATGGATGACACCAGTACAGTTGAATCTCGTTTATTCAAACTCTCTTAATTCAAACGTGTGGATAATTCAAACTAACATGCAGGTCCCAGCCTATGCGTCTTAATGGGAGGAAACTCCCGGTAATTCAAACTTTGCTTTATTCCAACAAATTTTCGGTCTCCCTCGAGTATGAATTAACAAGATTCGACTGTATATTATTTTGTTCACAAATGAAATTCAATATTGTTGATTTTATTTAATATTTTTTATTATATATAAAATTCAATAAAGTGGAAGTAAAAAAAGTAAAGAAACTATGAGCAGTCCTATTTTGAAAAATATAAACCCAACTGGGAATAATCCTCAACATTGGTTGATACACCTTTTTTTTTTTAATTAGCCGTTCAACAATATTTTGTGTAACATTAAGCGAAAATCCCTTTTATGATCAGGTTGCTTGTATGCTTATCTCCCAATACTAAAAGGTCTCAAATCTTCCAAGTCAGAAAATTGTCTACAAAGACGTCGCCATCATTAAATCCTAATTAATAAATAAAAAATGTTTAACTCCAAGAAACAATTTTCTTTTGTGTGTATTTGGAGTAAACAAACTGAAGTACTTCTAATTTCAAAATCATTAAACAAGTTCAAAATTATTAAAATCAGCAGGGGGTAGAAGCTGAGCTAGTTGGTGGTACATATTACAACGGTTAAATCAGCTGGTTTAACCGTTGCAATATTAAAATCCTTTTGAACATGTTCACTCTGCTGCAAAGACTGAAATCTGATTATCGAAACTGAAACTAAAAATCTGCCCACTTCAGGAATGGTACATCCTTGCGAGCATTTGGAAATGTCCTAGATGAAAAGTAAACTTTTGCCACTAAACATGCAGAGAAAGAAATTAACAGGTAAGGCAAATTACAGGCACTCACTCCACAAGCTTCTCTCAAGAAAAAAAAAAAACACATGCTGGATTCTTGCAAGCTATTAACAGACAAGATTCCTCAAGTATTAAAACCAATTACCTAATAAAAAGAAAGTTGTGAACTAATATAAAGTAAAACCTCTCAAGTCAAGTACCTAAAGTATTAAACTAGACCAGACTCACTGAGGACCTACAGAGCCCATGATTGAGAACACTAATACGGACATCTCCCCAAGTCCGAGATAAACGCGCATTGCGACTCTCCTAGTCTGTGGAGATTTTTCAGTGCTTTAGGTCAGCCAGAATGCACCATAAACAAGGTTCATCGACACCTGTAACTGAACTAGCAATGTAATCATAACTTGTTGCCAAGATATTTTATAGCTTGCCTCGAAAAGCATTCAATAGACCATTCTCGAGTAACGAGCACTGTCTGGGGGGAAATGCTCAGCCACTTATCAAAACACATTGGCATTGTGCCAAATGCATCGTTTCGTTTTGCTCCATACTAACCGCATTCAAAAAAGAATCGTCGAAAAGACGAATTGCGCATGAAGATAGCTGCTGACAATGTTGGTCATACAGGATGGTGCACTCCGAAAATGGGGACAGCGGGAAGCTAAGCCAGGGACGAGGGTGTATGCATGTACAGAAGCTTACTGGAAAAAAAGGTCCCCCATTACTGGCACATACTGTATGCTTTCAGCTTTTGGTTGCCTCTTCCTCCCTTTCCCTGTTCTCTGCCACAAGCATTTAACACTAATCACCTCGTGTCCTTCCTCTTCTCCCTTCACTATCCACAAGGGGAGAAGGGAAAACTAAATATGGTCTTATGACTTTCAAAAGTTGAGGCCTGCTTGGAATCTCATTTTTTTTTTTACTTAATCTTATCTCGATCCAATACCGCATAAATAGAGGAGTTTGCTAGAAAAATTGGCTGCCTCTTTAGCCTTTCCCAAAAGCATACTAATTAATGCGTGGCATTTAAAGGGCTTCTTTGCGCTCGTCCTTTTGCGGGCAAAGCGAGGAGGCTACTGAAGGGCACGTGATGAGGGTTTAGTGAATTTATAAAGCCATCGCAGTGTCACGTGGAATTATGACATGTGACACTGATGTCATCGAGGCTGCATGCCACAGACACAAAGTCCCCGAGACTGGCCTTATAAATGCTTTTGCATTTAAAACAAAAATCTATAATTTCATATCAGGGATATACATGTAATATAATTTTAAAAATTCTCAAAATCGCTTAAATCAAAAATTGTGACTGCAAGCCCACACGATCACCCCAAATTAGATACAATTTACAAAAAGACCCAATCAAAAGCATTTTATGACTATTCTATGTACTTTCCAGATGCTTAGTAATAAACTAGTTTCAAAATTGCTACCACCTTGCATCTTCAATCTTCCTATAATTTAGACCAGGCAAAGCCTTTTGACATCTTATAGCAGCCTTTTCTCAAAATTTGTTATTCAACAACATAATGAATTGCTGACTTTTCAGTAAATTTTTTGGTGTCGCGTTTTGATGCATTCTAGCCATAAGAAACTCGAAAGACAAAGTTAAAAAGTTGAGGTTAATAGCAAGAGGTTCCATGCTCTATGCAAATTTAAGCAGCTCAAGCTCACACTGTAGCTCTAACAGCCTCATGGACCTGCACAACAATAGTACACAAGGGTGGATCCAGCTTTTCCAAACATTGAGTAATCTACCATTTCCTTTCTGCTAAAAATCACACTCCTCTGAAAAAAAAAAAAAAATCTCATGTAATAGCTACGACTAGTTGCCAGTTTCCCCCTTTCTTAATTAACATAATTTACAAAAAACGTTTACCTTATGCACTGCACAATTTGGATATATTTGATTTAAAAAAACTACTCAGCTTTCATCTTAAAAATAGTGTACCTTCAAATGAAACCCAATTCTTAGAACACCGGAACGGAAAGAAAACGTAGTCTTAGTTTAACTTTACCCTGTGCGACTGAATGGGAGAACTTAAAATTTCTCATGGTCAGAAGTATTTTTTTTTTCAAGACCTATTAAGGTGGGGAACAAAACAGCCCACTCCGAAACTGAAGTTCTTATGTATGATTAGCATGATGCACAAAACACGATTTTGAGAGGCTCCAATGCCACCATGTCATTATGCAGTTGGCTTCTCAAAAACAATGGTGGTGTAAAGAGGGCAAGCAGAAATTAAGATCACGGTGTAGGAGAGGGGATGTGTCATAGCAATCACTCCCTGCACAAGCACATGCAAAAAACTCGAGATCTTGGAGACTGAATATTGCAAACCTATTTTCGTGGAGTACAGTAAATTGCAAATTTGACCCATGCCGAGACTTTGGAACTAGAGGTGCATGAATATTTGAAATTTTGAATAATTCACCAATAGTAGAAGAACCTGTAGTTGGGCTAGTTGGTTATTGTTGTGAAGCATAAGCTGTGTAATCCCCGGCCAAGCGCATGCATGGATGGGAGGAAGGTGAAGAGATATGGATTTCTTTCCTTTCTGCACTTTTCAAATATAGTTGCGAGTGGTGCCTGTGTGCGTGTCTTCTTCCCTGCGTCGGTTGTTTCTTGCACCTTACACCATGCTCCAAACATTCACTAATAGTGTTTGCCATTCGATTCAATTTCCCGCCCGTTGCTTTTCCCGCAATCTCATTGTGCCGGTGGCACCGCATCGCTTGTGTTATACATGCGGGAAGATAAGTGGGAAGATACGTAGCGAAAGAACGGGTGTGAAAAAAAAGACAATTAACTGTAAAAACAGAAGTGGAGGATGGCAGAAGTAAGGGAAAGGTCACGCACGCGTAGGGAGTACCCGCTGTCGGAAGCGAACGGTAGCCTACGCCCTTACCCCGAGCACTGCCGATGCTGCGCAACCCCCTATCCCCCCCCAAAAAATAAAAAAAGTCTTTAGCAAGTTGAAATCGTTGTGCAAGCACACTTTAACCGCCTTCTCCTTGTTTACCTTTTTCTTTTGCCATTATTGCTTTTCCCATTTTTTTCCCCCTTCTTTTTTTGCTACCTGAATTTAGTGAACTTTCTTTTTTGTTGCTTGCTTAACTTTTTTCTATGGATCAAGAGATTTTTTTATGCGTCTCGCTCTTCCATTTTTTTTTTTTAAATTGTCACTATGCTGCGTGGAGGTCCCAGCCAGGCGTGCATGTAAGCGCGGTGGTGTTTGCAGTCTCCGCCAACTACACTCCACTATATTTATAGCGGCTCTTGGATACTCTATTTGTTAAGCTCTCGTTTGTTGCGACCTTTGATATTAGCAGAGACACCAGGAAATATCAACTCGAGCTTAATTTAACATAATTTTGTATATCAAATTATTGCTATATCAAACCATTTTACGACGCCATTTGAATTTAATATATCCAAGTTTGACTGTAATGTCTTTAGAATTCTCAGATTTCTTGCGTCAAGCTTTGCCGCTTTGCATCGGCGTGCTAGGGGGAACGGCCTACGGATCAGAGCATCTCGATGGACTCTCATGTTCTCCGATATTTTGCTCACTATTTGTGGGTCAGCCTATGTTTTGGTTGCGATTATAGTTTGACTCTTAATTTTAATGAAAAGAACTGGAAAGAAAACAACATCAATCAGTATTCAAATAAAGAAGGTAGTCATTGCTTTACTGCCATGTTACATTATGTTTTCTCCAACTCATCTCATCAAGGCCATTTTTCTTTTTGTTCTTATACAAGTATGTGAAATATTTCCCATGCAATAAAACTGTTTACTTTCATAGATAAGCTTTCTAATAAAAATTCTCAGCTCTGATGTACTACGTCATCTATGCTCAATAACCATTAAATGTGATTTGCAGTTAAATTTTCATACTCATTTCATGTTCACATAAGACTTGCAATGAAAAATTTAATAATCGCGAGCCTCGCACCGTCTATCATAATGCATTTTCATGCCAACAGTTCCGCCACCCCCCCTCCCCAATGGCCAAACACGACTAACGTGTTCACCACACATTTTTCGCACGATGGAGGTAAACCCAAGAATCTTAAGCTTATTCTTGTATCATCATTCAAACAGCACCGTTTAATTTCACCTATTCACAAAAACTTTTTTCTCTCCTACAAGGGAGGAGGGGCTGTAGTAGCATGCTTTGGCCAAGGAGAGCAGGCCTGCTGGCGTCGAGGTGCGTTTCGATAGGAAACCAAAAATCAAAGGTGCATCCAAAGTGAGTGCATTTTTTGGAATGCCACGAAATGCTGTGCAGGGTTAATATTTTTGTGAAGAGTACTAATTCAGTGGTTTCTCACGATGCCAAGAAAGTTTCTAATTGAAACCCTATCTTTAAATTTACCAATTAAAGGTTTAATTACTCAAAAGTAATGAAGAACTCAATTATAGCAAACATTATTTTCCTAAATAGGCCCTTTAGCAAAGTCTAATATAACATCCACCGTTTGCATTTGCAATGCATACTTTTTGCAGGAGCAATGTGGCCAGTATTCCATAAAACACAGCTGTTTACAAATGATTAGGTATTTAAGTTCATATTACCTATTACACCCTTTTCCTTTTGCCAAATATTAACTGTGGAGTGCCCAACTGCTTTCAGTTCTTATCAATTTTCGTCAGACCATGTGTCACTTCTTTCCAGCTGTTAGTACCATGCAAACGTTTACATGATGCAGAATAATTTTTTTTATTTGTTTTAATATTAGTGAGCTTGGTAATTAGAAACGAACGTATCTTGCATTAATACTAAATGGAAATTCGTGCAGGTGTGAAAATGATTGGCTTGAGGTGCATTCAGGTCTTCATTACAGACATGCTGAAATTTTCTAATTTGGTGTTGCTTCCATCGCATAAAAATATAGTTTAAGTTGCGGCTTATTTGTGCTGGGAAAAACTTGCAGGAGGTTTGGTGCAGACATTACGAACAAGTGCCAGAGTCAATGACCGGCATAGAAGCACAAGACGGAGCTTAGCTGGCTCTACGCCGAGCATGAGCACGCTGCTTTCAGACTGATTCAGCTGCGCAAAAACTCGTCAAACGAATTCCTGGTCCAAGCTCTTGCAATTATGCGTTTGCATCGCAGGCAAAGTGAACATCTTATCCGTCCAGTCCGTCTAGACCCGTCGGTGACAATGGCACTGCGAGATGCATGCGGTCGTTAGATGCAGGAACAGGGACGCTAGTTCCCGAGACCAAGAGGACCACAACCATTCGTTTGCTGCAGGGGCAGAGGGTTCTGTGCAGGACGAGACAAGGGAATCCACTGAAGGAGGAGTGGCTTGTTTCAGAGAACCCTTCGTGTTACTTACGGGTTATCGGCGGCATCGCCAAGAGTCGGAAGTTGCGTGAAAGGCAAAGTCTTGTTAGTTGGGAGGTGGGTTATTCCTGAAAGGTTTCCCCCCAGCCTTGCACATGGTAAAAAAACCCAGAAGCATTTGAAGCATAAACATCCACACACACACACAAAAAAAGCTTTGGTTACATGTTGTGGTAGGACAAACAGCAACTGTTTAGTATGTTTAGTACATATGTTAGGTGTAGCAAATCCGACATGCAGAAGTGACAACATGTGAATGATTTTAATTTTACAAAGAAAGAAGCATTTTCCAAATGCCACATAGTGGAACAAAAAGTGCGGTAACAAACTGGCACAATAATGAGCACAATAATTAGACTTGAGAAAACTATGACAAATTGACTAGAGCAAGGACATACAGTTTTTGATAACACAGCTTATGACATGTACTCTTTAAACAAACGGTAAAAACAAGGCTAGCACATTCATTTTTAATCAAACATGAAGCAAACTTACGGAGAAAATAAATAAGGCAACGACCAACACAAGGCAAAAACCATAGAAAACAAACTAGGAAGTACAAACCTTAAGCTAATCTTTTTATATAAATAAAAAAATATATCGAGTCCAGATGTGGTTGCACCCATTTGCTTGAAAAAATAACCTTTAGTGAAGATGACCATTTGTTATAAAAACACCCCTCATATTGTAGTGACGATTATATCAAAACACAAATATGCCATCTACCGAGCTGCCTGACATTATTTATGGATTTTTGATCATCACTGCATTTCGGTGCACAAAATATGCTGCCAGTGAAAACTTAAAACATAATTATTAAAAGCCATAAGAAAAAACTTTAGGGATCCTCAAATACTAGATCTAAAAGTTCCACTACATCCAACTTAAGCAGCAGTCCTACTAAGCCAGAAAAGAAAGTCAAATCTACACTACACCTCGAGCTGCCATGAGTCTCCCCCACACACACACAAAGCAATGCCAACGAAAAATCTGCTAGTACCAGACAAACACCTAAAAATGAAAAAGCCCACACAATTTAACACAATCTTTTTTTGACTACTTTTGAAGAAGCGCACAAGCGAGCAAACCAAAGCAAACAAACAAAGGACAACAAAGACAACTGCCAGAAGTAGTTCCTTTGTGACTAGGACCGCCGTGTCGTACCTTCAATGGCAAGGACGTAGTCGTCGTTCAGCGTTCCGGCGGGGCTGTCGATGGAGCAACGGTAGACGCCGCCGTTTTCGGCTCGAACGCCGTTCACCGAGAGCACGGCGCCTCGCACCCGCACATTCTCGGGGAAGTGGCCGTCGTGGGACAGCTTGGTCCATCGAACTGACGCTGCACCGTCACCAGTCGCGTGACAGCGCAGGTCCAAGCTGTCTCCCATGTGTACATACTCCTTGCTCGCTTGAATTTTCACTGAAAGGCTGGGAACGTCTGCGAGAAATTACAAAAACCATAGTCTCATGTGGGTTTACTACGGTTGATTGAACGCCATTTCGTCTAAACATGTTCTAGAGATCGAAGCTCGGTTTAGAGAAAGCAGAGCCACAGTTTAGAGAAACACCGTTTATCGAAAAGAGACGCTGATTAAAAAAATATACAGGAGGACACTTAAGACTGCTTATGTGTAAAAATGCTTTCGCATTCCTACACGCAGCACATTCCTACAAGCAGCGCACCTGCTGCCCTCTGCAGAGGCCGGCCGGGCGGCGCGACATGGCTGAAAGCAGAGCATACAACACGTGATACAGTAGTGCACAGGGAGGGAGTGGAAAGAGCGGCGGCCACCACTCGCACCACCCTCGCCCTTTTACCGGCGCGCGGGCTGCAGTGCCAGGAAGAGGTCTTCTTTTTGGGGTGGCTTTCCTTGGAAATATGAAGCATCGCAGCAAATGGGAATTTATTGCTCATTTTGCTCTGCCAATGGGAAAGTGGGAATTTAAGTTCTTAAACATATGATACGCTGACCAACACCTGAACCCTCTCCCCTCCGGAAATACTTGTGTCCGCCCTGGTTGCGTTACAATTAAATTGTGCGCATTGAGTCACTACTGCATTGCACTTAATGGGGCATTCGGGAACCCTGCAATTGTAGTTTAGGTCATTGAGCATAATTTACAAAATATGGAATTAAGGACATTCTTCTTACATCCACTGCCCTGAAATTGGCCAGAATTCCACTATAAACTTGACATTAAAAGATGCTAAGGACAGCTTAGAAGCAATGCAAGAAAACTTCATACCTCTCACGTGAAGGATCACGGCATCTCTAGAGGTCACACTGTCCCCATTCTTGGCCACACAAATGTACCTTCCTCGATTTCCTTGCTGAACGTCCTTGATCCTGAAAACAGCAAAACACCCTAATTTAGGGTACGGAGTTGTGCATTCTCATCTGGTGGTCTGCAAAGGTCCCCATCTTCCACATGTTGGTGTTTACATCGCCCCCAACTAGGAAGCACAATGCCGCAATTGGCTGCCTCTCGGGAAGAAAAAAGCGTTGGAATTGTAGGCGGTTGCTGCTGTCCCTGAAATTTTTGAGGCTTGCATCCTTAAACTTTACTTATAACTGCATCTTAGAACCCGCTACAAATCTATTGTCAATATCACTTTCAGTTAAAAGCTTGCACCAGCCAAAAAAGCCATGATGCTAAATGGCTTCTAGTTAGTTCATGATAAAAAATATTTCCCACGAGAGAACAGGGCTTCAAAGTTAACAATTCTCTTGACAAGTCTACAAAAGACTCGCTTATAAATAATTACAATCAGTGGCTGAGCTTTTAAAAAAAATGCACACTCCCAAGAAAGGTACTTCTACGTAAAAGTGTACTCTCTTGCATACACCATAGGTCTTCATGCTTGATAAAGACAGCCGATTCAGCAATTACTAAAGGGTCATAGTAAATTTCAATATAAAAAAAGCAACTGACAATCTTGCTATTGAGCTAAAAGTTCACGGCTGGTTTAAATGCCCTGTGAACTGTATGTCGACCTGTACAAGTGCAAAGGTTATCTTGAAAATATTGCCTTCTTCACATTCATGAGCAAAGACAAAACTTGGGTTTCTACTGCTAGTACATATGAATTTGGCACTGTTTAAAAAAAACACAAAAAAAAAAAAATTTTTGCCAAAAAAGGTGATTTTGGAGAATGCCATATTTATATCCACCAACATCTAGAGAGTATTTCCAGAAAGTTTCATTTGTCTACACAGCATAGTTGTTTATATAAATTATTTTTGGTCCAGCAATGCTAAAGAAAAGGTAGAGGTTGAAGCACTTTGAAAGCGTTTTCACCATTCCACTTTTTGGCATAAACTTCACTTTAGGAAAACTATTGTTTAGTAACGGGACAAAAAAAAAAAACTCATTTTTTTTCCTAACTGAAATTTAATGAGCAATACAACTGTGGCATTTTTTTTTTCTTTGTAAATGTATTTTATAAAAGATGACAAGATTTTGTCGACGACATATAAGGCAAAAAGTGTATTTAACCATTCAGCGTGATGTTAGCATAAAATAAAATACTTTTTGGAAATTTTGTTTTCACAGTTACACTTTTCAGCATTCTACTGTGAGTCTAGTGAATAAAAATATAGGGTCTTACATTAGTTTTCCAACGAGTTTTCCTAAACTATGTCAGTGTGTTTTTGATAAAAACAACTATAATTTCTTTCACAATTGATGTACACCAATGAAACCTTTAATAATTGAAAACGAGCGTGTCGGTGAATAGATACGGATTCTTGAAAGGATAAAACATGTAGGGCGGGGACGGAAACATGACTTCTCTCATTGAGCAGCAACACGTATGTTTTGGCTCAATTAAAGAAGTCCCGTTTTCGTCCCTGTCCTAGATGTTTATCCTTTCAAGTATTCGTTTGATACTTTGCACTGCATTCTGCATCACAACTGCCGGTATATACCGTAAAATACCGCGTATCCACCCATTCCACATTAAAACCCCATTACCACATTTGTAAGATCTGAGTGAATACGCATGGTACATTTATACGTAAAATTGATGACTGGACAAGCGCCCATCCCCCATTTTTTGTGATTATTTCCACATTTTGAGTTGACGTTTGCCCTTGCCCGGTATTTTACGGTAGGTACTGTAAATTTAATTTATATTACGCAAAAAGTTCAATAGTTGACCATTTCAAGTAGTGTCCTCCCTTAACAAGAAAAAAATACTTGTTTAAAAACGTGACATTCATAGTTTGTGGAACTATCGCACAAAAGAAGCCACTGAAAGGTAATAATATATAGCAACTACCCGACTTTCCAATACATCTATCTGTCAATGTCACAGTTCCATGGCGCACATGACCATGCTAAAGAAAAGCAGTTATTAAGGCATTTAAGATGATAGACGGCTCAGAGGCCTTTCCTACAAATGCCTTGCAAGAAATACATGAAGCCCCACATGAGAACCCCCGATATAATCATATGCATTTGAAGACTTTCAACTTAAAGGGAAGTAAAACCTGCTAGAAAATATTTGTGTGCCACGAGTGCCTCTCTTACCAGAGTTCACCATTGACTTCTCTGGCGTTCTGGGGAAGCTGGCGGAAATCCTTGGTCCACTCTATCCTTTCAGGAGAAGATCCAGTGAGTGGGCATTTCAGTTCAATGTTGGACCCAACAAAGGCAGTCTCTTCCTTCCGCAGTGATCCAATTTCAGAGCCTTCTGAAAGAGCAAGGAAATGAGAGTGAGCAACCCCATTTGCTGAAGTATAATTTCGTGTAAAGTGCTACACGATAAATGGGTCATAGTGCCTAAACCTTTCTCACAGAAGACAAATGTACAAGAGACACCAGTTGGAGAATCCTGCAAGTGTGTTTCCAAAAACTTCCCATTCCATTCCGTACCTTTGCATGGGAACCCAACAGTACTCAAACACTTCAAAACCGTGTAGTACAGAGTCATTAGATCGCCAGTCATCAGATATTCAGCTCCTATGCAGCAAAGCACCATGAGGTATGCTGTTGGTGCAAAGAGAGGCAACCAAACTAAAACAAAGTGAGGGCTTTCTTCAAGAAAGAACTGTTTTAACAACAAATACTGTAAACATTTAAAACAAAGAAGTGAGAATATTCAATATTGCAAATAATACTGAGAAGTATGTTTGCAACTAGATTCAATTCACTGTGCACCTTTACTGTTCTAAATATACAAGTTTTTCGAACAAGCTTCAAGGCAACCTTATTTGAAAAACCACCTCCGTTTGCTCAATGGTGTCTGAAATTTTGCTTGCTACTGTAGGTCAGCTTTCTTTGGTTATAAATTATAGTTCAACCCCTCATCTTAAAAATACAATGCCAAATAAGATGAAAGTGAATTAATTTATTTCGAGGGGAGGGCTCTCTCACCTAATGAAAAAGGGGGAAAGAAAAACCTCAATTCACCTCCAAATAAAAAAGGTAGCCATTGCTTTGCTTTCCATGTTGCATTATGTATTACAGAACTTACCTCATCAGGGAATTTATTTTATTATTATATAAGTATGTGAAATGTTTCACACTTAACAAAACTGTTGCTTTCCATGAGCATCCTTTCTAGGAACTTTCCAGCTGAGATTCCTTCGTAAATACATGCTCAATTCACATTCAATGTAAAATATCTGTATATTAAGAGAATTTGAGTTAGATTTGAAGTTAAATGTTAGTATACTGTAAATGACTTAATTTTCATGAGGACCTAATTTTAGCAAAGTCTAAAATAACAAAAAAATATCTTAAAAAAACTTATCATGTACATTATGTCATCCCACTGTTACGAAAACATAGCATATTCCTACCAATCACTCCCGAAACCTACACTTCAGAAAATTCTCGAAATCTTGAGCCCACGAAAATAAAGTCGTTAACAGTATTCATATCCCATTTGCACTCAAATTTGATACCTGGACACCTCGATCTAATTTGAAGTAAAATTAAAGGGGAACTGCAGACTTTTTTAGCTACCTAATCCAAAGGCATCATCTGAATGTGGATGGCATCCCGATTCCGAAATGCTATCTCGTTCCTCCAGATTCAGTCTAGTAAATTGAAAAAGTGCCATTTTGTTTGCTGCTGAAACCGAAACATCATTCTCCCTATAGTAAGATACAGGTCAAGAAGGTAATGGCAAACGCCCCTCAAAGGGATTCATATATCCCTTCGCCACCTCCGCATCCAATAGCGTCCCATCATTTCAGTGACGTTGCGGCCAATGCGGGAGGAGGGTCTTGCCCTCCTGTAAATATTTGCCTTATCTTTTGTCTTTGACCTGGCGTTGTGGAAGCCACGAGAGGGTGATTAGAGTTTTCCCCCTCCGATGGAAACAAATACAACTTTCGGGGGTTAGGAAGGGAAAATTTCATCGTTATAGAAGATTTTGGCTAATAGTTGAGAAAGGGTTATTGATGCAGTCTGTCAATTTCCAGCCAGATCGAAGACTATAAAGAAATCTACAAAAACCTAACACAGGAAAAAAGGACCTGCACGTACATTGAGCTATGTACTTGTGCCAGCTTGTTTTTAATACCAAATGTGTTTTAAGGCCGGTACCCAAGTCTAGAGCATTGAAAATGTTGCAACGAAAATTATGATGACATGGCCAATGGTTTTGACAAAAGATTGTTTCCCTCGGTGGGAATTGAACGACCGGCCTCTTGCTCAGTGATCCAGTACCCAAAGCTCCGAGCTAGCTGAGAAGCTTTAATTAAGCATTGTATGTGTCAGTATGTTTGTACTCGTATTGAAGCAAAACCTCTGTCGCCCCAATGGCGGGGGAGCTCAAAACACCCTGCACATTCCGTGTCTCTCAACCGTGTCCATAGGATTAGAATACAGTTGAACCTCAATTTAAGGAAACCCGATTTTACGACTTTCCTGATGCAACGAACAAATTCGGATTCCCCGCGCAGCCTATCCCGAAGAACGTCTTTCTCGACTTTACGAAGCTCCCGATTTAACGAAATAATTAGGGGGTCCCGGTGACTTCGCTAAATCAAGGTTCAACTGTACATCTAAATTTCTACCCGATATTACCTCGATTACCGCGTAAAGTTCCCTCTCGTCTTCTTCATTCTCCGCCTGTTAATTTTCTCATTTCGGATGTGGACACCCGTCGTACTGATTCTAAATTTCGCCATCCACATCCAGACGGGGAAACTTACCATTGACTAGAACCTCGGCGTGTCCCTCCGCCTTGCCGGCAGCGTTGGCGGCGGTGCAGATGTACCTGCCGGCATCGGTGAGGGCGATGCCCCTGAACTCGAGCACGCCGTCCGTCTGCACGGTGTTGGGGGGCAGCTGTCCCCCGACACGCGACCAGTGGTAGCTGATGGGGGGCTCGCCATCGGCTGAACAGCGGATGAACACTCGGTGGCCGGGCCTCACATTCTGCTGGGTCGGGTTCAGCTGGATGCGGGGAGGAGCTGGAAAGGTACAGCAAACACACAAAAAGAGCCCTTTCAGTGCCGTGTAGCATGTATAGCATTTATTTAACTTCATTTTTTATCATGCAATGTATACTACCAAGTGCCTGGAAAAAAAAAAGTGTTTCTCTTTACAAAAATGAACTATGCGTCGTTGAACACTCAGTCTCTACCGCAATGTAGTGCTGTACTCCAGTGTGCCTTACAACGGATTGTTGCGGATGCTATGAGCCATTCCGGCTAATTCGGTGTTGTGTATCTATCCCATAACTACACCCCCCCTCCCCCATCGTTGCACCCCTTCTGAAGGTCAAGAGGCTAGCATGGCATTGGATTGACTTTTATGGCTCGCAACGTCCCCTGTGTTTCATCAGAAGGTGAGTATATACAGCGATTGGGACCCAACACCAATGTTTCAGAATTCATCGTTATCTAATCAAAAAGTTACGAGCAATTTTTGGAAGCTTTCAATGGACATGGCAGGCAATAGTCCGCAAATACATGAAGGCGAAGGTTGTCTGCTATCAGAAAAGAGCCCCGTTTCCACATTAAAAACTTCTGAAAATTGCTTAGAACTTTTTAATCTAATGACTGTAAGCTGTGAAGCTTGCTGCTCTTTGCTGCCCAAACACAGAGTACATTCCAAACTTGCTGCCATTGCATGCACCATAAAGGTTAGAGGACACAAACTACCGTTTAAACTGCCCAGTTGGGTCACAAGACATGCCCAGTTGGGTCACAGTCCCCAACTCGAGGGGGGTAGTATTCCAGTCATTCTAGCAACTGGGCAGAGTTGACAAATCACAATGGCATTATGGGACTAAGCTCAGGAGGCAATGTACATCGGTCTGAAAAGTAAAAACACTAAAAATGGCGTACAAACAACAATCTACTTGCCTTTTGACCAGATCCCTGGATGTAAGCAAGGAGAAAAGTGGTTACACAGGTCAGTAGAGACTTAACAAAACCAAATCGAGACTAACAAATGGAAGAGTGTGAACTAAAAACTTTGAGATAGAATTGAATATCAATAAAATATTCCTTTCAGTAATCTCATCAAATCAATTTTACTTGTGTTAAATATTTAATTTAATAGTTTCTATCAAACAATAAAGATGCATGAAAACCTCTCCAATTTATTACCTAGTTAGGTTCCCAAACCACCTCCTCTCACTTGCTGATGATTGAATAGTAGTATTTTGCACGTGTAAGAACACATTAAAATAGCAACCATTATTTTAACCCTGGAGAGTGGGGACAAGGAGGACAGCACAACACAACACGCAGCAAACCCTCGATTGTTTCTGAAATAGTTTTCCAAAAAAAAATACAGCCAACATTGTAGTCTATTCCTGACCAAGTTACATTTATAAAATGCTTTAAATCCCACATATTCACCCTGAAACTTATTTAGATATAATTGCAGAAGTTGCACCTAAATGTGTTGAATACAATTTTGGGGTTCCTACACTAGCAATGCATCAGCACAATGTGGCATGTCTGATAAAACTTCACATTGGCCGCAATTCTACATTTTGGAATAAAAGATCTGTAACATTTACATAACCTGCAATTGGTTTTCCTAAGACACCTGATGCATGCGCACACACAAACCAGTTTGGAAAGGGGAGTCCCTACCAACGTCGCCGCACCGTAGGGAAGCGACGCTTATCGCCACTACTGTAGGTGCCTCACCTTAATGCACCCATGCCACCAAAAAAGTGTACCCAACCAAGTTAATAGTCCGTCCTCGTAAACTTCAAAAATACCCCCAAAAGTATGACGTTTGCATTTATACAACGCAAGGTCGGTTTGCCTTTGAGCTGCAATGACACTGGTTTACGCTGTAGAGGAATTTAGCAAGTGCAGTACTACAGCAAGCCTGTGGTCTTCACCATGCACCACGCAGTAGTGATGCACGACCATACGCCGGTACGATGCTCCTCCATATCGAAACGGGCAGGGATGGGGATTGAACCCACAGTGAGAGCCTTTGCTCCACGTGTTTCGAGCCGGTGTGCGCTAGCCCGCTCGGCCACCGATCCCCCATAAAGATTTATACTCAGTTTTGTAAAATATCTGTTTCGGACACTACCACTACTACCTAACTGAACTGTAGGACTGAAGACAATTATTCGGCTCAAAATTCGAGTGTTATAAATATATTTTCAGCTAGGTTAAAACAAGAGTGCATCCAGCACATTTAGTACTGCGAAACATTGCCAAAAAACTAAACAGATCGGCAGAAGATAGTAATGCAAGCTCACCGATGACGGCCAGCCGTACACGAACGGTGAAAATGGGGTGGCCTTCGTCGGAACCGGAGCACATGTATTCTCCGGCGTCCGATGCCTGGACTCTCGGGAAGTGCAGTATCCCGTTTTCAACGGTGTGCTCGGACATGTTGCCGTCGTGCAGCTTGACCCAGCTGATCATAATTGGTCGCTCGGTGGCTGCAAAGAGAGGTCCGTTTAAATAAAGGGGGGAAACAACGATGCAACAGAACCTGCGAAGTTAATTACATGTTAAACACAAAATACAAGTTAATTATGGTTCCCATGCAAAGGCCTATGAAACACCACAACTTTTTAACAATCAACCCATTATTCAAATGACAAAATATGCTACTTTCCTTTTTACGCTTAAAAATAATGTGAAACTACCTCCTACCAAATTATAAATAGCATTGCAAGAAAGCCTGCTCAACTGCATTTTTATTACGAAAGCTTTCCTTGAGTAGTGTGTGAACAATTGCAGCTGCACATACCGTTGTTATAACACAGTGCATGTTTTATGGGTCGTTTCCATGTCAGAAAATACTCAAAAAGGAACGTCACGAAGGACCGTCAGAAACGAGCGTCGGAAACAAGCATCAGAAATGTGTTACACAATTTTCCCGCTAAATTTAGCAGGAAAATGGATGCCATGAGTTCCAGCTTCCCAGTTTTATTTAGCGGGGAAAATGGGGACTTCTAGGTGTTTGTCCTTTGTGCCATTTTTTTTTTTAAATCTTGTTTTTTGTTTTGTTTTACAGCTTAGCAATGTACTATCGTGGACACAGCTAGTTATAACGTCGCCAAGTGCTTCGGTGCCGTCTGCCTTGTGCCTCGCAGATGACCAAGTTGGCACGTGATCGCAAACTGGAAGAACAATTAATCTCCAAGAGGAATTGCAAAGTGTGATTCCTCTTGGAAAGCATGTGGCACTGGGAGCGTGGAATGGCCCCCGCTCCTGCGTTATAGCCAGCTGCATCTACAATGGTGCAAGGGTGGTGGGACCCAGTCAAGATAAAATTTATTTTTTGTTCCCCCCCCCCCCCCCCCTCAACCTGTAACTCAAAAAGTAACGTTCAATCATTATTTTAATTTTTTTATTAATATGATTATCAAGGCAAAGCAGAAAACTTCGAACGGAGTTTTGGAAGTGCTCACCTTCAACGTGGCAACGCAGTTCGGCCTCTTTTCCGACGGAAGCAGTCACCAGCTTCTGGTCTGCAACCAATGTGGGAACATGGCCTTCGCCCCCGTGGACTGATATTGTGAGAAAAAAATGAGGTGCAGGAGGAAGGCTTATTAATCATCCAGTCACAAGATCTTCGTCTTTCTTCACTTTAGCTCAGGTTCTAGTTCTCAAATGATTTGATTTTAGTGAACTTCTCTCGAATGGCAGCTAGGAAGTACCTCCTGGGCTCACATTCTGACAAAACGTAGCAGGATGTAGCGGGATAAGCATTTTGGTGCAGTTTGGTGCAACAATCGCACACTGAAACTATCACGATCGTCATTGTGAATCTCATCAACATTAGATCATTGTACTATGCTTTTCAGATCCTACCAATATGCAGATGCACTTTAGTTCTTTAACCGAAAAATTTAATTGAAAATAAAGATGCAACATAAAGCTACACTTTACGAACAAAAGCTGTGGTTACAACGCACCAACGACCTGTATCCTCTCCTCCGAAACTCCTCCGTGGTTCCTAGCCTCACACACGTAGGTGCCGGAGTCTGACGGCGCAACGCGACGGATGAACAGCGTGGTGGTTCCGCCCTGGAGTTCCTCCGTGCTGGAGTAGGTGGTGATGGGCTGCTGGAGCCGCCTCCACGACACCGAGGGCTTGGGGTCCCCCTCCGAGATGCAGTCCAGCCGAATCTGGTCGCCCACCCGCACCGTGTACGGATTTTGTTGCAGGATGCGTGCAAACGGTGTGCCTGGATTTCAAGTGCGTGCAAAAAAAAAAAAGCGATGGGACTTACGAAAGTGAACTGACGTTGTGCTAACTACCCGCGATTGAACTGCAGTGATAAGGTTCCAACGTTAAACGACACTGCAACTACTTCGGTGCACAAAAACTAAGACAGCAGCAGCCTGCGGCGGCCCACCTGGCGCGGCCACAAGGAAAGAATGCGACATGCACGAGCAGTAAGTGCTTAATTAAGGCTTGGTTCACACATTTGCGTTTGAGTGTGAGTGAGTGCATTGTAACTGCTTGTCACCAGTTGTTTGTGCATAAAAGTCTCAACCTTGCTTTGTCCTTTAAGGTCAATGCACAAAGCTGACAAAAAACAACAAAAAAAAAAAAACAGATTCGAGGAATGTTTTAGCAATAATAATTAAAGCCATTAAACTTGAAGTTACAAAAAGGAAAAGTATGGTACATAAAACACTTGTTGGAACCAACGCTGAACTACCTAAGCCAACACCATTTGGTTTCTTAACACTGCAAATGGGGTCGGCAAAACGAAACACGTTCGAAACCATGCTGTTAAGTTTGTACCCGATATGTTCAGGTTTTAAGCCTCTGAACTGCGCTTGCTTACAGAAGCAAATGCTCAGATGTTGAGGCCCATTCACACATTTGCAACTTCTTAGGACCGAGTGAGTGCCATAGAACTTCTTCAAATCTTTTATGACGAGAGGGCACCCTGGCGCCACCCATGCGGCGACCCTGGAACTGCATTTCACTAGAGCGAAGGTTTTGCTGTATTTGCGAGGTCAACCGTACATACTACCTATTGGAAATGGTCGTTAATAACATTGACAAAAGTTTTTTGAGTCAAAAAAGAAAGAATGATGCGCAAAAAAATTTGGAAATGTACGGGACCGCCAGGTGTGACCTCTCGTAATAGGAAATTTTGAGAGGTTTTAAGGGGGGACATGGCCTGGGAGGGTCAACTTTTGAACCAATGTCTCAAATTGATTCAAACTTTCAGGGTGAATTGAACCCCATTAGGAGTGATGACATCTAAAGTTTCAGTCTTATCGGCCGACTCTACAACATACTATGCTTAACAAGCTCCAGAAAAAAGTTACTTTATTAGGAAATGTATTTAAGAAAAAAAATAATTGCAATCCACAAAATGTTTGGTTTAATGTGAAGTAGAATACCCATAGTGCAAGTTAAGGCAAAAATTAATTGTAGAAAATGCAACTCTAGAGAAAAACAATAACAGCCAAAAAGAACAAACGATTTTAACAAATTTCTGAGTTTTAAAATATTCAGTTTTGGTCATGAAGAATTTACCTCTTTCAGATTATGAGTACCTTAGAAAATTTCAGTCCAGGACAGCACTGAATGAAATCTTTACACTTTCAAAACGTCCAATGATACATTTCCTCACACCATATTTCCTGCCAAAAAGTGAAACTGAGAAAAATGCATTTAAAGTTTCAACTTTAGGTTTCTTTCTTTTCTGTGGGTCCGAGGTAGGCAAAATTCACCAGGCACATTGTTAGAACCTTCCTCTTTGAGACTTCCCTGTTCCCCTGGCAATAGCTACCAGTTTGTGTTGTTTGTAGGCTCGCTAACTTTTGTAGCAGGCATTCCCTGACAGATAAACTGGCAAGGACTAAGAGGCAAATCACACTGAGAAAGAGCAGCAAAGCAGGAATAGGATCTGAAATGGGAGATACTGTAAAGGGGCTTTACTGAAGACGACACAATATCACGTCACCGGGAAGGACCAATTGTAAACCTTGTTTCAGATCTAAACCAATAAAATTGCTCATACCAAATTTTCAGAATTTTTTCTGTTTCAATGTATCGGGTCCTCCTGGCCATTGATACTTGTAAACTTCGAAAGCTTCTACGGGCTAAATCTAGAGTAAATGGCACTTCCAGTGAGGGTAAAATGTTCTGGCTAGGTTAAATGAGTATGAGCAGCGCTAAATAAAAAACACAAAAAACTTGTTCCCTGCTGACTCGGAGAGCTGCCGACATGTTGAAAATAATTTATTCTGAGATAAATCCTGCATTTTTATAAATGAAAGTTTCTGAAACCATTCTTTGGAAGTTAATAAGCATATAACATATCATTTTTGAAAAAAAACGTTTTTTTCTGAAAATTTTGAATTCCGAGGCCATGTCCCCCCTTAAGGCACACAATTAGAAGCAAGGGCAACGATTATTATGTAGAGCCGTGGATGGTACGAACAAGCCCAGGCAGGCGCGTGGCTCTGAAGACCCCCGGTGCTGTCTAACATGGGAAAAGCAAAGTCATCATCGAGGCTGTTGCGCGAATAAGCGGAATTTGAGCAGCTGTTCGACTTTCGCTCTTACTCCCCACTTGGTCGGCAAACAATTGCCGAGTTGATATTGATAAATAGTAGTAGTGCTCGATAAAATAAAATAAACGCTTGTTGTCACTGATCCCGCAAACTTGTTATTAGATGCCCGAAAACTGATCGCTCAACCTGTCGACCTGGTGGATTTGGTCACGCTTCATTTTGCCTTTTTGTTGCCCCCAGAATGTTTCTATATTCTGCGAAATTCACATGAACTTGGAAACAGCCATTCAAGAGGGGAATGCCGACAAAAGCTAAACAGCCGCTGAAGTCTCGGTGATAATGGTCGAGCTTTCTTCCGATCGACAGTGTGGCAGGCCTTGTAGGCCATGCGCTCGCTTAGGCTTTTTCGTATGGCCCCAGACTGCACTTGGTTAAATTACATAGGCATTTATTCCCCTGTGGCCAATTCAATGTTAGTTTTAAAAATATGTCACCTTTTCATCCACCATATCAAGGATCAGTCTGCAAGATCAATAAAACTTTATAAATTAATAAAATATATTTTCAGATAAGAATGCTCTTTCCCAGGAAGTTAAAAACTGGAATTTAATAGAAAGTACAGTTCTATTTTTTGTTTCACCCGATGGTTTTATTTGAGTACTTTAAAAATGCTTTCTTTTACAGGGCTTTTATTTTTTATGCATATTCAAAAACTGTATCCATTTTTAATATGGTTCTTGATAGAGTGCTGCACAAGTGTTCAAATAAAAAGGCCATGTTTATAGCTTTCCTTTGTACATGTGAACAATATTATACCGTTATAGTAGTACATTCTTCCTAGACACTGGGTGGGCTGGCCCTACCTTTCATCTTCAGTGTCGCCTGGGCTGTCACTTTGCCCATTGCATTCTCAGCAGAACAGATGTATGTGCCTTCTTCCTCTCTTGTGAACTTGTTAAACCTGAAATACATGATTGCATTTGCAATTTCATCATGCTACCCTAATATCCTGAGAGATATCCCACCTAAAATCGAGAAAAAAATCGGCTGAAAATAAGGAGAAAGCAAACTTTCAGTGTGTAATAAAAAAAAGTACAAAAAAAAATGCTAGCTTTAGATTTTATGACCTGCAAAACTTGTGATTGCAGGGAGGGAAAATGAACAGTCAGCAATGTTCGCTTATATCCCATCTTCGTGAAGTAACACCATTTCTTCCAAGGTCACCATTGAACAACGTCCTGCAATTACTAGAAATGGTCTATCTTTCGTGTTCTTAAAAAAAAAAATAGCAAATCATACCAAAAATAAGGGTGGGTTATCTTTCGGGAGTGGGACCGGACATCTCTTCTAATTTTTTCTTAAATGCTACAATAAGGTAAATCACTCACTTGAGAATGTGAGATATAAGTTTACATATGATTTGCCTTGCACATAGCGCACAAAGCTGGCAGTCTGATTACTCATAATGGAGCTTCTAATTGTAATCCCTCAGATGCCTGCAAGGTTTAGTTTTCATGTCAGTGTCTATGGGGATAATCTGAACTGCTCTCCCTGACTGTGAGGAAACAGCACAAACTAAGGTAGAACAGCATACAAGTGCAAAAAATGTCTGTGCAGTCACTGGCTTCCGAAAGCTTAATCTTTAAAAAAAACATACTTTCTGACACAATTCAAACGAAGGCTTTTATATATTTATAGAAAAGACAGCACCATCACAAACGAGGGCTTTTATATATTTATAGAAAAGACAGCACTATCACAAATTGGTCATTTGTATAAGCATAACTCGTTTGTCCCATTTATCAAACCTGCGATGAGACTTGAAGTTCATTTCTACAAGAAAACAATTCGCCAAACATTCTTTTAAGATCCCAAGTAAAATAACGCTTAGTTTCTTTATGCCATTTAAACTGCACTTCAAGTGTCTGTTGTTGCAGGTACAGAGTTTGTGGTGAAACCCAGGCTCGGCGATCACAATACTTCCCTCGCGCACGCAGACATGCCCAGTGCAAAATCTCGGCCCAAGTTTCTCCAACTGCAACCCTCCAAAAAAAGACTGTACTTTCACATGGTTCGTCAGTACTAGTCGGCGTACACTTCACACTGCTCACGTTTGCTAACTGCCTCTTTTCTCGAATTCTCTCCTCTTCACCCTTTCCCCCAATAGATTTTAATCTCGCTCCCTTCTTTCTGGATAGCCAGTGTGTCCTCTCAATTTTTCCCCCTCTTCCATTACCCTTTGGGAGTGGAGATAGCAGAGACCCTCCTAGACAGCAGGGACGCAGTGGAGAGATTTTTTTATGTTGGCTACCGGATATGCTAGCATGGGACACGGATTGAATGCAAGGGTTGCATCGGCGCTTTTCTGGAACTCGTCTGCAATCAACCAGGACACAACTTTCAGCCAAACGCCGACGCAGCACCCGCATCCAGTCTGTGGCTGACACGAGCCTCCAATAGGCCAAGTAAATAATACCCCTTTCAAAAGTGCACGCTCAGTTCGGGTCAAGAACGAGTGCTGCGTCAGCGTACAGTGCCATATGGCCTCATTATCAAGGTGTTGCAAGGACTGTGGGTGTGCAGCACCAGTAAGACCTGAACATTATCGTTTTAACTAAAATACTACATACAAAACTTTTCTTACAAACAAAAGTTTTTAAAAATCAAGATTTAAAAAAAATGAAAAACAAATCAGATTTGGGTATTTGATTTAAATCAGATTAATTTGATTGAAATCGGCATAGTCTGGAAAAAAGTGATTATTTATCACTAGCTGTATTTTTAAACATGGCAAGCTGATTGATCGTCCTGTCTGGATACCGAGATTATGGGGAAAAATATGACTGTAAAATCAAACTTTTAAAGTACAATTTAATGAACACACTTTATTGATGTGAACTACACCATCTAAAAGACAAGAAGTACAACATTTTTGTTAACTAAAAAGCTTATAATTTCCTTTTTTTTTTTCATGTTCTCATTTGCTTTCAAAAGGACATTACTTTTTATGTTCTAGTTTCTTTCACATTCTGATTTGTTTGCCGAGGACATTATGTAACCGACGAATGAAGTCAAAGAAGGTACAAAAAAAGCACAATGCCGATTTGCTAGTACCGCTTTTTGTTTGTGGTCAACCCACTATAAATCATTCTCGCTTGACGATTATTTGATTTAAGTACAAAACAAATGCACACAGAAAGCACAAAATGTTAGACACACTAAATAAAACAATATTTTTGCAAATGATATTTGAAGGAAAGGTTTGATTTAAAACGTCATAATAAAACTGCTGGGATCTAAATCTCAATTTTTAAATCATCTTTTTATTCTCCCCCCTGGTTACAAATCAGGGTTCTGTTATGAAAAACCCGAAATCCAGTCTCACCTAAGTATTCCTGGGCTAGACAGTTCAGTGCTCGGTGTGAACGGACTTCCATCGGCTCTGGTCCACTCTACGGACGGAGTAGGTATTCCGGCGGTAGGTCGGCACTGAAGCACGGCGCTGTCTCCGTGATGGATCTCCGGGATGGTCTTGGGGTAGATTTCCACCAAGGGGACTTCCCTGCCTGCAAAGTAAGAGGACGGCAAGGAAATCTACTCGTGCCAAGGGAAACTGCCACAGCTAAACGAACGAAAAGAAACTTACGATCGACTTCCAGCACTGCCGTAGCCTGAGCCATGCCCTCCCTGTTTTCAGCACGGCAGACGTAGTGGCCACGGTCTTGAACGATGGTTTGTTCAATCACTAGCACGTCGTCTTGCACCTTAAAAAAAATCAATATGGTTTTGGCTAGTGTTGATTACTTCCATTTTGATAGCCTTTAGAATTCATTGTAAATTTGTTCTAGGCACATGCCTAGATGCTAACTATATTAATTGAGCGAGTAGTAACTGAATGGGCTGTCCATCATGCCACGACAATTAGGGAATCTACAATTATCAATGTGAAGCCCTTGCAAACCACAATATGCCTACACCATGCTGGTCTTTTGTGTACGGCCCTTCACCAACAAATAGAAAATGTATGAATGCAACGCTTCTCCATCCTGCTATCCTACCACAGTTTAGAATCGCATAAAACCATAAGAATACAATGCACCTTTCCCCAATCCAGGCTGAAGCCCCATAGCCTAGCAGCACTTAGTACATGTGCATGACACGATTGCTTGACACAGGGACTAAAAGAACCACTGACGCTCCTGAAATATTTTTTTTTTTTTGTTAGACAATTTATTTTGGTGTCAGAAGACTACCCAATTAATATTTTGCTACAGAGTCACGCATATTTTTAATAAAGCCAAAAAACGTAATTGCTAGAAACTGAAACCTGCGCACAGAGGTCAGAGAAGTATAGAGGAGAGAGTGAGCGGCGGAAATCACGCGGGTACACCCGACCGTGCACTTTTTAATGCAAAAGCATTGACTGTCCCATGGAGCGAGCCGACGTCATCAGTTGGAAGCGCGGAAACGGCACCTAGTTTCCCTGATCCCAAAGGTCCCATTGGCTAGTGCACGGCGACGATGCTCCCATTGGCCGCTGCGTGCGTCAGTTTCGATGATTGCCGCCAGATGGCGCTGCGTATCCGTGCCGCCAGTGCGCCGATAAAACTAACCACCGCAGTTGAGTATTTGACCGCAGTGCCCTATCCTGTATAGACGTTGAGTGGCTACATGCAACGTTTCATCCATGACATCCCTAGCTCTTGAGTTACTACCACATCTCAGAGCCCCCTACTCGTCCCGCAGTCGTGGCCGAGTGGTTAAGGCGATGGACTAGAAATCCATTGGGGTCTCCCCGCACAGGTTCGAATGCTGTCGACTGCGCAAACATTTTTTCTTTTTTTTAAGAAGACAGATGGGATGGCAATCGATGTGAGCACGGACGCCGGACAAGGCTAGACCCCAAGGAGCTTCGCCCCCAAAACCTCGGCAAGCATCAATACCCTGTCAGTGTCCCTTTAATGGACTATAATAAAAGCAATGAATTTTGTTTGTCAGTGAGGTCCGAAAAATATTTGAGGTTTTATGGCTTGTCAGACTCTTGGGAAAGTCTCACGTGCACAATATTTAAAATTTTAAAGGCTATAGGGTCATCCTCCCGAAAACTAAACATTAACGTAAGTGTGAAGTCACTTTCGAATGCCTTCCTCCCATCATTCCTAAAATATAGTTTGCATAGCATCTGGGTGCCCTAAAAACAAATATTTGCATGTTCTCATAATTATGAGCATGTTCTCATAATTGTAACTATTTTTAGAAAAAACAGAGTTTAGATTGCATCCAATGTGTAATTTCAGCATTTGTTTTGTATCTGCCAACTACGACACAAATTTCAAAGAAGTGAACTTCTGTTTTAGCGAAATAAACATTTACAAGTTTGATATTTAAAAAGTCGAACCCCTATATCAGTTCCACTTTATGATATAATCTCGGCATCCAGTGCTACTAGAGTATTTGTATTTTTATGAATTTTTTAAAAGAAACAAGTGTGACCGACCTGAATGTCAGTGGTACTATAACAAAATAGATTCAAATTTATTTAAAAACTTCTGCCAACCACATTCAATTAGTAAGTATGCAGACTGTTTAACACGTTTTATCGAAAGTCTTACAACAAGAGCCATTCACCCTGGGCAAAAACCTAAAATTTTACTACCTTATAAATAAATAGGAATAAAGGCATACCTTTTTGGTATGTTTGGTGCAACGGATCTTTTTTGTGCTATTTTTTTATTATATCTCGATGAGAAATAACTTCCAGTGAAAAAACAGATATATACCTTTCTGTGGTGTGAAATTTATTAATTCGAACTGAGAGTTGTTTTATAAAAAAAGATATTTGCCCGAATGTTCAGTCGTTTAGTGGTCAGTCGTATAACGGCCATTCTTGCATAATAGTTGTATAACAGCCATTGGCATAACGATCAGTTGTGTCACGAGTGAATTGCAGCATGGGTATGTTATTGCAAATATCAATACTGCAAAATAAAAATAATACACTGATAAGCCCAAAAAGAGCCGTGAAATAGCTTTTGCTCATTTTGTCTCGAGTACGTTCCACAACATTTGTTGTTAACAACATAAACAAACATCTGGGAGCTCGGCTGTGTTTTCTATGAAAATGAAAAATGAGTTTAGCTATCGATAACTAAAGTCAATGTTGCCTAATTAACTTTTAATGAACTTAAATGATTCCCCTTGGGGAGAATGACCCTATATACAACCAAAGTTCACCAAGCTTGCAGACTTACAATGTGCCTGTGGGTGAGGTTTCCCCCAACCTTGGTGAAAGTGATCACGGGGGTGGGTGTGCCAGTAGCGATGCAGCGCAGCCTGGCATCCTCTCCCTGCCTCACGGTTTGTCGCTCGGGCTCAATGTGCACAGAGGGAATGTTCCTTCCTGAAAAGTGACAAAAAGGCATTTCTCCACTTGGACAATACAAACAAAAGAACTCCCCAAATGTCAAATTGGTTAAGGTCAAATCTTTTTTTCCATATTTCAAATACAAAAATGTTTGTCCTTTGTTTCCTTCCCCAGGAATTATTATCATCATTCTAGTCCAGCTCACTTGCACCTTTGCAATAATTGCATTATCATCATAACCTTAAAAATGCAGGCTGTTCCCCTAGTCTGGTGGCAGCAGATAAAATTAGTTTGGCCTACTGACATCTAACCCCTGGTTAGCTCAGTTGGTAGAGTGCTCCACTGGAAATGGAGAGGTCCCTGGTTCGATACCAAGATCAGCTGGATTTTTTCGATCGCTCACCAGTCACACAGCTGCGTTTGTAGATTTGTGCTTCGAGATTTGTTCCCCTTGTTCCCCTTCTCCAGGGATTATTATAGTCATTCTAGTCCAGCTCGCCCGCACCCTTGTAATACAGTATAGACCACTTACAATGTAACCGCTTATAGTGCAGGACCGGGTATAACGCGGCTTTTTTAAACCACCGGTTTGCCTCCCATAGAACTCTATGTAATTACATACCGCTTAAAATACAGGTGCGCGAAGGGAAATACCGGTTATAGTGCGGTTTCTGGAGCAGCGCGCCGACCGCGCCGATTGACCCGCGTAGCGAGCACGCTTCCCTGTGCGACTCTAGATGACTAGATAATGGCGCTAGCCGCAACGGTACTCGCGGGGACAAGGATGGCAAGGAGGTTGCTCGAAGAAGTGGGGAGAAGCGGAGAGAGGCTTCAGTTGCCATAGCGACGGAGGGACGCACGCAAGTGTCGTTCACGGCGCGGGGTGTTGGAGCGAGCCCAACCAGCCGTTCGCGCGCGTTGCATGCCGGTGGCGGGCCGGCTTCTTCTATCCGGAAAAATGGCGTCGGTGGTAATCGTCGCCGTCGACGGCATAGTCGAAGCTCATCGTTCCGCATAAAAGCGCCATCCTTGACTGTGAATTTTCGTTGTGTGTCGCTATGATAACCCAGCACGTACTAGAAGGGAAGATCCACCTACTCGTGCGGCAATCTCGTGGCAGCACTCTCAAGACGACAGAAACGCCCGTGTCGTCGTGTTTGTTTACTTCGACTACAGTGGTGCTTTCTAAGCATTCGTGTTTTCGAACATCGCCCGGATTTCTTATTTGGAGCATTTCATGCCTTTTTTGGAGCATTTCATGCGCGTACCGTATAAAGGATCCGAATTTTCACGCATTCTCATCACCGGAGAAAAGTGATTAGGGTTAGCAATCCTGAACGCTCGCAACGTCCGTCCGCAACCCCCGACGCCGTTAAAAGGCTGCGCCAGGCAAAAGTCGCTCATTTCTTTCAAAATGTGTGACACACTTGAGAGAGAAGTGTACCAGTCTGGTGAAATAAAGACTTTCCTCAAACTAAGCTTTATTTTTCATCTAATATAAAATAAATTGTTTTACAAAGGTACGTTGTCTCATGGCATGTATTTTGGCCTGAAAAAATTGATGTTTTGGTTATAGCGCGGTACCGCTTATAGTGCGGATTTTCGCGACTCCCGCGACATACGTTATATGCGGTCTACACTGTAATTGCATTATAATCCATTTATTCCCCAAAATGCAGCTTGGAAAAAAAAATCAGATTTGAGCTTAGAAATTTTGCAGTTAACTCAAAAGCGAGAAGGTCATGACCTACCAGAATATCCAGGAACCATAACTACTTTAAAGGGGTAGTGAAACGAAATTTTAGCGCCGATCTTGTTGCATAAATATGGGCTAGGGACAGGCACCACCTCGGAAATATAAATATTGCGCTGTAAAACACAGGAGAACTAATTTTAAACATAATTAAACGATTTCAAATTCTCATCTGGTGGATGGGGGGAAGTTCTCGTGACATCACTTGTGCCAAAATAGCAGCGCCGTTCTGCGGCAATACGGCGTGCCGGCAGAATTCGCCTAGGCCTGAACGCGTTTGCAAAGCCTTGGCGGAGAAAGCCAAAGCGTATTTGGCCACAGTGAGCTCGTTCTCGTTGCGGCTCTTTGCACGACACGGCCCGAGCATGCTTCTGGCACGGCCGGTATTAGTTGCTGCGAGTCGCGAGCTGCAAGCCGACGTTAAAAAGGATATGTTTGAACTACAAGGGTGTCAGCAAGAGCCACGCAAATGCCAAATACCTGTTCACACTCGGAGCGGACACGCGCGTTTGATCGAAGTGCTGGATTCGCTCTGTTAGACCGCGTTTCGGTAAGCGCTTCTGGACCGATCTTTTACGATTGCAACTCGATACTGACATGACACTCGGCAAAGAAAGGTTAGACCGACATCGCGTAGCTCCCACGAACTGCTATAGCTCGACACTGACGTAGCGTCGAGTCAGAATAAAAATGGCATACTAATAACAGAGTGTACATACCGAATTGCCAAGGTAATCCGTATGGCGTTTATTTGAGCTCTATATCACACAAAACAAGGAGATAGAATCAATGAGAGTCCCTTTTCGACGACAGCGTTCGTCACCGCTGTCTCGGAAAACAAGGAGATCCAGATGACAAGGGGAAAATATTGACCTCTGAAATTTAGTTCAGGGATCAAACTACTCATCCGGTAAGGGTCCACAAGGGTCGCGCGGGCATATTCCATTCAGCAGGCCAGCCGGTCATGGACAGACGGTCTTGGCCAAGGACCGCCGGAGCAACGGTGCGCCGAGTCGATGTTGCTGCTAGGCCTACTATATTCTGCCGAGCTCGCTCGGTCGGCAGAATCGTGGCTGTTGTAGCTCTTCTCGTGTGTTTGTGGATCCTGCGTTCTTGATCGTCGTGGTCTGTTTTAAGTACTCCTTCCTTTTTTCTTGCTGGTTGAAGTCGGAACGCACGAGAAGAGCACGAAGAAAAATAAATGTCCGTTGGTGGCCGATACCAAGTAACTGAGCGACGCTGTCGGCCTTGTTGATTTGATCGTAAAAAGTGCCTAAGACAGCTTCGGAGCTGTCGTAGGATTCTGTCGTAACCTGCGCAAAGGTTACGACAATTTCGTTTCGAGAGCACGGGTTTTCTCTCAAATTTGTCGTACGCACTTTTTTCGTCGTGAATTCGCTTTGAGAATCCGGCCTCAGAGCTGGTTTTGTCAGTGCTGCCGTGGTTGCCCACTTGCCGTGGTCCCGTGGTGCAGCGTGCGTGCAGCCCTTGCACATCTCAAACGGCCACGTTGTCACAGGTCGTAAATCGTCGACGCGCCACCAAGTGGCAACGCTCGTAACCACAACATTCACGCCGTAGCCTTTCCCGACCGGCACAAGTGACGTCACGAATGCGCCCAATATCCCAAGACGCATCGCGCTCTCCGATGGCCGATTTTTGAGCGCGCGCCCAATCGGGCCCATCAGGGTGAAAAATATAGCCATCCGTTCAAAATACAAACGCGCGATTATGATTTATGAATATCATTGATCATATTGAACCTATTTCTGACCATAATAGGTGTATTTCAAGTTTCGCTTCAGTATCCCTTTAACTCAAAGGCAGGACTCACGTGTTGTCAGCTGCAGAGGTGCCTGTCCTTGGGCTGTTCCATAACGATTGCTAGCGACACACATGTAGTTGCCTTGGTTCTGTTCGTCGACGTTCAGCAGTGTAAGCACACCTCCAACCTGTTAAAATAAACAATAAAAAAAACTGATCAAATGAGGATACAATAAATATAAACCTAGGCAATAAATCTTGATGAGGTCAATTGCTAAGCACAGCATAAGATTTTTGCCTACCTTCATGAACCCTATGTTTCAGTGAGCATGTAGGGACTTTGCACCTTCCTCATGCCCTCGGTCATTTACCAGAAATTTTCAGCACATGCAAATATGTCACTGAAGATTGCAGGCCAGTTTTGCCAGGAGAGAGGCATTCCTGTACTTCCTTTGCACCGCAATAAAATTACCGTAACATACTTTATTCAAATATAGGTTGACATTTTGTTTTTGTAACCTCTTTAAAATTAGGGGTCAATCTATAATTGTGACCAAAAAAGGTCAACTTTAATAGTGAGCCTAAATTACACCTCGAAGATTTCAGAGAAACTCCCCCACAATGGCTACTTTTCCTGGCACAGGTGTGAAGTAGTGAAGCCTGACATATGTGGCACCGGTTGAAAGCAGCTTAAAGGCCGAACTACAGAATAGTCTTTTGCCAGGCAGATAATCGGTTCCCCGTTTCCCTCTCCATTCACTCTCGCACTCTCCTCCTCCTCTGCCCTCAGGAGTGGATCTGAGCTACTGCCTGCAGAAAAGAGGAGGATCTCCCTTTTGCTTGAATGGAGAAGAGGAATTGAGGGGAAAGTTTCTTCCTTTCTGGCTGCCCGTCGGCCTTTAACACGGCAGCTCTGAAGCAAAGCGATGAAGCTTGGCACAAGCGGTGCAGAGAAAGTAGGGGTTCTAGAGCAGAGGTTCTTAAACATTTTGATCTTGAGGAGCCCCTACCTACCCTAAATGGCAACGGAGGAACCTTTCCCAGTTTCGACATTGATCCAGTAAAGCAGTGCAGAAGGCTAGTGACCTCGTAAATAATAATGCATATACTAGGGAATGTTGAGCTCGCAGCTATGCATCAGTGGGTGGCTCAGATCTGCTAAAATAGTGCTTAAACTGGAGGTGCCCCGTGGAACCCTCCCATGAACCCAGTTGGAGAATCCGTGCCCTCGAGTACCTAAACAAATATTGTTCTACACAGCCACATACACATCGCAGCTGAACCTTGGGAATAAACTTTTCAGATGAAACCTTACACATTATCCTAATGCTCTGCAACTATAGCAACTTAAACGTTGTGGACAACCTACTGGTCTTGCATATAAAATTAACAGTTGTCCTTACAGTACCATTATTGACCTAAAGTTTTTAGTATTAGAAACATTTGTACCTTTCCTAGGAACGGCAGTCTCTCTCGTGTGTCTCGTGGTGTTCCCAAGGAACCCCACGAGCTGAGAGCACGGGCCACCAACTGACCTGATTGGCGTTGTCTGGCATGGGTCCCCCAGAGAAGGACCACGTGATGTTGGGGGTCGGGTGTCCAGTTGCTCGACAGTCAAAGCGCACCGTTTCACCCCTTCGTGCATCCGCACTCGTAGGGTGGATGGTCAGGTGTGGACCATCTCCAGAGGAGGAGTCATCTGAGTGGACAGAAAAAAGGTAATATATTATGAACGGGTTACCAACCGCATAAATTTTCACAATACCAATCTTTATTTTTCTTTCACACACTGCGGCTTCAATATGCAATTATGAGCAATTAACTTAAAAAATTTGCAACAAGTTTTATCTTCTTTTAGGCTAGGGACCCAGGTAGCTAGGCAGGAACCTGCAACTGCACCCAGAACTGCTCCGTAAAATATACTGAACAAAGCATCAAACAAATAGAAAAGTTTATAAAGTTAAGCTCATTCAAACCAAACAAAAAAAAAAAAGCTCCAATTACACCTTTTGTGAAAACAATACAAGAAAATGCATAAAACTATAATCTGGAGGTCTTTCAACATTATGAAGAAGACCCTTTTCAATTTTCCAGCCTTTTCTCCAAGTAAAAATCTTTTTTTGTTGTTTGAATAGTGCGTGCCTCTCCCCTCAAGATTCTTCTTTGGGAGTCTTCGCCGTACTATTTTCCAACCCTTTCCCCATCACAAAGTGCACGCCCAGTCAAAACAGAATGTATGACACGAGACAGAAGACTTGCCCCCTTTGACGAACAAGACGGTCCTGATAGTGTCTGTGCCCATGGCATTGCTGGCCGTGCAGAAGTACTCGGCCTCGTCGGTCTTGCGGGCCGTTGGAATGCGGAAGACGCCGTCGATGAAGGTGGACTCCGGGTTGAGGATGCCGCCCCGGCCCCCGGTCCAAGAGACCTTGGGTTCCGGAAAGCCATCGGCGAGGCAGCGGAACTCCACGGGGTGACCGACGTTGACCTCGAGAAAATGGGGCTCGATGCGTGCCCGTGGAGCAGACTTCTGGTCTTGCCCTGAGGCAGTTGATAAGTTAAAACTCCCATTTACCCAAAGCTGCAGCCACAGGATGATACTACGCTGTGCCGTTCTGCAGTTTTTTGTGAACATGAAACCCCAGAAGTCGTAGAATCCGCCATTTCAAGAGCGACATTGCTTTGGAGCACACTCTTCTGCATGACGTGAACAGGAACTACTCTCTTATATGTTTGCTTTGAGGCATCTAAATTGATTGAGGCAAGTATATGAGTGACAAAAACCATACAGCAATTCGGTAGAGATAGTCCCACAGTCTGAGGTATGCGGTTCTTTACCATGAGCTTTGTTAGATCTATATATGCTTTGAAGAATTATGTTCGATCATGAAGTCCAGTTTAGAAGTTGCAAGGACCATGCAACAATCTAATGCAAATAGATGCTGTAAACAAGGCACTATTTATGAAAACCTAATTTTCAGATCTTTTGTAAATCAAACACAAAATAAGTTGTGAAACAAATTGGTCATGCAAACAAAGTCTTCAATATATAATAATATTACGGAAATTATTATAACGAGCATTAGATGGCATGAATATATGAGTCTGTGAGCCCAATGAATACTCCACCAAATAAGATAAATTAAACATGCCATCAGTCTGAACAACAAACAATAATATGTACTGATAATTTATAATAAAGTGTAGCCGAGTTATATCGAGTCTTCGTAGTTATTTCTTGCTCATGGCCACGGTGGTTATTATAGAATGTACCGAACAATCGCTTGAGCGTGCTTTACTAGAAAGAGCATCACAAAGTTGCTAGATGGTTTGCTTGAAAAGTGAGCCACAGAAGGTAGGCACTACAGTAAAGCCTGGTATGACATATGCAAACACTAATAGACCTTTTGCCTCTCTGGGAAAATGACAAGTGCCTGACCAAAAACCTGAGGCCTGACTCTTTGACTAAGCCTGGGGGTGTTCCTGGTCTGCCATCTCATGAAAGATTTAAAAAATACAAGTCGAGAAAATTTTGGTAATCACTAGCTTAATTGGATCAGATTCACAAGGTACAAACTTTCTTGACACAAAACCCTTATTGCCCAAATCTTAATCTCTCTTAGATATTTAGTAATAACCTCCCCAAAATTAATAATTATTAATTGAAGCAGCAGGGCCCAGAGCAAAACACAATGAGTATTCATTTCTCGAGATTTAACGTTTTGAAAGAGATGTCACAGCTAAAAGAAGCATTCATAAAGAATGTAAGGTATGTAGGTAGGCTTTCCTAAATGAAAAGTTTTACATACATCAAAGATGGTAAGTAATTCATAAAAATTGAAGCATCACATTTAAGCAACTACCCGACACTCCTCTTCTGAAACGCATGGCAAATCCAAAAGTAGAAAGGCAGTTGAAACAGCAAGTAAACCTAGGCAAGCTTTCCCAAATGGCAAAAACATGAACTAAAACCAACAACTGCAGTAAAAAAAAAAAAAAAAAAAAAAAAAAAAAAAAGATTAAAGAAAAGAAGCGCCCCAACAATTTATTTTGGCCAAAATCTGATAGAGTGAAGCAAGTTGCATACCATCCACAACGAGTGAGGCAAGTTGCATACCATCCACGATGAGGACGGCCCTGTCTTGGAACACGCTGGAAACGTCCGAGCCAGTGCAGACGTACGTCCCATTGTCTCCCATGCGGACCTCAGGGATGGTGAGAATTCCGCTGGCCTCTGTGCTTCGGGCAGGCAGGCTGCCCCCCTCCTTGGTCCAGACCAGGGAAAACGGCGCCTGAACAAAATACGGGCTTGGGTGAATATCGCATTTACTTTGAGTAGTCGACCGAATCTTAATAAATAGGGTTCTGCATTTTCAGGGTTTAGTTCTCTGAATTTGGAGGTCGCTTTTTTGTGGGGGTCCTTATTGTTTCTTGGAAACACAAACGTTTTGTCGAAACGCGTTTCATCGACTACTTTTCATGGACATGCGATTTATGAACATACATTTTGTGCACATACATTGCGTGGACAAATGCCACTGCAACAATTCGTCAACAACATATTTTTTTTACTAAGTAGACTGGATTTGTGGCTTCATCTCGTTTGCTGGAAGCATACGGAAACTAAAGCGGAATCGCCCAGGTGGCTTTGATGAAGCAAAAACAAATACTTGAGTCCTAATCCTAGGCTTTCAAACAATCCATGCTATGCATGAACACCCCTTGCTCCACTTGAGGAAACTAATCCCAGGACCGAGCTTGCACCAGGTCTCAATAGAACCACCAAGGGTCCGGCAAGCTAGGCTACCGTCTGGATTTTCGCGACCGAAGCAATGTGCACGGAAAGAAGCTTTCAACGAAACGCCGCAAAGTGTGTTCCCAAAATGATTGCAGGAACCTATCGATAAAACAAGCCGTCAATGAGGCGTCATTTGATGAACTGATTGCCACCGCTTTTTGGGGGAGCGGTTATTTTTTACCACAAATTCTGAGTTTCTCAGTGGCCCTTTTCGACATCAAACAAAAATAATTCAGCGTTTATCAGGGGTTACGTTGAAAGAAACAGGATACGGACATGGGACTTTACAAGCTCCAGGGAAGATGCGTGGGACTCAAATACTAAAAACATCTAGTATTGATAAAAGAAGAAAATGAAAAAGGAGGAGTGTGGTTTCTGAAGAAAACAGCAGCAGTGCAGGCTAGCTGCATTTCGGGTCAACACAAAATTAAACTGCAGATAAAAATTTCTTCCCGTAAAGTTTACATTTTTCTTATCAAAGAACAGTTCCAGTTCCGATTTTTTCAATTCTTTGCCCGCTCTTCATGGGACCAGCTTTGGTAAAATATTGTAACCTTATTTATAAACAAAGTCCTGCACATCAAATTTCCCACAGAGCACCACATGGCTAATCATCATATTCTATATTAGAGATGCAACAAACAAAGAAGTTGATAAAATTAGTCTTTGAAAAACAGCAATCTTCGCAGACAGTAGTAATGTGCAAATAGTGAATTTTAAGTTCTCATTTCTTTTTATTGCCTCTTAAAGTCTAATGAATACATTGGGATGACAAGCAAACAACGCATTTGACATAAAACTAAACTTAGAGATGCCCAGCTATACATAATCAAGGGGATTTGTAAACATTCTTACTATATGCAAATATCTTTTCTCAATCACAAATGATTAACACAGGTTGTCAGGGCATCTCTGCGTAACATTTACTCATGCGTTATAAATTTTGAAATTTTTACTGGAATGTAGATATCAAGTTTGATTCTTTTTAAATAAACCAGGCGCGCGTGCGCATGCCATCCCACTTTAAAAGTGTGATTTTCTCATAAGCACGTGGCTGCAATGTTTGTACCTTCTAACCGTCCATAACGGCAGGTTGGCCCCGTTGAGTCCGCTTCTTACCGAGCACCAGTGCACAGCGAAGAAGCAACACCCGCGGGAGCGAGCATCGCAGGCGTTGCTTCTTTGCAGTGCTCCGGTGCTCGGTAAGAAGCACGCTCAACGGGCTAACCTGCTGCGATCAACACTTTAAAAAATAGAGTGATCGCAGTTCATCTCGAAGCAAATATCAAATAGCGTATTATTCGAAGCCACTATTAGAAAATAATGTTCGCAAAACACCAGCAGAGAGCATCTTTGGCACCAGGACATTGCTTCTGTCCCATAAGCCACTGGACTCCTAGCTGCCAGTCGCAGCGAATAGCAGTCTACGTGCTCTGCAGAAAAGTGGAAGAGCAGGCTTCGTTTATAAGTGGTCTGGCGATAACGCAAATAAATACTGTATACTATCTGTTGAGTACCCGTAGCAAGCATCCTAATGTTCCATCCTCTCATTCCACACATCCCCACTTCATACATACTTAAAGCACTTGTTTCCAATTCCCAGCATAATAATAAAAAAAAAACGAGAATAAGGTTTAAAACATTCAAAGACACGCATGCATGGTAAACAAAGAGATCAATAGTGAGAGATGGGCTAGTTGGTACATTAATCTTTTTGACAAAAACACCACAAGACAAGGACATAAAGTAAGAGACACAGCACAAGTACTTGTGCTGTGTCTCTAACTTTATGTCCTCTTCTTGTGGCACTTTTGTCAAGAGGATGGACAAAGAGAACTCTGGTAAATGTTAGTTATCATTTGGTCTTGTGTTCGGTTCATTGCATGTAGATAATAATGCCAGGCTTTTAGTTTGAACTTTTGCAGCTTCGTTCATAGTCACTGACAGCTCATTAAATGCAGAGTGGCAAGTTTGTAGGTCTTACCTCTCTACAGTCTACGGCCAATGAGTTTGCAGCATTAGCCAATGACAGCACCAAACAATGAATCGCAAAGCAAGAAGTACGACCACAAGAAGAGATGCCCTTTGTTGTTTTAACTGTACTAATTGAGTATATAGTCATAAAAATTGACTATTCTCTCAGAACTCGTGAACAACGTTATTCACTCTGGTGTTCAAAATGTCAACCCTCCAGTGAAAGTTGTAGCCTTTGTGAAAAGGTTTGTCGGGACTGTGTGAACTATTTGAGTCATCTACCTGCCAGCTTTGTCAGGCTGCATAGCGCCCCTACCTTCGACTGAGACTGTCCGGTGCATCGCAGAGTCACAGTAGACCCCACAGGAATTCTTTGCACTCTCGGTTCTTCAACACGCACTTTCATGGTCTGAGAAGAGCCACCTGAAAAAAACAAAAAACATTTTGAACCTTTTTGAATTGCCAAAGGCTATCAATTTAACGTGATAGCTTTAAGGAGCTCGTCTCGCAGAAAAGCCGGCAGCGTCATGATGGAAAAATCCCGATTGGCCTATAGGGTCATGATGTCACGGCCACATGGCCTTGAGTGGGAATTTCAAACAACCCACAACGTTCACGTGAAATGTGACGTCTTGTGTGAAATGAAAGTGATTAAAACATCACATATAATCTGAATTAAAGGTTGCCACATGTCTCAAATGATTTCACTTTATAAAGTAATTAATTTGCTTTAAAGAAAAAATTTTAACAATTTTAGGCGGAATTCGAACCCACGACCCTTGGGTTGAGAGCATAAAATGCTACCGAATATGCCACACAGAAACGCTTGCACGGCTTGGGAACAAGCAGGCGTTTATATGTTTAGCTATTGCGTTCCACTCTTAAAGGCAAAGCTTAAGTATCCTGCCAGTGTTTTTCAGTGATAATGGCAAGAATTTGTGAATATCTGCACATACTAGTAAGGTAAAGTTACCAGCAAGCCAAGGCTTGCAAACAAACTGGCATAACAATAAAACTTCAGACACAGAAGCAAAAATATCCTATACTCGTGATACATTTACAGGTATTATCGGAATGAAAAATGCAGTATGAGACTCTGAATGGGCAAGGTTACAAAGTTGGCATTAGTGATGTTATGAAGAAGGTTGTTAGCAGGAACTGAGGACTGGAAAGCTTGAACGTAAAATATAGGGAGAAAAAGCAAGCCTTGCAGAGATGCAAAACCGGCAGTGTAGACGAAAATACTCCAAATGCAACCCTAATATAAGGTAGATCCATGAACCACGGCTTCATATTACTGTGATGGCAAATGTAGTACTATGCAAGTGTGATAGTTGAAAAAGGGAATCAAACCGTAGCATTTTTTGTGGGCACTGATGCCAACGTCAACTCAGTTCAACAGAAGAGCAGGTACAAAAGAGTAAACATGGTGAATTTACCCGAGACTGGTGTTTTCTGAGGGACGAAACAGACACAGGGAAGTCTCAAAAACTACTGAAAAGTGCTGTTTGAGAGTGGCTAGCTGCCAAGATGTCCGAGTGAGTTAATGCTCCAATCACAATTTACAATACTGCTAGCTCTCAAGCAGTGAGCAAAAGAGGCTCAACAAATTGGGAGCACAACAATAGGACAGAGGAATTCAAAAGGAGAATAAACCAAACATTATAACGGTAGAAAGATGGAGACATGGGTTAGCTTATTCATTAAGATGAGGAAAACACTCCGAAGAGAATGGCTGGTAAAGAGGAGTGAGCAATGCAAAATTGAAAAAGTTCTTGTATGCTATGTTTTCTTCTCGGCACACTTCCTCGGCAGAAAACGCGTACGCAGAATGAGCGACTATTAAGCAGAACATGCTTCCTGAACCATGGAGTTGTCAAACACCCCATGCACACACGCAAAAAGTTTCCAACCACTCGAGATAAGCAAACCAAGTACTGAGTGAGACCTTCCTTTCGATTCAGTCAGGTACCCAGCTTGCTCAAAATTCTTACGAAACCAGAGAACTGCACGAAAACAGGAGAGCACACTCGTCCCACCCGTGAAGCCCGTCGAGAGGAAGACTGCGAACCTGTCGACGACCACAACACCGACACGAAGCAGAGGAGCAGGAGAAGTCAAGAGACAACGCCGGAGAGGGGGGAAGAAGGAAGAGACATTCCGACGGGGGCACACAGCCAGCAAAGTGGCCATTACCAAGCACATCGACGAGCGCCACCTCTTGGAATGACCGCTTTGGCCAGATGGCTCTGCACGTGTATGTCCCGGCGTGCACAGCCTTCAACGTTGGGACAACCAACTGGCTCTGTCCTCCGGACAACGACTCGATGATCCACTCAGTTGAGGAGAAGGCGTCGATCGGCGTTCTCCCGTGCATCCAATCTATGCGTGCAGGTGGTGGGGACCCCCTGACCGTGCACGTCAGGGCAAGCCTCGAGCCCGAGAACGCTTGCGTGCTCTTCGGGTTTATCGAGACGAGCTGGTGTGAGATGGTGCTGATGCCTGGTACGCGAATGATGATGAGGTTGCAATGGCGATGAACGATGCAGTGTCGCAAAAAAACAATGCACCACATTAATAATGTTTCGAATGTTATATACTAGGGTTGTACGAATATTGAAATTTTTTTAATAGTAATTTCGAATAATACGCTACTCGATATTCACCTCAAGACAAACTTTAATATTCACATTTTTTTTAAGGTGTTGATCGTGGCGGGCTAACCCCGTTGAGAGTGCTCACTGAGCGCGGGTGCGCTGTGGGGAAACAACATCCACGGAGGTGAGACCTGCGGCTGTTTTTTCGCAGTGCACAAGTGATCAGCAAACAGACCGTTACACGGGGCTAACCTGCCACAACCAACGAATAAGAATTTCACAGTCGCGTGCTTAGGAGGAAAGCTCGCTTTCAAAGTGGGATGGTGCACGCTCTCGCCATGTGTATTTAAAAATAACCAAACTTTGTGAATGTTGATGCCTGCATTGCAGTAAAATTTTCAGAATTAAACTTTGCCTATAATGCAGGCATATACACAGCTTGCACCAACGTCACTCAGTCATACATATTGAGGAAGAGGGCGTGTGAAAGGGCGGCTTCCACTGCGTTAATGAGACAATTTTTGCCACCAGAAACAAAGGCGGACTTGTGGGGAAAGGGGGCATGAGAAGATAGCATTGACGAGGTGCTTCTGGCCACTAGACAGAAGAGCAGACTGACGTCACGTGCAAGCCATGTATATGTTAGGCAGGGATGCCCTGACAATCTGCGTTCATCCTTCGCAATTCTTTTTCTTTTTTAAATTAGAGATGAAAGAAAGGGTATTTGCACATAGCAAAATTCATAAATTCCCTCGATTAGGTATAGCTGGGCATCTCTATAGGTGTAATTTTATGTTAAATTCGTCGTTTACTTACCATCTTAAAGTAGGCATTGGACTTTGAGGCCATAGTCCATAAGTACAGTTAGATTAAAATTATCTTAGAGACAGACAAGTGGAAGCTTGGGAACAATTTTCAGAAGTTTGGCTGGGTTTTCATTTAAGCATGGAGCAACAGTAATGAAAGACTTTGAGAAACTATTCCATATTACGTTCAAAGATATTCGCCAAAAACCCTATTCGCTTTATTCTCAAAATTCACTATTGGTGCATGACTATATTATTGGGGTATTGCAACTTTTTAATACTTAGTTCCATTTTATGTCTATCTTTAATTCGAATCAAGTTGCATATGTATCATCAGTTATGCAAACCAGACCCTTAATTAACGTTATCGTCTTGGATCCATCACCGAGGCCCCAAAAATAGCCAGCTGTAGCCCAAACACATGCATGTAACAGCGTGACCCGATGTTATTTTAACGTGTCTGCCCACGCTTCCCATAAAATGCACGAGCAGCGTAACATAACCTAAACCCCGAGACACTGAGATATAAAATAATGGACAAGACGACACAACTGAAATTTTGTCGTCATGTTTGTTATTTCATTTCTCTCCGTCTCGGGGTTTAAATTATGTTGTTTCATAACAGCTCTCCTGCATATTTTCGCTTTCTGCAAGGTACTTGCAGCGATTCAAATGCTGGAGTATAAACAGCCCCTTAGTTATTTTAGCAATTCATAAGACAAAGGCTGCTCAAGTATATTTGCACATATCACTACAACCCAATATTAAATAAGAATTTCAGCTAAAAACCATCAGCTTGAAAGTTTGTCGCGCAGGTTTTATGGAACTCGAGCGCATGACAATCTTCATTAAAGGCAGAGGTTACTTCTGCCTCCTTTGAATTGCGAAGCATTTGGCAAGTCTATTAGGACAGAGTGTTTCTGTTACCTCCAGAAGGCTCACACCTCCCACCAAGCTGGAGAGGGTTTCCATTGTAACCTGGAGCACACCTAGAAGAGGCGAGACATCGCAAAATGCTCTTGAAGAAAATGTACAAATGAAGCACGGGGAAACAAGGAGAACATGCAAGGTTTGGAGACACCCTACTGTTTTAGAAGCGAAGATATTGAAACCATCTTGGTGAGTACTTAGAGTTTATTTTCATACATTTTCTCATGACCTAACATATTTGATGGCTGGACAAGGCACCCTCAAATATTTGAGGAGCTATAAATAATACAGTGGCATATGTAATTATACTGATAATTTAACAAAAACTGTTGCAAAATATGATTTTATAAATTTTTTTTTTTCTCCTAAATTTTTTGTTGGAATGGGCAAAAAGCTACAAAGATCAACAAGGCCTCCAGCCCCATATAAAGCTCTTGAAGCATAGGTCAATGAGCAATGAAGCGCACAAATATGTATAGAAAAAATAAAAATAAACACAAAGTGATGCACTTATGAATATGACAACTTACAAAAGCTTCACTTTTAAAGGGTAACTAAGGTATTTCTGAGCACACACATAACATAAAATATTAATGTTTTACATGACAATTCATTTTTGGTACCCATTTTCACAATTATTTACACCTAAACCCTTTATTTAATTTGAGACAGTGTTGTAATAACAATGGAAACATCGTTTTCCTTGTAAACGAAGGTTATGGACCACACAAATGCACAATTCAGATGTAGGTATAGATGGCAACAATACTTGTTGTGTTTGTCCCCTTCTGTGTTCCCGAGTCTCTAGTTTTACTACCATGGATAGGTATAGATAACTAAGCCAAGATTTTACCCCTGAAAGCGAGCTCACTACTTCTCAGAAGGGCTGCAAACTAGACCAGTTGATAACTAGTGAACTGGTCATTATAACACAGCACACAAAAACAGGGACAAAACAAGACACATACAACAGACAAGTGCTCATCTTGTTTTTTGTCCGTTTTTTTTTGTGGGCTCTTTTATAATGAATAACTAATTCTCCTCTCGATTGTGAGAGATCTTCCCATAAGTGCTTATCCAACCGAGGTTTCATAGGCCCTCCCTGCAAGACACTGAGGATGAAGGTTACCTTGGGGGGGTAGCCAGGAAAATTCTCTTTACAACTCACCCTTTTTCAAGCACAACCCCTCAAGGGCCCATGCAATTAATGTTCACTTTTGTCGCGATTTAGCAAATTAAATAATTAGCAAACGATCCGACTCATTATGAACCACTCCTTAAGAGGCTGTACATTAATAATTATATGCATACTGTTCGCAGTTCCGCCCGGTGTAGCCCTGAGGACAAGCGTTGCACGTTGGCTTGTTGTCAGTATCCAGTAAACAAGTTGGGGAAAACCTGCGAGTTCGGAGAACAGGTTACTGCAGTGTTAGGTTTCATATTCCTAGATCTCTATTGATAGTAAGATCTTATGTCAATGTTATTAGGCAAACAGTTGCAAGAAAGGCACTAAGAGACAAAAAGAAGCTTACAAAGAGACTTCGAGAAAGCTTTGGGAGACGCTCAGATGCCTCGAGAGTTTTGTCAACAGGTTCTTAATAAATAACTACAACCAGAGTACCAATAGGCGAAAAACAGGCAGGTTGTATAGCCAGAAACAAGCATTTCCGATTCATCAATAAAAGACTCAAAATCTAGACTAGACAATTTGACCTCTCCAATTTCAGTTTCAGCTACACCAACAAGCATTTTTCTGTTTAGCAACGAGATCTCTTTTGAATTTTTTTTCTCTTTATCGCAAACAAAAATCTGCTTTCTCCTCATAAAAGAGGAGCAAAGAAACCACTCCACTTGAAGTATGGCGGGCCTGTGTGTCCCATCTCCCATGGGCAAGAATCAATGAGCAAACAGAATTGTGATTAGCGTAGTTCACAGCTTTGGAGGAAGAGAGAAACCATTGGCCATTTTCATTCCAAACTTTGGCAACATGATTTGAACTGTGAAAACTTGCCCGCAGCATTAAAACCGTAGCCCAAAGCGGGCAGCTAAAGCTGTCGAACAAAAAAGAAAAGGTAAGCATCTCACTGATTCGAAGGAAGTGCGTGGGGACATGGGCACGGTTTGCAGTCCTCCGGGGTGCCCCTTGTGGCATCACCGTAAAAGCCGTCCGCACACCTCTGGCAGGAATCGCCGACTGTGTTGTGGCGACAGCGCTGAAAGGTGGCGATTTATACGGAAACATTGAAGCCCGTTTGAACATTCACTCGTTTCATTTGACACAGGGAACCCGTATATAGCATACGTCAAATTCTTTGAATTAACAACAACAGTAAAAGAAACTGCTGTCTTACCACGCAGTTTCCAGATGCCGCGTCGCAGGATTCAGAGTGACCATTGCAACGGCAGCGTGTGCACCTTCCGAGACCGGGTCCGCTAATGTCCCTGATGTATCCAGGGGCACACTCCTGCGTGAAAAGTATCTTATTGGTCACCCTTGAAAAGCATAGCAGGGATAATAACAATCGCATTTCAAGATGCGCTTAAAGTAGCACAATCGAATTCCGAAGTACGGCTGAGTGTTCTTGGTCAAGCGAGGTGTAATTTCACTCTACGAACACAACTTGAATAGTGCAATCCAATTATAACGATACCACATAAAACATTGTATTGCTTACAATGATCAGTTTCTAGACTAGAAACTGATCGGTTTCTAGTCCAGATACAACAATAATAGATTACGATCGAAATTCTGGGTTTTCTCGTTATCGTTATAAGTGGATTGCACTGCATAGAAATATGAAAAGTTAGAGACAAACTCATTTTCTTTGACTTTAGGAACACTGTACTACTATACAACTCTGCTCCCATGAACATGATAGTAGCACTTTTTTGCAGATTACTTTGAAAGCATAGTGGCAGGTACAGGAGTTTACCACTTGAGGGGGTTTCAAATTAGCACTTCCATCTAATCAGTAGTTACCATAAAAGCCTCACAATTCCAAGAGAAAAAAAAAAACTGACCCAGTTGGTTTGTGCCAGCAGTGTCACTTTATGTATGTACACTTTTTCTGTTGGGAAGCATAGAACAAACCACTATCAATAAAACATACAAAATAGAGTGGCAAATGCTACAAAAACAGTTAAGGAGAAAAAAATTATTATGTCTGTTATGCACAAGTACTAATTGTAAGAGACCAATCTTTGAAGAAAAAAAAAAAGCATGTGCCTGCATCTTAGTCAGGTTGTGTAACCCCTCTGCAGTTCAAAGATGTATAAAATGGCAAAGAGGAGCCTACAACCTACCTATAAGTTAAAAATGCTTTTGCCACATTTGCAAGCCTACCTATAAGGGGGCTCCTATTCAAGACCTCCACAACAGTCTTGCCTAGATTCACAATTGTTTGAACTTCTCGTAAAATATCAAGAAAGCACCCACCCAAAAGTTGGAGATAACCACAAAAAAAATAGGATGGGTGTCCTTCTGGTCCAAGAGCAAAGAAGCAGAAGAGGCACATGGCATGATGGGCCCTCGCCCGAGCCTCGTTTGATCGAATGGAAGGGTATAAAGCTGGTGGAACACCTCATTATTGAAGCAGCTGCGCCACTCCCATCAAGCCCACTTTATGCTGGCACTTTGGTACCAAGCTTCACCACTTTGCACCGGAGTGCTCGGAGAAGCAGTCGACGTGGAGGACTATTGAAGCTAGCTCGATGGCCTCGCAAGTTCACCGGCATGGCCACTTTACATGCCCTTAACGCACATTCCAAATCGGAAGTTCTCAAACTTTTCCATCTTGAGCAACCGCTATGTGCCCGTGAACTGCAGCCAAGAAACTCCTTTCCGGTTTCGGTGTCGACGCAACGAAGCACTGCAGAAGACTACAGACTTTGTAAACAGTGATGCACCTACTGGGGAGTGTTCGGCTCAAAGCTATGCGTCAATGGGTTGCTCAGATCTGCTAAAGCAGTGCTTGAACTGGAAAAGTGTGTACTTAAGGGGGGGAGGCAGGGACAGCTAAAAAAAAAAATCGAGGAGCTCGGGGAACCCGTGAGGGTGCTCTAAAAAACCCTGGGTTCCTAGGAACCCAGGGTTGAGAACTTGCATTACAAATGTTTAAAGAGTAGGGGGTAGCTGCGTATTGCGAGATGGGCACATGCCTACGATGCCTAGAAAAACTAAAACAATGTGCAAGCGAGACGAGGTCCGATTTGCGCACCTCGCAGGAGAGCCCGTTGTAGCCGGGGGGGCAGGTGCACTGCTCCACTTCGACTGCCAGTGCCTGGCTGCTGGACCGGTGGGGCACCGCCGTCGAGAGCGACACGTCCCGGAGGCTTGAGCTCCGCATGCGGGAGTTGAACGAGGCCCGGATCAGTAGCACCTCCACGTTGGCCAGCACCTTCATGATGTCTTCCCGTGTGGCCACCGTGGGGCCCCGAGAATCGACCCGCTGCCAACGAGCCTTTAAAGAAACGGAGACATCCAAAAACAGGGTTAGAAGGACGGGAGGAGGCCAAGGTTCGGTCTGAACGTTGACGGACAGCTGCAAGCCACCCCAGTACTAAAGGTTTGATCTAAAAAATTAAACCCTGTTTTGCAGGCCGCATATATGAAGTATATGCATCGCAGAAAGCTAAAACTTTGTACGATTCTAATGCCACCGTCTGTTGCAAGTCAGAAAAAGCAAGACAAGCTCCTTCCATGAAGCCTTCCACTCTTTTTACTTTGGCAGAGTGAATGCTGGAGAGAAGGCAAGTAGAAAGGAGGGAACAAACAAACATGATGAGCAGAGCACTTTGTGGAAAGGACTTGTCCCGCTTTCCTTAACCTGCAACAGACTGAAGCGGTGGTGACAAAATGCGAGTTTGAGAACACCACGTTACCTGGATTAAGAAATAAAACAAAAAAAACAAAATTTCTCTATGAGCCCACCAAGGCCAAATATTTGTCGAGTCAGGGAATGGCATTTTGGGTGCCTTTGGCATTTGCGTAAGTGAAAACGATTTGTCAGCAAGAAAACAAGGCTGTCTTTCTTGCTGACACAATACGAAAGCCTCTATACCGTAAAAACCTGCATACAATAAGCATTTTTTTTTTTTTTTTTCAAATTTTGTTATGTAAAATTTGTGGTTCGTATTGTACGTGGGTCCCTACAATTTTTAGCTTCGATGAGGTACAATTTAATGCAGCTTGACATAGTTTCGGTTTCGAAGCAATAAGGCGTTCAAAACCGCTATCCTCATCATTAAAATCACAATGTCCGAGGCGCCACAATGCGTTCACGGTCAGGCTAGGCAATGGCATCGGCGCAAAAACGATGCTCGGCCGCCTGCAAAAGAAATGTTCTTTTGGTTGCGGAAGACACCGGTAGCAGCGCTGCCGGATGGCAATTCGCTGTAAATGAAGGCAGCATCCGCGGATGGAGACGACAGAAGCAAGCTCTGTTGCGTGCAACGGAACGAGAAGAAGCTTTAGAGGCTCAAAGAATGGCGTGTTCTGCGACATCGAGGCAAGTCTTGGCGACTTCGCAAAAGAGCAACGTGAACGGCACGTTGACGTAAACTCGCCTTATGCACCGCGCCAGGCTTTCACTGCGTCGGCGCATGCCCGTCGCTCGCTCTTTCAAGGAGTGCGAGATTTCAAATGTGCACGACGGCACTGAAAACAACTGCCTATGGGAGGAGGGGTCAGACAAGGAGTCTGATGGAAGTGATGCCAGTGATTAAGGTTCAATTACGACGGAAATTAATGTTTTTCTTAAGACTACCTGGGTCGTATTATATGCAGAAAATTTTCAGTTTTTTATTGTTTCGTATTATACGCGAATAAAACTTTTTTTTCTTCGCAGTCATGAAATCATGCCTCGTATTATATGCGAGTTTGTATTATATGCAGGTTTTTACGATAATTGTTTCACTGAAATAAATGCCAACAATGCTATTTTTTGGTTTGACAACACTTGGCCAACAGGTGGACGTCGGCTCAGAGAAATTTTGTTCCATTTTATCTCTCCATCTAGGTGATGTCATGTTCTCTTACTTTTGAATTCCATCACCACTGCCAGCATCATCTTCACGCAAAGCTTGAGATGTCTGCGACACAGGGTTTACTATTTATGCAGGTAGAAAAACAGTGTTTCATTTTCTTGATCAGACCCTTTAGTACTGTTGGGGTTTCAGGTTGGGTCTTCAGGTTGTCTCCAACAAAGAGAGGAAAAAAGATGCTCTCAGCTTACAACACAGCCTATTTACCTAGTAAATATATGCACAGTTTCTGAAGAATACTTCCACGTCCACTTTTTAAACAGCCAGAGGATACATTCCATAGTGACTGACAGAAGAGAGCGAATCAAAGTATATAACAGAGATAAGGTTTCCAAGCAATTTTCGAGAAAAATTGCTTTCTTGACCTCGTTATTACCTACGTTTCTTAAGAAGAGAGTGATGGTTGGCTGTATGTGTGCCCTGCACGAAGATAACCACATGGGCCCTGTTCTAATCAGTGCATCTAGCACTCGAGTAAATACAGTATTTGTAAGTTATAGTATATGGGTAAACACTTCTAGATAACATAAAGGGGAGGTTTCAGTTATTTGGCAAGAAACATCTTTAACCTCCACTTTAAATGGCATAGTAGTGAGGGGCAGTGAATCAATGAGATTCTCTAGCGCCTCTGACCCAAAACACAGATACCAACAGTTGACTGGTGCACATGGGAAAGTTTACGAGGACCTGGTAGGGTTGTATGAATATTCGGAACTCTCGTATATCAAAGTGAATTATGCCATATTAGATACAAGATTCAAATCGAATAGGGCTGTTCAGCAACTTCGAACATTTTCGAAGTTTGAAGTGCTGCAAAACATACCTTTATTAAAACTAAAAAAAAAAATTATCGAACATTGTGTTTCTGTGGCTACACTTCTCGTTCATCATTTTTTACCTTGACTTTGATTTCTTATTATGAAAAATATTTCTAAGAAATAAAAGTATCTATAGTAATGAAATGTGGCTGTAATAAAAAGAGCGTAATTGCACAGACGAGCTGGAGATAAATCATGGTAGAAAACACTTCAAACCTTGTCGTGAGTTTTTTTTTCTTCTTAGTTTTAAGGTTTTTCTACCATGACAGTATTGAACGTTACAAACTATTTGCTTCACTTCAAAATTATTTGGTTTGATTTGAAGTTATTCCCCCAAAGGGACTATTCACCTCCTATTCGCTTCAAACTGAAAAATCACTATTCGCACATCCCCAGAACCTGGTTTAACCCAGAGCAGTATTCCAACTGTGCGGACAAGTGTGCTAACTTCCTAAACAATCAGCAGGTCGTTTATCATAAGGAGCAGTGCAACTTTCAGTGCCATGTAAAGGAGCAGCTCTAACACCAAACAAACGTGCCATCAACAGAAAAAAAGGGCTCTTACCTCCCTGAGTACAATCTCAAATGTCCGGGTTTCCGAGGGTGGGAGGGGAGGAATGTTTACATAGAATATGGTGACACCGTTTCCCTGAAAGGTGAGAGAGTTCAAAAAGAAAAGATTAGATGACCGCGATGTTATGTAGGGGTAGTACCTAAAGTAAGCCCACTTACAGTAATCTGTACATCTGCATCGCTGTAGGTTTCACCGTCAGGTTCTGCAGTGTACTGCTGAGTGTAGCGAAGCACTCCTCCATAAGAGGTGAGCTAAGAAACAAACAAAAAAGAACAGTCAAGACAATTTTGAGGTAAACTTCAAAAACAAGGTTCCAGCAAAAAAAGCTACTGCAAAATACTGAGCAAATGTATATTCGAAATTAAATGGTATAAAATTAAACAAAAAATGGATACTTTCTCAGGCTGGATGTAGACATACAAATAGTATCTAGTAGTATTACTTGGTTAATTCTGAAACTTAACACACGGCTGCAGATGACCAACCGCAGAGTCATAACATATCACTACCTGTGTGCAATTTTCTTTTTCTTCTTGTTCTCTTTGTTCTTCGCAAGTAGTGATTTCAATGCCACATTAGCAGCTTTCTTTACTTCAAATATTTGATTTAATTTAACCAACTGCTACCCATGCAAGCAAATGCATAATGTTTGATGGCAAGCACACAACTATAGATGAAGCATGGGTAACAAAGTAAATGTTGATGACAGAGGAAAATAATCACCTTGTTTCCAAGAAACTGTTCTGGAAGTGACCACAGGCGGGGAGTCTGTTCAGCAGAATCCCGGGGGAATGATGAGTAGCTGACTTCATTGTTAGTCGGGTTGACGACAATGGTGTCGGTAATGATGTCCGAGTGGTACCGGTTCGACAGTTGGAAGTTGTGAGCATATGGATCCCTCAAGTCTTGCAGCTGCATCTTGATCTGCAGAATGGAAAAAGATTGAAGTTGCTCGTTTGAAAAAAAAAAAAAACACCTGTACCAAATAAAGTGCTGATCACGTGAAAGTAGTGCCATGTTTTGTAATGGCATGGCACAATCGCTTGAAAGCAATGAAGTGCATTTCATGACTGCTCTCCTTGCCGGGCTTACAAAAAGTTACAATATTACTTCTGAAACTGTGCACAGGCGGAGTGATGTCTGAGATGACACCATTGAATACTCCTTCTCCAAAGTTTTTCAGAGTCTAAAATCTATTGCTCTATCACGAGTATCACACAGATGAACTAAAGTCGTCGACTTCATTTGGAGCGGCCATCTGAGGCTCCAAACATGGGGCAGACAGAGCTTTGAAGCAACTGCAAAAGGACACGTGCCCACCTCATTTCTGTAGTAAGAGCTGCTGCTGCACTGCTCGGTGACTCCAAAGCAGAAGCAGCGCGAGCATCCATCGGGGTTCGACGCTTCCAGGTTGAAATGGCCGTCCTTGCACCGGTTGCAGTTCTTCCCCTGCACATTGGTCTGAAAGGAGACAAACCCACGCTTCAGCACATCAAGCAGAAATGAAGAGCCTACAAAAAACATTGTTGCCGTAATCGATGGCCAGTTTGTCGCTGAAATGCGACAACATTTTGCACCGTCTTGTACTGCGTAAACGTTTCTTTATTAAACTGCTCAACTGCTCAGGAACTGCCGTGGAAATTGTGGAAATATTTTTTGTCCAGATCCATTAAGACATATCGCATTTAAGACCAATTCACACAATTTTCCAACTAAACTCTACTTCCAGCGGACGGGCATCCCGGGACCAACCAACGACTTAATGTAACTTTACTTGAATTAGAATGTTTTTCTCCTATGATACGTTGCGTGTAAGGGCCGCACCCTCGTATTCAGGACAAAGTATTGCAAAACAAATTACAGAAATTATTCGTATATGCGATGCACCCCTTTGTTTTTGAGGCGTGCCGACTGTAATGCCACGTTTCCATGGATATACAGTCGACTCTCATTAATTCAAACTCTCTTAATTCAAACTTGCGGATAATTCAAACTAACATGCAGGTCCCATCCTATGCGTCTCTATGGGAGGGAACTCCTGGTAATTCAAACTTTCCTTTATTCAAACAAATTTTCGGTCCCCCTCGAGTTTGAATTAACGAGATTCGACTGTATATCACTAGGTGGCGCTAGCCACCGCCCAAGCACGTAGCAGCACGTGTCCGCATCCCCGATATTTGCTCCCCACTCAACCGTATCACCGTATGGCATAATGACTGTCGACCTCGATCGTGGTTGGCCGCACTGTCGGGATGCATTTATGTTGCGGCAAGGCATTGAGAAAAGATAAAGGATATGTCAGGTTCTGTGGCAAGTGCGAGGAATGGGGATTCAGCGGGCTCTGCTTGCGCGTGCACTCAGGTTTCCGAACGCCACTGTACGCTCTGGGGAGGTTTTCTTTTGTTCTTCAATTCGTGTCAAAGCGTCGTGATTTGTCGGCCTTTTCGCGCATTCTGAGAGCTAAGGGCAAGTACCACTTCAACAGTCATACGGGATTCGTTGAAAGTTGCCGCGCATGCTATCAAGTACGGCAAAAAAAAAAAGATGCGTATAGCGTACTATGTAAACTAATTAAATCTGACTGACGATTGAGTCCGGATTCCGGAGTGAAGGCGTTTCCGACCAGTGCAGCCGAGCACGCTCATGTACGTTCATTTCGGAATGTGGATACATATTTTTTTTTTTTTAATCCGTGTATCGGCCGCACCTCGAAAATTTGCCCTGAAATCGGAAAAAAATAGTGCAGCCCTTACACGAGTTTATACGGTATGTATATAAACGTAGCGTGTATATCACGGAGCACTTTAATCATATTACGCAATCTCCAAAGAGGAAATATTAGAAAATATGCAAATGAATGACCCAAAAATTTTTGTACAAAGACTGTGTGAACTTTTCTTTCCTCAACCTTTGTGTTTCAGCAGGTTATATATGTAACTGCGAGTACCGTTTTATTGACTATGGTGTGTGCAATTTTATTTTACACTGACTGCATACTTTTTAAACATACTTCACAAATGCTACCAGCAATGCTTTTTTTTTTTGCCTACGATGTGTCAATCTTTTTTTTATTTACAGTGACTGTATTATTTTTCCAACGGATATTCTGCATCAATGCAACATGTTATCTGACAACTGGTGCACCCTTCATAGGCCCGCAGACTGTTTAGGAGCATCAGAAAAGTCAAATAAATAAATACTGATTGAATAAAACAAAGGTCACGAAGCCGCACAAAGACAAAATCTTTGACGGCGCCGGGATTCAAACTTTGGGTCTCCTAACATCCGGTCAGGTATGTAATTACTGCAACAAACACCATCTTGTCTTTTTGGCATTTCCTATTCACCTTATTAATGTACCAGAACGAAATCTAATTATAGGTTTCGATAAAACCCAATTATACCGAACATTGTCGTAAAATCCCCCGAGAGATTCCCGACCCCGAAAAATAGCCTACCCCAATTTTGGTTTGTTTTGCTGCACTTTTTTAAACACCGAAAGATAGCCCACTCCTAGTAATAGTAATGTTGGGATCAATGATGACCTCAGCATAAATGCGGCAAATTAGTTAGCTACGACGGGATATAATTGAACGTTGCAGACTGGGAAGTAGAGTCGTCTTTGTTTCGTTGCCCGTTGCCACGAGAAGAAACTTGGAAGGGACACATGACCTAAAAATGGCATTTTTTCAACTTTTCTTGACTGTACACCGAAAGTTAGCCCTCTCCATATTTTCACCCATTTGCTCTTGATTTTAGGTGGGCTATCTCTCGGGATATTACAGTATTCATTTTCCTAAGTGGACTCTGGCAGAAACCAATAGGATATCTAACCTCTTTCTGTGCGAATCATACTATTGTACGAGCAATTTGGCCCGCATTTTAAGAAATGCCTCGTGTAACGGGTGCATGCCATCTGCTTCACTGGTTACAGCATGCAGAAGGACACAAAAGCTGTGGAGGGTACGCTCAGAAATGCTATAGCGTTTAAAAGGAGGAGGTGAGGTCTAACCTTGCATGGGCAGTTGTCTCTGGCATCGCATTCTTGCCTGGTACTGCCTCTGTTGTCACACCTGCAGGAAGGCACTGGAGGGAGGGACAAATATGGCGGCAAAATATGCGGACTCCTGTTAACCTGTACACTTCAGCAGTAGAAACGAAATCCAACAGTCGGCAAACAAGGTAGCCATGGTCGAGTTCCAAAGTATTATGACAGACATTTGTTGTTTCTAGAAATGTGGATTAGCTCTCCCACAAGGTTGTGCCCCTTTCCGCCACCCATCCACACCACGGCGTACATGGCAGCCGGCTGGCACACATGCGAAGGGTTGCAACCTCTGTCATGTATGCACATATCCTTTGTGCGAATAAATTAAAGTTGCAGTCACAGATCCTGTAAAAATTACAAGCCCCTGAACTGTTGTAAATTGGTTCCCCTCATATCATGTAACAGAAGGTCCCCCTAACTTGTTTCTTTTACTATAGAGAGTACCGTAGAATACCATGCATCTGCCCATACCACATTAAGCGCCCATTCCCAAATTTGTAAAATCTGAGAAAATATGCACAGTACATTGATAAGTAGAATTGATGACCGGACAAGTGCCCATCCCCCATTTTTTCATGATTACTTCAAAATCTTGAGTGGGCGCTTGCTTGGTATTTTACGGTAAGTATATCAAGGCACCCCAAACACTAAAAATTAATCGAGCTAAAAAAGGAAGTAGAGTCTAAGCTCATTATAACAGACCTTGATTTTGAACAAGAGTTCGGTCTGTTGTAAAAGGAGTATGTTGTATGCAGATACGAAGTTGAGTCAATGGTATGTAGAGGAAAACCAACCGAACTTCACAAATCGCTATGTTATACCCAAATGTCTGTTGTAACCAGGTCTGTTTTAATGAGCTTAGACGACTAGGGCTCAATGCTGTAAAGCAATGAAGAGTGAGTCATGCCCCGAAGACCCCTTGGGGAAGGGACCACCTAATGTTCAAACCCTATTGCACTCTGAAGGGCAAAACCAAACCTTTATGCCAGAGATGCAGTCTCCCTAAACAAATTGAAAGCACTACAGCTATCAAAGTAGCAGTTATATACTAATAATTAAGTGTGGATATGATTAGCCCACGGCAAAAGTATTCATTAAAAACTTCAGCAAACACGCTCAAGCAGAAATAACGCAAGAAAAAGGAGATCAACATCCGTTCCTCATCCTTACGCTATTCTTATTAGAAGGTGCGAGCGAACCACGATTTTCCTTTCGAGAGGATTGATTTCACAAAGGGTCGCATACCTAACACCGCTTCGCAGTCGCTGGGAGTGCCTCCAGTGGCGTCGCCAATAAAACCAGGTAGGCATTCTTCGCAGTATTCACCCTGGGTGTTGTGCTGGCAATTCTAATAAAACAAATAAAATCAAAATAAAACTATGAGAGAACTTCCTAAGCACTAAATGCATCAATAAATAATGAGCACTGACATTGCCACAAAAGCCCAGGGCACTGAACATTTTATTAACAAATGCAAGTCTCAGTCAGAACTTGACTCCATATACTATTTAGAGTCATATAACACAAGTGTAATAGAAGCAAACTGGTATATGATTAACATATCTAACGTTTACCAGACAGTAAACGATTTTAAAGACTTTCTACTAGAACGCTTTTTCTGTTTGGAGCCAATTCTATACAGCGAGAAACACTTGACAAAGAAAAAGTTTTTCAAACAGCTCAGCTGCTTTATAATGGTTTTTGAAAATTGAATTTGTTCTCGATTTTCATTTCCCATGTCACATCCCGCTGCAAGCACAATTCATGATATAGTAGATATTCAGTATTATAGGATTTCAACTGGCTTCGAAAGTTGTAAAAACAAATTCAATGCATTTTATATATAGGGATTTACTTCCTTAATGTGTTTGGCTTCATCTTTCTTTAGGGTGAAATCTTTAAAATTTAATTTTTTAATTTAATGTTGCTCATTTTATTATCTACATACAGTATGGCATTAAAAAGCAGCAGCAAACAAGGAAATCTTAATTTTATATCTAATTAATAGAGGTATGTGAATATAACATATATGGCTACACACTGAATATGAATGTTCAAATTTGACTGAATCTCATTGGATTCTTTTAGAATATAAATATTTAACCGCGTGCTAGGGGAAATGACTGACATGTCGGGCGTCTCTTCTGGCACTTGGGTGCGAGTCGGTGAAGCTCGACGCATGCATTGGTGCAGAGCGGTGAAGCTTGGCACGAGAAATTTGAGGATTTAGAAGACACTATTCGTAATTTCCGAATACTGTAAATGACTTAATTTTCGCGAGGACCTCATTTTCGCGAATTTCACGAATTGCCTACAATTTGCGAAAAATAGGTCCCGCGAAAAATTCTAGTAAAACGTAAACACATTGGAATCTATATTGAGATCCCACCGCGTCGTGAAAATTATAATTCGCGAATTATTCCAGAACTTCAGCTTTGACCAAAGTCGCAAAATATGGCCCGCGAAAAGTAAGTCGTTTACAGCATTAAAAAAGTATAATACCACGTTGAACAGTAGAATTAACCTGCAAATCTCTAGTCACATAGCGATCACTCTTCATGAAATATTGATAGTTTTGAATGTTCACACAACTCTAGTGACCTTCTTCATACAGGTCCAGTATTTGTAAATATGAAACCTTAAAATAACTCTGCCAGCATTCATCACAAAGGAATGGTAAAATTCTCCTCAAGGTAAATTTCCAGCATGCTAACAGAGCGAGAATGCCAACGCACCTTGCAGGCTCCGGTCTCGGGGTCGCAGTCGCTGGAGTGGCCGTTGCAGAAGCAGGGCACGCACAGGCCCAGGTAGAGCCCGGCGCCTGAGCGCGTGTAGCCGGCGTCGCAGTCCTCGCATGAGAGGCCCTTGTATCCTATTGGACAGCGGCAGTGCTCCACCGCATGAGCCAGCGCCTGTCCAGTTGGATACTCCACTGCCACGTCCAGCGATGCTTCCACAAGGCTGGAGAAAGGCGAGAGCTTGCTGTTGCATCGTGCGTGCTCGTGTGCACGTGCCACACCCTGTCCCATTGCCCTCTCCACTTTGCCTTTCCCTCCCAATAAGATGCCTGCAAGCGAGCAGTGATAGCAAACGACTCGTTCTTAGCTAGTCAACCAACACAAAGTAAAGTTATTCCGTTTGGTCGCCCGAGCCACCTCGTCCGTCCGGTTCAATCCATTGGGATGAACCTAATCAAATTGGGCGGCATATCAAAGATCCCACTTTGAACTCGTCATAAAATTTTTGCTTTATCTGTCTCATTCCTTTACTCCACTCATGGCATGAAATAACCTGCCTAAAGGCATTGTGACCCAAAGCTATCATATCAGATTTATACCACAACTAAGAGGCTATTTGCCATTGCACTTAGAATGTATAATCATAAACAATTTTTCTAGTTATTCATACAAAAAAATTTATATTCATTTATTTCATGCATTACATAGATTGACGTTTCATACGAGGAAGTTTGAGTTCAAACTTTTCCTTTTATGGTGTGTGTTTGTCCCCTTTTATACAATAATGTCCTGCCACCCCTCACCCCTTATGTAATGCCCATACAGGTCCACAAGGTTTAATCAATGGACCTTTTCCGAGAAGCGGTCTGCACACGCGTGAGCGCCCGATGCCAAGTGGCGGAAGTCTCCACGAGAAATCGAGGAAATTCGGAAGGAGGCTGTGGATCAGCGAGTAGAACACGTAATTGCAGCATATATACAATTGTGTTACATAAAAAAAGAAAGTGGAAGGAAAGAAAAACACGACTTTTAGGTGGACGCCATGGATGCCCCTCTTTGAAGTCGTGTTGGGCACGCGCCGCAGCAGCTCGGAGCGAAGAAACTGGTAGCATAGCTTTCATTATCGATTGGTAGCGCAGGTAGGTCACTTCCTCGATTTTTAGTTCGTGCAGCCACCGCCTGGTGCCGTCGGTATGTGGAAAAGGTCCATTACGATGATGATAAAATGCAGATCTACTTTTTGGGGTGGTTTTTTGTAAAAAGGAACAACCTCGCGATAAACACGAGTTTTCAATGTTTTAACATCTGTAATTTCCAGATCCGACGATTAAAACTAACTCCTCATAGGGATGTGCCAAATATATCTTTTAAAGTAAAAATACCACGTGAGCCACTCCGCCATTTGCATGTATGGTGGGGTATGTCAGTTAATCTGGTTGTTCTCCGATTTCGTTGTTTCATCACGATGCACGCCTCAATTACACCGAGAAAAAGTTTTCACATTGACAGAAGTGCGCTCAGTGGAATCCTTGGCCATGGGGAAGTAATATGACAGCCTGCAATTTGATTTTTAAGCACTAACCACTATTTAAGTATTGTAAGGCACAACACAATTTATAAGATATAATCAATTGACACGAGAAAACGTTAAGCATCCCGTGAAACAGACGTTTCAATAACTACATACTCTAGAAATTAGTTTAACTCCATCCAAAATAAGACAAGAAGACAGGCAAGTCACTGTTCATGAAGGCAGACAAGTCACTGTTTACAATGTACAACTTAAGACTGAACTGCAGTAATACGATTTGCAAACAGGGTCCCCCGTGTGCTGCAGAATTTGCGTTTTCAATCGAAAATTTTTTTTATATGATCAGAAGTATATACATGTAAGCCTTATATTTCCCATACAGCAGCAGAAAGACAAGGTCTAATATTTGCATGACAAGGCCACCTGAATGAATGTCTTCCAGTACCTTTAGTGGCTGCTTTGCAGCGACCCCAAAAACTATACACAAGTATGGCACACCGTAAAAGACCAGGCAAGTGCCTATCCAAACGTTAAAGGCAACGCTAAAAAAACTGGGGGAAGTGCAACTGTTAGGTCCAAAAGCAAAAAATGCAGAAAGGGCACTGGGTACGTTGGGCTTCACTGCTTAGCACCGGTGTATGCGCATCAAGCTTCGCTGCACCGGCGTGCTCAGAGAACCAGCTGATGCACAGGAGCATCTCGGTTAGTTCTAAGTGTGCTCAGAAGTCCAGAGTAGTGGACGCTTGACATGTCCCTTGCTTCTCGAACATACAAAGGTTCGAGGTGGGTACTTATTAGGACATGGCCAGATGCTCAGTATTTAAGGGTGCTACAGAGCCCACAGCAGAAGGGTACCTGGCTGTGTCTGCTTCCTCGCTGAGTGTTGCCTTGATCAAAATAGAACTGAGGTCTGCAAGAACCATAAGGAAGTGCTCCCTGGTTGCAGGCAGCCCATCAGCTCGGATCCAGGAAGTCTGGAAAGTTATAAAAATGCAACCTATGAATTGCAGTCAGTAAACGACAACAACATTCTGTAAAAATGCAACCTGTAAATGGCAGTCAGTAAATGACAACACATTATATCATCAAATGGCAATGCTAACATCCGAGAATCCAGGCTCAGCAGTACTAAAAGATTGCTGGTAAGAATGGAACCTTTACATCAATGGCAAGTTGTGCATGATACGATCGGTGGGTATAGCCCAGTTACAAGCAACTGTTCTCACGAGCTGAATGCGGCTCTTTAAATGTGAACTCGCTGCTCTTATGAACTTGGTGCTTTCATATAATAAAATAGTCTAGAGAAAAATGTACACAAAAATATTTTTGTCTGAAAACCTTGTATAATAAGAAGCAAACCAAAAATGAGACACAAGATCTTGGAAATGTCGTTTGTATTGAGTAAAATGAACATGAAAAATCCCAGTGCACACCACATTGTTACATTTAATCATTTACTGCATGTTTCAAATAACTACAATCATTTTATGGACCATAACTAACTACAAGTTCTGAAAAAAAAAAAAAAACGCACAAAAAAAACTGATGAATGAGTGTTTTTCCTTGCGCTAAGATTGGAACTTAGGTAGGTCTCCATGCTATCTCTACAGCTGGCTTGTTTTTTCCATACAAGGTTCAGCTGTAGACTGATCTGGTGATGAAATCCCCACACACATCCCACTGACAGATCTCCGAAGCCAACCGAGAAAATGGGGTTAGATTTCACACCCTTCGATTGACGAAGAATTGCCTCTAAGAAGAAAGCTGATTGACACGAGGGTAGCCTTGCTTCGCAAAATAATCAACAGAAATTAGGATGAAGTTCTCGTCACTTTTGGGGCATGGCGGCTCAAGGAATGGATTAATGGCAAGGATGGTGCATAGCCACAGCAGCAATAAAAAATTGGCTTGGAGAAATGGGTGTTTAGCCCTCTTGCTTTTCAGTCATTTCCTAAACAACCAGTGAGCTGCGGGGCTTTCCACTTGTCTGGCATTGGCCGAGTCCTTCAGCTAGGTGTGCATTCCTGAGCATGCTGAACAATGGGAAGCTGTACCTCAAACATTGGGATGGACACTGTCTGGGGGAACCTTGTCTTGAGCCGATCAGGGTGCCTGTATATGAGAATGATCTTGTTTCCCTGGAAATTAAAATAGGCCATCCCATTAGTTCTTAAAGTAGTCGCCTGCAACAAGGAAAGGGCGACAATGCCCAAGGAGAAGCCAACTCACAGAGATCTGGACATCTGGGCTCCTGCTCTGCCTTTCTGTTCCATCACTTCTGATTGTGAAGTTGAGAAGACCGCCGTATGCAGTCACCTAGCAAAACAAATTATACGAATCGTCAGGCAAGTAATACCCATAACTGGCTGCAAAAGAAAGAAAAACCACAAGCGGCCAGGAATCCTTGCGAGACAATTCAGCTCCTTCATAGGTGGCAGCACCGCAACTCGAGCAAAACAAGTAAAATGAGCATGCTTGAAGGTTTTGTTTCCCCATCCACAAGAAAGCAACTGTCACCAAATAATGGGCACAGACAACGCTGACATGTTCTAGATGCGTAACACTACCAAGTCTGAAGGCAGTGTTACAAGGTTCATGAACACCACTTGAGTTTGGCTGCAGAGGGGAGGGGGGAAGCTTAAAGGGGCACTGACAGCCTAAAGGTAGTTTTTCTTTTGTTGTCTAAAACGATGCAAGTTGTGGTCACTGACCATGCGAAAAAATACAATGAAAAAAAAAAAAAAAAAAGACGTGCACACACTTTTTTTTTGGCACTTTTCTTTTCCCCTTCTCACCTCCTAGCTTCTTTTTATTTGCGACGTCAAGCATTATGAAATTTAGAAGCTTTGTAAACAACATTTCTACATTCACAAAACTTGTTTTTTAACCCAATTGTGAATGGACCACTCTTGAAATATTGAAAATCTGAGTCCAGAAATGATGTTGCCCTCCCGCCTTTTTATCCTCCCTCAAAAAACATGGCGGCGCTCTGCACATGTAGCAGTGAGGATGAGAGGGGAGTCGGGGGAATCGGACGAAGCTCTTTTCGGTGCCCCGACGACTTCCCAGACTACGAAAAGGAAATCATAAAATGGTGAAAACAACTGGGTTTTTGTGCCTGTGCACCCTAGTTTTGTTTTTGACTCTGCCAAGGCAGCCTTTCACGCAGCACCGGCACGACATGGCCTCTCACATCAGAAAGTCCACTGCACATCCTCCTCGACCTCACACACTCACACCATTTCAAAACATTTGAGATCACTGAAAGGGCCCTAAAAGAACTTCACGATCTCGAAAGTGAAGCATCGCCTGCACACAGCGATATGCGGCATGCCCGGAGAAGTGCGTTTGATCATGAGAGAACATGACGTTGAGACTGTTCGGCGGAGGCAGGGGAGAAACTCGAGTTGCAGGACGACTCAATCTTTGACGTCACTGCACTGGTGAGGACCGTGCAGGAACTCAAAATCTTTTTATTATTTCACAAATACCGAGTTTCCAAGCTTCGAATTTTGAGGGTAATGTCCAGGCATAGTTTTCAATTGTTTCGGATAATAAAAAAAAAAAAATCAAATTTTGACCTGTCAGTGCCCCTTTAATCACGCGATGTAGTTGCTTTCACTCTTGTAAAGGCAAACAGGGTTTGGTTCTCAGGATTCAAGTTCTGTTGCTCTGTCAGAAATAGTGCCATGACAAAAATCATTTTTTCAAAGAGTCTATCCGTGGCCCATTCTCACAGGCTTTACTATACTTCGTTTCAGCTTCCGTCCGAGCGCAGCCAAAGGCTGAGGGACGGTTCGCACCTTCGAGAAGAGCGTTCCTACGCACCAAAAAGTAGTTCACAAAAGTAATTTCTTTTAAAATAACTGTTTTGTGCGTAAAAACTGCACAATGTTCCAGATGTGTACTGCTGGGAATGATCTGCAACTAAAGAAATCAGATCGCTGAAGTTTATGTTTCTATTAATATATGTAAATGAATGTGGTTTAGTGAAAACATGTATATCCGCTGGCAACACTGCTGCAGCGCTCGGTTTTTCTGTGCGATTTCGTTCCCGTAATCGCCGAATCATGTGCTTCGCTGCTTTCCTCACCGAGTCGCTTCAAAACGCCCTTTCGCAAAGGCACATTTGGGCATCAGGCGCGAGAAGTCGTGATGAATGTCTACTTTCAAATTCGGCAGAAGACTCCGGCCGCGTCGTACCGCGAATGCGTTGTAAACAAGCAAAGCGTCCGGGCCTCTACAATTCAGATACACGGCGAAATCAGGGCACCCCTTTACCTGCCGATCACATTGAACGCCGAGAAGCTGGTGGAAACGACTGCGCCTTGAACCCTGGTATATCCAAACAATACAAGGAAACATCAAAGGCCAGGTCATCGGGGACCTTGCAACGTGTACTTACAACTCGAACCTATGCCGAACAGGTGGAAAGCTCGGACACAGATGCCAGCGGCCAGCCTACGTACTGACATCCCCTGTGACTAAGTTTCAGAACGTGAAAGGGCACTTTTTAAACCTGTAGCAGACGACATCGTTGATACACCCGTAGCAGATGAAATACTCGGCTAGTGCGGGCGGCGCGGCCGACCGGCGGCGGCGCAGCGGAGTGATACAAAAGTGCAGGCGAGATCGCGTGACCTATTGCCGGCGTGTGATAGGCTCCGGCCACACGTAGCTTTGGCTGCGCTCGGACGGAAGCTGGAACGAAGTATAGTGCTTCAGTTTCCAGTTTTAAGTGCACCACCAAAGCTGACGAGACGCAAGTAGACACAGTTACAACAAAGTTATAACCTGTGCACTGATATTTATGGAGTTGAGGCTCACTTATTTTTTACATCTATATTTTTGAAGTGCGATGGACTATGAAATTGTTCCAATATTTTGTTTAGCAAGAACATATTCTTGAAGCGTGTCATGTGACACCAGTCCACTGTAGAAAATTGGGCAGCAGAGATTCTCAAACTTTTCAGACTCAGCAGTCAACCGCTCGCGATTGGCTGTAGCACATCTGATGGTGCCCTCTGGTTTCTGCACCGAATGACAAAAAAATGCACATGTCGCTATTCTTTCCATTCTAAAGAAATCGGATGCATATAAATTTAATATTGAGTTTTTAGAATGCTTAGAGGCTGTAGATTGAGTCTTGACCATAAATAGACAATCTCAACCACTGTGGTGCCCTTTTAACCCCATGTGCCTCTTTTCTGATTGCTGCCATAGCCACCAACTTAGCCTCAGGGTTCAAAAAGCCCCCATGTAAGTTCCCTTTTCTTAAAATTCTGGACCAACTACAAAACTGCCCTGTGCAATGGCCCTTTTATCAAGGATAAGTAAGAAACGCAGTCCCCGACCTTGTCCCCCAGGAACCTCTGGGGCAGCTGCCAGTAGTAGGTTTGCCGAGGATGGGTGGAGAAGTCCTGGTAAACCAACTCTTTGCTCCTTGGGTCCAGCTTCAGCCCCCTGTCGATGGTCACCGTCCGCTCCAGGTTGGTCAGGTGGACGCCCTCAGTGCTCGACGAGAACCTCAGCACCTCCTGCAAAGGTTACTTTGTTCCTTTCTTTGGGTCTCCGGAGGAAGCTTCAAAAAGCAGATACGCTTTGCCTTTTAAGGCCCAGTCACTATAGTATGTTGCATCAACAGGCGATGGAAAATAACTACTGAAGAGCAAATTTCAATACATTGGCAGAATACAACAGCAAAACATTATCAATCATCACATCAGCAAGAAAAAAAAATTGTGTAGTTTTATACACTGGCTTCATTGAGCAAAAATCACTAAAAACAAATGTGATTGAAAGACACCTAATGAGAATGCTATATACACAATGTATATGCAAAAAAATAAACAAACTGAAGTCGTCAATGAATTATTTTTTTTGCTTACTGCATAGGACCAGTGTTGGTGGTAACAAGTTTCAAGTATAGCCATTGCCGGTAACGTGTTACTTCTTGCGGTGTGATTATAACATACTCGTTACATTTTGAAAACCGCAACGGATAGCATACCCATTTTACTTATTTCGAGTAAGGGATAACATAGTTATGTTACTGGTTGGACCTTCTTCCCAAAACCTTAAAAAAAAAAAAATACACTCAACTTTTTCGTATTTCGAAGCTCTAAGTCATATGTATTCTCACTCATCCCACATATTTCTAGAAATATCTGTAACATCAAAACAGTCAAATGTTTTTCTACAGCGAAGCTGTTTATGGCTAGGGTTCTGTGGATTTTTCGTGCGCAGCGACTAAAAACTATGCTCGCACCGCCGCATGCACACGCCTTCCCCGTATAAAGGACTCAAAGTAAATAACCAAAACAAAGTGTTGACGAACGCACGTGCAACACGCCACTTGTTTTAGGCTTTTGCTTTAGAACAGTTACTGTTGCGGATGCCGGCACGAGTGGCGCGTGGAGCACCATTCCCGGCATTCTCCTCGATGCTTGGGTAATTTAGGAATAGGTCTATTCAGTAGATTAAGTTACCAATAGGCACCATTTTCGAGATCACTAGACTCTCGGGTAAATAATAAAGGTTTCTCAAAGATTTGCCGCCGTGCGACCCGCGTCCGCCATGTCTATGCTCGCACCGCCCACTCTGTGTCGTCGTTCCAAGCGCTTGGGTGCCTCTCATTTCCTTCCGCTCTTCCGGGGTGGCGGTCCCGCCGCGTGTGTCTAGTTTCCCCCGGCTCCTCGGTGCGGGTCTCTGTCGTGTGCTAAAGAGCCTCGCTGGTCATCCACCTCCATCATGATTTTTCATTCATAAATACAAACAAACTCGAGTAACGTGCGTTAATTTTTGTCGGTAACGGTAACACATTCTTTTTGTTTTGTGGTAACTTAAGTCGGTAATGCGTTCCTTTTAACTGCAAGCAACAAGTAACATTATTTTGTAACTCTTTTTGGCAACGCATACAATACCGCATAGGGCATAGAAGATAGTTCTTTACATTGTTTGCACGGTGCACATGCACACCCTCGAGCGAACAAGAGCCTCTAAGAGACTCTAAGAGACCTCTAAGAAATGGGATTCCACAATTTCGGCTTACACCGATAAACCTTGGAAACTAACCCTTGAGCTAGTTTGATTAAAATCCGGATAGGCTGAAAAACCTTGCATCAAAACCATCCCTGAATAAAAAAAAAATAAAAAAGAACCTAGCTTCATGGAAAGAAATCTATCCACAGCCTTTTTTGTGTTCAAACAAAATACGGCCTGCACTAAAACTGCCCAAAGCTGTTTTTTTTTGGTTTTTTTTGAGGACCACATTGTGTTTTATTTCTTTCTCTTACCGATACCAGAATGTTCTCCAAGTGTTCGTGCCATGCACATATTTCCTGGTGGTTACTCCCTATCCCATTTCCTTCAACACAAGCCCGGACAAACAAACATTTTTTGTCCAACACCAAATAGCGACACCGAAAATCGCCAAATCTGTGGAAAAAAATAAACCCTGAACTTTATATCCGAATGGCTTCAATATATGGTACTCGGATTTCCAGTTTTCTTATATATAGATGCAAATGGTACAACAATAGCAAAACTCACTACTAAGACATAGCTAGTGCTTTTCATGTTGTTGATTCTTAAAGATCAAGATGAAAAGACGCACAGAAAGGAACCGAATGCACTTGTAGCAACGTGCACCTGCAAGTTGAAGAGCAAATGAGGTTCATGGTAAGTGCAGCTCGTTTACGCGGAATCCCCAGGGTATGTCATCAGACTGGATCGCTGAACAGAATGTGCACCCGCAGCTGATGTTTGGGAACTCAATTTCTTATTCCTGCTTACTCACAGTGACTACCTGGAGTGATGATCCTGATGAAGGTTTGTTTTGACAGTCACATGATATAAATGGAGGGTTGCATAGCATGCTGGCAGTAAGCACCCACCTGTTCCCTGTGGTAGAAGCTGCTAGAGCAGGACTTTGTGATTCCCATGCAGAAACACTCCACACATCCAAGAGGTGAACTTGGGTGGAGATGGAATGAGTTTGCTTTGCACTGGTCACATGCACTTCCAGTTACCAGTGGCTGAAAAGAAAAAAAAAAAAAAGAAAGAAAACATGCAGATGGTCAATTTTCAGAAATGGAATCGACACTTTTCCCGAGGAAAAATTTATCCCCCTATAGCACAAAAAGGTAGTATGGAGAATAGAAGCCTAGCAATCGGCCGCCAAAACCCTAACTGGAGCGTGGGATATTAACTTATGCTGATCAAAGGAGGAAGCAACCATGCTAATGAAGTTCAGGAACAATTGTATTAAAATTGCATTCATTAGAGCAGGGGTTGGCAACCCAAGGCCCGCGAGGCAGTATTATATGACCCCCGGTACGCTCCCAGATGCACACTCCAGGAGAAAAATGGTTGGTTGCAAACCCTGTATAATAGGACATATTAACTTGAGATTTGCCAGATAGGGTTTGCGGATCAGCTGGTCTCCAAACAGACAGTAAGGTGAATAATGTATTTGCAGCATTTTTGTGTATTGGGTTTTCCGAAGGCCTCCCTCAATACACAAATAAATAAAATTTCAAATCTACGAGATCTCGCAGCGGCCTTGATCGAAGTTTTCGCCTACAGCAGGTATATAGTATCTGCAAAAATACTTTTTGCAAGATGAATACCGTGAAGTCACACGTGGGTCTTGCGACTGTCAGATGAACATGTTCAAAATGTTTCACTACTCTCAATGTTATTGGCGAACAATACTCAATACCGATTCTCTCACTAAGAGGGGGCGCTCAAGTAATCAAAAGTTATCTGTGTCTGACTCAAGGGAACATTCCTGCGTATCACTTTGAGTATGCATGCGACAGCTTTAATATCTTGTATTTCTACGGGCTAAACCTCCCCAATATCCATTTCTCCATCTGGCCCACTCAGTCTCCGCTTTGAGGCGATTTCGCCTGCTGCAGAAAAAAGTTGCCGTCCCCTGTACTAGAGCATATCCCAAAGTCCCACTCGATGCAGCAATGTTTAATGTATGAAAACGTTAAGCATGCAGTAACGGATTAACAGACTATCATTCAAAGTCAGTTTGTGGTGATAGGAAAGCTAGATGTTATATATACATACCTTGCATTGGCAAAGACCAGTCGATGGATTGCGTTCAGTGCTCAAACTACCAGCCGCATCACACCGTGCACCACCTATGAACAAAGATGGGGTTAAATGGCATCTAAACTGAAAACACGGCAATGGGGTTTGAATTTTCATTCACTCGGACAGTCGGTACGTGTAAACATTGTGCAGGCAGTCAGACCAGCAGGCAAGCAAGCAGGTAAGCAAGCCAGTGATAAATTTCCCACAGAGGCAATTTCCTCAATATTTTTTTTTTTTCACAGTTTAAAACACACCTCCAAGGAGCAATGCACTCAAATGCCTTTAATGAAAAACTAGGGCATGTCCTTGTGTCAGCCCATTGTATTTTATTTGAACTGTCACATGAGAGACGGTACATGGTCTAACACGACTAAAAGGTACCGTCCATCAGATCAGTGCAAATAGCATGCTACCATGCTCAAGTTAGTAAGCAAACTGACACACACCGCAATTGTTTTCATCAGACATGTCTATGCAGTCTGCCTTGCCATCGCACCTTTGGCGAACACTGAGGCAAGTTCCATCGGGACATCTGAATTGGTTATAACCACATGCTGGGAGTGAGAACACCATTAGTCAGCAAAAAAGCCTTCTTCCAAAAGCTCTACACATGAAGCAGTCCAAGAGCACCTTGCTAAGCTTAGAGTGTAGCACGGGGAAAATGTTTCTGCACAACAGCACTAAAGAGCGACTTAAAGCGCCATGACATTGTTTTCAGCTATGAACAGCCAAAACAACTAGCTATATTGTAGAGCCAGTTTCAACACCTAAAACAATAGTCAGTAAAAAAATAAATATAATGAAACAAGAAATTTACATATAGCAGCTGCAGAGTTAAAAAAAATTAATAGGGTATAGTTATACTGAGCATGTTCGTTGTGAATAGTATAACAAGCAACTTACACTGGAAAATTAAAAAAATTAAAATCAAAGTTAATATGAGCAATAAAATTTGCAATGCAACTGTATGATAAGCTATATACTACATAAGACCAAATTATATACTATTTATAATATGACAATTTTGGTATCAACTGTAAAAATAATAAAAGCCAGCATTGCTCAAGGCAGAGACCCAACCACCCCAGCACACAACGCATGCGATGCCCAGCTTTGAAAGCAATATCAGTGGTAGCCAGGTTGAAGCTACTGAAACATCAAATAAATTAAGCGCTCTAAAACAAGCATTCTGCAACAGCAACTTTCTGGGGACGAAGAGCAAATTTTAACATACCACAGTTCTGTTCGTCAGAGTAATCATTACAATCGTAATGTCCATCACACCTCCTCCTGTAATCTATGCATGACCCATCACCGCATTGGAACTGTCCGGGCTCGCATTCTGAAAGGAAAAAAAAAAAAAGAAAAGAAAACTGTCAAAAACAGTGTCATAAACAATGTAACAAACCGAGTCTTATAATAGTTTGAAGCCTTGAAAGTAGCATCCTTTATGTTCCCAAAAAAACAGCAAACAAATGACAACTAACTGAAATGCCACCATTCATAAAACAGTGGACATTTGTTAGGCAAAACAATTAAGCATGTGCGATTAGTGGATTTTGAGTTTGAAGCCATTTCAAAGCGAAAAGTGGTTCGGGCCAAAGATTCTTTTTATTGAATATTGAATAGTTTCTGTAAGCCTTTCACTACCACAACATGCTTAAACGAAAACTTAGCTGAACTTGTGAAGGATGCTGCCAAGCCTCCACTTGTCCATTTCTAAACTAAGTTCATTCTAATCTAACTATATATGACGAAAATAATCCCTGGAGAAGGGGAACAAGAGGGACAAAGGACAAACACAAATCTCCAAACACAGCGAGGTGACTGGTGTGCAACCGAAAAAATCCACCTGGTCTGGTTATCGAACCCGGGACCTCTCCACTTTCAGTGGAGCGCTCTACCAACTGAGCTAACCAGGGGTTAGACGTCAGTAGAGCAGAGAGGTTTTAGCTAACCAGGGGTTAGACGTCAGTAAAGCAGATGGACCAGGCGGATTTTTTTGGTCGCGCACCAGTCACCTAGCTGTGTTTGGAGATTTGTGTTTGTTCTTTGTCCCTCTTGCTCCCCTTCTCCAGGGATTATTTTTGTCATTCTCGCCCAGCTCGCTTGCACCTTTGCATTTAATTGCATCATAATCTAACTACTGTATTCAGTGTGGCCTCCAAAAGTACAATACGTATATTGGAATGGCAAAAAAAACAAACAGATTTGACCTAAATTAAAACTATACAGATATCCAGCTATACCTTATCAAGGGGATTTATAAATAGTCTTGCTATCATGTATGGTTAGCCCAGGTTGTCAGGGCATCTCTGCTTAACGTATACTCATGCACACCAGTTTCATTTTAAAAGTTTTACTGCAATATAGATAAAAATTTATTAAGTTTGTTTCTTTCTGAAGCAAATATCCAATAGCGTATTACTCAAAACAACATTTGTGTCCCTGGACACGTACTGATGTTTCCTGCATGGGAGACGAAACGTTAGGTTAAATTGTCAATACTGTTCAGTCGATGCAGTTTGCTTTATCATTATGAATCCTGGCTTTTAGAACATTTTTGAATTCAAAACAACTATTCGAAAATTTGAATATTCGCAACACACTAAAAAGGAAACAAAGCCCATGTAAAATTTTAAAAAGTGAAGCTGCAGACTAAGTTGGTACTTCAAGGGTGTGTTAATATCTGTTACAATTAGAATGGCTCGTTTCATTGGTACCATCTATGTTATCGTCCTTTGAACTGTAATGCAATCTACTAAAATAATCAACCTGAAGAGTAAGGGGGCTTGAGAACCCGAAAACAATTTGGAGCACACAGATTGTTCGACGACTATTTTAGTACACCCTCAAGCTATTTGGCTCTTGCTCACAAAGGTTCCAGATCAATCACCACATTATAGCCAACCTGATAAATTAATCAACATAGTGTACCTCACATGGCTGAATCAAAGTAAGCTACAGTTTGTTTTCTCAAAGATGGTGTGGCATTGCAGTTCATTGTAGAATTGTGCAAATATTCAAATTTTCTAATGATAGTAACGAATAATACGCTGTTTGATATTCGGTTCGAGATGAACTACAATATTCATACTTTCGAAGTGTTGATAGCAGAGGCTTAGATCCGTTGAGTGTGCTTCTTACAGAGCACCAGTGCACTGCGGGGAATGTCTACTTCATAGTTCTTAGTCAAATTTTATTGATGTGACTGTTGGATTGCACTAATTCAACTTCACTAAAACAGTAAAATACCTAAGCTGTTTTTTTTATTTTATTACCTAATAAGGCAAAGGTTCCTTTTTCATAAAAATGTCTTAAGTTGCATCATTTCTGACCATACATATGATGTAGTCATTATGTTCCAAACTTCAACAACCTTTTAAAAGAAATATTACCGTAAAATACGGCAGAAGCGCCCACTTCGTTCAAGTGCCCACTACTATTAACGTGTTCCAAACTTGGGAATTCTGCTCATTATTTGTTAAGCGCCCGACTTGACCGGACAAGCGGCCATGTCTAGATTAAACCAGTTTTCAATGAAAGTGGAGGGGGCACTCCTTCAGTATTTTACAGTATGTTACTTTTGGGCATTTTAGCCTTCCAGAGATGAGAAACGTGGCATGTTAAATTGTTTCAATTCAAAACGAATTTCTTCCTTCTAGACTAAAGGAATGTTGTTTGGCCCACCATATTTACTCGGGTAATATTTGCTGTTTGTGGATTTTATGGTGCAAGAGCTCCAACGGTCATACTGCACCAAACCAGGTAATCTAGAAACATTAGTAAATGTACACAAAAACTAGACTAGAACATGGCTATATTTTGTGTAACATACCTGTAGTTTCGATAAAAGCTAAAAGACATTCCAATGATATGAGAGGTTGTACCCCTAGAACCAAGATAGGGAGATATAGGATGCTTTACTTGAAAAACTCAAAGAAATAGGACTTGTATTCTTGTAGAAGGCCACGGCAAAGAAAGAGAACATGCAGAACAGATAAAGTCCTCCACAGTGCTCGCACACCAGTGGTTCCTCACCTATGAGCAGGTATTGATGAGTAAGGAACGAGTGGCCAATTCTTAAGCGGCACAGCAGAACTTTGAGGAAACGATTTTTATTATAGGAGGTTTTCCAGGCCCCAAGTTCTGGTTTGATGGCCTGAAGCTTGTTATTATTGGCCAAGTTTCAATCAGATTGCCATATCATGAAAGTGAAAATCTTGCGGACATTTTAAGGTCCCGGCAAGGTATGCGGACATTCAATGGTAAAAGGTTCTGTGAAGAGGCTGCTAGTCTATTAGCAGCCTCGTTGCCTACGATGCCCACATGGCTCGGGATCCAGAAAAACTGAATATCATTCCCACCTGCGATTCCCTGCTGAGCCGTGGCCTCTAGGAGTTGGGTCAACTGATTCTTGGTTGGTGTAACAGAACATACTGCTGTAAGAACGCTATGAAAGTCTACAAAAGGAATGGCTTTGATCACATTGCTCCTGATTATATAGTCAAGTGCTACCAGAACACCATACGGTTCGGCAGTTAAAATGCTGGCAAAATTGTTAAGCCGAGTCACATGGGTACTCGGGTGATAGACATGCCATCTATAAACAAGGACCAGGCGTCTTTCCTGCAGAGCACTCGTACAGGCAATCACCAGGTTCTACATAACCAGAGTAGCAAATACTAATAGGGTCAAGAAAATGATTCTCTTGGATAATGTGATCTGCACAGGTAGCAGTTCTGTGTGAGGACGTTATCTCCATCCCGTAAGCCGCTGGGCTGTTTCTGCCAATCACAATGATTGGCTACGAGTGCGCTCCTCAGTAAAGTGAACACATAGGCCTTGTTCATAAAGAGTGCATCTATCATGTTGTTGTTGAGGGTATGTTGTATACTATATGTATATACTAGGTAGTAATCACGCTCTAACAAGATTTAAAAAATTCTTCAAAATACGAAAATTTGCAGCCGAGAAGAGATAATCCTAGTGGAGGTTATTTGTGCATTCAATGATAAAATGAAGAGAAGCACCTTTGAGATGGCAGGGACCATCAGAGGAACCTGGAGAGCGTTCGTAACCCGGAGCGCATCGCTCACAGCGTCGGCCTTCAAGGCCGATGGGGCAACTGTTGCACGTCACCTGGCCATCTGCCTCCAACACGCAGGTCGGTGAGAACCTTGAAAAGAATTGGATTGCACCTTTTAGGCTTAGCAGCAAACACAACGCCCTCGCAAATGTTGGTAGATGGCAACGAAGTCGGCAAACTAAAACTTGCATTGAATAGACTTGAACAAACACTGAGCCATAAACAAAGCTTGACTAGTGATGCTTTGAAAGGCCTTTGCTTTCAAGGTGGTGGCAACAATTCAATAGTTAGCCCTATTAAGTTCTATGCATATCAGTTTCTGAAAGCGGGAAACAATTTGTGGCTTTTTGGTATTGTCCTTTAAAATTAAAAACCTAAATATACACTACTGGAAAACAATTTCTAAATTGGTTCATAGTTCTTGTTCCATCACTTTGAAACAATGGTAGCACAGCGTAGAAAGAGAATTAAACTTAAAATAAACTTTGCAAAAAGGAAGGGGTCCTTTAGTTTGTAAATCTCTCTAGGTAAATGATTTGCAAAGGCTAAACAAACTCAGCAGGCTGGCTTGTGTCAGCAGATACAGCTTGCTGGAGAAACGAGCCTCACTAACAAATACGTTCTCATGTCCTCCCTAAAAATAATACGAGAGCAATCAATTCCCATCTGAAGACTATTCTAACAACATCTGTCCCTGAAATATACAAACAAAAAAAGAACACAAACAGGGGTTCACCCTGGCAAATGTGTAAACCAAAATACAAACAACGACTAGTGCATATCCTACCACAAAGTCACGAGGGATCACGTCTACAGGAACGGCTGAGGACTCTGGTAAAGACAGCGAAAGAACAAAGGAACGAGAGAGAGGAAGTGAGAGGAAAGGAGGAGGTTACCATTCGGAAGGAAAACCAGCAATCCAGGAGGTCATTAGGCTGGAGGAGTTGGTGTGAGTGAGGGAGAGAGAAAGACAGCCAGTAAAGGCAAAGCGGACTCTGCTCGACAGCATGCCGGACGGGGATGCGAGCACACACCGAGGCAGACTACAGAACTAAGGGAAGCTCGTCACGGATTAAGCACGGTCTTTCCCCGGAAAGTGAGGCAGGCAGGAGATGAACTCGTATTGACTGGCTATTCGACAGACGAGAGCAAAACTTCAGGAACACGGTTCAATCACTGGGCTCATTCAATCTACCTGCACCAGCCTGCTCAGGAGCAAAAAACTGTAGCGCGGCCGCACCAGTAAATTGAATATACGTCAGTGTGCACCTAGTGCAGCCGGTGGAGCTAAATCAAACGAGCCCACAATGTGTTCTGTACCGAGTGCAACAGAATTCACTCTGTTAGGCGTAGTGCAATGTGCCGTTAGGTTCACTATATATGAGGCATGACAAAACGTCCGGCCCTGCTCCAGAGACTTGGCGTAAGAGTGGCTTGGTCCTGCATGGCCATGTGGAGGGACGCTTGCAGAGGCTCTCGTGCCCCGCGTGCTCGCACGCGCACAACACTACAGAACACAACACTATGTTAAAGTGTGGAACTTTCAAGGCACTAAAATGTTTAAGAGTTTAGTGTCCCCCTAAATATGATATCCAAACTGCCTCGCTAAGGTTCTTGAATGCAATGGCAATAAAACCTGTACAATTATTATTATTACGGTACTAGGCCCAGTATGGCTAGTAACTTGGTGCAGTGAGCCTCGGTGAAGAATTTTCGCATCTGTGGAATCCAACTGATTATTTTGGGCCACTGGTACAAGATTGAGGTAGGGTCACTGTCTTTCTTCCAGTTATCAATTGTCAGCGAGAAAACTGTCACATATATTATACAGTGTTATCAAAACACAGTTAATGTGTAACGCAGACTTGCATTTTAACTGCAAGATGCAACAAGAAGAAAGTTACAAAGCTCTAGCACGACAAATCTAGGATCTACAGATGGCCTTGTATAAAGTTCTGCTTTTTTCTGTCAGACTAGCCGGCTTGGGAAATTAAAGTCATGCCTACCTCACTCATGTGGGCATGCTACTACGTACACAGTGAGCACCTTACAGACGAGATATGTCATGCATAACAATAGGAGTTACTATACAAATATTAGAGATGCAAGACTACCCTTTCCTGCAGGCACAACTATCCTAATTACCAGATTTTAATGTAATAAAATGCAAAAAACAAATGTCCAAACTTAACCATCTGGAGATCGTTTCGCATGCAACCTGAATCTTTGTTATACGGCGTGCTTTGTCCAGAACATGGTTTCGTCCAATTATGGGCGCCTTGGTCGGAACATGCACTTGCCAGTCGGGGATGGTTAGCATTTTGCCCCAGAGATGCCGAGGCAGCTAAGTTGTCATGAGGGAAAGTAATGCATATTAGAAGGAAACAAGCTCCTCTCCCCAATTAACATTCCAGGAGCTCAATAAAACACAAAAAAACTTAATTTAACCCCAAGAATTTCCTGCAAAAATGAAGAAAGCAATTGGTAGCTAACCTTCAGATAGTCGCTTTAAAAAAATCACACTAAAATCTGGCAAGATGCACAGGCAATTTCATAGATGTAGACATCTCCCTCATGCATTCACACACATTCACCCTTTATCAGAAAGCTCTTCAACAGTAGCAGAGTTTCCCTCTGGAGACAAGTGAAGGGCATTTCTGAACCAGGCTGATGATGTCTGGGTTATGACTATGGCTCCATGTTTTTGGGGTCTATTTTTTGTTGAATCAGGGACGTTTGTGCACGGTTCATCTTTCCCCGCAAATTCAGTGTTTTTCGGGGCCTTTTCTTGACGTCAAACATGAAAGTCGCGTTAATTGGGGCATATGTTGAATAAAAAGCGACACGGCCGTCGGGGAGATGCGTATGACGGCCAAATACTTGGAAAATGTCCCGGCACCGATAAGAATAGCTTTGCCGATTGCGAGCGCTGTGTTCAGGGGCAACACAAAATAAAGCCGTATATTGCTGCGCGCATGGCCAAGAAGAAACGCTACTCTATACTTCTAGAAGATTCGCATTTACTCTTACGCCAAATGTTTCGACGCTCCAACATTCTAGGCCGAATGTTCGAGATACCGATTGTAGAAGATAAAAAAGACCAGCGTGGCCTTGCCAACTCGCTCTCGTGCTAGCCAGCTGTCATGCAGAGACACGTCGACACTCGCTGCTTTCTCGACGCTTATTCTTTCTTTTGTCTTTGGCACACGTTCACCGAATGAACCTTTATTTTCAGTTTTACACTTGCCAATCCCTTTCCATCAGCAACAATATAAAGATTTTGTTTTGTGAAGCTTGGGTTCTTATTCAAGGACAGTTTTGAATTGGGGTTTGCAGGTTTCTCCATCGCGATCAAAGTTATTTTCCAGGGTTTGTAGGTTTACGCTGAAAACATGGAGCCCTAATTGTAACCGTGCAAACAAACAAAAAAAAATGCAACAGATACTCACTGTCCTGGAACTGCAACTATTGGGCAAGGACAGGACTGACAATCACTGGGGGATCCATTGGTTGCATTTCCATAGAAACCACGCTTGCAAGACCCACAGCTGGGTCCATCCGTGTTGTGCTGGCAGTTCTGGATCCATTACAAAGACACACCACTCTTAACCGGGCCGTTACCACAATAACTTGGAGTGAAATATGCAATGTCAACAAACTTGCATCACTGCTAGCATGACTGAATTTTCTTGGGTGAACAGCCTTTACTACTGTGCTTTATTTTAAGAAACGCCGAGCGAAATTTATCACACAGATCAGGCAACACTTCATATTGCCAGATATGTACTATTTAAAGCTCTGAAATTTAATAGCAGTGTCACAAGTTCACAGATAAAGACAGTATAAACAAATTTATATTCCATAGAAAATGGTATTTAAGCAGAGAATAAAAAAACTTTAGCTTATTTGCATACAAGGAGCTGCATCACACTGACAGCAGTTCTTTACAAAAGTTTATGCTACCACGCATCTTTCTCTTCAAAAATATTTTCTCATTTGTCCGACTAGTATACTGCTCGGAGGCTCGGCAGTCTTGAAATTCTGACTTTTAGTTCGAAGCGTTTGGGCAGCCAAAACCCAATCTAAGGCTGCAGCTGATACCAGAGTATGTATAAAGACAAACACGCAATAACAACTGGAAGAACAAGGAGAGAAAAAGGAAGAAGAGCCCACAAACAAAGAGTTAAGAATGAAAGTTTAGAACTACTCGCTGCAAGTGCTTATTCACTGCATTCGGTGGGAGTTGGTACCACAAGGGCACCACAGTATTTGGTGCCCGTGTAGACTTCCAGTGGTGTATATATTTGCTCTTCAGCAACTCAGTGATCAGGTAAGAAGACTTTTCTTTGGAGAAGTACGGTAAGTACCTGTCATACATTTGTAAGAACCTGTGCGCAATGTACAACGTAGTACAGATAGCAAAAGGATGCGAGACAAAAGGAAAAAAGGAAAACCGGAATCGTGCAGGAGTCTGCCGACAGTGGGTGGCAGCGAGCTTGTTTGCAAACAAACATCGGTGAATAAAACAGCAGTGGCTTAACACACAGCTTTGTGAGAAACAAATGTATCCTTTCTGAAAGTCTGATTGCACATGTACTTTTGCTCTCCAGCAAGAAACACTTCTCCAAATGCGGGCAGATGTACTGAGTAATGGAGTGACAAGGTTTCAGAAATAGATTTGTCTCAGCCAGCCCAATGGGAGACAAAATGGGCAGGGTGTTTTAGATGCCCTAAGTGTCTGCTTACGAGATTTTGAGCGTAGGAATTGCTCCAAATTCCGCTACATTTAGCAGGCTGAAATTGAGCTAGTTGGTACATAATGCAAAAGTAAATGGTCAGCTAGAATGATAGGGGCGGTGGTTTATGGGTTGGGTCAGGGAGGTGTTAGTGACCAAATTTAATAATTTAATGTAATTAATTTATTTTATTTTTGTTTTAATTTCATATTTAATTTAGTAGTGTAATGTAAGGATTTAGGGTGATTTATTGGCATTACTTTACGTGTGAATCCTTGGGTCAAAGTGATGAAAAAGAATTATAAAGTCCTAGTTGATAGTCAGCAGTGTGTATGTCTCTGTTTCTCCCCATCTGTGTTTTGTCCCTATTGTTCTAGCTGACCATTTACTTTTACATTCAGTGTTGACAATTTAGGTTCCCCACTCTACATGTGTCGTGCCGCACTTCTGAACTACACTTTTATGTTACAATTTCGAGTTAAAAACTTCACCGCTTGACCGTTTAGTCCATGCACGAGCATGCACAGTGCAACGAAGGTTATCTGGGTCACTTACCAGGCAACGGCCATACTGTTGGTCACATGACGTGGAGTGGCCATTGCAGTTGCAGGGAAGCACTCCCTGCGTGCATTCTCCGAGGTAGGACCCAGTGCGACGTCTGATGTAGCCCGGGGCACAGTTCTGTAACGAGCAGACGTTACAAAACCGTGTCCAAGTTCCAGACTGAAAATTGTGCTTTGCTCTCCCACAGCCAACATAAAACCCCAGAGCACAGTGACAGCGCTATGCTGGTGGCAGCTCAGGAACAGCTCCATGGTGCGGCACTCAGCTGAACAGCCCGAACGGGTCAAGTCGCTTGCTCAAGGTCGAAATTGCGAATCGCAACGATGTACATCACAATTTTGGCAGCTCCATACCCCAAAGTAGTGCGGTGAGGGTGGCGAAAAGCATAGATGCTGTCCAAGGTCCAACAGTACTTTCAGCCTTGAGCGAGCAGCCTCCCCAGCTCAGGCTGTTCCGCTCAGCACTATGTCATGAAGCAGCTCTTCAGCTGGTGCCAGGATAGCACTCCCACGATATAACACACAGTTTGCATGAACCCGCGTGAATTTGGTCAGTGCTGTACATTCATATAAAAGATAACAGAATACAATACAAATTAAGACATTGCCTTACAATCAGATGATACAGTATATAAAAAAAACTTCCTATTAAAAAAAAAAGCTGAAGATTTCTTACCTCACATGAATTGCCTGTGTATCCAGTTGGACAAGAGCACTGTTCTACAAATGTTGCAGGAGGATTTTTGGGACTCGAATAAGAAGCAGACTCCATTTCAAGGTTCTGGATGCTGGAACAAATGACCAAACATGGCGTCAACCATTCTGAAAGTAACTCGACCTCACAAAATGAAGAAACCCAGTTCACATGAAATTTCATTCTTTTGAGACTTGGGTAATCAAACAAGCAAGACAGACCTGGAGGCCCTTCACTGTGCTAAATCTGTCTCACATGGATAAGATTTCCTTATAATCATCCAATTTCATTACCATTAAAAGAGAGTAACCTACGAAGGGCTTCTAAAACGAAACAGCAGTTTAATAGAGCAGATAGCTTGATGAATCATTACGAACCAGCGCACAAGCAGACAGTTACTCAAAATCCAAACACACAAAAATTCACTCACACAGCGCTGAACTATCAACCCCTGATTTGTATTTCAAACTTCCTCTCCTTCAACCCCAAGGAATAGGTGGCCAAGGAAGAAAAGGGGAAAGACAAGGCAGGGGGGGGGGAAGGCGAAAGAAAAAAAAAAAAGGAAAAAAGATGAATAGAGAAGGAAAATTAGAAGACAAAGAAAAGGAAAATAAAGGAGAATAATACCAATACAACAGTGTCCAAGAGTTACAAAATTACAAAAGTAATTGCAAAATTAATTACGAACAGGTATAAACCAGGTGACATGCTGGCCTGCTGTTGACTACACTCTCGGCGTAAATAGTTTGAGTGATGCAAAAAGTTCAAGAGTTACAAAAATTAGTTGTTAAATAATATCAGATGTAAACAAAAACCAGTGGTTATACTGGCTTACTGTCTTAAACACCTTCTGTCTAAATAATGCAGTTCTTTCTCCGATGAAGCTAAGGACGGAGTGCTAACGCACTGGGCTTCCCGTCTTGCAATGTTCTCCGCTTCTATAATTTCTCGGGTGAGCTGGTTTTTACTCCTGCCTAACACAGCACAGTTGTCCAGTTGCGCAAAACAGCCACAGTCCTTACAGTGAATACCTAGGTGACCGGAGTTGGCATTGGCAATGTTGTTGTTGTGCTCTCGCAGGCGGTCGTTAGGTCGGTAGCGCCGCAAAAGTACCCAGAGACAGAAAGCGTTTAAAGGGACACTGACACCCCCCAAAATTTAGACAGAAAGCGTTTAAAGGGACACTGACACCCCCCAAAATTTGTTTTCCATTTTTTGCCAGGCGCTTTATTATGGTGTCGGAGGACTACCCAATTAATATTTTGCAACAAAGTAGTGTATTTTTTTAATAAAGCCAAAAGACGCAACTGCTCGAAACCGAAACTCGCGCACGGAGGTCGCAGAAGTGGAGAGAAGAGTGTGAGTGGCGGAAGTCACGTGGCTACACTCAACCGTGCGGTCTTTTTTTTTCTTTTTTTTCTTCTCTCTTTTGTGCTAGCAGACGACATGTGGCGTAGGGGGAACTGTTTGCCGTGCGATTCTTTTGCAGTTATGTTTGTTCCGCTCACTCTTCTGTACTCCAAGATGAGTTGTTTTGTACATTGAGGAGTTGGAGATGAGTAGTGAGTGCCCGTGGTGAATTTCCATAATCGGCTCCGAAAAGAATACACCCAAGATGTTGCGTGAAGAGCTGGCACACATGTCCTGCGTCTGAAAGAAAGTGGCATTGTGCGACAGAGTTTCCGAAAGATCAACGGGATAGGGACCAATGGCTGGCTGAAATTCCTCTAGAACATTTACGGGCATCTCGGAAAGCGGACGCTACCTGATTTGTATGCCTTTGCATTTTGTGGGAAGTGATTACATTGAGTTCGCAGGCGTCAAAAAGGAAATCCCATACCATTTAATTCAGCCATGTGTCGGCCACAATATTTGTTGGTTATTTTTTTGTTTGTTTCTTCAGTGATAATTGTGTAAAAAAAAAAAAAAGCTTCACTGGGGATTGAACCCGTTCCTACAGCATGTGAAGCAGAAGTCTTTCCAACTGAGCTACTGGGGCAGACATTTATTGGGGGATCTCTTTTCTTAGTAGTAATCAGCCGGTAAACTGTAAGTTGGGAAGTTTGCTGCCGACTTTTCTTCAGCAAAAGCACTCTGGGGCGAAGTCGGAAAGCACGACGCATTGGCGACATTCGCACCTAGTAAAGCAATCGTACGCGTGCATATTCAACTCTAAGTAAACCCTTCGTGCGGTGCTTGATGTTTGCGCGAGCGATGTCTTCAGCCAGGAGAATGGAGCGACGGCTCGGCGACGTCTTCGTGCAAATTGGCTTGGTAGTCGGGCGTGCACGGAATGAATACCAATTCTTTTGATCAGTCGCAAATTTCTCTTTTAAAGGCAGACAGAATTCGCCGGTACCGCGAACGACAGTTCTGAAGTAGAGGTCCCACGCCCGTCGCCATCACTGTCCCAACCATCCCCGCGAGTACCACGATACGCGAAACGACGCACGCAAAGAATGCTTCCGGTTCTATGTGCAATTTTTTTTTCCATCAACGTATTTGCAGCTTTTTATAAGCCACAAAAAATGGGCTTCATGTTTTTTTTCTATTTTTAATACTGAGTGTGTGCCTTCAGCGACCAAGGACTTTGATTAAATTTGGTGGTTGCTTCGATACCTTAGAAAACGGCCCGTGACCACGGAAAAGAGAGTGAGCGAGACTCGAACCGGCCAGTTCTTGATTGGCGGTTTTCGGGCAGAAAGAAACCGAATTTCGAGTCGCAAATTGTGTTCTGGGTAGTTGGGCTCTCATATGTCATGTACCACTAAAAACCTCGGCGAGCATAAATACCCTGTCAGTGTCCCTTTAAGACAGTAAGCCAGTATAACCGCTGGTTTTTGTTTACATCTGTTATTATTTAACAACTAATTTTTGTAACTCTTGGACTTTTTGCATCACTCAAACTATTTACGCCGAGAGTGTAGTCGACAGCAGGCCAGCATATCACCTGGTTTATACCTGTTCGCGATTAATTTTCCAAATATTTTTGTAATATTTGTAACTCTTGGACTCTGTTGTATTGGCATTATTCTCCTTTATTTTCCTTTTCTTTGTCTTCTAATTTTCCTTCTCTATTCATCTTTTTTCCTTTTCTTTTTCTCTTTCGCCTTCCCCCCTGCCTTGTCTTTCCCCTTTTCTTCCTTGGCAACCTATTCCTTGGGGTTGAAGAAGAAGTTTGAAATACAAATCAGGGGTTGATAGTTCAGCGCTGTGTGAGTGAATTTTTGTGTGTTTGGATTTTGAATAACTGTCTGCTTGTGCGCTGGTTCGTAATGCTGCCTTACCAACTTGCCCAATCTGCAGTATTAACAGCTTGATGAAGTATATGAATCTCCATGCCAAGAAAAACCACTCCGAGATCAATAAGAGCAAAACAGCACAAGAAACAGTAAAAATTACTCACTGCAGTGAACTCTTTCTTGAGCATAAAGTAAGGAGTTTAAAGTAAACATTCCACTCAATAAGCATGGGAGGGAACACATGTGAGCACTGCTCAAAATATGCCTCAAAGCCTTATGGCCTCCACTTACCTGGATTCCGCAAGCTCGTCGTCGAAGCTTGCACGAACGAAGATGCCCTCAATGTTCTGGAGCGCCATCATGATGTCTTCTCTGGTGGCGGTGTCCGGGCCTCGACTTTGTCTGTCTGCCTTGTGCCATTCACCCTGTGGCGAAAAGGACGCCCCAGATTGCATCAGATGGACCGGTAAAAAGTCTGAGCCACACAGTGCACGGCAAAGTACTAAAGCGGAAGTAAAAATGTTCAGGCAAATCATGGCAAAAAAAGGTGCAAGCTGGTCCGACAGGTCACATATAAAAAGGAGTAGAATAAAAGGGCATACTGTGTTCGCCCTACTCTGATGTGCACCTGCTTTTCGAGAAATATACCTAAAAACTGCCAAAACCTTACAATCGGATACAAAACCAAAAGACGGGTGCATGTTAGTACCATTATTCTTGGGCGTAAAACTTGAGCACATGTTAGGATCAAGGGTGCGTTACAATCTGGTGAATATGGTATGTGGTTGGAATGCTAACAACAATGCGTTACAATCAGGTGAATATGGTATGTTGTTGGAATGCTAATAACAGACTACTGTTAGAGAAACTCCATCACAAGCAGCAACTGCACGCAATTTTGCAGAGCAGTTCACTGGGGACACTACGGCAAACTCCGGTCTTTTATAAAGTTCTCCGTAGCATTCTGCGATGATAGTTAAGGACTCATAATGGTGCAGCAGCAATAAAGGCCATACTGAGCCAATCCAAAGCATTCTACAGGGAGGTACCATATCTTTTAATTTACAAGTTGCACTCTCCAACAACCAGCTGTTTTCAGAAAAAAGTTGGTACAGTATACAAGTCGCACCTATTTGAATGGTTGGCACGGCGAAACTGCATTGAAAAGCCCACATGTGTATTGGGATCGCAGTATATGTGCAAACAAGACCAAGTTTTAATACTTTCGTCAATGAATTGAATGAAAAATATAACCCCCGTTGTTAATTTCTGCAGTTACAGTCCATACCTACAGAAAAAAAGCAAGGCAGGAGGCATGCATGGCTGCAGAAAGGCATGCGGAGTGCAAGTTTGTCAGCTTCTTTTGCAGGAGGTTGTGGCGACATCGGAACTCCGAGCTCCGATTGGCTCTGATTGAAGGGTAGTGGGTAGACCTCAAAGCAAGCTGCCTTGAGGCATACCCACTATCCTTCGATCAGAGCCAATCAGAGCTCGACGTTTTGACGCCACGACAACCCCCTGCAAAAGAAGCAGATGAACTCGCGCTTCGCATTGTGCCCAAGCCGCCTCACGTGACAGCCGGTAAAGAAGACCCGTGAGGGCAGGGACACTCACCTCCCAGAACTGGACCTCCACGGCATTGTCTCTGAGAGGCCCGTAAGATTGTCGGAGCGTGTGGTAGAGGGTCAGGCGGTTGCCCTTCAGGATCACGTCTGCAACCTGGGCAGGCCTCGACGAGGCCCGGTACCTGAAGGTGTACTTCAGGTGGCCTCCGTAGCTGTTCACCTGCAAGGGAACCGGAACCGCACTTCGTCGGGAGCTCAATAAATCTATTAGTCGGCACACGCGAAAAGTGGGTTTTAAGTTTGAACCGAATTCAAAGCGAATAGTGGTTTCAGTCAAACATTTTTTTTATTGAATATCAAATAATTCCTCCAAGCCTCTCACTACTACAAACCATGCTCAAACAAAAATTCTGCTGAACTCTGGAAGCTTTTTCCCAACCATCCACATGTTCACTTCTAAACTTGGTTAATTTTAATATAACAATGTTTAGGAACTGTGGCATGTAAATGACAAATTCCTAGTCTTGTGCGAATAGTGTATTTTGAGTTCGAAGCAAATAGTGGTTTTGGCTGAATATTTTCGATTCAAATATCGAATAGTTTTTCCATGCCTTTCACCACCACTAAGAAAGCAATTTGAGCCAGTTCGTTCATGATCCCTAAAAAAAGTGCCAAAAAATACAAGGACGAGGAAGTAGACAGAGCGCTCTTGCCTGTCTACTACCTCGTCCTCATTTTTTTGGCGCTTTTTTAGGTGCTTTCACTACAATTGAATAATGCTTGGACAAAAACCCAGCTAAACCTGTGAAGGTTGTTCCACTTGTTCATTTATAAGCCAAGTTCAATCTATTTATATTTATAACTGTGACCTCAGAAGGTTTGGTGTCTTGGGATGGCAAGTCAATGATGGATTTGACATAAAATGAATCCTATAAAGATGGCCAACTATACCTAATTGAGTGAATTTACAAGTCTTGCTATATGAAATATTCTTTCTTTAATGTCGAGTTAAAAAAGAATGAATCGTGCGTGATGAACGCAGCTTGTAAGGGCATCCCCGCCTAGCATAGTGTACCCTTGCATAACAGTTTCATTTTTAAACTTTTACTACACTCTAGATATACAGATTCACAAAGTTTCCATTTATTTTCAAATACAGTCGGCACGGGTGCATTATCCCGCTTTGAATGTATGCTTTTCTTTTAAGCACGCAATTACGATATGCATACTTTTTAAAGTGTTTATCGCGGTGGGTTACCCCGTTGAGTGCGCTTCTTACCGAGCACCGATGTAAAGCAGAGAAGCAACACCTGTGAAGCTCACTTCCGTGGGTATTGCTTCTCCGCAGCGCACCGGTGCTTGGTAAGAAGCGCACTCAACGGGGCTAACCCGCCGCAATCAACACTTCGAAAAACCCGAATAGTGCAGTCCTTCTTGAAGCGAATATCAAATAGCGTATTATTCGGAGCTACTATTCGAAATTTCGAATATTCGCACTACCCTACAAATTTGTCAGCTATCCTAATCAAGTGGATTTGTAAATCTGCTTGCTATGAGCATTCTTAAATATCTCGCCAAAAAAAGAAAAGCACAAATGATGAATGCAGGTTTTCAAGACATCGCCTCCCTAATACATACTTTTACACAATCACGGCAAGTTAGCCCCACTGAGTGCACTCTCCCCCGAGCACCTGTGCACAGCAGAAAAGCAATGTGCCATGGAGCTTGCAAGTTCTGTGGGTATTGCTTCCTAAAGCACACTCCTTGGGGCTAACTTGCCGCAATCAACATTTTGAAAAGCATGAATTATGTCAGTTCACCTCGAAGCAAAGATAGAAAAGAGCATTATTCTAAACTAGGTACTATTCGAAAATTTGAATAACCGCATAATCCTATCCATTCGCAAAGGATAAACAATTATTGTTAAACGCTTATCTTTCGAAAATATTGCATCTCAGTAAAACATTATTATAAAGCCCATTCCCATCACCTTAAATAATATCTTTGGAGAAATGAAATTATTTGCTACACTAAAAATATTTAAGGATTACAGGAAAAAAAGTATCTGCATATTATGTGCCTTATCATTATGCTAGGTTGCCAGAGGAGTTTTTTGGGCCACAGTCATTAGGGAGGATCAAACAAGATTTAAAAACCTGGAATTTCAGTACATAGAAGAAAAAATGAAGCAATGTTAAAGGGGTCATGAAATGATATCAGGTCAAAATGCTCATGGCTTTACAGAGGCGTACTGGTCCCAGTTTGACCCAAGTACACTCGCACGGGCCGCCACTGATATAGAAGCTTCTGGTCGTGGTGACATTGAGAGGATAAAAGGGGACTATTTCTTTCAGCCTTGCCTTCGCAAGGCTCGATGACGTAATTGTGGGATCGAAACCACCCGCCTGACAATAGTCGGGCACGGTTCCTGCATTGGACATAAGAGCTGCGTGAACACTCGACTTCGGCTCGTAACAATCAATGCTTCAGCAAACACTGGGGTTAGTGGCTCATGTAACCACTGCGGTGGTGAGAATAGCCGAACTCCAACATTGCTTGGGGCTCAGTTCGCGTTTTCTAGTTTGCCGACCCCAGCGCGCGGCTATGATTAGCATTGGCAGCATAGGATAGGCACCAGGCCCCGTGGCCGCTTGTTCCGGCTCCGAGTCGAGGGGATGAACGATGCTCAAATTTCTCCAATTTACTTACCGACTGCCATTGCTTACAGAGAAAAAACTAAGGCAAGCTTATTCGGTTATTACCATTAGGAAGTGATTCCAAGTAGTATTTAGCGAAAGCAGAAAAATTGTTTTATGGCCCCTTTAAAGGGGCACTATTGTCAATGACAAGACAAGAATGGCAGGGCCTGCCTTTCGAAAGCCCGGCCCTCCAGCAATTGCTCTGTACCTTCCACTGTGCCTTGGCTGCGCGTGCTCGAGATACACGAGACGCCCAGTTGCTGTCGAAGGTAGGGAACTTTGGCTAAAGGCGAATAACCAAAGGCTTCCCCCCCCCCAACTGCCACTCTCATACCTTTTATTGCACAAACTCAGTCAATATACCCCAAGCACTCGAGAAAACCTAAAATCACAATCGCGCGTGGGCTTTTTCCTTTACTATAAACACGACCAAACATCGCAACATACCCCTTTTCCGAGATATGTTTATCTCAGAAAGGGGGCATAATGCAATGTTTGGACGCATTTTTAAAGAAAAAAGAATGCCACGCGTGATTTTGCGAAGAACAAAGAACGGGCTGCTTGCTGAAAGTATTAAAGGAGACACCAGTAAATGTTTGTTGCTAGCTGAAAGAACTGCGCTGTCTCTCCTTGTCCTTAAGTGTTTTTTTTTTTTTTCTTTGATTCTTGCAGAATTTTAGTTTTGAATTTTTTTAGATTTCTTAGGGTACATAAAAGACTCAAAATTTCCTCTAGGGCCTCTATAAAATGACTGTGGATTACATGTGTTGAAAACCAAAGAAATGCTTCACGTGCCTGGTTGCCAAGGAATTCGGCAGGCAGGCTCCAGTAGTAGTGGACCGACGCATCCGAGGTCTTCACTCCACTGTCGATTCTGAACTCCCTGTTGCCGGGGCTGGACCGAATGGCATTCTGGTTTGGCCGGAACTTCTCCGTCACGTCCATGTAGCTTCCATCCGGGAGGACACTCATGGCAGCAACGGACACCTCTGTCACCAGAGGAATCTAGAAATCAACAATGTCAGTGAATTTCTATACTGTATGGTATAAAACTTTCTTAGGAGCCTAGTTTGAAAACCTATTGTAAAAATTCTCTAACTGGGTTTCCAGGAACCCCAGGTGTTCTCCAGAGTATTCCAAGGGGTTCCGAAAGCTCCTAAACTTCCTCGGCTGTCCCTGCTGTTATCCCAAGTGTTATTCCGGCTTAAGCAGCATTTTAGAAGATCTAAGCCATCTACTGATACATAACTATATGTCAAACATTATATATTGAATATGCATTATAGTTCACAAGGTCTGCAAGCTTCTCCACTTTATTGCATGAATGCAGAGAGATGAAGGAGTTCCAGTTGCTACCAAACAGAGAAATGCCAAATAGGCATTTCTCAAGATAAAAAAGTTTGAGAAATGCCAGTATAAACTACTGTAGTAATACACTTTGCACCAAAACGTCTGTGCAACACTTACAAAGCTAGCATATATCCCATGGCACAGCAACCTCAGACAACTGCTAAAAGTGTTCCTGTCTTCGCTTTCGCAGTACTAACACAAAGTACATAAAAAAGAGTGGAAATGAGCAAATTTAATTGTCTTTCCATTTTCTCTATGTTTTATTGGTGGCACTGCAAAAGCTAGGCCTGCCTTGCTGTATGTTTGCCAAGAATAGTTGGCACTACTATGAAACTCTCTAAACAGAACATGTAAAATCCCTTTTTTTGTAACCTACTACTGTAAAATACCGGGCAAGTGCCCACTCAAAATTTAGACATAACCGAGAAAAATTGGGGAATGGGCGCTTGTTCGGTCATCAATTTTACATATAATGCACTGTGCATATTTTCTCCGGTCTTGCAAATTTGGGAATGGGCACTTAATGTGGAATGGGCGGACGTGCGGTATTCTACGGTATGTATTGCCCATAATGGAAGTGGTTGCGTGTGAACATGCAGTAGAGTCGTTTTAGCATCCTTTAATAGAACTCTCAGGCACCAGGACAAATTGTTCCACTTACTGCAAGTTTCACCAATCAGGAGACAAAATCTTTCTGAAGGCTTGAGAAACCAAATAAATATTTTTAAGCCCAGTTTCACTTGTAGGGAAAGTCTATATCCACACAAAAAGACTCTACCCTATAACAATTTTGTGTGTGAAAAAGGACCAGTACAATATAGTACCTTATTTTCTTGCTAGCTGATAGCTAGCCTTTTCCATACCTCTTCACAAAAGGGGCTGTAAGTTGGACAGACCAAAGAAATAAAGGAGAAAAGAAAAAATAAAAAGAAGGAAAGAAAGACATAAATGAAGAAATAAAGAAGGAAATAAATAAGGAAAGAAAGGAAGAAAGAAAGAAGGAAGGGAGGAAGGAAAGAAAGAAAGAAGAAAAGAAGAACAAAAAAGAAAGCACACACGCGCGCATACGCCTCTAAATAGCTTTTCAGAAATTGTATATATACTACAGTAAACTTCCGTTAGTTCAACCTCGCTTAATTCGACTTTTCGTTTAATTCGATCGTGTTCAAAAGTCCCGGCGAGCACCCATACATTTCTATGGGAGGAAAAGTTTGATAGTTCTAGCTCGGGAAGACTCGGCATCGGATAATTCGTCCTGAGCGAATGCGCATGGGCTCGCATTGCACGGCACCATGGCAGAAAAACCACCAACGTACGGCGAAACACAGGCCCTTCGCTGCAAAACCAAACTTGCACAAATATGCGCCTGCTCTTCTACGCCGCTGAGATGGGCCGTAGCGAAGCGAATGACACGAGCGAGTGCCACCAATCTGGCGTGGAGTAGCGCGGAGAACATATCAAGTGGTCGGGCGCGCACGAGCCAGCGCGCGCTCTCGAAGCGTTTTTTGTAGCATCGTGTGCGCTCCATCTTGTGTACCAAAAAACGCAAGTTCTCTTTTCCTTTTTTTTTTTTCTTAATTGCCTACGGTTCGTTGCTCGGCGCCAAAGTCGGCTCGAAGCTTTCTCAGCGCGTGCTCTCAAAGCACTACTCTGTAGTCTGTAGCATCGTGTGCGGTTCATCTTGGGCATCAGAAAACGCAAATCCTCTTTTCCTTTTCCTTTTTTTTTTTTTTTGTTGTTGAGCCGATTTTTGCTTAGGGCCAAAGTTGGCTCGTAAAACTTGCTTTTTTCGTTTTTCTTTTTTTTTTTTTTTTTACTTTTTTTTTTGTAGTGCGCCGATTTTTCGGGGACGTGACATTTAGTTAAGCTGCTCTCCGAAGCATGCTTTTGGACACGCGTTTTAAGCGCAGACGGCGTCAGACCATCCGTGAGTACTTTGGACATTAAAAGGAAGTTTAATGTTAACCGTTTTTCTGTCCTTTTTTTAATTCGATTATTCGGATAATTCAACCAAATTAACGAAAGTTTACTGTAGCAGTATAAAAGCATGGTTACTTGTAGGTCAGAGAGAGGGGTTAGTTTGGGTACATTCCAATTCTATCAGACCTGAAGTGGAAAAACTGACAACTAATACCACAAACATTCTATTTAGATTGGTCACTTAACAGCTAATGAGAATTAGACACTGAACTAAGGAGAAGTTTGTTAAAAGAATAGCATAGAAGACCAAACTTACACTTGTCTTGTGCAGGCTGCTGCTGTGGCAGGTTTGAGCCACCCCAAAACAGAAGCAGCGCAGACAGTCCGAGCTTGATTGTGCTTTGTCATTGAAGAGGGGAGGATGGCAGACACCCTTGGCTACAAAGAGTAAAAGACGGTAAAAATTATAAAGATGCATGAAACAAATGTTTTTTTGCCATTCAGACCTTTTGGCAAGCTGGTACAAAACAGTTGTGAAAAATGGCCATGCATGAGCCATAATAATAACTGTAAAAAAAAAATGAGCCGTTTACAAATCTTTGTAACGCCGAATCGGAGCGCAGCTCTTGAGGAGGAGTAGGGAAGGGTACTGAGGGGGGTCACGTGATCTCGGGAAGGGGGGGGGGGGGGGGGGGGGGGGTGGGGGGGGAAGGCACGTGCCCCCCCCCCCCCCCCCCCCCCCCCCCCCCCCTTTTGGTTATACGCCGACGGCGACGCCGACACCGCTCAGGCTGGAAATGGGCCCCTAAGAGCTGCGCTCTAAAAGAGCTTCTCCAAGTTCTAGTATAGAGGTTTTTTGCGCTTGTCCGTGTCTACTCGCTTGTAATTGTCCCCTGTGTCGCGCAAAAAACCTCTATACTGCATCATGAACCAACTAGGCCAACAACAAGTTATAATTGACTCCAAGTTTTAGATCTCCAGGAACCCAGTTATCATTTGTCCCAGATGACCGAAGAACCCCACCCAGACTTAGCACTGATGCAATAAAGCAGTGCAGAAGCCTACAGAGCTTGTAAAAAATAATGCACATGGTGCTAGGGAAGTGATTTCGGGACCTTTCCTGGATCGGCAGAAAAGGGACCCCCCCCACTAGGGGAGGCGGAGGTGGAACAATTACAATGAAAAAAAGGTACTGTAAATTAAAACTGTAACAGATAATCATCAGCCCCACTTACTCGGCATACATGGTTTGGTCTATGTTGCTTTTTGGAACAGCCAGAATCAATAAAAACAAGTTTTACTGCTTCGATTGGGAGGCAGGGGAAGGAACCCTAAGAAGGCCCTTAGGGATCCTTTGAGAACCACGGTACTAGGAAGTGCTTGGCACCAGTAGACATTAGCAAGTGGCTTAGATCTTCTAAAATTATGCTCAAACCGAGGAAATGTGCTACTTTGTGGGATGACCTGGGAGCTCGGGGAATCCATGAGGGTACCTTGGGGAGCCCCTAGGTTCCTAGGGAGCAAATTTGAGATCCCATGTTTAAGAAGCCTGCCTCACTCCCCCAAATTTACAATTTGAGAGTGGATGGGGTTAACCTCATGCTGTGAACAAGTCAGTATCGGTAGACATTTTAGCGTGCCTGTCTAGAACTAAAACAAAAACAATTGAAAAAAGAAAAAAAACTGTGCTAAAACGTGCAAAAAAAAAAAATTACATATTAAAGGAGATTGCAGCCTAATGCCCAAACTCCCAACATGATTTTATCTTTCACAGTTTAGACTTCCTCGCAGTTAACAGTATGCTGGAAAAGAACATGCTGTCCTCGTTTATGACTCTTACTCTAGCACGCGGTTTCTTATCACCTACCCTATTAAAAATTTTATTTGAAGCCTAACCTCATGGGACGGGCTAGTTGGTTATACATTACACAATTAAAAGTAGCACTAAAGACGAGGACAAGTAGAAGCGCTTGTCTGTGTCTGTACTTGCCCTCATCTTTAGCGCTAACTTTAATTGTGTGAAGCCTAACCTAGTGACTGGAGATGCTGATCTATACCCTGTGGTTCTTGAAACCTTAGGGCAATGATGCCTGCAGGGTTAATGGTCTTAAGCAGCAGTTGTCACACAGCACCCAACAGATTAGCGAGAAGCCCCAGAAAATATGTATGAAAAAGGGAAAAGTTATTTTCATAATACCTATGTGGACAAACAATAAGTGTCCCACAATGGTATTAGTATTTATTTTGGCTCAGCGTATCACAAATAGGTCAGTGGTCTATGCCAAGGAAGCCCACAGTGAAGCATAAAATTGACGATGTGGCAAATATAGACCGGACTGTTTAGAGCCAACAAATAGTTCATGGCAATCCCCTGGATGTGAACTCGCTGGAAAAAGAGAATGACTATTTCTAGAAAAACTAAGGCGCTTTTTATCTACCCCAGAACGTCCTGTATGCAGAATGCGTTAATGATATATCGCCGCGCGTGCAGCTGACCGAGTAGGCAGCGCGTCCGTGGCCTAAGGGTTATCGTGCTTGGTTCCCACGCAAAGGGCCACAGTTCGATTCCTGGCAGCAGACACATATTTTTATTATCTAACTCTCGCATTCTAGAAAAGTTGAGAACCTCGTTGCGTATTCGAGGTCCGAATGTTCTAGGCGCCGAATGTTCCAGAAGCCCACGCATGTGGCGAGCCGGGGTCAGTCTTTCGCCAGAGTTTGATCCCACCACTTCGCTGTCATCGACGCTCGCCTTCGACGCCTGTTATTACTCTTTTCTTTTGGCACAAGGTTTCTTCGCAAGTCCCCGTCTCGCCAATCTATAAGTGACAATATATGCAAACCTGGCCATGACGCAAAGAGAACTACTACATGTGTACTATTAACCCATAGCTGCCTCTGATTAAATTCAGCAGGACGTGCTCGCTAAATTTAGCTGAACTTTAGCTGGCTAAAGTCAGCAAATGACATAGTACTACAATATAAAATAAATTCTGCATTAAAATTTTTACATTCAGACAAGAGAGCATCCGTTTGCAGTGCTACTCACTCTTGACCACAAGTATGGCATCCGGAGTGGCGAGCACGCTCTGCTTGCTGTTGATGGCCTCGCATGACCAGGCCCCCTGGTCGGACTGGCGCACGTCGCGGATGGTGACCACTCCGTAGCCGTTGTCGCTCGTCGTCGTGACCCTCGGCTTGGGCGGGATGTGGCCCCAGTTGAGGCGCCAGTTGATCAAGGGCACAGGGTTGCCGATGGCGCGGCACGTGATGTTGACTGTTTCTCCCTCTATGGCGTTGACGACTTCAGACGGGGATTGAGTGATGGTCGGGGGTGCTGTGGAAAACAAGAATTCATTTTTAAAGCATGGAATGCTTTATAACAAAAGCCCCTACACCCAGAAATCCATCCGCCCGTCCACGTGCATACCCTATACCAGGGGTGGCCAAGCTGCGGCTCTTCGCGTATTAAAGTGCGGCTCGCAGCTCCCCCTCCCCTACTACCTACCTACCTCGCACTCCGTGCGACGCCCGGACCGGAGGAAAAAAAAGAACAATACTGACGTCACGGCCCAATGTTGCTTTAGCGATCGGCAACCTGCTGGCCGCCCGCTAAGGAGCAGCGGCTCGCGGCGGGTCGCATTTTTATTATCGGCATTAGTTGAGAATGCGGCGTCCCACAGACTTAATATTTTGGCTAGGGTCGTATTTTGTGTCATTACAGCGATACCAGTAATTTATTTCATTTTGAGTTTTGGCCGGAGTTGCCCTTTAAACTATCCACGAGTTTGAATTAAGAGAGTGAACGAACGAGATTCTACTGTATGTTTATGAAAATACCAAGAGAATGTGCCATAATTAAGCATTTTGGTGGGGACCCTCTGCCATGCCAAGACAGTATGACAAGGGTATTTGTGTTAAGTTGAAGGAAAAATATTAAATGATGCCCATTTGGCACCACCAATTTTAAATCTGACACTCCTGAAGTCATACTTACAGCACCCAATTTCGTCAGACTTGTCCTGGCAGTCAAATTCTCCGTCGCAGTGGAAACTCTTAGGAATGCACTGGTCTCCCGAAAGACACTGGTACTCGCCCATACGACACGGGGACCCAGGAATGCTTTCTCCTGGTTGAAAAAACGAGAAACGTTCGAAATCTGTTGAATCCCAATGTGAACATACATTGTGAACACAACTGCAAAGTATTTTGCCGCTTCACATTCACAAACAGAAAGCCATGAAACTGTCAACTGATGTTATCGCAACTGGTTTTGGGAATAGCATTTTTTCCTGTTCTGTAATTAAATTTACTTGCCGATTTAACTCTAGAGAATGTTCAGTAAAAAGAAATAATGCAGCAAATATACATTCCCTGTTTCATTTCTGCTCTTCAATCTAACTGCTTGCGCTTCTAAGAATCTAAATCTTTCATTGTTTTATCGACCAAGCGATGTGTCCTGTCCAAGTCAAATTCCAAGCGACTAGTACCTACTCCATTAGCCTTTAGACATTTCGCTAGTAGTTAGCATGGATGAGTAGTGTGACAAAATTAACCTTCCCATCTCATGAACAGAGATGTTTTGTCATACAGTGATGAGCTACTATTATGAAAACAAAAGAACCATGAGCAGTCACAACTCACGGCAGTTCTGTTCATCAGTTCCGTCACCACAGTCATCGTCTCCATCGCAGAGATACACCTTCAGGATGCATTTTTTATTTCCGCACTGCATCTCGTTGGGTTCACACAATGAAGGTTGAGCTGCAAGGCATAAAGAAACATGTCAAGTTTTGGAACTTGGCCACAAGGCACAAAGAGATGCCTGAATGATGTTTGTACCGCAGTTAAGCTCGTCGGAGCCGTCTTCACAGTCGTAATCCCCGTCACAGACGTACTTCCGCGGAACGCACTTTCCGTTTTGACAGGTGGCTTCGTCGTGTTTACAGGCTCCTAATGGCCGGTCCGGTTTGGGTGTTGGTGGAGTGTCTGCAGACAAAAGGCAGCAACACAGCTCTCAAACTCACAGTGCACATCTCTTTGAAGACAACAATTCCGAAAAAGAGGATGATAAAAAAGAAAAAGAAACAAATTGAGCATAATTCAAGGTCGTGCCATCTGGGCAGGAAGCAGAGAGGCAAGGACGTGTAAAAGTAGGAGATCAGAAAGAAAAAAGAAGGGGAAGGCCGCAGTCGGGTGGTCAGACCTGCAGCATTGGCCAGATCGAGTGGCAGTTTTTAAACTAAAAAACTGCGAGGGAAAAAACAACAAATTGGAAATTAAAATGCATTTCTCCATGGGAGTTCAACAGTGCCTGTTAACGTAACAAAAAAAAATCATGTGTCAACAAGGTTCTACTATGTATATTTCGGTATTAATAATTCGGTGTCAAGAACAGTCGAAATGGGTACTGGATAACATCGAGTCCATTGGATGTTACCTGCCATTGTGCATTACCAGCAACTAAGACAGGCCTAGAATATAAAGTACATCATTCTAGACAAATATATGTGGAAAATATTAAGCCTTGCTGATTACCATGCAATCTTGTGGCACGACTTTTTGATGGCATGTAGTAACCAGTTACTACATTGGGACTCATTATCCCCTATACCAGGTGTTTCATATAATACTCAAAAATTTCTACCATAGTGAAAAAAAAAAAAAAAAACGCATCTCCACGTGGTGAATGATGTTGATTGGGGCGAAGCTCTGGTGGTGCTCGTCTGCGTAGACGCTGAGCCGCAGCATGCCGAGCCTTTCGTTCGTTTTCATCCATGTCACGCTGCGGTCAAATGCTCAAATGCGTATATAACCATGTTCAATACAACACATTCTCTTTCTGACATGGATGAAAACAAACGAAAGGCTTGGCATGCTGCGGCTCACCGTTTACGCAGACAAGCACCACCAGAGCTTTGCCCCAATCAACATCATTCACCACGTGTAGATGAGTTTTTTTTTTTGCCCTACACGAGCACGGAAGCACGTGCTCACGTGCTCGTGAGCACGAGCACCCGACGCCGGACATACAGACATGGCTAACCCCTAAAAAGCTTCGCCCCTAAAAAAAAAAAATTTTTCTGGAACAAATTGGTAGCCATGGTGGACACCAAGGACTGCAGAAGATATACTAATTAACTAAATAATTAACTAAACTTTTTAATTAGTGACAATATACATATGGTTCCAATAAGAAACTTGCTAAGCCTTATCAAAAACCCCTAAATCAGTCACTTTTAAGAAGAGGTGAAGCATGTGTGAAGCGCAGGAGTGCACTAAACCTACCACACTCCTGCAGCAGGCACAAGGCTCAGCAAGTTTTGTAATTAAAACCACACATTTATTTTCATTATTTAAAAGGCTAATTAGTAAATTCTAGTTAATTACTTAGCTCAGCCAGTTTTTTTTTTTTTTTTTTTTTTTCAAGCCCCGACGTTTATCATGGTTAGAAGTTTGTTTCGAAAAAGTTTTTTCCCTCAATTGCCGGTTAGTACTGAAATTTGGAAGTCTTCGCTACACCCCCTATATTCCATTGGAATCAGGTAGTGGTTTTTCAAAACATAAAATTTAACTCCGAGTGAATTTACTAACAACGTAGGTCAACCCTGGCCTCCGACAAAATGCTCGACTTCAGCAACCTAGCACCACGTGTGTGAGTAGGCAATTGACCAGCCCCAAGTACATTACAGTTCACGGACTAATATTTTGTCTTGCTAGAGGACGTGTCACACAGGGATTAAAGGTGAAACTGAGAGATTAGTTTGTTATCGATATTTGGCTTGTACAGGTGGAGTTACATGTGGCATTGGTAGTGCAAGTTCAAAAGGCTTTAAAATAAATCTGCCATTCATTTTGTGCATGTGCAGAAACATTGTACTGCCAGATTTCACAAAGGCAGATCTGTGAAATAGTGGACCAGCAACAACCAAATGCTACAATTAAGCAGGTGTCTGCAGCAATGAAAATACAAGGAAAGTATCAATGAATACCATTACTGCATTAATAAAAGTTCTTGCATCCTTTGGAAGTTTGTTAGCACAGCATTTGACCAATATTGAGAAGCGATTCAGTGTTCTTTTTATGGCAATATCCTAGAGAATATTCTATTGAATTAAGCAGAATGTGTGAACACAAACTTCCCTTGAATGCAAACAAACAACTTGTGCACAGTACTGCTAGTTTGAACATAAAACAAACACTAAGCAAATATCAGGAAGCTTCAAATTAGCAAGCCATTACCCTTTTTGTCTAGTAAGATGATCCCATAGATATACCCAACCCATGACCACTTGATAAAAGGCAAAGTTTGTGTAGACATAATGACAAAAATGGGGCAACAGACAGAACGCATATGGTAAAAAAAAAAGATCCCCTCGATTTTTTGTCAGAAAAATTTCTTGGGCTTGCACTCGTGGGTTTCCGGCGGCATGTGACAAAGTGATGACAAAACATGTATTCCGTTTTTGACCGCAAGTAACCATTACCTTTGGCCCCAAGAAACGTAATTTTAATAAAACAAATCTTCATAAAACCTTCACTGGTGCCTATATGGCATGGGTGCCATGGATCTGCAGACCAAGAATAGTACACTCTATGTATTGAAGGATTGGTCGATATGACCAAATATTTTTCTACTATCCTTGCTTTAGTACTGAGTAATCAGACGTGATTCACCATCACATTTCCTCGAAGTCTAGAAAGGCAATCAATCTTTATCTTCATCCTGACCCAAGCGAAGTACTACCATTCAATTTCTACTCAAGTTGCCCTTAAAAATGGATAATTTGGCTGTGATGAGCTGTGCAGACATCATTGAAGCTTCCTGATGACAATTTAGAAGAGTGGAAAGCAAACAATTCTCACCAAGGTGTAGTAGTCCAGGGTTTAGTAAAAAGAGAGCAGAGCAGTTATTAATGTTGGTAGTCATGTTAGTGCAACAAACATGCAACAAACACCAAAGCTCTAACACAGGAGAGCCTGCATGAGGATTGTGAGAAACATTTATTTTGAAGCTGAACGAACTGCAAAAACTCGAGCTTTGCTGAAGCAGAACTACTTCTCATTTGTAAACATAGATGTCGATCCAACACAAATGCTATAAAGGCGAACACTCAATAAGCTCTTGTTCACCACTGTGTCCAGCCATTGCAAAAGGAGAGAAACTGTTGCATAGTTCAAGACTAGGAGCTTTAACTATGGCCAGACTTTTTTGTCTCTATAAATTCTCAGGTTTCAATAACTGTATAGGTGAATAATAATCTAGGAAAGTTATGCAAGTGCACTTTGACTGTCCATAGCAGAGCAATTGTATGTTGACCCTTCCAATATTAAAATCTGCTTTTTGCAGGCCTTGCTCAACCAGATTTGAAGGACATTTGACGATTGTTAGAAGGCAGTTACTTATACAAAATTTAACTTTGAGTTTCTCACTTTCCTCAGAATTGCAATGTTAATGTGCAGCATGCTCAAGGATTTGTGGACACTGAATAAGTAGATTACAAGAACCTCACAACTTTTTTACAAATCGTGCAAAAAAATAATGCCTTCCTTTCATATTTTTTAGAAGGAGGCCTTTTCAGTACAGTACTTATTGTATTAAAGGTTCATGAAGTTCATTTGTAAATTAAAAGCCAATTTAATTTCTTCTGTCCACCATTTCCATATTTGCTAATAAACCATTTTTTAAATTATAGTTTTGAAGCTCGATTTAATTGAGACTTAAAAGATGTACAGGACGCTGGTTTGGATAACATAAACAAAACCCATAAAGATCTGTGTTTCGAAGCCTCTACTACAAAAAGATTGCACCGAAGTACAGAGTAACAAATTTCTTTATTTTTATGCTGGTAGCACCTATTACAACATGCATATGAAAGGTACATGCAAAATACATGCAATGCTTTGATAAGTACCTTCGTAGGTATTTGGATCGATTTTTGGTAGGAAGTCTCCGTAGTAGGGTTCAGCTGATGCATTATTTAGGTGAACAAAAAACATTACAAGTTTACAATGTTGGCTCTCTGCACAAATAAACAATTGCTAGGCAATAATACGCAACCAGCCTTACAGCCATGTCAGTAGCAGCACCCATGTTAGTTCGAAAAGCAGTTACCTACTTCACAGTGCCCATTCATGCTATCAAAGTATGTTGAAAAATGCTTTAATGAGAACTCTTATTAGCAAGCAAGCTTTTACATACAATGACAATTTGCCAACGTAGAAAAACAAACAAGTGCTACCACACAGTCATAAATACTTCATTGAATGACTAGCCACTTCAAGCACAAAAATGCCATTTGGTATTTTGACGACTTTTGTTAAATTACACACAAATATTTGCAAAGTATTTTTCAAGCACATAAACCATCACACGTAGCATCTCTCCACTATCATTGCTCTTAGAAATGCCTTTAATTTGTGCTCTTAAAAGTTGTACACTGTCGTGATTGTCAACTGCAGGAGCCATTGCCTCAAATTATTAACAAGGCTTTAAAGATACTAGTCACTGCAAGCGAAAAACTGAGTACCAACAGGCAGAAACAGTCGAGACACTCATTTTTTTTGTCTACATTGCTTGGCACATTAGACATCTGAACTGCATCGGTAAGGAAACAAGCACTAAATCATGTCAATTAGAAACTAAACGGCAATTGGAAACCTCTCTTCATGTCAGATATCTACCATTCATCACTACTGTCATTGTCCTGAGCTTGGCTCATCGTAAGGCAAAACGTAAAGACAGAACAAAAGAATGTAAAGAGAATGAATCCTTAAAGCATGAGGGAACAACTCCACCCCTACCCTAGAAATGTGACCTTCATGTAGACAGTGACCAAGGATTATTTTCCCAGGATACGCTTTTCTAGCGGCAACGCAGGGGCAAAGCTGTCCCTCGGATAAAACAATTCTATTCGCAAAGCAGAGCACACAAGCAAGTTAGGGTTTGTTGACCAGGTCCCAAAACAACAGGCAGTACATATGGTAGCAAAAGCAAGAAACTAAAGCATTCATTGTCAGTGCAGCCCGTAGGCAAAACTGTTCTCTCCGATCAAAAAACAGGCTAATCGTATTTGGAGAAGATGCACATCTGCGGAGAGCTGTCAACAGTTCCGAAACAGGCGGGGTAGACTAGTGGCGGCGGGTGCGGGGAAAAAAGGCGCAGTAGTCCGGATATTTACATGGCTGCACGGTGAGGAAGGCAGCCTTCTGTGCCCCTGAAGCTCCCCCGGGGGCCCCCTCGGCCCGGCAGAGGTAGACGCCGCCATGGTCAGGCTGCACGTTGGGCATAGTGAGCCTGCCACGGGCGTCCGTAGAGCCGGGAGGCAGCGGGTGGTTGTCCGGGCGCGTCCACTTCACCTGGGAACGCCGCGTCCCCTCGTCCCGGCAGCGGAACACCACCTCTTGCCCTGCAGAACACCGCAAGGAAGTGCTTGAAGCAGACTGCTTGCACTAGAAGCCCTCACGTCGGGCCCAATTTCGGTTGGCAGTTTGTGCTTGACGCCAACAAACGACATCTGGCACACTCCACTAGGTAGCGAGGGTTGGCTTAGACTGCCTGCAGATTTATGAAGCGCAACTGACACCTCAGCTACGCTACACCTATAGGCCCATTCTTTTCGGTCAGCTGCCGCCACAGTGTCTAGGACAGGATTAAAACTGACATAAGGCGGGGCCCTAATGTTCCAGCGCCCACAATCCACGGGTGTGTACAAACATTTGTCCCCATGTGCTAACGGAGCATTTGAAGGAACTAAAAAAGAATCTTCGAAATCAATGTGAGAACAGTCAAACTCATGCCTTCAGTGTCCAATCAAGACTCTACAATGATCGATTGATTGATTGCCCGTTACATATTTCGTTCTTGTTTTAATTTTCTGGGTTATACCAACATGGGCAAGCGTGGTGATATAAAGTCAAAACGTGACTTCAAAATATCCAATTTTGCTTGCCACAGGCGCCACTCACAACCTGAGAGCTACAGGCCTTATGCTGCAACAGGCTTTCATTAGATTGTAGACACTAAGGCAGGAGTTTAGACCCAGCAATTTGGGATCTATGCGACGAGCCGGGCTAGCCTCGAGGTGTAACTCTGGACAAGCCGTTGGACAATATGTAAATCTGACGTAAGAGAGGAAGTGGTATGGCTGATCACAGATATACTAGCAGATGTTCCTTTTTTGGTGGAATAGTCTTTGAAACGAAAATATTGTGTTATATAATAGGAAGCCAGTCGAGAGACAGCAAAGGCACCCCCCACCATAAGGAAGCTGGACAATATTTACCGTAGTGTACCTATGCAAGCATTGCTCCCCCTCTTACCTCCAACTGGAGGCTAAAGCTTAGTGTCAAGGGAAGTCGCATAAGCTTCCCCTTGCGAAGACCTGTGTTTAACGCAAGTCCCCATCACACATTAGAAACATGAGACCAGTAGCCCGTGGCTTCAAGCTCCAGTCCACGAGTGAGGTAAGCAGAATACCAAATTTGTAGAATTGTGAAATAAGCACACAGGTAGGGAAGGACGGTGATGGGACTATACTTTGCCAGAGCTTTGCAAGGCATAGGGATGACACTAAAAGTGCTGCATATATTTGCTATCACTGATTCCCAGGAACAAGGGTTCATACGTTACAGTTGCATCCACTTCTATGCTCCTGCAGATTTAGAATCTGTTAGTGAACACTCATTTGCATGCCTATGGAAACAAATGTGGAATCATGGCTTAGTGTCATGACATACATACTTCAAGCGCTGCAAAACCATTCCTAGCATATGATACACAAGGTTGATGCAAGGTAGCACATGTACATTTTAGTGGGATGCTCTCATAAACCCTATAGTTTACATTTGCAACTGAATTGAAAAAACAAGTTAGCAGGGTCACAGTGTGATGTGTTCTTTATCCCATGAAATGTCATGCCCAAAATCACTAAGTCAAAAAAAAGAAAAAAAAAAAGAAATTGAAAATTGCAATGCAGCCTACCTTGCTTTATGGTCTGGCGCTCTGGATAGACCCTTATGTTGATGCCTGCATCTGGAGCTGCACAAAAAGGAAAAGTGTCAACTGTTAACAGCAGTCTCAGGAGTGCAAAGCAACTGCAAGCGGGAAATTCAACGTACGACAGTCTGCTTCATCCGAGAAATCCGTGCAGTCAAATCGACCATCGCAGCGCTTTGATCGCTCAATGCACTGGGCATTAGCACAGACATACTGGTCAAGCTGGCAAGTCCCTGGAAAATAAAGGTAAAAAAAAAAGCCTTAACAAGTAAAAAATGCTTGGAACAAAATTCCAAGTATCAAAAGGTGTCTTCCTTAATGGAAAACAAATACGAGTTGCACTGCAACCGTTGGTAACAGTGAACAGTTTGCTGTAAATATTGAAGTCAACTTTATAGGAAACAAACAAGTTTATCTCACATTCCACATTATGTTCCGGAGTGAAGGAGTCGGTGCATGACCCTTTCTAGACTTCTGGTACTGTACTTCCAATAATCTAACATGAGGTCATTGAAGTGTCAAAAGGGAAACTAGCAGTGTTGAACTTCACTGCCGAAAGGCAATGAATAGTTGCAAGTTAAGGAGCCATACTGCAAGTTAAAAATGCTATTCATAAATTGATTGCAGAAAATTCATTAAGACAGATACTTCATTTTATGTAGCCTAAGTTATTACACAAACATAGTTATTACACAATTCTAATACAAGATTAAACACTTGTATGAGATGCCCAATCTACATTAACAAACATGAATTAAGAATGTTTGAAAACAATCTTGTCACTTAATGTTCTTTCATAACATTCGAAAAACAGTATGCAAACACTACTGTAGTCTATTCCTAAACAAGGAAAGTATAAAACATGGTAGCAGACATGTTTTATGGCATGTCAGAGTAATGATGAGCTTCCTATGTGTGTTCAGAAGAGTCGTGCTTCTATATTTAATAGGATTATGTGAATATTTGAATTGTTTTAATAGTACTAGTTTCGAATAATTTGCTATTCAATATGTGCTTCGAGGTTAACTGCAATATTCATATTTTTCGAAGTGTTGATCGCAGTGGGTTAGCTTCGTTGAGCGCGCTTCTTACCAAGCACCGGAGCACTGCGGTGAAGTAGCACCCGTGGAACTCGCTTTCGCGGGTGTTGCTTCTGCACAGTGCACTGACGATTAACACTTCGAAAAATGTAATATCGCTACTCATCTCCCATCAAATCTCAAATAGTGTATTATTTGAAACTACCATTCAAAAATTTGAATATTTGCACAATCCTAGTCCTTCTCCAGGGATTATTTTTGTCATTCTTGTCCAGCTCGCGTACACCTTTGCATTGAATTGCATTATAATTATAACAAATAATTCAACACTTTGTATTGTGCAACTGCAAATCTATATTAACCTACAAAATGCCTAGTTAACAATAGCATAATTCTAAAAATTAAATTGGTAGCTTTTGGAATGAAAATTTCCCTTGCCCCATTAATTTTTCTATAGCTTAGGAATAACCATTTATTATGTCCTTAACTTTCATTTGGGGGCAAATTAACAATTCGCTGATTTTCTACTGCAACACAGTTTACACACACACAAAAAAAAATCAAAATACCACTGAATCATGCTTTTCAGGTTATAAACACGTTTGTAAGTATAAAAACTTTTAATTACTTGATTTAATATTCGAAATTATTATGACTAGAACAGGACCGCAAAACAGTGCTCGTAAATTAAAGGCACAACAGTTTGCCAGCGGGAGGCACGTACAGCAGTCAAGCTCGTCGGATCGATCGGGACAGTGGGGAACGCCGTCGCAAAATTCGTCCCTGTCAATGCAGAGGCCAGACTGACACCGGAATTGAGAAGGTCTGCAGAGGTGAGACTCTGAAGCAAGTGGCAGGGTGCCACACACACACCACAGGGGAGGCAGAGAAAGAGAGGGAGGGAGAGAAGGAAGAGTAGGATAGCCATTGCAGCGTTAGCACACTCGTGAAAAGAAAGCACCGTGAAGGAAAACAGAAACTAGTCAAGGTTAGCATGCAGAGATGTAGGACAAGCTATTACACGAAACAGGTTTTTTTTAACAGATGCCTTGCAAAAACTGCTAAGACAGAAGTTGGGTGTAGAAGTTGGACCAGAGAGACTGCCCAGTTAAGGCATTTAGCTGGTAAAGCTACCGCAAGCTGAAAGAAGGTTCCTACATTTCTGGAGTGTGAGATGCAAGAAGTTATTACAAAGTGTTAAAATTGTGGAAGTGGCAACCATGTTCAACAATTTAGCAATGCTACGATGCAAAGCCAGTAATTATAATATCCATGTTGGAAGGATGCACTGGACATTTAGGACGATTTTCCCATGACAGAATTTTCGAAGAACACTTGAAACAAAGGAATCATTCTTTCGCGATAAACTGGCTACAGTGAACATCAGGGCATGAATGTGTAGTATCTAGAGATTTGATTACTTAAAATCTACTACCGTAAAACACGGAGTACGCAACCATGTCATAATAAGTGTCCACTTACTACTTTTGAAAAGTATGGAAACAGCAAAAGACACATCAGGTGCCCACCAGATTTTGTAGCTTACCTAACTAACAGAAGCTCCTCCTCCTACACTAGCCGCTTCTCCCAGCACCCCAGTGAAAAGTGGTGGTGCCCCCTTTGCATTTCTGCACTCTGACAAAACAAGTGCCCTTCCCCCAGTTTTTCAAAATTGCCTTAGAATTTTGGGTGGGTGCTTGCTCTGCAGATTGTGGTAATTATTGTTTTAAATATATCTGCCTTATCTGGCACATCACGATTAGAGATATGCTGCCCATCATCAAATTATGCTATAGCCATTTAAATTACAGCAACTAGGGCATGTCTCATTCTACACTATTCTCTGGCAAATTTGAGCTGCGAGGAGACCAGAATACTGAAACTAAATGCAACAGAGCTCCAGAACTGGCACCCAGGAGCGACATCGGCCACAGTAGCGGGAGCGAGTCATCGCAAACAACAGGGTCACATGGTCATAAAAAAGGTGCATTACACTGACGTCTCCCTAGGTGCACAGCTTTTGGCGCTTTTTTCCCCCCTAGTTTAGGTACTACAATTTCTAGATAGCCTCATTTTGCCATTGAATAGTGTGGAGAACTATTTAGTTTTCAGACTTCTCACAACAGTTGCAGCAAATTTGGATGGAAGACAACAAATCTCTACTAATTAGAATGTGTGAGACACGACAAGTTTTTAAAGCTGATTAGCAAATTTTAGGTAATTTGATTGCTTATTTATACCCTGATGTCCACCCCAGTTCACAATGCTCTCCCAAAGAGATAATTTCTATTGTGCCTTTTTCTTCAAACTATTCTCAGTCAGGGAAATATCCTGTATAGCATGCACCAATTTACTTATGCAGCCAAAAAAAAATCTAATGCCCCAAAGCTCAGCCCTTTAAGCAAGAGCAATCAAAACATGCCAAACCCAGTATAAAATATTCTAAAGATTGTACAGAACCATATTCCATGGCGGAAAGTCAGAATGTGCCGATATCTCGCAGGAATCTGTTTTACGGGTGAACAACAGGTTCATAAAATTGCAGAAGCATTAAGCTAAACCACGAGGACCAATATACTTGTCAAGGTTTGAAGTCTTCTACAACATTCCATATTGACATTTGCAACAAAACAGCATTGCATAAATATGTTTCGTATTAAAGCTTAATAATCGTCACCAATGTTTTAAGCTAGCATGTTTATGTTTTCCATTGCTAAAGGGCTAAGGTCTTTTTAGAAATGCCATGGACTCAGCGTGCAGACCATGCAGTGCCATTTAGATACATCTTGTGTGCATGCAGACAGTAAAGAATATGTTTGTAACCGTTAATTAAGCAACTACTGCATAGATGAAAAAATTGCAGAGAAGAGGGGCATGAAAAGGCAAAAGTGTCAAAGCAAACTCGTGTAGTACTTTGGCAAACGAGAGTATTGGTGAGGCTAACTCAGTCAGTACCACAGTTCTGCTCGTCAGAAAAGTCCTCACAGTCATAGTAACCATCGCATCGGAGTAAGTCCTCCACACATTTTCCATCACCACAGCCAAACTCACTGTGGCTGCAGCCTCCTGCAGCATGCAAGCAAGTCAAGTCACTCAGTGTCAAAGAGCAGAAAGAGGCAACAGGAAAGCAAACAGTATGCAAGAGAGGGTTAAGAAACGGGCAGAAGACAGGATTGTCTCAAGTTGAAGATTTTCTCAATTCTATACAGAAGGAAAAGGTAGCGCAAAACTTAAACCTGAGTATGTCTAGCTTACAGCCCTTACAGCCTCTTCAAAGAAATTTTGGACTAAATTCCCGATTTTAACCTAGAAACTCGCAGAAGTGGTCATTTCATTGAACGTGAATACTATTTCACATTTATATTTTATATAAATTTCACATCCATGCGCCCATGAAGTAAACACATAAAGGGGCCTAAAAAGCTTTGAAACATTCCCAACAAAATAAAAAAATATGGGTACACCAGTCAGGGCAGAAAAAGCAACTTTAATTTGATTTAAATTGAGCTGCTTTTATGTTTAAATCAGTCTAAACAATATCCAATGACAGGCAACAATTTTCTCGGTTTTTCTTATATAGGAGGCAATTACGCCTTGTTTCTGATCCTTCGTTCTTTGGTTTTCTTCCACTCGTAAACCACAATACCAAGAAGCCCACCTTCATGCCTTTACTTCCTTATTTCTCTAGGTTGCCCGTAAGTAGCACAGCTCTTGTATTTCGTGAAAAGACACCTAAACCCATAAATGGCACATCGGACTTCCCTCCGATGGTATTTTTGTGAGCAGAGCTAAAATAATTTGTACAATGTACACTGAAATGTGAGCAATTTTTTGGTTGATTTAAATTCTCCGACAATTCCAGATTCTAGACACCGCTGGAATGTTGAAACTTAATAAAATTAACTGTTGGGCTAGCCGGTAACACATAGCGAAAATAAAAAAAGTGCAAAGGACAAAGACAAGACAGGCACTTGTCCTTGTCACTTTTTGATTTTGAATTGAAACAAAGGACAATGATACTTACTGCAGCCTGTTTCGTCGGACCCATCTCTACAGTGATAATGACCATCACACCTGAGGTGTTTCGTAATGCACTCTCCACTCTTGCAGTGGAATTCTTCCGAAGTACAACCTAAAGGAAAAACAGAAGTGTTACAAGCTAAATAACATTTTATAGTTTTTGTTGTTTTTTTCACTTCGAAGTGTACCCCTGTGGAGAAAAGAGGAGACCCATGGTTGAGGCATAGTACAACATTAAAGATTAAGCAATGCTTTGCCTTGAACAAACGAGAAAAACCTTTCAAAACTTAGCCCTGTCTCCCTTGACATGGACAAAAGCATCTTAAAGCCTGGTCTGAATCGTGAGGTGCTTGTTGTACACCAATACATTTGCACACGACTGACAAGGGAGAGCATTTAGTTCCATAATTCAAGAGACATGCCGTCAACGTTTTTATCGACAACAACTGCTCATGGCACAAGTTGAATTGACACTCGTGGATATACCCATTACAATCCAAATCTCAAGATAAATTGACAGCACTCTTCCTATGCCTGTCAAAGTAGACAATACTTTCTAAGGACTATTAATGTTGTTACTTTGCTTTTTGATAATTATGAGTTATCAGTATTGCTGCACCTTCCAATATATGTGCCACCTGCTGTGCTCTGCGAAACAGTATACGGCCAGGATGACCAACACTATTTCAAGAGATGAAATCATTGTAACTACTTTTCGCGTCATTTGCATCACCGTGCCAAGCCTGGATTAATCCAGCAATCGTTATAAGACTATGCCTTGTGCCAATATTCCCCACGGTGACTGTCACATATTGGCCACACTACGGTCCTTTTCGAGACATCTTGCAGCTTCAATAACCAATATTAGCCTCTCAAACTTCAATAAAAACAAGCAGACGCAGACTTACAGTCTTCCTCATCGCTTCCGTCGGGACATTCCCGGCGTTTGTCACATCTTCCTGAAATCCTAATGCACTCGCCAGACTTGCATCTGAACTCATCTGCCCTACAAGCTTCAGAGACTGTGGAAAAAAATAAGGTGATCAATGAATTACTGATAGATAAAAGAAAGAAAACATGCAATGCAGAGGCATACCCCAAACTAAATAAGCACTGGGGACACATTTCACTGTCCGCTCACAGTCATCAAGTCACCACTGATATTTGAAAATGTACGATAGTAGTGTTGTCGTGGTGAATTTTAGTTTTAGAATTCAAAAATTAAGCAGAAACATGGCTTGCAGACAACAACTTCAGCACCTACAATTATTTTCTGACCCAAGCCACCTGCCATAATCATTAAACTACAAAAATGAACTGTTTGCATTAGTTAAAACCATGGCAATTTTTAACAAACTAAATCGCTCCCGATTTGAGGGCTCTATTAGATGGAAGTTCTAGCTCTCATGCAACAAAAAATCTGGAACTCTTGTAAGTCGAATCTTGTTAATTCAAACTCAAGGGGGGGGGGGGGGGGGGGGGGGGGGCGAAAATTTGTTTGAATAAAGCGAAGTTTGAATTATCAGGAGTTTCCTACCATAGAGGCGCATAGGATGGGACCTGTGCGTTAGATGGAATTATCCGCAAGTTCGAATTAAGAGAGTCTGAATGATTGAGAGTCGCCTGTATATCAGCAATATAGTACACCGGTTACAGTGGCATTTCAAGGGCAATCGGAATCAAAGGCACATAGAATGCAAAGAGCCAGGACCACAATCTAATTTGGCTATTACATGCCTTTTTGTCTATGAGCAATTTCATTTCAAATTGAGCTGGGAGAAAGAATCCCAATTTTTAATTTCGTCCCGAAAAATGTTTTGGGGCATTCTTAAAGCGGGTGCAAAAAGCAAGTTCAAAAGATTTCTTGTGTTTAAGTTTTGATTTTTTAAGCAAGGTGTCTGCCACTAGCTCATCCTTCCAGATATGAGCAATTCATAAATTAGACATCTCTATACATTTGTTGACTAGACTGTTTTCTAAACAACAAATGTCTGAATTAAACAAACCAAAATATGTCGTAAACACTGATCAAAATATAGAGTGCCTTGCACATCAGTTTAATATACTAAACATGTAGAAGTTTCATTCACTGCAAGGGTAACAAATGTAAAAAATAGTTCTCATGCCAGTAGTATTATGCCGGTCGCCCCACTTTTTGGAGTCTTTCATGAATATGTCAGTTATATTTTATTAACGTTTCTGCTTTAACCTTGCTTTGAGGCATGCAATTGGCATGCAAATAAAAAAACAAATGGGAAAAATATATGGTATCGCCTAAAAATATAAGATATATCACTCAACTTTTTGTGGTTTTTGGTAAAAAAAAAAACTAAGTACATTCACAGTTAAAAGTAGGATGGCAAAAGTGGGTGACCCTAGTCAACGAAGCAGCATCAAATGCAAACAAAACAACCCGCAAGAACAAAATGTAGAACCTTAAGACCCAAGGAGCCACAACAAAATGTCCTAAATGTGAAAATGCACACTAAGGGTGGACTAACTTCGGCCCTGAGGGTCACACTGGAATAGAGAAGCTATGAGGACCCCTAAAAAAAAAAAAACTGTTTTGCGACAAACCTTCCACATTGCAGAACAATAAAGTAATATTTGAAAAAATGGCAAACCGGGAACCTTGTTTCACTTGGGCAAGAAAACAGCCTGGCAGTTTTTGCTATCCATTCTATGCAAAACTGTTTCAAATAAACAAACTAACGAATTTCGGAATAGCAAATATTTCAGTTCAACGAACTTGGTCGGCGGACCCAGGATTATTTTTGCAATCGGTTCAAAGAAGTTTTGTGCTCTGCAGTGCTGGTGAAGCCGATGCCCGCCGTACCGCCGCTGCCGCCTCTACAGCGGCGGCGTGTCATCACTGGCGTTTACAGTCCCGCCGAGGCAAAGCGGTGATGTGGTAGACAAAAATGAACCACATGGTGTATCTGTCTTTTCTTTGTCATCGGTTCCGTTCGGCCATCTTAGTTTTGAGTAAAAACGGCAGGACGGCAGTTTGTGCGCCCACTTTCGTAGCAAGTACGACGAAACGGAAGCAGTTCTCTATCAGACAAGTTAAAAATCCTTCAGTGTCTGGACAACGGTCACAGGCGAGTGGACGTTGCGAAGGGTTATGGGATTCACCATTGACGTTGTCAACGACAGTGAAGCAAAAGTCTAAGCTTGAAGGAGAAACTGCATTCAATCCCAACAGGAAACGACTCTGCAGGGGATATTTCAAGCCAGTGGACGATGCAGTTTCGGTATGGCTTCGTCAAAACAATAGGCTGTGCCATAGGAAGTGCAAAAAAACTCTGGACAGCTTTGTTACTTCAAGGACTTTAAGAGCACCAGTGCAAGTGAAAATTATATATTTTTTTTTTCAAAATGCGAAAGGCAGCAACGTAACTTATACACTTTGTATATACCGATGTATGAGACTCCCATAAATTGCATTTCACACTTTTGACTATGTAGGCTGTGCCCTATGCTGTTCCATATTCTAGCGAATATATTCAGTTCAGTGAATTTTCAGTTTAGTGAACCATTTGCTTGGGTCCCTTGAAGTTCGCTCAATTGAGAGTTGACTGTAGCAGGATTTACAATGTTGAGTTAAAGTTACCCAGACAGTACTCATCTTTGAGTTAGCAATTTTCATTCGATAGAACAATGCTGCTGAAAGATCATAAACATCCAAAGATACAGGAAACCAGTATATACCAATTCTCCTCATATTTGGTTTATCTTCAGATTAACCATCTTCATGTGAAACTGTAAATGCTCTACATGCATATGTCAAGACAAAAGAGGTGATTCAAAATATATTCAATTAATTTGCACACCTTATCGGTACCTACGCTAATTCGAGTATTACGACAGTTGGATAGCCAAGTGTGAATGAGGCCAAGTGCCAAACCATCTTCAGTGGCCACGTGCGACCCTTGGGCCCAAGTTTAAGCACCCAACGTCAGCTAAACAAGCATGACCCCAAGCTTGCTATTTCCCAGCGTGCAAAGTAAAGTCATTTTCCAGTTAGTACGTACCACAGTTAGCTTCGTCAGAGAAGTCCGAGCAGTCTACCCTATCGTCACACTTTCTCCTAATGTCAATACAGCGTCCATCACCACACTTGAACTGTGCAGCAGTGCAACCTGGAACTGGGGAGACATGCAGGTGCTAACCACAGCTCACCCAAGACATGCGTGTGAGGCAAGCTCGTTACAGGGCAGGTTAGGGGCACACTTGATTCGCATGTTATACCAATCCTAACAGGCACTGGTAAAACCAAGTGGAAAGTAACTGGTGAAAGCCAGCACATGTATGTAGTCTGCATCGGAAAACACGCTCTTAGTGAATTGGCAGCTGTAAAATTATGTACGCTTTTGCAACAATAAATACACTTCTAAACCTTAAAAAAAAAAAAGTTTAGCTTTTTTTTTTTTGCAGGGTATAGATATTTTCTATATATTTCTTATTTTAAAATCTCCACATTGGCACTCTGCGTTGACCGGGGACCAGAACAAAGTCAATTGGAGTGATGTACCTTTGTCCTACCACTTCTCTGCAATGCGGACGTCCATCCGGAAAAATGCTCCCTCAAAACGAGCGGACGTGTGTTGTCACACTGCCGAGAGATTCTTTTATTGTAATGAAATCCGTTTTAACTCTCATACCCCAGCTAAAAATAAGCAATGACTGCTACAGAAGCATGAGCAGTGATAACAGATTTAGCTGCCCTGTCAATAAAACAACTTAACAAAATGACAAAAAGTTATTTTTAAATTAGTTTAGAGTTTACAGCGAGCTTTAAATATATGCGTTAGCAAAATTAAGAGATAAAAAGCTGGTTTACTATAAACTGTCTCGATCTGCCTTGAGCATACTGGAAACTGAAAAGCTCCTCCAGTTCATTCCTTTGGCTTAGAATCACCCTAACATATTTCGTGGACCAAAAATCTATCCAAAATAGAATGAAGAACCTTCAATCATTTTTTGTGGCATTTTACAACCCATCTATGACCAAATAAAGAATTTAACCCACCTATGACCAGATAAAGAATTTAAGCAACGGCGGCTAGCTAGACACAACTGCTGGTGAAACTCAATGCTAGCATGTTCCCCCACGTACATGTAATGTCAGACATTAGAACATTGCAGAGTCAGAATTGAAGACATACCTGCGCTGAGCCCACCACGTATTTACTCGCAGAACGAACGCACTTTTTTTTTTTCCGAAAAATCGATGCAAAGTTGGGGGGGGGGGGGGGGGGGGGGGGGGCGTTCATTAGGCGAAGTAAAATTTTTTGCGTCAGTATTTACTCGCATAATGAGGGACCTTTTATCCTGCAAAATCGAAGTCACCTCTTATCTCTTTGCGCGCGCGGCGCCCCCGTAACTAAGCTGTGCAAAAAAAAAAAAAAATTTTTTTTTCTTAGTTTTTTGGTTTTTTGTTTTTTTGCCGCCTTTCGCAAGCTGTTTTGTTTGCTTAGGCGTTGCTTAGGAGAGGGCTCCGCTTATCTTATCTCCTTGCGCCCGACGCACGACCCCGGTAACCAAACTGCGCTGTGCAAAAAGAAAAAAGCTCCTCTTTTTCTCTTGTTTTTTTCTCAGTTCCGTGGTTTTTTTTTTGTTTTTTTGTTTTTTATTCTTTTTGCCGCCTTTCGCAAGCTGTTTCGTTCGCTTAGAGCGCTTCTCCGCTTCTCTTTCTTACCTACTTGAGCGCGGCGGCGCGCGAACCCAAAGTCCAGACTGCGCCGTGCAAAAAAAAAAAAAAAACTCTTCTTTATGTTGTTTTTTGGTTTCTTTGGATCTTTGCGAATTGTTTTAACGCCTTTTGCAAGGCAAGGCGTTTTGTTCGCCCACCCTGCCCATGCATTCGCGACCTCGCTGCACCAGGATAGAAAAGTTCACTCATTTCGAGCGCGTGGGGGGAGGGGGTCAAAATTTTGACGTCCCAGTTGGGGGTGCGCTTATTACGCGAGTGAAAAAAAAAGTCGAAATTTTGAGAGCCGACTTGGGGGTGCGTTTATTACGCGAGTGCGTTCATTGTGCCAGTTGCAGCAGAATGAATTGTAATTGCATAGCATAACAACTATTAGAAATGGGAAAGCATTACCCAGTGTGACTATCAGCGACCAGGAATGATGACCAAATAATTTTAAAAAAGCCCTAGAAATAAGTGGTTCAGATGGCACCAACTATAAGAATGACAGCATTTTGAAAAATCGAAAGTGGTAGCTAATAGGACGTCTCCAGTTTGAAAATGTTTGCTGTTCTGGGACACTGGTTCATCTCGTCTTGCTGGCCATTGCTGCAGCTCGGGGTTCCTTGAAGCTTCAGTAAACAGACAGCAGCATGTGTAAGCCGACATGCAGACTACATACAGGGCTGTCACAAGACTGCCTTTACTACATTCATGCAGACCTAAAAGAGAACTTGGTTCCTATACTATCAACTACCTAATTGCAATACAACAGAAGTTGGAAATTTCTGCAAACTCTCACTCAAGAGCGCCTATTTTAGAAAATCTTTGTTTATACTACAAATGACCTCATTTTGCATACTCTGTATTTTGCGAATTTAGCGAAGTGAGGGTTTCTGGAACAATTCACAGCCACAAAATTTAGAAATTTTGAGTGACAGGCTACATATTCATCACCATAGGGCGATATATTTGAATAATAATTTTTTCAATATTTTTAAAATCGCGAAATTTGAGAAAACTAGGTTTTTGCAAAATTTAAGTCTCTTACAGTATTCCACCATGGTGTACAAATTATGTTCCAGGGTGTCTTGAATTTTCCTCAAGTTTCTTTGTACAAAATGGTTAAAGTACACGAGTGAAAGTTTGCCATCTAATCCTTTTCGAGCACTGCTCAATAAATGTAATCTCGAGTCCACCAACAAACCAGAGCCCAGCAATCCTCGGGTTAGTGCAACCGCAAGCACCCAACCGCAAAGGTGATGCAAATCACGTCAGGCAGCTCTCACCAGGACAGCCATGCTCGTCGGAGCGGTCTCTGCAGTCTGGTGTTCGATCACACCGCCGAGCCTTGTCAATGCAAGTTCCATCGGAGCAACGGAACTCGTTGTCCTTGCATTCTGCAGTATACAAAAGGAATGACCTCAGCTGGGAAACTAAGACGCACATTGTGCGACACTGTTTGTGTGGATAGTGCAGCCCTTCGCACGCTACACGGACAAAGCACTGACAAACGTGGCAAATCATAGGTGCTGGCACCGCTGGTCCAGAGGGAAAAAAAAATGAGAAAGAGCGACAAAAGAGCAGAGAAAGAAAACAGACGATAGGTTAAGCGTGTTCGTTTTTATGCGACAAGTTGAAGTTGTTCAGGTGCATGTAAACTTCATTTTTACACAATATACAATGCTGGTGTTCCGTAATGTAAGCTAGAAAAGAACTAGGTAGTACACAAGTTACAGGCAATGTTTTGCTGCTTTGTCTATGTTAAGGCGTTGCCTGCAATATGGGCTCATGGGACCACCCTCTGGATCACTGATGTCCGCATCTATGCCCTGCCGTTCTGAAGCGGTCGGAATGCATGAACCTTTTTCTATAGATTATTATATTAAGTCTACTATGTCACCACCTAAGACTGTGCCCTGGAACAGTACCATCTACCACAGTATGTACAAGTTTGGAGCACAGGATGTTTATACTAAGAAAACAAAACGTAAAAAGCTGTCAATCTCTTTATTATGCTAAATATGTTGCATTCCATACTATTGCTGCCCTTTCACAGACCAGCAATTAACTAAAAAAATTTCCTCACTTCAAAAGGCTCCTTATCATACAAACAACACTTGTTCACCTTTTCCAGCTCTTTTGAAAGCTCTGGATTTTTTTAGTTCACAATGTAAGAACGATTTTTCATTCAACATATGTAACGAGTCAGAAGAAAAACATTAGTGCTTTGCAAATATTCGAAATCTTGAACAGTAGTTTCGAATAATAGGCTATTTGACATTCGCTTAGGAATGAAGTGCGACATTCAAATTTTGGGAAGTGCTGGTTGCGACGGGTTAGCCCTATTGAGCGAGCTTCTTACCGAGCATGGGTGCACTGCAAGGAAGCAATACCGGTGAAAGCAAACCTCACGGGTGTTACTCCTGCACGCTGCACCCATACTCTGTAAAAAGCGCACTCAATGCGGTAACCCGCCGCAATCAACATTTGGAAAAGTGAATGTCACAATTGCGTGCATGTGAGAAAAGCACACTTTCAAAGCGGGATGGCGCACACACGTTCCTGGTGCATTTAAAAAGAAAAGGAAACCTTGTGAGTGTTGACATTTACATTGCAGTAAAATTTTTAATTAAACTGGGCATTATGTGGGAGTACATTAGGCAGAGGTACCCTGACAGCCTGCATTTATCATTGCATTGGTGATTGAAATTAGAGATTGAAGAAAGAATAATTGCATATAGCAAGATTTGCAAATCCGTACAGCTGTGCATCTTTATAGGTTTAATTTTATATAAAAATCGTTGTTTCCTTGCCATCTCAAGGCATTGCACACTCCGAGGTCACAGTCCATAAATATAGTTAGATTAAAATTACCTTTTAAGTGGACAAGTGGAAGCTTTGGAACAACCTTCCCAAGTTTGGCTGGTTTTTCGTTTAAATGGCGCGACAGTATTAAAAGGCTTAGAAAGACTATTCATTATTTTATTTGAAAATATTCAGCCAAAACCACCATTCCCTTTGAATTCACTTCAAACTCAAAATCCACTTTTCGCACGCGACAAAAATATTTAATTTCATTCTTGTGCGTCGATTTTAAATTTGCTAAATGTTATTCATCCATTTATTACACTTATCCCGTGGGGCATTATTGTAGAGGGTTAATTACAACACATTCAAACAAACCTGAGTGCACTCTTTCCATGCAATGGATGTTTGACCATACGCTTGAAATGGAAGTCGAATGTGCATGAAGACAATTTATGGACTTGCAGCAACAAAAAACTAACAAAACACTATTCTGAGCACCTTTGATGAAGAGCTATTGGCAAGCAAAGCTGCCTCATTTAACGGTGTTTAAATAGAGAATTGACATTAACCAGGACCGTACCGCAATTCCTTTCGTCGGAGTAATCGCGGCAGTCTGCCGTTCCATCACACTTTCTATGAACGTCGATGCACCGCCCATCTCCACAGCGGAACTCGTGGTCCTTGCAAGCTGGAAGAATGCAGGTAATGAGGCTAGTTCCTCTGACGAGGACAATAAAACTTGGCTTAAATATAAAGACCAAGGGGAACACTTACGACAGTCGGTTTCATCCGAGTGATCTGTGCAGTCTGTCCTGCCATCACATCGCCTATTCCCGTCAATGCATTTTCCATCCCCGCAACGAAATTCGTCCGTTTCACATTCTGGAGGAAATGCGAACAAATGCTGTCAGAATTGTAGCAACTTGCTGTGCGCAAAATTAACTTCGACCTAGAGAGCAGGTGTTGAAAATGACTGCTTCCTCAAACCACCTTCAAGATAATTGGATAGTTCTAAAATTAAGGATGGGCTAAATCATCAAGGGAGAACACCGCTTCTAGAGCTCTTTTTATTAATGATCTGACTGGAGTGCAATTTACCTAGCACATCTGGCTTTACATTCTGATTACAAATACATACTCAGTTTTTATAGAGCTTAATTAGTATGGTACACTATTAAAGATTTCATCGTAAGAAATTATGGGCAGGATTCAGACAAATTAAAATATTGAAATCTGAAAAAACATTTCAGGAAACCAGAAGGTTTTTGAAACCCAACAAGGTGTAAATGAATACTCCAGGGTAATTTGCAAGTTTCCAATGCGAATTCTCAAAGGGAATGTTGGAGGCATATAAAAATACTTTAACCACATTTAACATATTTATACCTTTCATTGGAAAACTCTGTTGTACATCTACACGGCAAAAAAAAAAAAAAACTGAGATTGCATAAAAAGTTATTGTGATAGTCTATGCAACAGAAAAAATAATTCAGACCTAATTTACTCCATTTTCATAGCAATATTTAAAACATGAAAAATGCCTGCAAATCTTCAAAAACATGATTTAAAAAAAAAAAGATTTTTTAACTCTTTTCACTAAGGAGCAGTGTTTTTTAGCTCAAGTTCGGAAATTCTCCAAGTACTTTCCAAGCAAATTCGACGAGTATCATGGAACATCTGGTAAATGCATGAGCATATGTAGGTAAAAGAATTTGAGGAACACTCGGCAAGCACAGCTAATGCTGTATAGTAGCAGTTGCAATATTGTGGCAGCGTTTATCTGGAAAATTGAACATTATGGCCTACTTCGCCCTTCAATATTTTGTGCCTGACAATACTGGCCCATTTCGAGTTTCCAAATGTGACCACAACTACCATAACTCAACACCTGTGGAGTGCCCGGTTTCGAAGAGAATAACCTCGCCCAACTCCTTGTGTTCGGCTGCTGCTCAACAAGTATTAGAACGCTCGCAAGTTCATACATGCGATGGACTACCTAATCCCTCAAACAAGACTTATCTGCAGCATCACACTTACTACTATATCCCTCGTGACTGTCTATCATCAATTACATTAGATTATGACATAGGAAATTTGTTAAAGTATCCTTGAACTGTTCAGTGAGCATGTCTCAATAAAAACCAAAGTAATACTACTTTGCAATAACTGTGAAGTGTTTTGATAGAAACTGCGCACGGCAAATATGGGAGACCCATCTAGACCTAGGCCAGTCGTGAAAGTCCAAAGCCCAGAAAAAAACTAGCTGGGCGCTTGTCCAACATGGCCCCATCTTTGTCTGCTGCCAGCTACACCTGGCCGAGTGAGGCCCCAGAATATACGGCTCTGTCCGACCCAAGTGTGCATTGTTTATTGGTCATACTATTTAAGAAAACATTTCATGGCAAATTTAAATGCCAGAAGTAAAAATTTCACACAATATTTTCAACTAGGCTGACAACATTTAACTCAGCAAAAAATATTTAACATATAGGATGGTTTTATAAAATGCCATTTTACTTCTGGTATATAGTTTAAGAACACGCTGGTGAAACTTTTGTGTAATCATCCCTATCTATTTGCATGCAAGGGATTCTTCATTAGGGTTGTTTTGGTTAGTGTTGGTAGAATGCAGAAGCATGTTTATGAGACATATTTGGGTCACAAGCCCCTTGTTCACCCCGTTTTTTACCCCTTCAGAGTAACAATGGTGGCATCAGCAAAGGCCATTTTAGCCGCCAACGAGCCTAGTTCCCGAGTGTCGGCTGCCCTTATGGTACTCACTGGCTAAATTTCTCAAGTGTCCGTGAAAATCCGATTACTAATATGCACGACCTTCTCTATTAAAATGTGACGAAACATTGCAACACTTCCTTTTTTTCTGAAATCTGTCTTAGAAAGGCATGCTGCAACGTCTGGCTTCATTTTAATAAAATGAAAGAAGGCCAGGTATGATTGTATATTTTTTATTTTTTAAATTCTTTAAACACAAATTGTATTTTTTTTAGGGGGGGGGGGTGGAGGCACGTGAAAAGTTCTTTATACAATATGAAATGGATAAGGACAGGACAGAAAAGAATGGGACAACTTTTCCAAGTCTAGCTACATTTGTAAAAAGACTTGAAGAAAGAATAAACACTTGGGATGAAAATGACACAACTGCATCTTCCATTTGTTGTCTTTGTACCCCATGTTTATTCTTTCTTCAATCTTGACCTCCAACCAACACTCTCTTCGTCAATTAATCCCGTTTGTATCTTTCCTGTCTATAGTAACCTACACATCATAATCGTCTAGACTGCATGTTTTCGTACAGGAACAGCAAATTGTTCAAGGAGGTTGCTTCAGAATGAGTCTGCTTTTGCCATGCACACACAGCGGTGCAGGAACCATTAACAGGAGGAATTGAAATGAAGCTATAGAGGGCGTTATTTTAGGCCTAAATCTACTGATCGTTAAAAAAAATATACGAAAGCTGCAGTAATATGGTTCCTGTGGGCGAGTTATAGGGGGATAATTGTCACAATAAATAAAATAATAAGCTAAAATCTATATTTTGTAATGAGTGAAAATAAACACTGTTCCAGTTAGAAACTTGCTGAGCATCACTAAAATCAACTAAATCAGTCAATTAATGTGAGAAAGATTTGAAGTGCATAGGGAGCGTGGTAGTGCCCTAAAGATACCATTCATTAAACAGACTACCGTAATATCCCGAGCCATCGCCCATCCCCGAGCCATCGCCCACCCCATTTTTTGGGCCAATATCGATTTCCGAAAAAACACCGAGTCATCGCCCACCCCTTCAAATACCCCAGGGCGGACTCATCCTACCCTAATGACGCGGCCGCGGACCTTACAGTTGGAGGACGTCCGTGACAAAGTAAAACGAAGGAGGGAAAGGCACTTCTTTTTGTTTACGCATTTCCTCCGTGAGCGACCCCAAAGTATCCGTGCGAAAAGAAAACGATGGAGATAACAAAATAAGAGTTCGTTAACGTAACCGCAGAGTGTTAGGTCAAAGTCTGTCTCCGCCGAAGTAAGGTCATCGCGAACCCGCTCCTTCTTCCCGCCCGTCGCGACCGCGGTTGTGCAATGTTTTAGGCAAAGCCAACGCGTAATAAAGCTTTGCTGGAACGCCCTACACAGACGTTTGCAGAGCGTCCCAACCGTGCATTGATAGCCCGCCGTGCACGGACGCACGTATGTACGCACCAAACAAGAAAGTTGCGCAAGAGCTTGCAATTGACAAGGCGCCCGACTTGGCCCGACGCCAAAGTATTTGCCAACGCGACCGCCGGCTTTCCCGCTTTCCCAGCATTGCTCTTGGTCGCTTCTTTGGTCCGCTCGCTCGCTCGCTTGCTCGTTGCGCCTGGTCGGTTTTTCTATTTTCTTGTAGACTTTTCTTTCTTTTTTTTTACTAACTAGGAGAACATAGTGGTGACATCCTTTCACGGAACAAACGTTCGCGCTATATGCAGATCGGCGGTGTTTCTAGCGCGTATGCGAGCAACGGACTTCGCTATAGTAAAATATTCTTTCGTGAGCATTTTTTTTTATTTTATAAAACAATGAAACTAAATCGAGTTTTGAGTTTGATGTATCTCTTGTGCATCAGCGCTAGATACGCAGAGAAAAATAGGCGGTTTTTTCCGTTTTTTTTCAAGTGTTTGTGCTCACCCACCGAGACATGGCCCACCCCACTTTTTTAATGAATTTCAGGCGGTAGGGGGGTGGGCGATGACTCGGGATATTACGTAGAGGCTGGCAGCGCGAAGACATGGATAAGCATGCAGTTATTTGCGTTTTCGCGTAAACCGGCACAGGCCATATTAGTGTAGCTTTCACGGCTTTTTTTTAAACAAACCTGAAGCCTAAAAAAAAATGCCCTGTATATCTGGATGGAGTAGTCCAAGTAAAGCCTCAACGTTCAGGTCTATCAGGATAGAGGAGACATCCTTTTTTGTGAAATATAAGTCATCGTAAAAGTCCCAAGATTTAGGCCAAGGGGCATTTGAAGATAAGTGAAGGATCCTTGATGTATAAAAAAAAATCAGAACGCATCTTGTATGATGCACGCTTCCTCGTAAAAAGGAAAGACTCCTACCACAGTCCGCTTCGTCAGAGAAATCCTCGCAGTCCACACGTCTGTCACACTTTCTCCTCTTGTCAATACACCTGCCAGATGTGCACTTAAATTCTTGGGGCTTGCATTCTGCATGAAAGGGACGAAACAAGGTCAAAGGACAATGTTACTGACAATTTTGCACAGAGCAACAAACTCGATTCTTAGTTCTAGCAACCTTTTGTTTTAACCTTTAAGTATGCACAGGAGAGTTAAGTGTGGGAAGTAAACATTGGATAACAAAAACAAAATGCTTTAAACCCAGCAATTCGGCAAAATTAAATGCAATTTTCATCAAATGAGATTGAGTGATCGGTGAATGAGCCGACGATCCCGACTATGGGTGTTGCGGGTGGACCACGCTTTGCCAGGAGTGGTGCACGCCGATTGGTTAATCACACAACATCATTCTACGAAATTAGCAGGGGCACTAGCTGCAAGTTGTACTTGTGTACAAATACTGTGCAAGCATCCACTTGAAAACCCAGAACAATCGTGGCAAAACTTGAATGGGCATTTCCCCGAGTTGACTTTAATATGTGCATGTTTTATACTTTAGGCATATATGCAATATTGTCACAAATGACAGGAGCAGAAGTGGCAAAAATCCAGTTTAAAACTGGAAGTTTAATAGGGTGAACTTGTGCTAAACAAAATAAAGATTGAGTATTGAGACAGCAGAAAAGCGGGCAGCGAGTTGGCGGTGTAACAGCAAGCGAGAGCGAGATTGACTCGACAAGGTCATGCGCAGCTCCTTATTTAGCGAGTCGGCATCTAAAAAATTCGGCCCAGGAGGTTAGAGCGTCGAGTGTTTGGGCAAGAATGAACAGGCACTTTCGAGAACAAGAAAGCAGGACGAAAGGGTAAAAGTTATGTCTAGAGTAAGAATAAACACGAATCTTCTAAAAGTCTGACCGAGAGTTGCTTGCTCGGTTCCAAGCGCACCGCAATGTAAAAGAGAGGGTAAGTGCTTGTCCCAGTGCGAGTGCGTGCCTGGTATTTTACAGAATGCTTTACATATGCCTTTACTACTAATGGCATGCAATAATAAACAGCTCTGTCCATGGAATGTGTACACCAGGTGTTTCACAAAACACCAACCAAAGTGTGTGAATAAAAACTCTGCATGGCACAGGAACAAGATTAGAAGCATATTAATCACTGTCAAGGGTCCTATTTATGGCAGCCCATAGACCAGAACTTCTTAAGTAGTTCTGCATAATTGACTGTTTAAGTAGCAAAAAAGTTCTAATTAAAAACTTGCTTGGGATCTTCAAAATCTACAAGAATAATAAATGTTAGAAATATGTGGCAAGTGCTCCTTTTGGTTCCCGAAAACGCATTCAACTTCTATGTGCCACATTGATTTTCCGTTAGTGATTGTCCCCATTTTCGCTCTGCCAGCCTGGCAGCCATGTTGTCGAAGCAGTATCTTGTGCGAAACCACAATTCCCAAGTGCTGCACGTCATTTTAGAATTGGCTCGTTTAGTGGGTTTCAATAATCCCCAGCAAGTTTCTAATTGTGATAATATCATCATCTTTACTGATCAAGTTATGCAAAACTAGGTAATTAGCGACTTAATTATTCAATGCACACCAACCTCTCTTAACAAGTTCTTTGGCGGTCTGTGCCGTATGTTTTAATCGTTGTAACATAGTTTTTACATAAAAAGTTTGTCCAGTGTTCAGTGAAACAGCCAGCATGCAGTCTACAAAGATTTTCAAGAAGCAATCCCACTCATATTTTAGACCGGCGCAGCCTTTATAATTGTAGGGTACAGGGTGAGACCCCTTCCTGCATCCCCCTTCCAACGTCCATAAGAATAACTAAATGTTTGTCTAGCAACGAGCTTTGCAGCAGTTTTATGCCATCCTTGTCTAGCCTTTGAGTAAAAAATATAAATGGTTACAGCTCTCTTCAGAGGAAATTAAAGAGGTAAGAAACCAGTGAACTAGCCATTTACAAACCGTAATACAGCCATCCTAAAATGAAGCTAATAATATTGAAACATTATCCATTGAATCTGTAAATAATGTTAAAAATCTCCTTTAAAAAAATCTAGTTTTTACAAAGAGAAGAATGGTTTGAGGATTTCAGCTGAGAGAAGAAACAATTTTTAAAACAAAATAAATGCTCAAGAAAATGTGTTCAGTCAACAAGTTTGTCTCGATGAGTGCAGATACCAAACTGCAATCACCTTTTATAGAGTAATCAGACTAATTACCAATTCAATAAAAAGATTAATTCCTAAGGAAACCTTTTATAGAATCTTATTCCATGCAAGCAGGTTCAATATCTGTAGGAAGTCGTACAATTGACAAAAGGAAGTTTTTGCGAGTTGTTTTGTTCACACCGCAACTTTTCATTATATATAGTATTTCTAGCCAGATAACGTGCTTCTTTACTCTAAGCCGGGGCAAAAGGATAAAGCAAATATATTTGAGCGTGAGTATTCGACTGAGATCAGTCTGGTTGGGTGGAATAATTACTATAAATATGGGGCACGTCCAACTAAGCCCTAAATAGGAACCCTACGTTTCAATGGCTACTTGGCTCTTCTTCAGGGGTGACTGTGGCGACGGCCATTGAGGAATAGTGTTAATTTTCGTCTCCTTTTACAGTGGTGCATTCCTTTTTGAGTTGGTCATGTCTCGAAGCCCGTGGACGTACGCAGATGGTGAGGCGCCGAGAGATCTATTTATGTTTTCTGGTGTAGTTTGGAGTCGTGGCACATACAAACTACACCAGAAAATATTAGAAGATCTCTCGGCGCTTTACCAACCACATACGTCCACAAGCTTTTAGACATGACCAATTCAAAAAGGAATGCACTACCGAAAAAGAAGACGAAAATGAAAACACTGCTGGTGAACGGCCATTGCTATAGTCACCCCTGAAGAGCTGAGTAGGCATCGAAACGTAGCGTTCCCGATTAGTAATTGGTTGGACGTCCTCCCTTTTTAATTAAAGCAAATATACCAACAAAAAAAGAAGACAAACGAAGCAGCATACCACAAAACACCTCATCTGACAGGTCGTTGCAATCGAAACTTCCATCGCACCAAGCAGAAGGAGCAATGTGCTGCCCATCATGACAAGCACACATAGTAAGGTTGCAAGCTGAAGCACAACAAGACAGCCATTACAAGAGCAACATGCGAAAGCGATTGCGCCAGTCAATCAGCATTGGCCAGAAAGCCATTTTAACTACTAGTATTGTTATTAAAAGCAATTATTGCTCTTCAGCGTAATTAATGTTTAATGCTTTGAATGTACAGTCAGATGGTGTGAGCTGAAACAACTAAGTGATGAAAGATACAGGTGGTGCTGTCTCAAAGCAAGAAGTTCTAGCAACAACAGATAGCGTGCGGAAAGGGTTGTAGTAGCTACTGCTGACTCTGCTTGATAATACGTGAGAACTGCACATGGCTGTTGCACATGTGATGCTGCTACCAAGCATGTTTGCAGTTATTATCACTTATGCCTGTCCACAGAATTGGGTTAAACAATATAACTGATATCAGGATCCATGCACCCAAATAATAAAGGCAGAAACAAGAGCACATAGGTTGGAGCAAACTGCTCACTAAATGTGGAAAGAAGTGGCCGCCGCACTCTCGCCAGCATGCTATCTCTCATTGCTAAGTGAACTTCTTGCGCCGGGGCAGCGTCATCAGTATCTTTCAGTTGCTTCAGCTTACATTGTCCATGACTGTACAAAATTGAATGGAAGGCAAGCAAGCATCGGTTTAGAGTGCACAGCAGCAGTGCTACGAAGGATTGCAGTTCATGAGGGCGTCACTGCAATGGAACAGCTCAGAGAAATCAAGCATTCTGATGCCCAAAAGGATTGTGCAATACAAACTTCATGCAATATCTGAGCAATCGTGGAGGAAACATCTGCATCAGGGCTAATGCCAGCACAGTCACCTTTCACACTGATAAGGAAGTGCTACAGGCTTTGTATTATGCTTGTGTGCAAATACAGAAGCAGTCAAGTTTCACGCGGGATATGCACATTCATGCAAATAGGGACCGGAAGGTAGAGCACTTAACATGTCAAACACCAAACCACCTAACTACAATGTTCTAGACCTGTACACAATAAAAATTTGCAAAACAGGGAAGGCAAAATAAAAAAAGACCCAAAGAAACAAAACATACGGCAGTCTTTTTCATCGCTCGCATCTCTGCATTCAGCTCTGCCGTTACAGCGGAAGTACACGGGCAGGCAGCGCTGGTCATCGTGACACTGAAACTCGTTATCATTGCATGCTGAAAATGAAACAAAACCAAAGATGCAAGTTAGATTTAGGCTTGCGAGTGTTCACATTATTACTTTATCTAACAAAAAACGGAGATTACCAAATGATCAATTACCAAGCCCCCACAATCAACAGCATAACATCCGACGGCCCAAACTAAGATGCAGTGAACGGGTGACAACTAACAATGCAGAGAGCCTCAAATGAGAATACCCACATGAACATTCCAAACAGACAGGACTCACTTTTCGTGTCATGGATACAGTTGTCCTCGTCATCACCATTTGGACAATCTCTGTGGCGATCACATTTCTTGCGCGCGTCGATGCATGGGCCCGACAAGCATTTGTACTCGTGGCTCTGACAGCTTTGTGGTTGACCATCTAGAACATGCAACAGTACTATAACTCTTGTATACCCCTTTGAAATAAATTATTTGAGTTAAGCATTGCTCTGATGCAAACCTTGGTTAGGCTTGCCAACAATTACTGTAGCAAGTGGGGTATTTCTGCTCCAACCTACTAAAAATATACAACTATCCATGTCTACCGAAGACCACATTTTGCCCCCTTAGCGCTGCAACAATGGCTCTAGGAGGGTTATTTGTGTTGCTCTAGCTGCAGGAAGCTTCTGGCATTTTTGGTGAGAAAGCCATCAATCATAAATAACTAAACACTTTATGAAATAATTTGCTCTTCTATAAGAAAGAACATTTCATAGCAGAGTTTGCCACCTCTTGAGTGAAAAAATAAATAAAGATGCACCTCTTTTAGAGAGACTTATCCAAGAGCAGCAAAAGCAACATTGACTCATTGCCATGAATAAGCTCTAAAAGCAATCCAAAAAGCTTGTTTCCAGAGATTAATTTTTATGCCAAAATTGGAATGCCACTCCTCATTTACTTGGGCATACTTTAACTGCCAATAAATGACAAGTAGGATGCCTAAGCAAAAACTTCAGTTGACAACGCTTCCTAATTTCAACAATAAACCCTTTTTAGAACAATTTTTTAATAATAAAATCTAGAAAATAATTCGGAGGTTTGTATGAACCAACAAATATCAAGATTACATTAAACATGGTTACGTTTTGTGCATTTAACATTTTTGTCGGACCAGAAAAATTCCAGAATCAGAGTTCTGGTCCCTTATACCTTAGAACAAGGAAGTTATTCATATGTATATAGGGTGAATAAAGATATACTGCACAACACTGTTAGCGCAAACACAACTTATACAATTTTTTTTTTTTATCTCCAATTGAATTGTTTGGCACCTAATTTCCCCCCTTGGGTTAGTGCCCAAAGTAAGCACTTTCCACCACCTTAGTAGTTTTGATGACAGCTCTTAGATTTAAGGAAAAAACTGGAAAAACTGGCGATTGCTTGTTCATGCTAACAGTGTTGTGCAGTTAACATTTAGAAGAATAGATAGAGATTTTGGGGTTTGAGTTCGATACATGTATACATTTAAAATTAAACATAATTTCAGATAACGAATCAAACAAACTTCCTTGGGAATGCTGAAGTTGTATTTGGGAAAAAGGACATTCCTAAACATTGTAAGCTCACCAACACTTCACTTAGCAGTGCTCCTTAAAAAAGTTTTAGTCAGTATTGCAATACTACAATCATTAATAGATCTGGTTTATTTATAAGGACTATAGTAAAAAAAGAAAGAACAGTTTAAAAAAGATTAGTGGCAAATATTAGCTGAAGTAGTGAAACTAAGCAGAGATGGGGACAGGTAAAAAGGACATGAAAAATGTTATCTGACAAGTTTCACTAATTGACAAATTTATATCGGTGTCATGCCATGTATCGTGATTTTGCATATGCAGATGCCAGAACTTTCATATCCAGTGTACATAAGGGATGGGGACTCGCAAATACATTTTTACAATAGTTGTGATGATCCTATTGCTTAACCCTTTCCAGCAAGAGAATTGTAATATGTGAACAAAGCTGCACCTTTACCACAAGCACATCATCCCACAAGCGCAAAGGGCACAGCGACAATTTGCTTTTTCACAGCCCATCACTGCTCTGCGAGACAGCTATCACAGGTGAACTAACTCCAGCCCGTGCCTCAACGAAACACAACTTAAACAAGAGTTTAGGTTTTGTTAATCTAGCCGTTATTTATCTTGTCACCTCATGAGATTCAATCGAGGTCTTCAATCCTGTCTGCATGATCAAGTGCGAACATTCTAAACCTAAAGATACTGGTTCAAACATACTAATTCACTTCAATCCATCGGATTTAATTGTAGCGATCATGCACTTTCATTTACAGTGAACTTTCGTTTAAAACATGCATGGAAGGGCGTTTGAGCATAATCAAAGCCAACTCACTGCAGGAGATTTCATCTTCGCCGCCGGGGCAATCGGAGATGCCGTCGCATCTTCGCGCTTGGCTCAAGCAACTGCCGCTACGACACCTGAACTGGTCAATCCTGCAAGTGGGTGACGCTGGGGCAGAAAGAAAGGACACAAAAGCTCAGACTCAACCCAAAGGAGTGTTCTGTGGCAAGAATGCTCTTGCAGTCTTTAAGCATCGGCCCATAGTACATGAGGAGTGGATGAAATGTAGGAGACTAAACTTTGTATAAATATGCAGTTCAGCAGGGGGAACTAACTTTACAACAAAGCAATCTTGGGCGGTGAATACAAAATTACTAAAATCTGCGTTTCCATTTTAAAAAATTGAAATTTTACAAGTATCAGGACTAAAGAACCTTGGTTTCAAACTTCTCCCTTTGGGCCTATTAATTGATTCTTAAATTTTTAACACAACACTCCCGCCCACCAAAAACAGCTTGATGTGAAGTCAGGCATTCCTGTAGTCACCACTTGCACACTACAAACCCGCCTGTCACAAGTAACGACATCTCGGATCGCATAGTTGCAATCTGCATCCCATCGAATATTGAATGAATTCCCATCAAATATAGCACAATGTAAAAAAATGAGGGGTGAGCTTAGTTTCTATATTTTTAACCTATGGATGTATATAGCCAGAAAAACTGTATGAGCAATCTCTCAGGGGAGGTTGTTCATACGAGATTTTATGGTACTTTATTCTCGAAATAAATTTCGCACAAAATTTAAAAACTAGTAAATCAGAAACAGGTTAATTGGACACCACTCACTGCACTGGTTTTCATCCGAGCCATCTGGGCATTCCCGTGTTCCGTTGCAACGAGCTCTGACAGGAACGCAAGTTCCACTGTGACACCTAAACTCGTTGAGAGCACACCTTTTTTCTGTGAAAGCAACATTGCACAAAGGACAAACTTAGGAGTGAGAACATTTCTGAAAACGTTAATGAGAATAAAACTGTACATTGCGAAAACAAAAAGGCAGGAGAAAAAGGAAACTACTACTATGTGGCAAGCTGCAAAATGCTCTAGAACCGGACTCATTTGCACAACACCTTAATTAAAAGGAGCATTAACGAATTTGAAAGTGAAGACCAGTAATGCTACAGCTTCGATACCCAGTCTAGCTGACCAGAGTGTTCCACAATGTTAATGTAAATGGTAGGGCTCAGCCCTCCCATTAGAATGATTGGAAAGGAGATGCCAGGCACTCCTTACGTCACGCCGGGTGCTTGTCACACGACGTAGTGAAAGGAAGAAAGGAACTCGCGAGGACAGTAAACTAAACTGATTGCAATATCTGCGAAAAAATTAGTACATAAAAAATAAAAAGGAACTTGGCTTCAGCCGTCCCACTCGAAATATACTTCCAGCATCACTGAGTTCTACCTACTCACTAAAGCTCCATGTTGCAACAATGAGAAAACTTTTAGCTTAGTTCCAATAATTGCTGAATAAAAATGGACTCAAGTCAGATCCGAATTGAGCCGTGGCACTGAGTTTTTTTACAGATATGATAATCCATACAACACCTTTCTAAGAGTAGTGCAATTCCCACACAAGGAGTATTACTTAAAAAATAGAGGAGGATAATAGCATGCAAATTAAAGTTCTAGGAAATATATTTTTTTAATTCACAGAAACATGCATCTAATTGCAAGTTGTGTCACTATTGTTCAAATCAGCAGTACTTAACTACAGCTCTTGGGAACCCCTTACAGTACAACTAAAACAACCCTAACAGGTGACTGCAAAAGTTTGTGTTTACGAACCAGAAAGAGACAAGTTAAAGCAATGCAGGAACAGTAATTACATGTCTAGACAAAAAAAACAACAAAAAAAACTATCAATATATATTTAAGGATAACAACAAGCATTGTTCCCACATTTGTAAAATACAATTAAATGGTTGCTCTGCTCATGCTCCTCAGTCGAACAAAAAAGCATCCAGGCTTAAAGTTACACTAGAGCACCAACATTTCATAAGGACAAAGTCATTGAATGACAGTATAATACTTAAGAGATATTGTAGTACCAGGGCTACTTTTGCACTTCTCCAACAGTTATCATAATAAAGCAAGATTGATATTTTGAGTCACCGCTTTTATGAGCGGAATCATGGTATAATATAGGTGTGGACACAGCACGGCACACACTGCGATGCAATTGCCCAGATAAAGTCCTATTCAAGCGCGCCTGAGTAGCCTATTCCGACAACATCTCTGCCAGCCAGATAACACACCAAAATAAAGATTAACAAAAAAAAAATTTTTGTCACTGCTATGCCACTTGAGCATGTTCTGCACTTGGTGCATCTGTTCCGACCTTTACAGACACTGGCTTGAACACCACATGAGAGAGCTCTCCCCTGCAATGCGTTAATAAAAGGGCTCTTTCTGCTGTTGAGGCACGAAAGTAGTGCCAATGTGCCTAAACAACACGCATAGTGCAAGTGCCAAGTTCTACATATTGTGGCACACCCAGGAAACTGCTTTAAAAATAAGCATGTCTCCCATAGAAAAGCATGGGAAACTCTGCCTGCAACAGGCTACAACCAGCCGATTATCAAAAGCGTTGTATGGTGGCGCCGCTTGCAACGGAGGGAAGGAGAGTACTAACTGGCAGCTGCAACGCGCGCAGTGTCCACACCTAGATATCTATCTCGCACTGTGAGCAGAATCTCCGTCAACACTGGTAACACCACAACACCAAACCTCTTCGATACCTAGCGGCAATTACAATGACCAACACTGCTGGAAACAGTGCTTTGCCTTCCAGAAAACAGTGTTGTGCAAAAGGTCCCCTAGCAGTCAGGCACTTACGACAATTGAGCTCATCGCTCCTATCCTGGCAGTCGTTGTAGCCATCGCACTCCCTGGCCTTGTTGATGCAAATGCCATTGCCACACCGGAACTGATCGTCGCTGCATGCTGTGGTGCGAACAGCGGACGCTTAGCAGAACCGAGCAGCGAAATTGAGGCAAAAAGGGGTGGGAGGGGAAAAGGAAATGCACAGGCAACTGCAATACGACTAACGAAGCTCTGCACTCGCATTACATGGGCAGCACTGCTATGTCACCACTGTTATATTATTGGCACACATTTAGATCTGTGTAAGTTGATAGCCAGCTTAGCTACATGGCTGCACTTCTTTTTGCGGCACTCGTCAGCTTGGCTATCATTTAATGCTATGTAGTAGCTGATAACCTTTGAACAATGACAACTGAAGCAAAATTAACCAGTTAGAACTGTGCTTTCAAACTTTCAACACTGCACGCCAGCCCCTTCACTGGAACAACCGATACTAATTTAACAATTTTAGCAACAAAAGAAGTCCTTCCTTAATGTTTGCTTTTGAGCGCCATTGGATATTCATCCTGTTTAACAGAAATCTAGGGGCTTATGTCCCAACACAGAAGCATAAAAAAGGCACCAGCTGGCTTTAGGTCCCAACACAAAAAGCCCAAGGCACGCACCAGCGAAATATTGACCTAGTCCAGCTGAGTGACACCGGGACCCAATCAAGACTAGTCACCTGCTGCCTATTTAGTAAGCCTTCGTTGGGTCGTAAACAGGGGCCAGGATTTTGAGCCCAGCAAGTTGTTCTTCTAACAACTGGTACCTAGAGATTTAGAGTTTTAAGGCTATGTGCAAAAGGTAACTATGTAATGCTTCATTTATCTCTCATTTTATCTCGTCTGTAATAATGAGAAGTAGCCAGGATACTTTATCCACCGATTACCTGAACACCTAATAAAACTGTGCGTGGAACAGACGTCCTCAACACAAGTTAAAAAGGTCGAGCTAAAAAAAAACGAGGGGACAAAGGGCGGCAGTGCTGCTCTTGAAACACGGACAAGTGGAGGAGTGCGGGGTACGGGGCTCTTACGGCAATTCCTCTCGTCGGAGCCGTCCGTGCAATCTCGCCTGCGATTGCATAGCAATTCCCGAGCAATGCACTGGCCATTACCGCAGCGAAATTTCCCAAGTGCGCAGTCATCCGCAGCAGGTGCTGGAAAAGCAGCGGCATCCACATTTCCTGCAACTCCCAGTGCTGCTTGTGCCAATCCCAGGGTGCATCTCATCCCAAGCAACACACCAAACCGCAAAGATAACTGAAAAAAGCTGTGCTCATCATGCTCCACTAGAGTGCACACCAAGACAGGCACACAAACACAGAGAAGCCACCCCATGCCACAAGTCACACAAACGTGCAGAGGGTGTTAATGTGCAGAGCTGTGAAAGTCGCTGTCTGAAAGTAATAAAGCTTTCCCCAATCAAACTAAATGCAGTGTCAGACGTTACACATCACTACACCAAACTTGGTATGAAACCGGAGTCAGAAAATTACTGAACACCGACGTTGAAATTTCAATGCGAAAGAACGGGAAAGAAGTCCACCTTTGGTCTGCCTCGGCCCACCATGACAAAGTCCGACAACCGAGGTGGTCGGACTTCGACAAACTTCATTTGTAGCCCGTGACTTGGTCACGGGCCCCAAAAACAAAGAGCAAAATGAACTACTCTGACAACACTAACTCGATTACTTGGAGATCAGTTACTTTCACCACAAGCTATCCAACTGCACAGACGCAAGCCGGCGCATTACATACTCCACATGCCATAAATTGGACAGCAATGCTGGAATGCAATCCATTCAAACAGTGGCCATGCTCCGACATGCACAACTCAAGCAGCTAAAATAGAACGAGCACAGGTTAACCATTCGCAGAGTTCCGGTTAGTAGAAGGTTGCACCACAACTTACGGGCCTTACACTCCCGCTCGTCAGAATCATCGTACGGGCAATCTAACCGCCCGTTGCACCGCAACTGCCTTGCAATGCAAGTCCCGTAATCACACTGCCACTCTCTAGTTGTGCACACTGTTCACGATGAAAGGGAGGGGGCATAAGAAGAGTGAGTGCAGGAGAGAAGTGAAGAGGGTGAAAAGCCCGAGAAGAGTGAAGTTCAGTGAGGAAAACACAGAAGAAGCAGATGAAACAAGAGAGAAAGTCAAAAAGTATAAAGAGGTTAAACCTGAGGAAAAACAAACTGGAGCATTCTAGGATTCCAGGCAAGTTGAACAAGTTATACGGTCACTGAACCCCATGGGACAATGTGCACTTGGGAAAATAAGTGGCAAGAAAAAGGGCAGCAGTGCTCCGCATGATTTGTCCTCAAGTGAACTCTCGTGAGGATGGGAGGCAGTTGAGGTGGTTATGAATGTCAGACAGGACAGCTGTGCAAGGAACACTGATGGTGCAATGTCGTGCAGTATGGTGCAGAGTGGACTACTTGGGTGTGAGGTGGAATGACGGTGAAGTGCAACACACACACACATGCAAAGTCGGAAGAAGTCACAGAATGCCTGGTGGTTATGTGAAAACTAAAATATCCTGAAAAATCAAAAGTATGACATGATATCGGTTACCAATGGCAACAGTGAAATGCTTTGGCACAGTTATGAACATTTTGCACGACTATCTTACAGTGAAAAATTACCATATTTACACAAATCGGAGAACTTTTCTTAGTTCTAAAACAATTCTGTATTCTGAAGACAGAAGCCGGTCTAGGTTGGCTAATAAAAATGCCTTGCAGGGGGAATTCGCAAGTGGTAAAAATTATGCAAATGCTACATCTATTCATTTTAGAACACCACTGACATTAAACACAAAGTTGCAAGGAGAATGCTGTGGGAATTGTTCCGTTGTGCTTTCTTTATCAAAATGCATAACCATGTCAAAAAAAAAAAAAAGGCACTATGTGCAATTTTGCTGAACAGGCACACACCTTTCAAGAAGTGCACTGGAACTCGAAGCCCGTGTTTTCAATTGCAAGAAGATCTTAAATTTGTGTAAATATGGTGATGTCATGCAAGAAGCTTGCTACACGACTTCCAAGTGCCTTGTTATATGTCTGGGACGTGGATAGGCATTAGGCATATTCACTGCATTCCCATGAACTATTCAGGTTCTACAGCTTTGCTAAATCCAGATGAAACTCCTGAAGGGAAAAAGGTCACTTTGGAAGCGAAGCAGTCACTTTTTGCCTAGATGTACATGTGAGGAAGGAAAAGCTCGATAAAGCCACAATTAATACAAAAATTACTGGAGAGGAACAGGGCATTAAAGCACACGGCATGATATAAAACTTACAATGCGCTTGTATGAGTGATTCGTGAGCAAGATTAAAGTTTCTAGTGCTCCAGTGATACCAAATGGCTCTATCCGACGATACAGCATGGGCAAAAAGCATGAACGAGAAGCAGTAGATGTACTTATGACTGAAAAATGAACGGGCAAGCACGAAGGTGAAATGGAAAAGCTTGGCAGGGTCCGACGAGCTGGGCCACTTACGACAGTCCTTTTCATCGGCCCCACTTCCGTCGGGACAGTCTTGAACGCCGTTGCAACGTCTAATCATGGGAATGCAATCTCCATTCTCGCACCGGAATTCATCCGATCGGCAGGTCACTGAAACCCCAACGCAAAGACCAGTTGCCACAATGCTCAATTTTCTGACAGCGGACTAACGTCAGGCTTTTAATAAACCCCAATTTCGCCGTTTTCACGTGCTGACAGTAACATGCTAGCCGCATGTGCTAGGTTCCCAGCTAACCCGCAATCATGGGGGTAGAAAGCTTCTGGAGGAGACAACGCCACCAGAGGTGAAGCCAGAAGTGGCACGACACCGGGGCCCCGAGGGTGACTAAAACATTAGTTGAGTCAGCTCCCCTTATTGTCCAATAGTCTCTCTCGGTTTTGGTCATCGTTGGGGGCGAGTCCCCCCATACCTCTGGCTTCAGCTCTGGTGGCATCACGTTGCCTCATGAAGCTTCCTACGTCCATGGTTTCATACATATGTATGCTTCGAGCACGTCCGCAGAAACGTTTCGTATGACCAATCTGTCGGGATGGTCCTACAGGGAAGGAATGCGCCTCGGACAGTGTTTGGAGAGCGGCGTGACTGCGGTCCAAGGGTACGCCACCGAGACATCACATTGTCAATAGCCCTAAAATACCATAAGGGGGGGGAGGGGAGGGGGCAACCCCCTCCAGATGCCCATGAGCGAGACACTTAATGCATGCAAAATTTCAATGTGCCGGCAGATTTTATAAATGCGACGAGTTGCAGAGTTGAGACGAGATTTACGAGCCCATGAATGTATGCCGATGTAACAGATCCATGCTAACAACCCACGAGTAAACTGAATGCCAAAGAGACGCTTCGTGACAACCCAAATGAAAAAAAAAAAAAAACGCCGATTTAACTCACAGCAGTCCGACTCGTCTTCTCCCCCGGGACAATCCCTAGAACGATCGCAGCGTTGGCTGCCACGTAAACACTCCCCAGTCCTGCACTGGAACTGGCCGGGTTGACAGGAGGGAACCTCGGGAACTGCAAAACCGAGCATTCGGGGAATCGAGTTTCTTCAAATAAATGTTACGATGTTACAAATCGGAATCAACTGCAAAATGGTCCTGATCAAACTCGTCACAAAGCCAGAATAAAAATATTAAAATACCAAGTGTTATTGATATCAACAATGTCAAAAACGAAGTGAGCCCCAATGCTAACTTGTTTACGTTTCGAGCAGGTAGGTATACAACTTGCCAACAATATTTAATCGAGTGTGGGGCTGTCTTACAGCCTATGTTCATTAAGCAAATGTTCCTCTACTGGAGAGGCTACATCTAAAACAACTGTCGCTTCGAATATTGCATCAGCCTACATGTACAACACCATTCTCAGCATTGTGCCAAAGGATTTTCCATGCTCTTTAATTTCCTTCAATATCTGGAAAGATAGCTCACCCCGAGGATAACCCAGTGGTTTCCTGCTCAACTTTATCTTTTTGGAAAAATACCAAAAGATGGCCCATCCCCAAGAACCACGTTATCTGGGTTGGGGCAATTTGTGTAACAAGGTAGGTTATGGAGCCTTGATACCAATACTATAGCCAGTTCCTTTGTAAACTTACAAATATTGAATAAATAAAGCCCTTCCTTCGTATTAAAAACATAATACTACTCGTGGCGTGGCAACTGATGCAAGCTCGAGTGGATGAGGAACCGAGAGAAGCATTTTTTTCTGGGCTTTTTGTGGGCTGTACACCTAAGGTTAGACCACCTCTATTTCCAACCCAATTTGATAATTGAAGAGCCATTTTTTGGGATATTATAGTACGCATGTACTCAAGCAAGTTTCACCATATTGAACTGCACTAGCTTGTCTTAAAATTGTGTAACTACTATTCCTAAAACTAGCCTTTCCAACAAAATTCAGATTTTGGCACAGCAGAAAGAAAAAAATGAATTATTTTCCTATCTGCAGCCACGTGTGACGATTACGGAAACTATGGTGTCACGTCGCAGGGGCACACAAAAGTCAACGAAACCAGTCCCCTACACTGCTTCATTCGCCGTCAGACCCGTGGCGAGCAGTCTTGTCCAGATCGCTCATCGCGACCTTCGGCGATGCTAATTCTTGAAACGTCAACAATCTCCGAGAAAGCGGCTGGGGGCTCTGGAGACAAAACTCAACGGAAAACCAGGTGGTCACCTGGAGATGTCGCTCAAAATACTGTTTGTAAGTTGAAGGGTACCTTGACCTTCAATTTGTTTCATCTAAAAAAAAAAAAAAAAAAAAAAGACTAGCATGTTTAAGAGAAATTGATCTGCCATTCCTCATTCTATAGGGAACACAGATCACTTCCCGCAGTTAATCGTCCAAAGTCTGGAAATCGTTGTACTGCCACTTTGAGGGGCTGTCTTGACTAACAATTGGTAATGAAGATTGCTACCTGGCCTAGCAACAAAACTGTGGGAGAATTTCGATGACCTAAGAGAACTCCCCAACAGGCAACATCAACCAGATGGAATGGGGCACTTTTTGGCAAAAATAACTGTCCTAGACCCCAAATCTACACGACAGGACCAAGGGATCAGGACATTGCCGCCTGCTCAGAGTGGTCGGCGGTGCGGCCATGAGCAATTGCAGCAGGCGGTGATGTCCTGGTCCCACCGTGTAGATAAATTAGGGCCCCTAGTCTGCTTTGAGACCACGTCTTTCTATAACCTATCCACTTTTGTTTTTCTTCACAAAGCAGCCTAATCTTCCAAGGTTGAAACAAACCCTACGAACAAATTCGTACAAACCATATTAAGGGAGGACACTACCCAAAAAGGTCAACTTTCAAACCTTCGGCTTAATATGAAATTTACAGTATATACTGGCAGTTACAAGGAAGAATGCAATGCAAAGTTTCATCTGTGTACATGAATTGTGATAGAAATTGTAGTTGTTTTTATCAGGAACACACTGACATTGTTTAGGAAAACTATTGTTAGAAAACTAATGTAATGCCCAACATTTTTCTTCACTAGATATGTAGCAGAGTGCCTAGCAAAGTGTGACTGTGAAAACAAAGTTTCCAAAAATTAATTTATTTTATGCTAACATTGCACTAAAAAATCAATGAATTTCTTGCCTTTTATCTTGTTGACAAAAGATTAACATCTTTTATAAAAGACATTAACAAAGTAAAAAAGCAACGGCACAACTCCATTGCCCATTGAATTCCACTTTAGAAAACAACGAGCGAGTCTTTCCGTTTGTCCCGTTAAGAAAAGATAGTTTTCCTGAAGTGAAACTTTCGCCAAAAAGCGGAACGGAGAAAAGAGTCTTCAAAGTGCTCGAACCTCTACCTTGTTCTTAGCATCGGTGGACCTAAAAGGATTTATGAGAAAATAACAATGCTGTGTAAACCAATGAAACTTTCTGTGAATACTCTATATGTTGATGGATGCAAATATGGCACTTTTTAAAATCAACTTTTTTGCGGAGATTTTTTTTTTCTGGGAAGCGTCTCTACTGAAGTATGCTGAATTAAAAAAAAAAAAACCACATCAGCCAAATTTAATGGGCCGGATTTATAAAAAAAATAATAATGCTGTGTAAACCAATGAAACTTTCTGTGAATACTCTCTACATGTTGATCGATGTAAATATGGCACTTTTCAAAATCAACTTCTTTTGTGGAGATTTTTTTTTTTCTCGGTAGTGTCTTATTAAGTATGCTGAACTAAAAAAAAAACACATCGGCCAAATTGAGGGCACCTTGGCAGTGCCTCTCCAAAAGTGAACAAGAAAGGAGCCTTCACCTAAGTGATCTAGATTCAGAAAGAGGGCGAAGAAAACTTTTAGCATTTCTTTTTGGCAATAAACCATTTAACAAAAAAAAAAAAAAAAAAAGGGAAGTCAAAGAGTACATTATACCCGTGTCCCCTCTCTGAGGGCAGCCCTGCTCATCCGTGTTGTCAGCACAATCTTGACGGCCGTTGCATCGCGCACTTGAATCCACACACCGACGGTTGTCATCACAGGCAAACTGGTTGGCTGGACAGGGACTTCGGCCATGTGTAGGGGGAACTGCAATTCAAAGCAAGCAACTGCAATCAACCTCACGCATGGTCCCAACCACACTAACCAAGAATGCGGTACGATAGGGGTATGCTGAGAATTATTGTGCGATGCGAGTCAAGACAGGCTTAGGACCGAAGTAGTGTCATGGTCACAGAAGGGCAACAGAATGCCCAATGAAAATAAAAAACACCCACATATGTTTGCTGTTTTCACTGTACCTGCCTAAAGATCTAACATGCATTTCAACCTCATAATTAAAACTGTACAGCCACCATTAAAACATCGAACCACTAGACAATTGCCTTTTTTTTTTTAAAGAGGCACCACCCCGATGACAGTTGCTTCAATGACGCAGGTATATGATGGAGCAGCTCAAGTACCGATGATCTTGGGGGATGAAACTTGCATGTGATCTGTCCTGCATATGCTGAGGGCGGAATTCTAAGGAGGGTGTTTAGAATTGTCACTAATTTTTGGTTCAAATAACTGCCAATCAATGACACAAATAAGTTAACATCGTACCGTGACATGTAATTGCAAGGTGCGTGCTAATATTTTGAACTTCCAATAATTCACAGATAGTGCTGCTAGTCTATTCGAGAGCAAGTTAAGTACTATACTCTATACTGCGAGCCCCTAATTTTCTCGAATTCTAAAATTCGTAAACTTTACCCAGCACAAACAGGCCAATGCCAGCCTTTAGAAATTGTGAAATTTAATGGTTGCGAATATAACCTCCGCTGCCCAATTCGCAAAAGATCAGGGCCACGAAAATAACGGGTTTTACAGTATCTATTTTTGGAAGCCTAAAGTAACTACCTAGTTGGTCTCCTCCGGTTACAATTAATCTTTGCTTCTTGTGGGAGATACTATTTGCAAAATCAGAAACATGATTAAACCAGGTGCAGAAAAAACAAATCGCCAAGATAAAAAAAAAGTGAAAAAAATATTGTTTTGAAGGGTGGTGCGAGGTCAAAATTCTGCAGAGGTTATTTCTCTGCAGCACGCTGGTGCTCAGTAAAAAGCGCTCAATGGGGCTATCCCGCCACCACCAACACTTCAAAAAATATGAAAAAAAAAACTTTCAGCCTTTCCACTCTGGTGAAGAAAGAAGACCAGTGAAGCTGTACGCTAGTCCGGTGCATTTCTTCGCCCTTGTCTGTTTTGATCGCAGTTTTCCATGATGAATTCCCAACAACTCGGCCAACTATCCATTCTTCTATGATAGCTGAAAAGGTTGCCGCTGTCGCTCATAGATGGCGGTAGCTGTCCAGAATTTCGTGTAGACATTTGTTTGGCACCGGACACGAAACTGGGGAAACTTCCCTTAACAGCTCTGCTGTAATATTGCAGTTTATCTTGTAGTGAATATTGATTAGCTTTAGGATGTAGTTCAGTTGCTGCAGAAATAAATATCTTTACTGAAATCCATTTATGAGAAGATTGTCAAAACCTCCGTAGGGCAATGGCACTTGACAAAAAGGCAAAGCCGAGAAAATCACTCTCAAAGTGTCTCTTATACTTTTAAATCGGGCTTCTAAACTTGCAATTTAGTGTTTTTAGAGTAGCTAAAGATTGAAATGACTGATCATATTTCGTGAGGACTGTGACGACTGGGCTGTGACGACTTCAATATTGCGAATTTCGAGAAATACAAGATTTTGCACTTTTTGCAATGTTAAAGACCCTCATCCCCCTTTCCCCAATTCGTAAATGCCCAGTGCTCGCACACAAAAATAAATATAAAGAAAGACTAAGATTACATGATTTTTAGTTAAACAAAGATATACTTACATATTAAAAAAATGGAACAAAAACAATTTTTATTAATATATAGCGAGGCCTTGTTTATATGAAAAAGAATGCACCATTTACTTAGTTTGTCCTCGCAAATATTTCTTCTATATAGTGGGGTATTCATAATAATGGGGTCCACATTAATGAGACCTGACTTTACAAATTGACCCCCCCCAAACAAAAACAAATTATTTTGCAATTATACAAAAAAAAAAAGCCGAATTAAAAAAAAATATATATGGAAAGTGAAATTGCTCACTTTACTTCTAAAACAGGTAAAATGCAGTAAACAAACAAACTGCTCACCATGAGGTTCCCTGGCTGGGCAGCGCTCTTCATCTGAATCATCTGCACAGTCCCGACGACCGTCGCAACGACGAGATTCATCGACACATCTCCGGTTGCCGTCGCAAGCAAACTCGTTGGGACCGCATTGGATACCACTCTCACGGTGACTGGGATCTGAAACAAGATTCGAACCCACATAGTAACTTCCCCACTCAAGCAAGACTGGAGACCAACTTCGAATTGACCACAAAGTTATCCGTCGGCAAGGTAGCAATGAAAAACTAAACCCCACATACGAGAGTTGAATGAAAAAAAAACGTGAATTGTAATAAAAAGGGTAAAAAATTTTAAGGAAAATTTAAATTGCTTTATTTTTCTAACTTGAACCATTTTTAGACTAGGTGTTTGGCATTTCGTGAAGCCCAAAAATGAAGCCTGGACAAAAGCGTGGTCGCAAGGCTCGACCCCGATTGGTCGACGGGTGGGACAGAAGGAGTGAGGTGGGAGAGGCCTATTGATTAACGGGGAGGTCATGTGACCAGGGATGGAGCAAGGGGGAGAGGTAGGCAAAGTGGGAGACAAGGAGTGGGTCAGAAGGTTCTAGACAATCACCAGGTTAATCGTTTCAAGTGTACACATGCCACGCGTTAAATTATCCAATGAAGAGCACCGTGAACGTAGGTGTTTGACTTAACAGGGCTAGACGTGCTGCTAAATGATGTTATTAACGTTTGCAATGCTAGAATGTTCCACGAATGCAACACGATTGCCTAGCAATTATCTGCTACAAAGAAACTTTCCTCGATCATTCTGATAAACTTGGTGAATACAGAATGTGTCCTGCGTGTATTACGAGTATGTCACGATTTGCTATGCTTGGTTGCAAGGAGCTTCGGGTGGTTTCAGATGAGCTGCACGCGCAACACTTCTCCGATCTCAGGATTCAACGGAAGGATCGAGATAGGTTTAAACTTCTTCAGAAGCTTAGTGTGCGTAACAATTAAGAAGTTTTCCATGGCTTCTGCTTCCTTGGTGGGTGCGCGAAAGGCCTCGAATTCTTAGTACTCTGCGTTTTAGAAGCCCCTAACGGCAACTGCAGTCGATCGTGAAGGGAGGAGGTTTATCGCACTCTTTATACTCTTATTTGATTTCGTACATCCGGTTCGCTGTCCCTTGTTACCTTGTGATTCACCCCGTTATGCTGCAAGTTCTTGTGGGGGTTTGTGCCTCACCGGGAACCAGTTGCGCATGCCGACGGTCGCCTGCGGTCTTTACTCCGTTTCACATTGACCGCAGCCGACGCTACGATTCGACGGAGCCAAATGGGCAGTGCCAAAAATGCATCGCCACGGCGCCTGTTGGAATTCTAGGTCTGCTATCGCCAACTGCACACAATGAACGTGCTTTGATCCTGCGCTTTTCTCTTGCACAATAGGTTTGGCCAGCAATGGCAAACCGACAAAGAAAACAAGCGCCACGATTATGCACTTCTCGCACCGCTTGATTGGCTTCATTGAATCTTGGTGTTGTCAATAGAGTCCTACATAATTATGCTTAAATTCTATCGCAACAGAATTGCCTGCCTGCGAACTAAGTATGGTGAACAAAGCGTGACTTGCCATCAACTGTCACAAACTTGGTACGCTGGACTAAAAATGACTCCCCGATTGTCTTCAGACAAGGTATGCTTGACTAAAAACTCGACAGCAACCGTAGCCGGCGGATTAAGTATGCTGGACTATGTATACGACTCGGCACCAACGGTCGACCGTGAACCGAGTATGTTGGACTAAGTATAACTCCTCCAATGGCCGCCTGCAGACTAAAAGTATGCCATACCAAATACGACTACGAGTGTCACTCGCTGCGGAAAGTCGCATGCTGCCGCAGGTGACATGCGACCGTTGGTGGCAAGTCGTACTTAGTCCAGCTGCTCGCGCTCTCATTCATCTCCTACTTGTGGCGCCAAGCAAAGATGTGGGACTGAATCACATGGTTCGGCGTTCGATTGCCGCCGAGCTCCTTGGTGAATTTCCAGTTTCGATTGTTAGTTCCTAGTTATAGTTATGTATGAATTATTAAGACTAATCATGTCATGTCTATGCATTGGATGCTAATGCATTGCCTGCTACGGGCTATATGCGTCCTGTAAGTTGCCTTGGCCCACGTGCAACGCTTTTTTGTCACTCTCAAGCGGTACACTTTTCCGAGAAATCCAGCCCATAAACACATTCTGTGCTAAAAGTCAAGGTACATTAAACAAACAAACACTCACCTTCAGGTTTCCTGGGAGGACACCCCTCTTCATCTGAATTATCTAAACAGTCGCGACGACCATCGCAACGGCGAGCTTCATCGATGCATCTCCGGTTGCCATCACACGCAAACTCGTTGGGACCGCATGGAGAGGCATCTGAAACACAATTCGGACCCACACATAGCTACCCCACTGCAGCAGCAGTGGAGTCCAACTTCCGGCTGACCACAAGATTTCTCATCAGCAATTTAGTAATAAAAAAACTGTACATTCAATAGTTTGTTGATTTAGACTATGGCCCGTCCGTCCGAGACACCCTTCATGTAAAGCTTTGTGTGATCCCCTCTGCCACGGGACAGTATTGGGAGAATTAAAAATTAAAGCAGATGACACATTCCACAATGGCCTAAGATAAATGGCCTAGAAGTTTGAAAGCGGTCCAGAGAATCAGTATTATGGGCTTTACTCGATTTTATTAGTAAAAGGAAAACTAAACTGAAGGTATGGAAGCAAGGAAGGTATGCAACAGGCTGACAGCTTGACCAAAACTAAACATGCACAAATATTCTACATTTTACGTTGTTAGTTTGAAACAAGCTTAGCATGCCTCTTGGATGACTAAATGGTAAATCTGACCACCTTTTCTGCGCTATCACAAAAGCTTGCAAACAAAAGCACAGTCATGACTGAAAAAATTATTGAATGTGGAATGTTTTTGGTTCGGTAAATCAATCTGCATTCGTGTATTATACATGAAGATTTGTACCGCAACTTCCAACAAGAACGCCATTGGTCATCGCTATGGTAACATGATCGCTTATACCAGACAATAGGAGTGAGCCAGGAGAGCCCAGCGGCGGTGCGACATCGCATATTGTTTTCTAGTCCCATGATTATGGCACCCCCCTCGAGTATTTTCACAATGCAGTGCTATGAGACAGAACTCATTTATAAATAATCAATAATACACATTCATTAATATAAAACTCGATATAAATTACTAGCATCACTAAAAATAGCTTTAAAAGTTTGGCTGATTCTCCCTTTGCAAACTTAAACTGAGGTGACGATTTGGTATGACATGTCCCAGCAAGAGAAAAGGAACCACTACATGAAAAAAGAATGTTTATGAACTGAAATAGGATTAGCATTCTTTGTACGATGCTGCATTCCAGTTGTCCAATAATAAGAGAAAAAAAGGTTTTAAGAAGCATACAATTCTTTCGATTACTTCTTGTTCCTCCACTCTATCAAAAAAAAAAAAGCTACAACACCACCATTGTCTAAAGTAATATGAAGAAAAACATGAACCAAAGCAATCTTAATCCTTCATTAATTATATAACATTAATTGACCACAAAACAAGGAAGACATCAGAATGCCAGAAAGACCTGCATAGTAGAATTCAGCACTTTTATATAAACCCAGTAAACAAACAACCACTCACCTTCAGGTTTCCTGGGAGGACACCCCTCTTCATCTGAATCATCTAAACAGTCGCGACGACCATCGCAACGGCGAGCTTCATCGACACATCTCCGGTTGCCGTCACACGCAAACTCATTGGGACCGCATTGGACGTGGTGAGTGGTATTATGGTGGGAGGGATCTGAAACATTTGAACCCACACACGAATTCCCCGCTGGTGAAGCACTGGAGTCCAACATCCAACAAAAAAACATGACTGCCTGTCCACAAAATAGTAAAAAAAAAAAAAAAAAAGACGGCAAACATTTGAGATTGTTGATTTGAACTCTATAGCCCATGAAATGCCAATTTTCCTTCTTATTAAACGAATTACCTCTAAGTACCACCTCCGAGTCATCTTCCATGTAAAGCTTAAAGTCATTCCTTTTTTTTTGCCCCATACGGTAGGACGGATATTTGAAACAAATTAGAATGGACGACAATGACATATTCCATAACGCCCGCAAAAAAAAAAAAAAAAAAAAAGACTTAGCAGTTTAAAAGTGGTCAAGAACCCGTATTGTGCACTTTATTTATTTTTTAACAAAAAAACTAAATGTAAGCTGAAGGCATGGAATGAAACATAAGAGGCTGGCCACCCACTGCTCGCAACTAAATATGCACAAACTTTCAAAATTTTTGGTCATCAATTCAAAGTATGGTTACTATACACTTTGCATTCGAAACTAGAAACACTAATGACAGCATTCGCAAATTTTCATGAACGGACTCGGGACAGATAGCTCAGTTGAGAGGGACTCCTCTGCAGTTCAGATGTAAATGTGAAGAAGGAAACCCCGCACATCCTTAAATAAAACATTGTCTTTATTTACACCGCCATAGATGAACAGTCACGGAAGAGTCCCGGCTATAAACTATGTTCCTCCGACTTAAATGAGATCCGAAAACAAGAAACTTTGGCCATAAATGGCAGAACTGCCATGAGTTTTATATGTATCAGGACTTCTATTTGGATAAGACTATTTTCTATACAAATAAAAAAAGTAAAAGAAACGCAGTAAACAACTTCTCACGTTTAATGGCAGGACAGCCCTCTTCGTCGGCGCGGTCTGCACAGTCGTGACGACCGTCACATCGGCGATCTTCATCAACGCATCTCCGATTGTCATCACAAGCAAACTGGGTGGGACCGCACTGGATACCGCCCGCATGGTGACTGGGATCTGAAACGACATTCAAACCTGCATACAACTTCCCTGAAGAAGCAAAGTCCGAGCCCAGACATAAATTGACCACGAGACAGTGCTTGGAAAAGGCAGTGGGAGCTTTGGAAGGCAACACAGTTAGGGGTTCATAGATTTACACTTTCTTCCTGTGGCTCGTCGAATAACCTCTTAAAGTCTTCTTAAAGATAGTCTTTCCTACTTCCACAGAAAGCATTGGAAAATTGAGAAAACTAGAATAACTAATTATGTACCGCACAATGGCCCCAAGAAAAGCAGCGCTAGTAATTCAAAGGCATTCTGCAGAAGTCAGTTCACTTTAGATTAGGAGAAGCTTGGCTGTAGGTATGACGAACAGACAAGAGGCTGGGCATTAGTTCAAGACTAAGCGTGTGCAAAACTTCTAAAATCACTATTAAGAAATCAAAGAATGGCGTACCATATTTTATGTTTGCAACTAACAGTAACAGACCGCTTAGCTCCATTGAGTGTGCTTTACCCGTGGCTAAGGTGCAGTGCAGAGAAGCAATACAGGCGCAGCCTGCGCTTCTATTACCAAAGTGTTGCACCTACCTTCATTCAAGTAACGCAATGTAAACATTGCGATAAGGACTAGGCATCTGATCTGACAGCTCCAAATGGCACAATTGGCGACTTTCGCCCCTTTGTCAAGACAGAACTTGTAATACAGTATATCCAAAATACAGCCATCAGAAAGACCACCAGGTTTATAACAAATAATGAGCCTTTATAAAGCTAGATTTTAATTGCTATAGATTTGTTAACAATAACCTTAAGCTGTGGCTATCATTTGATTCTTTCTATGTGAATGTGTTTTGTATTTAAATGAAAGAATCATCAAGCGAGAGGGATTTATTTGAGGCTGAAGCCGAGAAAAACGAAGTGCTCTTCTGAGCAAATCTGAGCATTAAGCTTGACATCTACCATTCAACTTCGTCTGTCACCTATGTGAAGTCATATTGCAACAAAATCAAAATGCAAAAAAAAAAAAAAGTATAAAAGTAATGTTTAAGTAAGTAAGTAAGAACTCTAAAAAAAAAACCAAAACGTTTTTGGTTTTTTTTTTATTCGAGCTTGTACTCATTCTTTTTTTTTTTTGGGGGGGGGGGGGGGGGGGGTAATGGTTTGGTTACTTTTAGAGAGAAGCTACCGCGGGGCCCCTACCTAGAATCTGCGCGAGAGTCGACCCTTCCTTGGCCAGCTGAAACCTGTCCAGGCGACCGCTGTCCACAAGCTCCATGAAGCCCCTGTGAAGCTTCTCCTGGTCCGCGCCGTCCGGCACGCCGACGTCGAAAACGACGCTGAGCGCGTCGGTGCGATCCCCGACCGCCGCTGGGCCGAATCGAAGCACGTTCACCGACGGGATGTTGTGTGGCGGCCGCAACCGCAACCTTTGGGCTAGGCTGTGGGACAGCTCGTGCGAGAGCTCGGAGCTGAGCTGCCGGAACTGTTCGCTGCGGCTGTCTGTCAGGCCCGGCTCGAACGGGCTGTTCAGCACCGTCAGGGATCCGCGGAAGAACACCGTACCTCCTGCGTCGGAGGGAAAAAGAGACGCGTTAAAGCCGACAGCGGGAGAACACAACACACTGTTTACAAGCAAGCCGCGTCCTTCGCCCGCACCGCGGATGTGGGCACTGGCGCGAAAACCGCGCGAGGAGAAGCGTCTGCGCGTATGCCGTGCCGCCGACAGCAACTCCCCGAACGTCAAGGCACACGCAATATATATAATGCGTTTCGCAAACTAAAAAAAAAAAAAAAAAAAAAAAAAAAAAAAAAAAAAAAAAAAAGGAAAAAAGTGTTTAAATGTTTGTACACTGCACTGTCCGCGTGCATGGGCGAAACCAACTCAACCTTTTAGCAATAACCGGCGCTACTCTTTCAGGCGCGCGATTTATTATCTCGATACTCAAAATATAGCGAGTTCGTTTCACGGCACTGGTGCCCACACGGGCCCACTCGCAGCGTGGAGCGGGTTTGTATCGGCCGGCACCACGATGTAGGAAGGCTCCTACACCGTGGCCGGCACTCCACAAGTGGTTGCACTCTCAGAGTTCGTTTCATCGTTGACACCCCACACGTGCATGCACTCGCTGCACCGGGAAAGTAAAAAACCTCCTTGCCCTTGGGGAAAATCGAGAGTGCGCCAAAATGCAATCCCGTCTAGGGTCGAGGCACCCTAATCCCGTCATGCCTCGCTCCGGCAAGGCCGGCAAGGAGCGGGAGCAGACGACGAGGGTTCGTCTGCTACGATAAGTCGCGGAACCGAAAAAGGGAAAAAAAAAAAAATAATTGACTTTTTGATAGAAATCGCGTCCCGCGGGATACGGAATCAAACGCGAGCTTGAATTGTGAGCGTCTGCTGTTTCATGAAGGAAGCAATTCACAAACTGTGCTTTATTTGCAGGTTTTAAGTCGCTCTGTTGCCATACACACGCTGAAATATACCAGTGTGTAAAGAAATGCTCAGAACAAACGCATCAGCGCCCCCCGAGATGTTTATCACCATCTGTGTGCGCATGAAAAATGAACATTTGTCGACAAAACTCCCCCAACAGATACATCTGACTGCCCAAAAAGCATCAGAGAAAGCTAAACATAGTCACCTTGCCCGAGGCTTGGGCAACATCATCATGTTTAACATTTACCTACGTCAGCTAACTTGCCCCCTCGTATTTTGTTCGCGAAAGCTCTCGTTCTCGACGCGGTCGCCAAGCTAGCTAATGGTAATATCTGATCCACCTGTAATGACGATCGAAATCGAAAGTCCCACGAAAATTTTTCCTGGATATTCCAACATACTAGTTTTAAGCCGTACCGTTTCAGTGGTTCACGCATAACACCATGTTTCTGCTCGGACAGCATCACCAGCTTTCTTCAGTGTAAACGGTTATAAGAATTTCAAACAACTGCTTTGCAGACAGCTGGTTGCGGAAATTTACGCCGTCTGTAACTATCTCTACGACAGCCGAGTTGCTTGAAGTCATCGCAAATATGAACTACAGGTTGCAGCGACCAACGTTTGTAGATAAACGTTGGTAGCGACTGCACTCTCGCATTCCCACCCATCACTCCGAACAGAAAGGTGCTAGTTTCGTTTTGAGGTCGGTACCTTTTTTACAACACAGATGGCGGGAGCAACAGCCTTCTGCACTCGGTGGATTTGGCGAGTTCGTTTGAGTCCAGGCGGTCCAGGCATATACGGCTCTGAGTCCAGGGGCCCTAATCTGGACACTTGGCGAAAAAGTCGGCGAGAAATCTGGCTGCTGTGATTGGCCGACGCCGCACTTGACCTTGGCGCCGGCCAATCATAGCCGTCAGATTTCTCGCCGTCTTTCTCGCCAAGTGTCCAGATTAGGGCCCCAGCTAGTCCAGCTCTCCGTGCAACACTCTGCGAGTGCGATGCATTCTGGGAGAGAACTCGAACGGTGCCAGTGCGTGTGAAACAAGGAGGTTAGAAGTACTAGGAGGGGGCACGTTGCAATATTGGTGAAGCCTAGACATAAAAAGTTTAAACGATTTTGTGCCCAGCGTGACCGCAGATCTCTCTGGCGATTGGTGCGCGTGACATGTCACATGTGAGATAGATGGTTGATTGTAGAAGAACTCCTTGCAGGCTTGCGCGCGCTCCATCCGGTAGGTTTTATCAGATCGAAGGCTAGACTGTGGTGTATTCTAGTAGCCTATAGTAAGACGAAGGCTAGCTACGGTCACGTGATGTGGTCACGTCGGCATGGTAAGTGAGGAGAGTAAGGAGGCAAATGAAAGAGGCGAGGCGTCAAGGGAGCATGGCTTGTGGAGGCTACGCGGCCGACGTCATGCCCTCTCCTACCCTTCTATTCTCCATGGTGTGAAACAAACTCGCTAGCTATTGACGCCCCAAGCGGATAACTTTAGAACTACACGGATGGGGACAACAAATACAATGACTCAGCGCTCGGCCGACATAACCGAACGCGGCGTCAGCTTTCGGCTGGAGTTCGTGTTCTCCGGTGAGGGGGAGGAGGGGCTCTTTTGTTTCCACTCGGGCCCGCATGAACAATGCAGCAAGCACGGTCCCAGCACAGCACAAAAGCCGAAGTGGGTCAAACTCGCATTCTCTGAGGACAGATCGTCGATTGTTAGTATTTTTTTTACATTAAAGGACATGCCCATAAGGCCTGTGGGCATTTGCACAGGCCTTGTGTTGAGTAAACACCGAGGTGTGGGGAAACAAACGGGTCAAAGCGCCCCTCTCCTGCCCGATACATGTCTTGCATGTGACGTCATATGGCACCGTACCAGCCGCCATTGCCCCGTACTATGCTCCCGTGCCCGCACTAACCATATCTTTTCGCACTATCGAATCTTGTTCTTGGCAAGCCTTGGCGAGAAGAAGAGTCGATGGTGCCAAACGTGTGCTACAGAAAGTACGAAGCAATGGCGTTTGACGTGACGTCAATGCCGGCAAATTAAGGTCAACGTTGGTTAAGGTTAACGTCCAAAAAGCAACATTCAATTTTCCCCGCACCCTCAAGTGGGGTGAAGCCACATGTACAACTCAAGTAGAGCAGACAGCCCAAGGAAACAATATTTTAGGCACGTTTCTTGCTGGCGGGTGCTCAACCAGCATCCATTTCTCTCCATCAAACTTCTTGTAATCAATCGGAACGAGTTGACTATGGTGCCTGAGCGCATCTCTGACTGCTGTGTTTAGCGTCGTCCCGAAGTGGCAACAAATGACGTCACAGAAGTCGGAGTGTCATGCTGTTGCATGTCGCGATCCTGGCGATTGTTCGTAGAAATGCTGGCGAAAAGCACAAGCGAACGCTAGTGTCGATGTCACTGATCTCCCGCTTGTTCGCTGTAGCGCGATTGCGGCCACCAACTTGCATGCAGTTTTTTTTTTTTGTTTTTTTTTTGCTAGCGTTGCACATGCCGGCGGCAGCGTGCTAAAAACACCTTTTCTACTCGTTCGTCGTCATTCGCCGTAGACTTTCTTTAAGATCCTGTGTGAGGCGTCATACTTGCCGTTGAAAACACGTGGCAATTTTTACAAAGTCGCAGTGCCGCAGGAAAAAGGCACACCTCGTCGAAAGCAAGTTTCGCCGGTCTGGCGAAGTGTTCAAAGCTTTTCTGGCACGCCGAAGTGTTGCGTCTCTGTGCCTTCGCACGCTTGGATACCGATCAAGAATTGACGCCGTCTGAATGTGTTTTGCGAGTGCAATGTGCGTGAAGTCGCATGTGCCTCTGGATCAGAGTCTTACTTTACTCTGACGAATGTATACTAGCGGCACTCGCGGTCCACGTCCAGTAGCGACGGAAAAAAGGGGGGGGGGGGGGGGAATGTACGTCTAAATCCCATTAGAGGTTGCAAATTTAGTGACTGCAAATACAAAAGTCGATCTGGCGACATGTTACAACCATGTAGATAATAAAACCGTACCTAGGGGGCCTCAATGTCCTGCCGTACCCGTTTACTGTAGTTTGTAAAAACACTTGGCAGAATGAAACTTTCTATTACAGCGAAGCTGTTTATGGCTAGGGTTACGTGGATTTTTCACGTGCGTCAACAAAAACTCAGAGGGGGCTCGCACCGCCCTCTCTTTGTAGTCGTTCCAATGCGCTTGCGTGCCTAGTTTCCTTTCCTTCCGCCGGGTGGCGGCCCCGTCTGGCGTGTCTAGTTTCCTCCGGCTCCTCGGGGCGGGGATAGTCCTTGACATGCGTGTGCGTACCTTTCGTCACGATGACCACCGATCAAGACAATATGTTCGTACCTTTGTTTAAAATTATGTTTCACGTACGTCTGTGTCGTGTGCTGAACAGCTTCGCTGGTCATCCACCTTCAGAGTGGAATGGCTCACGATTTTTTGCTCAGGGCTCTTTGCTTTTTTAGTGGCTGCTCAAACGCGTATTTTTAGTAATTGTGCACTAATATGGTATAGACTAACAGGGTTCGTACAGCTCATTGAAATCCTTGAATACCCTTGATTTCGTTAAAGTCGTTTAAGGGCCCTTAAATATCAATGGAAAGGTGAAACGATCCTTGCATTCCTTGAAAATTCTCCAACAAATGAGTAAATGCCGTGTCGTCTGGCAACATGACATGTCGTTTGTTCTAAATGATAAAGCCAATTCAAAGCGTCCCGTGTCGTTGCCATTTTTGCTTTGCGTTGACTGTGTTGAGGATCAAGTTTGTGAGCGTGAGAAACTTTCAATCGAGATTGAAAGCCGAAATGCCGAGTGGAAAGTGTAAGTTCCAGCCTGCTTGGCTGGAACGCAAAGACTATCGCCAGTGGGTGGAACCAGATACGAATGAATCCTTCCGAGCGAAGTGCGCGATCTGTCGAAACGCTATCAAAAACCACAATGGCCTGCTCAATATTCCACTGTCGAAGGAGTTAAAGTCCTCTGTACGCCTAGCAAGGCCAAAGTATGCTGCATATTTTGGAAGAGCACAAGAAGACAGCAGCCAGTGAGCAGAAAATTTTGAAGAGAAAAGCAGTTGAAATGGAGCTGGAGGGAATGCATGAGAGGAAGTTGAAACTCCAGAA